GATGCGCATATATAGGCGTCGGTCAATTGATCTTAGTCCTGAGAAAGGTTGTTAGGCAGAAAGTATAGTACTTCTACCTTGGGGGTTCCATATAGCTGGCAGGGTGTGTACCTCCCTGTTTTGGCCTGCGAGGTTTAGCCGAGACTCCCTGCTATATAAGTTGAGACCCCCTGTCAGCTGAAAGCCTGCTGCAGTGGATTATGGTCTTGGCGATGACCACCTGCCTCTAGTACGAAGGTATACACTAGTGTACTACTAACGTAATTATCTTTATATGTGGCTATTGAAAGATGCAACGAGGATAAGAAATATTCACTACTAGCGGCTGCTGAGGTTACGATGCTTACAGTTCAGCGACTAGAGTGAGCACGCGACCTGGGAAAGCGGGCCTTTGGAGCTCACCTATGTACAATACATAGTATACTCCGTACACATTGTATTACGATACAGTACACATTTGCACTGCATCCTCGGCAGCTCCCGGTCGTTCCCAACCCAAGCCAACGTTGCGTTAGTTACAGGTAGGGACAGGCCTCGTTGACGAGGTCAAATGAGCAGACTTGCCAAGAGGACAAGCCACACAACCTGGAAGTAGTGATCTCTGTCTTGCTTCTGAACCGCCGCCTTCCAAACCAGTGTGTAGGTCTAGCCAAGCGTTCTTCATCCGTTAAACCTCTTGCAATGTCGTCACATGCTCGAAGAAGTTGAAAGATTTGGGTCTTTTTCAATTCGGAGCCCGCTGTCGAGTTGGAATCTTGGATGGTGCAATTGCCTGGCGGGCCTATTCTTCTTAATGCCGTGCTGTCCCGCTGTGCCCCTGAAGCCGCGCCGGGGACTTGGCATGGCTCAAAGACCACCAGTTACTAAACCACACTACTGTATTGTTGTATGATTACCTTATGATCAATTTTGGCGCGGTCAATACTCCTGTATCCTCATCGAAAACAATACAGTATTGTAATGAAATGCAAGGCGCCTTGCGCACAAATCCAGGGGTCGCTTGCGAGATGGCAAGCTTGCAGCCAGTCAAAATGAGAGGAGCAATTTCCGGTCTGACAGGCCTCTGCGTCGTCCGCACAGGAACCAAAATTTCACTACGGAGCACGCTAACTAATGACTTCAAGTTTAGGTAAGAAGGCTGTCCAAGCGCACAGTTTGGCGCGAGAAGCGGCGAACGTACGATGAAAGAGTACAATGCACTGGTGCATCTACATACACTACATACACTAGTGTGGCTCTTCTGCGGACACTTCTGATTATCATAACTTGCAGATATCCACATACAAATCCAATTCACCGCGTCTCCGCCCGTCGAGCCCGGGATGTTGATGGCAGGCTGGGGTGGGATGGGTTGAGTGTACTGTACAGTACAACAGTACACTAGATTGTAAGGTATGTATATACTGTACAGTACAGTACATACACTAGGCATGGGTCTTCACAGGGAACGGCGGCGCCTTCCATGCTGTCCTGGCTGATCCCATCGCAACCAACCTTTTTTGCCTCTTCAAATCGCGCTTCTGCTGTCACTCACCCGCATAACGGTAGCTGCTGCATGTCTCCGTTCTTTTACCGCAAGCAGCAGCGGCGGCGGCAGCAACAAGAACAACAAGCCAGCGGCCCAGATCCCTTCCATTGATACCCACCCTCGACTGCTTTGCCGCCATCTCTGCCGCCTCCTGCTCACCCCCTCCTTCGTTCGTTCCCGACTGGCCGACTGGCGAGCGCACTACTGGGTCGTATCATTCCGTCCGTTGCCTGTCGTCGAGTCCCAGCAGACCAGACGGAGCTTCTTGTTGGTGCGGCTTTACGCAGACCTGCCCGTCATCTTTTGCCGGGGCCCTATAAGCCTGATCACCTACATGTTACGGCTGCTACTATTAGCCCCGCCTCAGCAGCCATAGCACCACTCGGTTGTATTGCGGCTGCCTCCAGTCCACACGCCGCAGCTCCAGACTGCTATCGCTCCTGTTGTTCTTCGCTCTCCTCCTACTGCACCTCCCACTCACTGAAACTGTGGGACAAGGGCGAGGGCAGACGGCAAAGCGACCCGAGCAACCCGCACGAATCTTTGCGCATCAGAGCGGCATTGAGGGTCGCACCGCGTCCCTACGCCGTCTGGAATACTACCTGGGATTTTTCAAAGCTCGACACTGGATGATGCTTGGGACGAGATTGACAGCCGCCAGCATCTGAGACAACCGGGTTTGTCTGCCCGGTGCCGTGCCCTTGATCGATGGTAGTAGCAGCACTGCTCTTCTCTGCTGCTTGATAGTCCTGCAAAGAGACGCTCTGTTACGCCGCCTGCCTTGAATGGACAAAACTCTCATTTGCAGGAGCTCGCGCAACAAATTACGACGAGCAACCGTCGTTTACCGAGCAAGTTCGCACGTCCGAGTCCGTGGAGCTGTGGTGCCGCCCAGGCCTCTCCTCCCCTCCGGAACCTATGAAAAAAAAGTTCGCCCACCCACAATTTCTCTACTTTGCGTGCATTGAAACGGCCAGGGTGCGGAGAGAAGGGGGAGAAAGGAGAAAGTACGAAAAATACAGTCCAGCCCAGCCCTGGCTTTCTCCAAACACCTTTCTAGTTTCTAGCTCAAGGACGCATCGAGCACCTGGATCACCCCACTCTCCCCTCGATTATCACTTCTGTCTGCATGTTGTTTGACCGGCAGCAGCTCTCCAGAGCCTATACTGCCCGGGACGTTGCCGAGAAGGGTCCCAATTCGGGTGCTGCAGACTGGCTCTTAAACCAGGCCAGCACCATGGCGACCGCGTCGCAAAACCCATATCCCCGATCTCCCAACCCCTCGGTACGGCCCTACGACTCGCCTGCCATCTCGTCTGCCACGTCGCCCAAGTCCACCGCACACTATATTGGGAGCCTGATGAAGCAGAGCGCGAGCGCCCCGAGGTCGGCCCCGGCGCCCCCTCCGCACCCCATTGGCATCCCATCGCCGCTGCCGGCAGTCCACCAGCTCCCCACCAGCTCGTTCCAGCCATACACGCCCGTCACGGCCACCTCGTCCGTCATGGAACGGGATTCGCTGCCGTCAAGCGAGTCGGTGGCCGGCACTCCCCGCCCGACCCACTCCCAGTTACCCGCAACGTCCGGTGGCCAAGCACAGAAACGAGCGTACCGCCAGAGGAGAAAGGATCCGAGCTGTGATGCCTGTCGTGAAAGGAAGGTCAAGTGCGACGCCACCGAAACCGCCAGCTGTTCCGAGTGTTCTAGCAGGAGCGTCAAGTGCCAGTTCACCAAGGAGACAAACCGTCGCATGTCGTCTATCAAGCAGGTGCAGGATCTCGAGAAGCAGATGGAACGAGTCCGACGCGAGAACACCAGCCTCCGGCGCATGCTGCAAGACCGCGACGGCCGCCTGTTCGACATGGATGTCGACAGTGTCGAGCAACTCCCCTTACAGCTCCCGGAGATCGGCTTGACGCCCAAACGCAAGACGAGGCCAGCGGGCATCCACGATCTTGCACGGGCCAGAAGCAACCTGCGAAGGTTTGCGCGAGGGATATGGAAGCCTCCTGGGCCCTATCGACTCTCCCCCGCGGCCGAAACCCGTGACTGTCAGCAGATGCTGCCCCCGCGGCAGACCACCGAGGCGCTGCTGCGGTCCTATTACGCTTCGGCTCACTCGATGACGCCCATCCTTCACTGGAACACGTTCACGCAAACTGTTGATGATCTGTACCGCCCGGGCAACCCCATGCGTGTCTCTCAAGTTTTCGTTTCCGTCTTATTTGCTGTCTTGGCCGTCGGCAGGCTGTTCACCCCCGATAATGACCAAAACCGGGCCTACTCGGCTGCTCATCTACTCGAGTCGGCCCGAACACTGCTTGACCCCTGGAACGACGACTACGGGTTGGATGACGCCCGAGCTCTCGTGCTGATTTCTATTGCCCTCAACGAACTGAACCTCAAGTCGGCAGCGCGGACCTGGCTTAGCAAAGCGGTGAGTCTGGCCCAGGATCTTGGTCTCTACACTGAGCCCGGACCGGGTTCGTTTATCGAATGTGAAATGCGCCGAAGGGTATGGTGGACCATTTATATTCTTGATCGCAGCCTGGCGGTCGAGCTCGGTAGGCCAATGTTGATTGATGATTCCGACTGTGACGTGTCCCTGCCATTGGCCCTCGACGACTGCTATTTCGCAGAGCGCGGCCCTAGGGTGCCAGACGGCGCAGAACCGCTCACGCATTCTCTTCTCGCCATTATCAACGTTGTACGGACGTACCCGGCACTACGCCGGGCTCTCTCATCGCCCGTCATCGCCCCGACCCGGCTCGCCACCTTCGACCAGCACTTCGCCTCCTGTTTGCGTGCTTTCCCGGCAGCCTGTGATCCCACGAGCATGGCCGCGCTGACACCGGGGCTTCTGAACCCGCTGGTTTACTTGCTCCACGCCCGCCTGCTACTTCACCGGCACAACCTACTCCCCTCGTGTCCTCCAGACGTCCGCCTTATAGCCATTGAACAATGCACACATGCCGCTCTCGAAACCGCCTCCCTCCTCTCACGCACCGGTTCCTCCATCGCGAGCGGCGCCACGGCCCTGCTCACCACCCACATCTTCCGCTGCACACTCTTCCTCCTCCTGACAGGCTGCTTCGAACAAGCATCTGACTGTATCCGCGCCCTGGCCGCCGTCAACGAGCACCGCGATGTCGCCATACCCTGCGGCCGCTTCCTCGCCTTTTTTATCTCGGCTTTGGCGTCCCGGCGCGCCGAGATCTTGGCGTACCTCTCACACTCGCCTTCGCCGGCTCACCCCCCCTCTCCCTACGGCCCGCCGCCGCCGGCGCACCCCCCCTCGCCGGCGGCACTGCAAGATGCGCTATTACGAGACGAGGAGTTGCTCGCGTATGTGAGCTCTGACCTGCAAGGGGGTCTTGATACGGCCTGGGTCTGGGCCGGCAGCGAGCGGGAAGCAGCCGCCGCCGCTCCGGCGCCCTCGCCAGTCGGCGGGAAGCACAGCTTGTTCAGCATTGAGGCAAGGACGGGTTTGACGAACGAGGAGAGGTGGGATTGGGGCCCGACAGGGTGGGAGAGGTTGGAAAGTTCATTGAAGAGGTTGGCGTCAGGGCATACGACGCCTAATGGGCAAGCAGGGCCGCCTGTGCTTCCGAGGCAGCAGCAGCAGCATCAGCCGCAGCCGCAAGTGTCGTGGAACTCACCTCCGCCACCACCGCTGCCGTCCGTCCTGCCATCGCAGCAGCAGCAGCCGCCTATGCCGGTTATCAAGATGGAGATGGGCCGGCCGGATGCGAGGGTGGACATGTCGGGCCTGCCGTCGTTGGCGAGTTCAAGGCCCTCGCAGGGACGCTCGTCAGTCAGTGCCAGTCCAACGTCTGGGGCAAGCGGGATGAATAAGAGCCAGGAGCGGATGAGGATTGAGAGTATAATTTGAGAGGAGGATCATTTACTCTATTGAGCGAAAACAATGCATGAGAGCGGATGGTTATACGGAGGAGCATATATATGGATATGGGAGGGAAGTGCTAAAATCGCATTGGGAAAGGAAAGCTTCTTTTTGCTCAGGGCGACGAGACCACGATCTGTACGAGCAGCGAAGTACTGCAGTCACGGCCGATCCGATAGCACCCACCCTGTACCACCACAACCAACACGAACATATGAGATTTGCATACGACACCATCGCATTCCTCCATTCTACCCCGGGAATGCAGTAATGGGGAAGCTGTATTATAGCAAATGAAGCACACGCCACGCCATCCGTCATCCCGAAGAGATAGTTCAAGAATTCCGCGGCCCACACCCGTCCTCTCAATCAACTCTATCCCTGGTACACCGCCTGCCGTTGGCACACTAATAATACCGACCTCTTTACCCTCTAAGAAATCTACAAAGAGTCTTTTCCAGATCTTTATTCCTTTAATCTCTCTATTTTGTTACCATGCTACTTCATGCAACGACTAAAAAGGGCGGCACTTGTTATGAACTAGGGCAGGGTCAAGGAGCGGGAAGGGAGGTGTTTTTGTTTGAATTCGATTTGCTGATACTGCAATCGTTGTACAAGTACTACGGCATCTACATCTAGTGGTACATAGCCGCTGCTAGCGGCGGAGGACACAAGAAGGGGAATAGACATCACATTTACCAACTTCAAAATAACTGCTGCGGTAGTCACGTCCGGGTGACGCCACACCCGCGCGATTACTCTGCTTGTCTAGGGTTTTGCAAACTTTACTATCGAATAGCAGCTCTTGAGGTTGCTTGTGTCCCTTGGCCGGGTGCGGGTATGGAAGAGCAGACAGTTGACGGTCGACAGGAGTGCCATGGTGCAGTACGTCATATTTCTTGCTGCGCGGCTCTCAAGGTTTACATCTCCCCTGCCACATAAGACTAACAGGCTGCGCACGAACCAAACGGTTACCGGTCACGTTACAAAGGGTGTCTACTACTAGTAGTGAGTACGTCAACAGCCTTATATTTCCAAGCTCACACATAAACGCCAAACCTACTAGTATCTCCACCTGTACAGAAATGCAAAGTTCTGTACTGTATGTACTGCACATCCATTGTACACAAATAATGCCGGCGGGCAGAGCACCTACCCAAGCCATCTACCAAAAATACCCGCACTCCTAGTATATATATGCTCTGACAGACACGGTTACCCAAGATCGGCATGCAGCCCCGTCAAGCCTCCAGCGAGGCCGTGCATCCGCCTGCCGAGCAGATCGTCCGAGCTAGCCAGCTTGACAAGGCTCTTGTCGTCATCGTCCCTGGACGTAGTGCGGACTCTTTTCGCAGGCTTCTTCCGCCTTGCATTGGCGTTTCCGTTCCCACTACTCGCCGCAGGCCCGCCGCTCCGATCGCCATTTACCAGCTTGTCGCTATTCAGAGCAGCGCTGGCCACATTCTGCTGCCTGTTCCTATCGGCGTGATGGCCGTTCGGCAGGGCAACGACGGTCCGTCCCTTCTCCGGCGGTTGAGCAGAGTAACCCTTCGTGACCGACTCTCCCGCATTGGATTCATGCTTCCTGTCACTCTTCTGAAGAGCATGATCAGCCAGAGGACCCGCGCCATTGACAGCTCTCCCCCTCCCTCGAGTAAGGCTCATCATCAGGGGCCTATCCTCATCCCCACTGGATTCTTGTCTGAAATGATGCCGCGTCCTCTCGGTGCTCACCCCTTCATTTCCATGGGCAGGCAACGGCCCCTCCGTTGTTATCTTTATTTCTTTCGCCTTAGCACTCTCGAGATGCCCTACACTCCCGCGTTCCCCTTCCCGGTTCCTCTCCCGTTCTCTTCCTCTAGTCCGTTCTTTCCTCTCGGCCCGCTCAAAGATCTCCTCAATCCACCTCCCTGTGCGATCAAATAATTTCCACGCCGGTGGGTACACGCCGGGAAATTGCAAGAACCCGTGGCTGATGCCGGGGATGAGGACCATCTCAGCAACATCTCTCTCGTCGAAGCCGCGCGTCATAGCATCCTGTTCGAGGTACTCAAAGCGTTTCCCGCCGCTCGCCATCTGGGCGGCTTTGACCCTCCGCAAGCGGCCGGCGAAGATGACCGTATCGTCTACGAGCGGGTCGCGCTCGCCTGTGAGAAAATACGTCTTGGGAAAGCGGGCCAGGAGCACGTCTGGCGCCAGGATGGGGCTGAGCAGATAGTCCTTCGAGAAGTCGGGCCTGTTGTGCGGGCCGATGTACAAGATGATCATTGCGCGCATCATCTCCGGGGTCAGCACGCGATCGTTGAAGTACGAGATCATCGATGACATGGCGAGCCGGGTGCGCATCGGTTCGGGATGGTGAGACGTGCCTGGTGAGGACTGTTTGGTGGCGGTAGGAGTAGTCGAGGCCGGAGAAGGGGGGTGAGCGGCGGTGGTGGTAGTTGCTGGGGATGGCGGGCCTAGCTGGACGTGGCTCCAGGTCGAAGGGCCCGAGTGGGCGTACTCGGGCGCAGCGTCAGTAGCGGGCGTGGAGGGGGCGGTACCCTCTTGTTCGCCTGCTAGGCTGGAGCGAGACTTGGATGATGGGGAGGCGTCATCTTCATCCTCGGATTGGTGCGGTGTTCCGACAAGGTCGTTGTACTGCATCGTTTTGCGCTCAATGATGCGCTTGTTTGTCCCGCGCATCCGCCTGTCCTTGATCAGTGCCATCTGCTCATCGGACATCCAGCTTCCGATATTGAAATCGAGACCAGGATAGAACAGGATGAGGCCATCAGGGATGGGGAGGTCGGTCTGGCCCTGGAAGCGGCGGACGGGGGACGATCCGCTCTCAATGATCATGAGCGTCGTCGCTGCAGCAAGGTTCCCGCCGGCGCTATCCCCCGTGATGACCACCTTGGGAATCTCCCTCCCGGACAGGCCGATGCATCGTCCACGGCTCTTGATAATCGTTGTGTAGACGTCGTAGCATTCATTCAGGGCATATGGATACGGATACTCTGGAGCCTTTTTATAGTCTAGACTGAGAATCGGCAACCCCGTCTTGGCGGCCCAGGCTAATAGCTTGTCGTCATTGCACCTGGGGTCCATGGCCACAAAACCGCCACCGGGAATGTCCAGGACGATGCGGTTGTGGTTCTCGAGCTCGGACAGAGGACCGTCAAAGTACAGCCACCCAGAAACGGGGTCCTTGTAGTCGCTGGTAGCAGGCCGAGGGATGCGGATGGCTCGCGGCGGCCACCTCGTGAAGCGTGGCCGCACCAGGTTTTGCATGAAGCGCAAGTAGGGTGACTTGCTCCCTTTGTTCCAGCTAACCCTAAGATGTTCGACCGTGATGTTGCCGCGGACCTTGCGCACCTTCTCATCGGCCTTTTCGGCGGCGACGAGATAGAAGAGCGAAAATATTATGCTGGCCAGGTCCCGTAAGGTCTTATTGCTGATCTTCATAGCCGTCCAAAAGCCGGCATCTAGGGCAGTGAGGACCCATGTCGCACGGAAATAGGTGGCATCGTACATGTTCGCTAGAGGATCGGGGCTCGCGAGTCCGACGAGGGTGCTGAAGTTGCGCGCAGCGTAGAGGTATATCATGGTCAAGACGACGGTCTGCCATGCTGTCAGGTGCTTCGAGAGCAATCGTGACAGGGAGCGCAGCCATGGGGGGCCATGTCTATTGCCTCTGATGCTGCTGTTAGCCGGCGGTATCAGCCAGAGGAGAAGTATTGGGATAGGGGCATACTTGAACACATATGCGGACCAGAATCCCAGCACTGCGAGGACTTGCAGCCGGCGCGACTTTACAGACGGCCGGCCCAGCAGATGGTCGATCATCCCAGCGACCTTCGCCCCTGGAATTCGTCCACAGCGGGAGCACGACTACTAAAGATTATCCGGTTGGCGCTCAGTTATTGCCGTCGAGTAGAAGTATTTGTGTAAGTGTTACCGGCCGTTGGTGGGTGTAGCGTTGGGGATCCGGCTCAGGGGAACGGGGGCGTTGGCATTGATATTGGACGTCTCGTACGCAGGATAAAGCGTACCCCAATTGCGAATATAGATAATCAGCTATAAGGCTGAAAGAAGTTGGACGGAAGCCGAACACGGTCGAGTTGCGAGACGGTCAACGAGAAAAGCAGAGGGACAGAAAGGGAGAGAGAGGCAGGTGATTTGAGAAAACGCGGAATCCATCTTGGGGCCAACAAGGCCACATGGCAAGGAGTGGACATCCTCCGGGGTATTGCGGTGTTCCAGGCACGAATCATGGTTGTCACGGGGCTGTCAGTCTCTGACATGTGAAGACGAGGGATGTTGGTGGAGAACAAAAGACGGTCATCAGTCCGCTTCTCTTACAGCGGGTGAGCTGTGAACGTTAGCGGGAGAGTGTGGGGCAAGCGCGGGGGAATGGTAACGTACCCCGCTAGGCGCTGAAGATCCGGTGCATTTAAGGTACTGTACGGTACTGTACATACATAGATGTACAGTAAGTGGGTGATTACCAGCTTAACTTGGTTTCCCTTAGCTTGCCTTCTTCGTAGCAGCCCGTTTCATGATACGGTGCTCCGTACAACACACTAATAGAACTCAGTCGAAAGACAGTTGCGTATGGGCGCTATTAGCACCTGAATGCACGGAGTACTTTTAGCAATGAATGCACGCATCAGGAACGCGGGGATTGTCCATTTGGCTGAGACAGCCCAAACTGGCTGGATCCACCAAGGAACGCCAATCAGCCCCAAACAGTATCGGCAACAGTGGGCTTGCGATAATTACAGATCACTGCACCGCTGACTACTTCGTACATTCGCGTCTCTTAGTAAACCTGAAAAGTTGAAGGTGCCTTGGTCTCTGGACGGTACTGCAATCCTCTCCTACCCGAAGCACGATGCCGTCCGCATACGTTGGCAGGTAGGGTAACGTTTGCTTGCTGGCTGGTCCCTGCTGCCGACCGTTAGGATTGTCTCTCATTCAGTGGCCGACAGGACGGCGAGAGGTTCATATACGGTCATACTTATACTGCCCCTCGGAGCACTCTCAACGATAACTTAGGCAGCCCTGAGGTGGTCATTTAGGTACCTATCAACATCGCCCAGTCCATTAAATACATTATCATTCATCATGGCAAGCGTCCATCTAGGCCCTTCTACCCGTTCGGCAAACACTGGATCACGTCAGTAACCCAATGATTGACATTACACGGTAACAAGCACTTTCCCCATCGGAAGGCTGGCCCATTAACCACTTAAAGATCATCGCAGTAGTCCAACGTGGTGGTGACCGTCACCGTGGGCGTCGGCGCCGTCGTCACGGACCCGGTAACACCGAAGCACGAGCAGGCCGAGATGAACTCCTCCGCGTTGGCACAGTTGGCCGCGAACTCGGGGATCGAGCTCGGCACGACGGTCACCTGCCTACCCTCGAGCTCGCGCTTGGCCGGTGTGGCGGTCGGCGTGAAAGTCTCGTCGTCGACGGTGACGGTGACAGTGCTAATGGATAAAAAACTCGCGTTAGCAAATCCGCATGGCCTAGCAACGAAAAAGACATGGGAAGTTGCTTACGTCGCTGCCGGAGTCACCGTTGTGAGCAGGAAGCTCGAGCAGGAAGCGGACCGCTCCGTCAGGGGAAGCAGGCCGTCCCGGGTACCTGTCACAGCGCGGTTGCTGAGGACAATGTCAGCCAAAAGTGTTCTTTCGAGGACGACTTCGAGAGGGTTATGAAGCGCAAGTGGTGTGTTCGAAGGGCATGTTCATATTCCGACCCCCCAGACACGGATGAAGGGCGGTAGAGCCTTCTAGTTGCACATACCAGTTGTTACCATGGCAACCTTCGCGAACCTCCAGCACGGCGGCGACCGCCAGCGAGACGAAAGACAGGGCAGCGACGAGCTTCATGTTGGCGGTTCAGGATGTTTTGGACGGTGCTGAAGCCTTTGGCCGACAGTTGTTTGCAGTTCCCAACGGTGACGAGGAGTGGCAGGGACGAGAGAGTGTGGGTTGGCCCAGTATCTATCCCTCTTATACGGGCCCGGTTGCATGGGCTGGACCTGCAGCTCCAGGAACACGTGCCCGAGCCGCCGGCTCGCTAGACTCGAGCTGGCGGCCCATTTCCGTGTCCTGCCTATTGAAGGATAGGGCCCATCAGTGCGCCTGAGTGAGACCCGGTTAGCCCGCGGTGAGGCTATCGCTACAGAGCATTGGGGCTGGGGGTGTGCCTGGGATCCCGGCTACCTACCTAACCCGATTCTGTTCCGGACAAGCGTCGCTTGTAAAGCCGGTGGATTCGCCCCCTCCCAACGTCCACGCTTGGCAGACCGGGCCAATAATCCTATCCAACCCAGACAGAACGTGCTGTCCTAGGAAAGTCGTAGGCAGAACCTAGGGTGAGCCGACCTGTCGGAGATATTTGGAATACCCCGGCGCCCTGCTAAATAGCCTGCATTGTGTGCCTGTCGATCAGCAAGCAGCAATCTACGACTTGCATCTTCCCGCTACAACAAGTGCTGCTTTATCGATTGATATGTCACGTATTTGCATGCCAGCAACCGCAATTCGATCTGAAGGCTATACAAACACACATCATGCTGATGAAACAGAATCTACGGAGCAACAAGCTCGATGGTCGTGGTCAAAGCTCAATCAGAGGAACACGTTTTGCAGACGGAGCTGACGGCCCCGTGGCCCTGAAAACCCAGGCTCCAATGCAACGCTGGAGACGCAAACTCGCTCTGGCCATTTGCTTGGCCATGTAACCCTTGCACTTCGTAAGCTCTGAAGGTCTGCCATCCGGGCAGCATGGCAGCGCTGCACTGACGTCTGCTAGGTATCTTGTCTATCAATCCAGGTGTTTGGAATGGTCAAGCTAAATACCTGTACTTATCGTGCTGAGGCAGAAATGCAGATACTGGTGGATTCCGTCTCTGTAGAGTGACAGAACACCAGCGCAAGGTGGAAGGAGGCAACCGATAACGAACCCACCCTAGTGCGTCGGCGCGATTCTTCCCCGTCCTTCCTCTCCGGATCTCGGTGTCCCAGAGCACGACAGGCTCTAGCGACTCTAGCCCCGCCACATTCTGCAGCCTTTCCCTTTTTGCGGGGTCCTTCCGTCGTAAGCTCGTCAATCTGTCAACTGACAAGCGGGAAGGTGCGCAGCTGTGTATACACGGAGGTAAGAGTCGACGACAACTAAAAATACCTATGTATACGCATTCGTAGGCCGGAGTTCGATTGACCGCGATTTACTCGACGAAGCAAGGCGCGGAGTATCGGCACGAAACCGAGGGACAAGAAGCTGATAGCATTGTTGCCCTGGGAGAAAAGATAATCATACAATACCCAAGCCGCTGGTACCCTAAACCGCCTCCGTAAGAGACAACACAATCCTTCGTACTACAATGGATCAAGATACGCGCGGAACCACTAGAGTAGCCCTTTCAACCAAAGCCTTTCCTTTGCATGTATCATACCAGCGAATCGACCGGGTATATATGTTTCCTAGTCAAGTCCAATGAACCTTTGAAGGGGAAGCCAGTCCAAATGCATCACCCCCTTCCGCGCGACATTAGGGCTGGGAGACCCCATCACACCCCCTATCGTCCCCAAACAAGAGCGTAAGCCATCAATAAATTGCGTGTTGCCCTCCAAGCAAAGCGTTCGACTCCTTTTCCTCATATCCGTGCCTTGCATATGCGAACCACCCCGGCCGGGGCCCCTTTTTGAACAATGCTCATGATGGTCATCTCGTACGAGAAGCTTGAGAGGATGAAAGATGGGGAATATCAGAATGAAACAAAGAAGCGCGCTCCGAACAAACTGAGTCCGAACCAATACACTCCAATTGAACGGGTCCCGAGGGAGGAATCAAGACCAGCTGTTCCGTTTTCCTGAGAATATCTGGCCAGTCAGGCAGAATCGAGAGTGTGGGTATTCGTAAGCTGCGAAAAAGACAAAAAAAGCTGCAACGAACTCCAGGAAGAGATAAAGAAAACCCCTGGCCTAAGCCATCACCTCATGGCTGCTCCCTGGACGACGACTGCGGCGGTTGCGGCGGCAGTGGCAACTGCGGCTTGTAGCCCGGCACGACGGGCGAGCTCACGTCACACTCCACATCGAGCCCAGCAGCCGTCTGTCCAGCTTGCTGATTCCTCCGCCCGTAATACCCATGCATCTCGGCGGCCTCATCGAGGGGCGTCAGTCCGAGACCCACCCCGGGCGAGGTGGACGGGCCGGGACTTGTAATCCCACCTTCGGCAACACCCCTACTATCACTCCGTTTCCTGACATGGCCGAACCATCCGGAGCCGCCGCCGGCATGGCCGCGGACACTAGCAGCGCTGCTGGACCTGCTCCTGGGATCCTCCTGTTCGGTTGTCGCGCTGGGCAGCTCCGCATACCCGCCCGAGGCATCCAGTTCCGAGACAAGCGGGCTGTAGATGTTGGCGTTGGCGCCGTTATCGCTGCCGTCGGCCGACAGCTCGCTCGCGCCGCTCTGCTGCCGCCAGTGGGTAGGGCGGTAGGCATAGCCGGCGTACAGCTGCTGCTGCTGGCCGTTGCTGTCGCTGTCGCTGCGCATCCGTGCGGCCGTCATGGGAGTTGGCTGCTGGTGGTGCATGCCGCCGGGCATGTTGTGCACTCGTTCGGGGATGTGGTCAAAGTAGCCGGCGCTGGAGTCCGGACTGGCGTGGCGGGAGCGGCCGTTGGGAGCGTAGCCGGCCGAGTCGGAGCGGCTGCGTGTTGCTTCCGGCTGAGGCGTGGCTGCGCCGCTAATGCTGGTGTTGGTCGCATGCATTAGGGGATCGATGCTCGTTTCGTCGGTCGGGGAATGGAGGTGGCGGCCGTATTCCTCCATTTGTGCTTGTGACTGCGACTTGGATTTCTTCCCGCTCGAGGAGCCTTTCCTGGACTCCATCACCTCCTCGACGCGCTTCAGCCGCCGGATGATGAAAAACGCAGCGATGACAACTGCGATCAACAGAATGACCACGGCGGCTATAATGCCTCCCAATGCCCCGCTGCTCAGACCGCCACCGCCGTCGGGCGAAGGACTCGCCGAGACCTTGGGGACAGAGGTCGGTATGAATTTCGCAATAACATTAGGATCCTCGGTTGCCGGAAGGGCAGAAGGAGGCGTGGGGGTGACGACGGTTACGGTTGTCCGTGTCTGCGTTACCAATTGTTCGTCGGATGTGGTCGTGATAGTTTGGATGACAGTGTTGGTCACCGGGGCCGTCGAATAGCACGCGTCGCGAGCGCATCCCATCCCACTCATACAGCATCCGTAGTTGACTGAGGAGGGGCAAAGAAAGTAATTGAGCGGGCATTCAGTATTTGTGATCGTGGCGCCCGCGGGAGGGATGCATTGGTTCCTCGTCCCGCACACGTAGCCAACTGGACAGCAGCCCCCTGAACCGGTTTCCTAGAGTCAACCCGGCTGAAGAATATATGATGCACGACGTGAATAACTCACCTCCCTCTGAGAATGCGCAAGGATAATATCCTACCCTCCCGCATGCCGAGGTCGGCCCGGCTGTTGTCGCATAGCATGAATCCGTCGCACACGCATACCCAGCAGGACAACAGTCGCCGCTCAATGATGCTGGACACAAACTATGCGCTGTCGGGCAAGCGCCCTCGTCCCTCCGCGCCGGGTGCGCCGGGTGCGCCGTCACCTGGGCCTTCGCAATCCGGTGAAGCTCATCTTTCCTTTGCCGCCCCGCGTGCGCCGCCGCCACGTCGTTCCCTATGCAGGCGAAACGGAGCAGCACGACACACGACGAGCAGGACCAGATGCTGCGCATGGCTATCTCGAATGTTGGCGGACAAGGCCGCTTATCGCCCCTTATCTGTGAACCGGTGATGCGCTCAATCTGGAATTGGATCGGCGGGGTTCGGCGGGTGATGTGCAAGCGTCACCGTAGCGCCGTCGAGGGAGCTGTTGCACAATGTATACCACGTAGCGGCGCAGGTGGCAGTACCTCTTGCCCGTTCGTCGAGTGTCCGGTTCAGGCCAAATTGGATTTGAATTGGGTAGGGAGTCCTTTTTGTCGGCCAAAGGCTGAGCAATGCAATGCGCCACTTTCGGGAGTTCGAGCTTGGCCCGCCGGCCGGAGGGGTGAGCTGTCAGCTACGGTGTTGTCTGCGAGACGGAAAGCGCAGTGAGTATAGGGCTGAGACAGGAGCTGTGAATGCAGCCGAGTTATCAGAGCAGCACGCGGTAGGTTCTTGACACTGATCAGGCGGGCCCAGTTGATGAAACGGTGAACCGAGCTTGTCGAAAGTCGAAAGCTAAGCAGAGGACAACCTGGACGGGAAAATTGACGGCAACGTACCTACACTAGTGTAAACTCGGGGTAAGCAGCCCTCGAGGCTTTCCAGGTGTCCTCGCAGAGGATGCATCCCACGGCCCCAACCCCTTTACGTTGGCTTGCAGCAAGCCCTCAATTTTCTTGGGTTCGCGGAGGCAGCGGAGGCTACGGGGCGTCCACTCGGCCTCTGTTTGCGGGCTCGGTGGCGCCCGACTGCCACCAAGGAGGTGTGGATGGCTGGTGTCGACACAAAGCTCCGCTTGGGCCGTGATTGGCTGGTTCGATGAGGCCATCGACGCACGGCAGATCCCGAAAAGCAAAGGATGACTGTGGCATACGAGGCTTGGGGGAACGGGGGGCTCGTGACACTCTGTGCTTATCCTGCGCTAATTCCTTCTCCATAACGAAAGGTAGGTAGGTATTTTCAGTTTCCGCTGACTGCTCGGTTCGTTCTAGCACCAATGTCCAACCGGCAGCGGGAGAATGCTCGAAGGAGAGTTGGCTGCAGGACTGGGGCGGGGTAAGGTTCCATAGTGGCCCGTCATGTTAATGATGAACTGCACTGCACTTGAGATGGTCCTCTATCTCGGGACAGCGGCCGCACCGGTCCTATAAATGGGGTACGTGATGGATGCTGTGATATCCTCAAGTTAACTCCCGGCTGACAGTATATGTACTTGTACAGCACGGCTGGCGATGGCCAATGGGCCGGAGAGATGTAAGCGCTTACCTCCCAAACTTCATGCAGTACGGAGTACCTCTCCTCTGGTGTCATCGAGGCTTGGATTCCAATTATGGTCCCTGGGACGGGCTGGAATCAGACATCTCGAGTCTTCGGGCCGAAGTTGGCGCTCTCGGAGCCATCACAGCAGATTTCATGCCGTGAATGGCGTCAGAATGAATACCTTTGCAGTTGGTTTCATAGCCGAAAAAACTGAAAACTGCCGTTCTGCGAAGTTATGTAGCTAAGAACTCAGCTGACAGACAGCTGGCATCTGAAATGTTGGAATTGCAAAGCGGGTCAACTGCCTAAGGTAATTGTCCATATCTCCTTAACATTTTTGCCCTCGTCGTCAAAAGTTAGACTTCTGAAAAACCACTACCAGTCACCGTTTTCGAGAATAGCGGGCACCCGTTGGCGCAGTCAGGTTTTGTATGCAACAATCATCAACTCTACTACCCGGTCGTCCTATATATGTATCTGGAGGACAGCGCCCAGCTACCACTCGGCCGCGAGCATGACTCTCTACATGCAAGCACAACCAGCCGAAACTGCCGACCTGAGAGTTGGCCATCTGCTTAGCAGCCTTAGCTTACCTACAGCTCGTCCGTGGGTTTCGCGACATACTTCTCCCGAGGCTACTTCTGGATGATGATTTCTCCGTGCATCATGGCCAAGCTCGCTTCCTCGTTGACGGCCCACTCCTCCCAAGCCTTGACCATTTCATCCAGGTCATTCTCCGTGACAAGCCGGGCTTTGAGCCCTCCCTCACGCAGCCGTCCAGCTTTGATCCGGTCCACCATGGCTTGTGCTGTGCAAGTTTAGTCCTTATACCGGTTTACCTAAGGTTTGGATCGGAGGAGAGGGGGATATTTGAGACTCACACCACGTCTTCTTGTCATCGGCCGTGTCGTACCACCACGTGCCGTAACTGAGCTTGACATGGTCCCTCGAGGCGCCCGCTTTCAGCGCCCACGAGAGCAGCTGTCGTCCCCCGATCGGACTCCCTCCTGCGAGCTTCATCATGTTCGAGATGAACTTGTGAAAGCTAAGCAGTCCCGGCAGCTCCGGCCAGACGCATTCTGTTTCCAGATCGCCCTCGCGAGCGGCGACGATGCCGCCCGGCTTCGTCACTCGAAGCATCTCGCGCAGTGCATCCCACGGCGCTTTCAGATGTGTCAGGACTTGATGGCAGTGGGTCACGTCGAAGTGGGCATCGGGGAATGGCAGTTTGAAGACATCGCCCTGTTGGAACTCGACGTTCTTGACCCCTGCCTGCTCGGCAACGGCCCGAGCTCGGGGCAGGATCTCGGGGTTTAGGTCGACGCCGGTGACATGGCCGTCGGAGATGAATTTGGCGAACGTTACCGAGATGGTGCCGGAGCCGGAGCCTACGTCCAAGAGTTTTAAGTTGGGGTTGGCATCTTTCATGGACTGCAGCTTGGCCAACACGTAACCGGCGCTGTTCTCGGCAGTCCGAAGCTCGTGGTGGATGGCCTGCGGGGCCGGCTGTTCGGGCTTCTGACCGGCCTGCTCCATGACTTCGAGAGATGTTGCTGAACGAAACGGATGGATGCAAACCAAGAACACAGTGGTGTTGGAATCCACTCAGAAAAGAACACAACGGCTGTCCTTTAAGCCGGAGTAACCGGTAAGTAAATACGAAAGGCGAGCAGCTCCAGTTAAAGAGATTCAGCATTTACCAGGTAGTTGACTGTCTGGCTGTCTTGAGGGCGCAGCAGCCCCGCGCCCAAGCTATTATACCGGCAATATACACCTGCAAGCTGTTTGCTGGCGGCACAGCAGTAGCTGGGACGCTGTCAAACCTACGCACAAAAATCCTGAGGACTGTAAGGCTCTAGAAGGGTACTCATAGGTAGGTACCTACAGGTTAGAGATGGGGTAGGTACCTCGTGGCTGACTTATGACCCTTCCCTCACCTCACCCCACCACAGCGGCAGTGCCCTGTCCGCTGCAACACAATGGACAGTGCGTGTCCTCGCCTGACCTCTTTACTCTACTGCAGATACGCTCACGTACTGCAGGTAACTTACATCTGATCGTCCGGCGTTTCCTCCCATGTCACCTTATCTGCAACCCAGGGGTACCTTCACGTTGGACGGGCTGGGGTCCGTTCCACCGGGCTCTTACAAGTACAGATTAGATACTTACCTACCCTAGACCACCGAGATGGCCACACGTCAAGTTGAAGCTGGTACACTTAGTCCAACCTCACTCAAGAGACAGCCACAAGTGTGAGCTCTGCTCTCAAAGGCTCAGGCCATGGAATCCATCAACGGCTTGGTTGAGCCGGTGCGATGGCTGTCTGAAGGCTCGCTTAAGCCCCCTGCTATTGCCTCATTCACTTTATTGGTCGCTTTCTTGGTCTTCACCACGCAACGGAGGACGCCCCCAAGCCTGTTTGACCCCTTTCCGCTCTTCTTCAATACGGTCCAGTTTATTTTTTACAATGCCCGGTTTATGACACGCGTCTCGTAAGATTCACTTTAACGACTTTCCGGTTCCCATGAGCATGGAGTATTTAACTGACCTCTTTTCGCAGGAAGGCATTGAACAAGTCGAGCATCGTTGGGTTTCGTCTATTCACCACACCGGTTTACATAGTGTCTGGGCCCGAGGACATTCAGGCCATCTTTTCCCGCTCCCACAGCATCGGCAGTGAGGATATTTTCGAGAAAAATGTCTTCCCTGTCTTGTACGGCATGACCAAGGACGAAGCTCGACGCTTCGCCGAGGACAAGACGGGTCGTCGTCGGCAGCCTGCGCCTGGGACGGAGCACGTTCCGATAGAGCGCCGATACTGGTTCGGATACGACCACGTCCATTCCGAGTACCTTGGAAGACCTCAGCATCTGCGACCTATTGCTGACGCCTATTACAAGCGCCTTTCCCAGTCGCTAGACAAGTGGTACGCGCTTGACAAGTGGACGACGGTCAGCGTCACTGAATTCTGCAGACACCAAGTTGCCGAGTGCGCTATCGTGGCATTGTTTGGACCGCGCATCCTGGAGCTTAGCCCGGAGTTGATCGACGCATTTTGGGAGTTTGACAGCAACATCTTTGCGTTGACGGTGGCCCTGCCTAGGTGGCTCACTCCTAAAGCGTACAGGGCACAGGATCGTTACTACGGTATGATCCGCACGTACGTGGATGCAGCTCGGAAGAACTTTGACTGGAATGGGCCGGCTGCTGAAGCTGGCTGGGAGCCCGAATTTGGTGCCCGGGTCACTCGAGAGCTTGTTAAGTGGCTCAAGGAGGCCGGGTTCCGTGACGAGGTTGCTACCGGAGCGCTGGGGATGCTCTTGTTTGCGTAAGTACTACTACGTCACAAAGTAGTGTCTTTCCTCTCAGTCAGCCTTAGCTAAAACGTTTGAGCAGGCTCAATTCCAATGCTGTTCCTACGACAATGTGGATGATTATCAGGATTGTCGAGGATCCATCCCTCCTGCAAGCCATTCGAGAAGAGGTAACTACCGCATACGTGACGGATGCGAAGACCGGCTCAAGCACCCTAGACCTCGACAAGCTCGTGGCTCTGCCGCTGCTTCAGTCTGTCTTCACGGAGGTGCTCCGGCTATACATGAACTTCAACCTGATCCGTTTTGTACACGAGCCTGTCACCATGCAAGGGTTCACGCTGTCCAGAGGATGTATGCTGCAGGCACCAATGTCCATACATCACCGTGATGGAGCAGTCTGGGACCGGAAGGGCCATTCTGCTTCAGAGTTCTGGGCTGAGAGGCACATTAAGCACATTGAGGAGACGGACGAGACTGGAAGAATCACGCGGAAGCGTGTCTTCGCGGCCGCGGCACGCCCGAGCTCATATTATCCATTTGGTATGGTTGATCTTGGATCCGACTTAAACGTCTTGAGGCCTGGTTATACTGACGCAATGGTCTTCTGTAGGTGGGGGACATGAGATGTGCCCCGGTCGCCGGTTCTCCAAATATGAGATTTTTACCACCGTTGCGTTGTTGGTTCTAAAGTTCGATCTTGAAGTTATCGGATGGGTTAAGCCAGACGGAACCCCGTCGGATCGACCGGCCAGACCTGATGATCGTTATTCTGGAGTCGGGGCTATGCCTCCAGATCGTGATCTGACAATACGATGGAAACGAACTTCATGAAGTTTTGGGATCTTATGGAGCGATGAGGAAGCGTCAGGTCCGAATTTCAAAGTCTACATTCGATCTTAAAACGCTCAACTTACATCCTAATGTTACACCTTTTCATCTCGCCTCGTTCGCCACTCCTCCCGGCATCATCATCGCTTACACAGCCTCCCTCTCCCATCAATAAACGACCCGTCACTCCCAACAGAGAAATTTCCCCACAATAAACTGTCCGGATCGTACTTTTTCTTAATGCTCAAAAGCCGGTCATAGTTGGTCCCATATAAACTGCGTTTCCAATCCCCTTTGTACCATGGATCCATTTCATTGGCATATACCCCGCCCCCGGGCGTGGCCGCCTCGATCTTGGGCATGTGCACCTCGACCAGCTCCTTTTTCAGAGCGTGGTTCACCTCTATGGGCGCCGTGAAGTTCCAGAAGCCGTTGACGTTGCACGACGTCGCGGTATCCCGCCAAGCAGGCAACACGGCGTTGGGCGGGTGCGGCGTTCTGGAAACGTCCATTATCGAGCAGCCCAGGATAAAGCGCCCTTGACTTACGGTTCCCCGGAATGCATCAATTAACTTTGCTGTCGCGTTGGGGGAGTCGGATACGGAGCGGGGGATGATCCGATTGTTGAGGATCGTGGTTGGATTCTCGGGGTAGGCGCCGAAGTACACCTGGAAATGATCGTGGTATGTTGGGGCATGGCTTGTTGTGAGAGAGTAGGCTATGTTGAGCCGGTCGAGGTGGGCGAGATAGGGTGATAGGAGAGATTGTACGGCTGACTCGGGCTGGTCCGGGAGAGTCATGGCCATGGCTTGGAAGCCATCGCTGCTGATGAGGTAGATGATTGTGTTGTTCTGCCCGACTAGACGGCTTGCCTGCTGGATCCAGAGGGAAACGGCTTCCCAAAACTTGTCTGGATTGGAATTGGGAAACGAAAGGGAGCCGCCAGCAATGGGGCCGTCTGGGTGAATCTTGGCTGTCATGCTGAGGACTACGCCGAAGGCACCTGGGCTCCCGCCACTGAGGGCCCAATAGAGATCGCTATTTTGCTCTGGAGTGGCAATGAGGTACTCGCCCGTCGCCGTGACAACTTCCCATTCCAGAACCTGATCCGCCGCCATGCCGTAAGCCGTGTTCAGCATTGAGTGGCCCCCGCCCTGAGTGTACCCGCCCGCGACGGCGATGGTCAGACATTCACCGGCTACCAGGCGATAGCCCGCGTCCCGAGCGGCCGTCACGCCATCTCCGACAAGTACGCCTGCTCCGAGCTTAATAGCCGGCCCGGAATACGAACGGGATCTGTATTGAGGGATGAGGATCTTGCTTTTGAGGTTCCACATCCAGAGTGAGAGCGACCCCTGGCCGCTCGACTTTCCGGTGTAGCTGCACGGTGATTGCTTGTCAGTCCATGCTAAGGTTCCAGTCGTCGCCTTGGGGAGCAGGCCACTCACTCATGGCCGGTAGTCTTGATGACTAGCCGTATATTGTTCTTACGAGCAAATCCGATGGCGGCCTTGACATCCTGGGCGCCCGAGACGTTGACAGAGTACACTGCATAGTTGCCAAGCTCACAAGGCCTGGTGGATGGTGTGAAGGGGTCGCAGGATTGGTTCTGATAGAAAGCGTTGACGATCTCTGCGGGATGCGATCCGCTGCATCACAAGCTCAACAAAATGATGGATGGCTGATCAGCATCATGAAGAATGGAAGATTATACACGGAAATAAGCCGCCTTATTGGCCACAGTGAATACATACAAGATGCCTGCCGTGTTCCACCGAGCTCGCAGGGCTTCGCATGCCGTCGCGTCGTAGTTGGAAAATGGGGAGGTGTGACAGACGCTGGCCTGGGGAATGGTTGCAATCAGCCGGCCACCAATGGTGTCGTTGAACGAGCTCCAGGCTGCCGGAGAAGGCCAACCACGGTCACCCGGTATGTTTCTGCACGAAGTTGCAGTGACGGTTGCCGCCAGGACTGTGATTGCTGCAAAAACGAGGCCTGTCTGGAGTTTGGGAAAGAGCGACTGATAGGCCATCTCAACATGGAAGGGACCAGCGTCCACTGTCAAGGACTATTGGCGGACACTACTACCTGTACGCTTCTCTAAGAGCTTACCAGACTCCCTCCGTAACACGTCCGTCTATGCTAGATAAAGCAGATAGATATAGAATTTTCAAGAGGATTCAGCTCAAGGCAACTTTCATTCTGACTTATTTCCTCGGTAGGGGGTGGAGGCAGATGCTTTCCTCCGAGTCCCCAAGCTACCTACCTAGACAGCTAAGGCCCAGCTTACCTTGGCTGTAATAGCTAAGATGACCCAAGTGTCCTCGCCGCAATGCAAATTAGGCAGGCAAGACTATTGACGTTCGCGCATGGAGGAGCTCACTGCTGTCTGGGGTGAATGGGGCGCGAAATGCAGTGATATGGTTTGGGCGTTGACGGATGATGTTCCTACGAACGTTAGCCTAGGTTATTTTAGTACTAGTGCGTGGCGTTACGGTAAGGTTACGTGCCGTTGTACGGCCACAATAAATTACGGTACTAGTGCTTCCTAGTCGTCCATTACCACAGTAAATGTGTACTGTGCGCTGCTAGTACTACTAGTAGTTCGTGTAGTAGCTGTAATTACATACCTGTTACATCGCGCAGTGGGTGGGACTTCAAGTTGTAGTGTAAACGCCAACCTCGTTTCTCCGCAATCCACACTTGCGTCCGACAGGGCTGGTTTTGAAGCTTATCCGAACATCTACTTATTGATTGCTGGATACTGGTGAGATGATGGCAATGGTTCCTAATCCCCAAACCGACGGTACACTGCGTCGGGCTGCTGGAATATGATTACCCGAACCATGGGTTTCGCTGTTCCATCGAGAATCCAGCAATCAAATTAATTGGCATCCCGGCCTGCCGAAGGACGGCGCGGGGTTGTATGGCAACATCCATATCTTGTTGCATGATGCAGGAGTCACTGCCCGGACTAGGCACCCAACGTCTGTTTTCTGCCACACTGTTTTGCTACTGCTAATAATCACTGGAGACAATGGACAGGAGCGCGGGTCTTGATGATTGCAACGGAACTGCTCACGCCTTGCTCGTCTAAGTAGTTCGGTGTGCGGGTGTAGTTTTGTAAGCGATGCTTCTTCTGCCCCGAGGACATCTACAACAACGACAGCCACAGCAACAACAGTAACAAGCAATACTATCGGCAGCTGCCTGTTTGACTCTCCTAAACCATCCTTCGTTGATCTACTATGGCGCCCGGCCAGTCCTTCCAGAGCGCCTGGACGCAATTCTTCCCTCCCAAGCCGGCATTCACCGACAGAGATGTTCCATCCGATCTGGGTGGAAAGGTCTACCTAGTCACGGGCGCAAACAGTGGCATGGGCAAGGAGCTTGCCCGTGTGCTGTACGCCAAGCACGCAAAGGTCTACGTCGCCTGTCGTTCCGAGGAAAAAGCCACCAAGGCCATCGCAGCCATCAAGAAGGCCGCTCCAAAGTCAAGGGGCCAGCTCGTTTTCATCTCGCTGGACCTGGCCGACTTGACCAAAGTCAAAGCAGCCGCCGAGAGCTTCCTCGCTCAGGAATCTAAGCTGCACGTACTCTTCAACAATGCCGGTGTCATGGTTGGGCCAGCCGACCCGATACCCAAGACAGTCCAGGGATACGAACTGGCCTTGGGCGTCAACTGCGTCGGCACCTTTCTGCTCACCAAGCTCTTGACTCCGACGTTGGTCGCGACGGCCAAGACGGAGCCCGCCAACACGGTCCGCGTTGTGTGGCTTTCGTCGTTTGGACTCGGGCAGTTTGCCCCGCAGGACCGCGGCATTGACATGGATAATCTCGACTACCACGTCGAGAAACCGCATGTGGACAGGTATGGCATCAGCAAGTGCGGCGACTGGTTGCTGGGCGTTGAGTTTGCGCGGCGGCACAAGAAGGACGGCATTGTCAGCGTGCCTATCAACCCGGGCAATGTGCGGACCGCACTTGCGAGGGACCAGACCATAGGGCTGAAGGTCGTTGCACACGCCATTGTGTATCCCATTATCAACGGGGTGTACACCCAGCTGTTTGCGGCGTTCTCACCCGAAGTGACAATTGACAAGGCAGATTGGACGAAGGACTGGAGTGAGTGTCCATTTGCGTTGCTGGGCCGCAAAATGAGAGAGAAAGAGAGAGTTGCTGACCACGCTCGCTGCAGTCATACCATGGGGGAGATTCGCTCCGCTTCGCCCGGATCTGCCCAAGGCAACCAAGCCGGAGGAGGAAGGTGGGAATGGGAATACGCAGGCCTTTTGGAATTGGAACGAGGAGCAGGTCAAAGCTTACCTCTGACCTGCCGTACAGCTACCGAAATCTTGCACGAATACGATGTGTGACGGCCTATGCAAATCGCCCTGTTTCCTGGGCTCGATTCGCCAATGTCTCGGAACGGAGGGTCCTGTATGATTGCGGGGTTGTTCAGTCGCTACGCAAGGATACCAACCATGATTCAATCTGTGAACATGATTGTAGGTAGCGAATCGCAGCGGGGGAGCATGGCGCAGGCGTGCGGCGCCGTCACCGAGCGGCGGACGTTGAGATGCTGGTTCGGCTCGGTACTGTTTGTGCCTCATGCACGGTTGTAGCCGCCCGTGGGAACTCCTGACCGAAGGGGGGGATTGCGTAAGTCGGCTTGGGACTTTCGGTCCCGGGTTTTTCACCTAATACAGTGCCTCATCTCGGGGCTACGTACCGAGATGATAGTGTTAGTGCCGCAGCGTCGCTTGCCAGCTGGAGATAAGACGTTCCACAGCCGAACCAGAGTCTCAGATGACGGCGGAGGATTCTCCGCCGCTCCGGGTTCCCTGATCTTATAGTTTATCTGCTACAGGCGTTGCCGAGAGTCAGCAGCAGAAGCAGCAGCGCCATGTCACTCCCAAAATTGCAAACGGCGGTTGTTCAGTCCCCAGCGCTGCCGGCGTCGTCTCCGGCCGACGAGAGTCTTCCTCTGGCCGTGTCCGACTCGGTTCCAATTCCAGTCCTGCCCTCCTCTCACCATGTCCTTGTCCGTGTCCTGGCAGTGGCATTGAATCCCACTGACTTCAAAATGGTGACCTACTTTCCGCGACCTTTCCACGGGGATACGCCTGCCCTGCCCATTGGGTGCGACTTTTGCGGCGTCGTCGAAGACGGCTCGGAAAGTGCTCTTCGATCCTTCCCAGTCGGGACCCGAGTCTGCGGTGGGCTGTTCCCATATGGGCATGCTGACAAGGGTTCCAACGCTGTCAGTGGCGCATTTGCACAATGGGTTGCCGCCGACGCAAACCAATTGCTACGGGTGCCTGATGGGTGGGACGACCTCCAGGGTGCTGCTGTGGGGGGCATCTGCTGGGGCACCTGCGTGCTGGCTTTGTTTGAGGATCCCGAGGCCCTTGCACTGCCGGGCCGCCCGAGCAAGCCTGAGGAGAAGGGCAGGCCGGTTGTGGTGTATGGGGGTGCTACGGCCACAGGAACTATGGCGTGCCAGCTGCTGAAGCTGTGAGTTCAAGACCCCTCTCTCTTCCTTCACTGTCGACCCACAATACCTGCTGTGTTACCCGCCTACCTTCCTTGGCCTGTGAAGGACCTCTGATGAAGGAGCCAGTCATGGAATAGTTTTGGGGTTGTCTCTTTAGCCTGACGTTCCGCATTGCCGCCTGTCTCCCTTTGCCGTGCGGCGCAGAGCCGCACCCTGCTACCCATGGACCGCCGTCTAACCGGCTGTTTTGCCCGCAATTCTAGGTCAGGCCATTACCCAATTGCCGTCTGCTCTGCCTCGTCCACACCGCTAGTGCGCTCATACGGGGCGATTGGCACGGCCGCATATACCTCCCCAACCTGCGCAGAGTCCGTCCGGGCGCTTTCCCCAGATGGGGTCGCCATCCGGCACGCGCTGGACTGCATTACCAGCCCGGAGTCGGTAGCCACCTGCTTCGCGGCGATAGGCCGGGCGGGCGGGCGCTATGCCTGCCTCGAGGCGCTCAACGACGAATGGCGCACTCGCAAGGCTATTCGCACCAAGGAAGTGATGGGATTCGAGGGATTCGGCCTCAGGGTCACACTTGGGCAGGATAAGGGAACCACGTACTCGCGCGAAGCGAACCCGGAACTGTATGCGCGAGGGAACCAGTGGGCTGGCGAGATGCAGGCGGCGCTGGACGGGGGGAAGATCAAGGCTCATCCGGTTCGCGAGGTGCACGGCCGGTGGGAAGGTATCATTGAGGGGCTGGGCATGCTGAGGCGCGGCGAAGTCAGAGGTCAGAAGCTTGTTGTCAGGGTGGGAGATGCGTGATCGCTGTGCCGCGCCGTTGACCTGCCAGTAGCAGTGCCGTGTGCGGTCCGAGCGATCAATTGCCGGCTGATGACTGATACCGTATAAACTCGCGAAACTGGGAAATTAAAGGTGGATATGCCCAGCCCAGCTTTGGCGCATCGAGAGCCCGACAGCCACATCTCGACACATCGAGCCACACTTGCCTGTGTGCTCCCATTGGTGAAATGTCTGGAATTGCGGCTGGGCATATCCACCTTTAATTTCCCAGTTTCGCGAGTTTATACGGTAGCCTATTACTCCGTGCTTGAAAAAAAGAAGATGGGTGTATGTATGTACAGGATTGTACAAGAGTAAGCGCTGAGCCGAGTCTTGCTGAAGGGTTTGTTCCGCAATCGTGAACCAAATTTGGCTTTCTCACGGATCACGGTTACATTGACGGCGAACCCAAATTACCAACAAATTGGATGGCTGGCTGCCTTTCTCGGAATATACGACGTGATTTACAGTACAAGTGTACTGTACGTTACTCTAGCAGTATGTAATCACAGCCTTTCGTCACAAGGCACACAGTGCAAGACATCTACCGTAGTAAACACCGTGAGCGAAGCGGTTGGTGCTTGCAATTTCCAAACAACAACGTCGAGTTTAGTTGCTACAGTGGTTTGTGCATTCGACCGGCGCCTTCCATCCCATCGCACCTTTTACCTCGGCATCAAGGACTACATACACCGCCCTGGAAACTCCTGGAGGGAAAACGGCTATCTTGGGAGCGCTCGCCTTACCATTTCCAGCATTACACATCATCCAGAGATGTCAATTCCAACTTTTTGTCTCGTCAAACATGTCGGCTTTGTCATCGACACCGCCGTCCGGAGCTGCACTGCGCTACATGGCGAGAACAGCTGCGAATCTTAGCCGACTCAGGGTTCAAATGCACCCCCACATCACATCCATTGGTACCTTGAAGAGATGCCTACTCTACCTAACGTGAATCATCCAGGGACACTGCTCAGTGCTCCCGGAGCAAGGCCCGGGTAGCTGGACATATTGCATTGGGACACACAAGTCCCACCCTAATGTGATGAAACCAGCCGAGTGAGAGGCGCGCAGGTGAGAACTCGTCCAAGATTATGTTTCTTGGCGTCTCCCGCACCCGGTGAGAAGTCCTCGTTCCTACATCACAGTGCATCGTGCACGCAGTCCCGGCGTTACGAGGCCTTGGGAATGGATCATTACCCAGGAGGTTGGTGTTCATGCGGGGGCGGCGCAGAGGACTTGACCTGGACTGACTGTAGCCTTGTGGATAGGCTTGTCTGCGGATGTGTTTCTCCCATCTGCCCCAACAGAACCTCATCGTACACTACCGGGGACGGCCCTACTGACGTTGATCCTCTAATTCGGTGAACAAATCGTTCCCCACTAGGGCACTTTCAACGCACTCTCGAGTTGAGGTCCGCTGTGAAGTGGTCAGGCGCGTCATTTTGCGCGTCTTTCTCCTGTGAGAAGCTCAAGGGCCTAAAGATCCTGTTCCATGGCGAACTCTCTGCCTATGGATTTATCCTTCGAAAAAGAGCCCGTGGCCATTGTGGGGAGCGCCTGTCGCTTCGCGGGTGACGCCACTTCTCCCTCGCGGCTTTGGGATCTGTTAAAAAACCCGATAGACCTCCGTCAAGAAATCCCCACCAGCAGATATGATCCGGACGGCTTTTACCATCCAGACGGCTCCTTCCACGGACATAGCAATGTGCGGCACGCCCATTTCCTTGACCAAGACCCGGCCGCATTCGATGCTGCCTTCTTCGGTATCAAGCCGGTCGAGGCAAAGGCTATGGACCCACAGCAAAGACTGCTGCTCGAGGTCGTTTACGAAGGGCTCGAGTCGGCTGGAATCCCCATCTCAAAAATGAAGGGTAGCGATACCGGCGTCTACGTAGGCGTCATGTTCAACGACTACGCCGCCATGATGCTGCGTGATGTGCAGGATTTGCCAACCTATTATGCTACCGGCACGGGGCAGAGCATATTATCGAACCGCATATCCCACTTCTTTGACTTACACGGTCCATCAGTAACCATAGACACGGCATGCAGCTCCAGTCTCGTCGCTGTACATCTTGCCGTGCAAGCTCTCCGGTCAGGCGAGTCGCGGCTGGCGCTGGCTTGCGGCGCCAATCTGATTCTGGGGCCTGAAGGGTTTATCATAGAAAGTAAACTTAACATGCTGTCCCCAGATGGCCGGAGTCGGATGTGGAGCCAGGGGGCCAATGGCTATGCTCGCGGCGAGGGAGTCGGGGTCTTGGTACTGAAAACGCTCAGGGCCGCTCTCGAAGACGGGGACGAGATCGAATGTATTATACGCGAAACCGGTCTCGGTCAAGATGGCGCCACCCCTGGCATCACTATGCCGAGCGCCGCCGCTCAAGAGACACTAATCCGCAACACGTATACGAGAGCGGGATTGGATCTCCTCAATCCGGGCGATCGGCCACAGTACTTTGAGGCCCATGGCACAGGAACCCCAGCAGGTGATCCCGCTGAAGCAGAAGCCATTTACCGAGCATTTTTCACGTCTACGGACGGTGGGCAGCTCCCTAACCCTTTGTCTCTCGGCAGAGGCCACCCACTCTATGTGGGCTCTATCAAGACGGTCCTCGGCCACACCGAAGGTGCCGCTGGAGTTGCTGCCCTAATCAAGACGTCGCTTGTTCTGCAACAAGGTCTCATCCCCCCTAATCTCCTCTTCGACGAACTCAGTCATCGCGTGGCCCCGTTTTACAAGAATGTTGAGATTCTCCGGGACCCAAGACCCTGGCCAACCACCTATGGGGGGCCCAGAAGAGCAAGTGTAAATAGCTTCGGCTTCGGCGGCACGAATGCACACGCGATTCTCGAAAGCCACGACAGCAAGGCGGACCACTTGCCTTCGTCCGTGGCCACGACTTTCACCCCTTTTGTGCTGTCAGCTACTTCTGAGCTCGCCCTCCGTGAAACCATGTCGAATTACGCTACCTGGCTCGACACTATACAAGGAAACCTGGATTTTAACCCTCAGGATTTGGCCTGGACTTTACGGAAACGGCGTTCCGTTTTCCAGTACCGCACTTCCTTCACCGCATCCTCGTTCGCGGAGTTGAGGGACAAAATTCTAGCAAAGCTTAAGGATAAGGAGATCCCCGGAATTGGCACTCGAGCTGTCTCGTCGTCCATTTCCTCGGAAGAACCGTGCGGGCGCATTCTGGGTATCTTCACCGGTCAGGGCGCGCAGTACCCGCGGATGGGAGCAGATCTTATCGAAAATTCCTCGACTGCGCGAGGTATCATCAAACGATTGGAGTCGTATCTCGCCCAGCTACCAGAAGACAGGCCGTCGTGGTCCCTAGAAGCTGAGCTGCTAGCCGACCCTTCGGTTTCCCGGTTGCAGGGGGCGGCTCTGGCCCAGCCCCTTTGCACAGCGTTGCAAATCCTGTTGGTTGACTTGCTCAAACTCGCCGGCCTGCAGTTCTCAGCAGTCGTAGGGCATTCATCTGGTGAAATTGGTGCGGCATACGCGGCGGGATACCTTTCAGCTCGCGATGCTATGCTGATAGCCTACTATCGCGGCCTGCATGCCTCACGGACGGCGGACCTTAGCGGCGCTATGTTGGCCGTAGGTGGATCCATGGACGATATGGCCGATCTGTGTGCGGACGAGGCTTTCGTAGGGCGCGTGGCCGTGGCGGCACACAATTCTTTATCCAGTGTTACCATCTCCGGCGACGAGGACGCTATCGAGGAGCTCGAGCTGGTGCTGGAGGACGAAGGCAAGTTTTATCGGCGGTTGAAGGTGGACAAGGCATACCACTCGCACCACATGATGCCGTGCTTCGATCCATATGTTGATTCCATGAGGCGAGTGGGAATCAAGCCGCTGGAGCGGTCCGGCCCGGATCAACAATGCCCCTGGTTTTCAAGCGTTTACGACGGCCGCGTGGTCGATGGGAACTTGGGATGGGGGTTGAACGGACCGTACTGGGCGGAAAACATGACAAAGCCAGTCCTTTTCTCCGAGGCACTCGGAAATGCTCTCCACGCTAGCTCGTACGATCTGGTCCTCGAAGTTGGCCCTCATCCCGCGCTCAAGGCACCCTCGGCTCAAACGATGAAAGACTCTTTGGGTGTTGATCTTCCGTATCATGGACTCTTAGCGCGCGGCATGAGTGCCGTGGACGCCCTCTCGTCTGCTCTGGGATTTATGTGGGAACACCTCGATAGGCCAGGAGTGGACCTTGATAAATTTGAGCGGGCTATGACCGGCGCGGAAGGGCATCGTTACCGCCTTGTAAAAGGCCTACCTGCCTACCCGTGGAGCCGCGAGAGGAGGTACTGGCACGAAGCGCGAAGCTCGCGCAAGATGCGGTTACGACATGACACTGTTCACCCCTTGCTCGGCGATATCACCACCGACAGCGCTCCGCACCATGCAAGTTGGAGGAACTTGCTACGAGTCACTGAAATGGAGTGGCTTGCGGGGCATGCAGTCCAGGGGCAAATTGTCTTCCCAGCCGCGGGTTACTTGGCCTCTGCCATCGAAGCTGCGTGGCTGGTGGCTACGAAGAGCGGCAAGGAGGTTCGCCTTATCGAGATCTCGGATTTCGCAATTCACCAGGCTGTAGCGTTTGAGCATGATGACGCCAGCATTGAAGTTTTAATTGAGCTAAGCGAAGTCATTCGAAGGTCTCCTGGTCTCATTCGGGCCAAGTTCACTTATTCTGCAGCCACAGACCCGAGCTCGGTGGACCTGAGTCTAGCGGCTAGCGGCGACGTGACCATACACCTTGGTGAACCATCTCCGTCTCTTCTTCCTACACGACCGCCCGTGCTACCGCACATGATTGACGTTGAACGCGAGCGCTTTTACGCTGCCCTGGCGGATCTGGGCTACAACTTCGAGGGCCGGTTCCGTGCGCTTTCTAGTCTTCGAAGAAAGCGCGGAAAGTCGACCTGCGTCGTGAATATGCAGCCATCATCGCTGTTAATCCACCCGGCCGAACTCGATGCTATGATGCAGTCAGCCATCCTCGCATACAGCTACCCGTACGATGGGGAGCTCCACACCCTGCACCTCCCTACTACAATCACAAGGATCCGGGTTAATCCAGCAGCTCTGCGAGGTGGGGCGACGGAAAGGGTAGGACCGGGAGAACAAGCGCTGGTAGATGCATCCATCGATCTCAGGCGTGGTCAAGGTATCGGCGGTAGTATCGTTGCGAATATTAACCTCTACGCCCCACCTAGTGCGGCGTGTCGAACTGAGGCTGTCCACGCTGTCCAGGCCCAAGGCGTAGCCTACGTGCCGTTAAGGGGATCGACTGAGGAGGAGGATCGGCGCATGTACTCTAAGGTGGACTGGATTCACGACCGCCCTGATGGCATTGAAGCGTCACGCGGGCTGTGGGAAGGGGAACACCAGCGTAAAACAGCACACCTGCTGGAACGGATCGCCACCTTTTACCTCCGCAAGTTTGATCGCGAGGTGCCTCTGGACCATCCGGCGCGGACCACGTTCCCCACCAAGTGGTACTTGAACCACGCTCGGCACGTGGCAGGGGTTGTAGAGAGTGGGAAGCACAAATGGTGGCGGGATGAGTGGCATAATGACACGGAGGAGAGTGTGCTGGAAGCGAGCAAGCATCATATGCATCTCCCTGACGTCGAGATCATGCATTTGGTTGGTCGCCAGATGCCCCGTGTTTTTGCCGGAGAAACAACCATGTTGGAGGAGTTCCGAGCTGGGGGCAACGACGTGCTGGATAGATACTACGCCGAGGGGCTTGGCCTGCGGGAGCTTGCACGGTGGGTGGCGCGAGCTGTCAAGCAGCTCACAGATCGGTATCCGCACATGAATATAGTGGAAGTTGGTATGTTTCGCCACCTCTGGCGTCCGCTGGATTATCCTGGCTAACTGCTTGACAAGGGGCGGGCACGGGCGGAGCCACCAAGGCCATCTTCGGTGAAATCGGAGACAGCTTCCTTTCGTACACGTATACTGATATCTCGGCCGCTTTCTTTGAGAACGCCTCGGCTGTATTCTCGAAACATGGAAGCAAGATGGTCCTCAAAACACTGGATATTGAGCGGGACCCTACTGAGCAAGGGTTTGCCTCCGGCACCTACGACCTGGTTGTCGCTTTCTTCGTTATCCACGCCACGAGCGACCTGGAATGCAGTCTCCGCAACTTGCGCAAGCTGCTCAAACCCGGCGGATTTTTGGTGGTCGGCGAAGGCTCCGAGACGGGGACCGGGGCGGCCACCAGTGGCTTTATCTTTGGGACTCTGCCGGGTTGGTGGGTCGGCACCGACAAAGGCCGCGTGCTGTCACCCCTTGTCTCCCCTCGAGAGTGGGATAGCCTTCTTCGCAAGACTGGTTTCTCGGGCGCCGATGCCGCCCCTCCCATATCCGTGGAGGACATCTTCAACGTCTTTCCTGTCGTCTCTCAGGCCGTTGATGCACATATAAATTCCCTACGCGCACCACTTGACCCTGAAATCGGCCTAGAACGTGCAGGAACCTCGTTGATAAAGAAGTTGATCATCGTCGGCGGGGCAACTGCTTGTAGTTCCCGCATCGTCCAGGGTCTTCAAAGCATACTGGGGAAAAAGTTCGCTGCTAAGTCGTACCACTTCAAGTACCTCACGGACATTGATTTTGGAACCGCCGATGGGGGCTCTGTCTTGGTCAGCTTGACAGAACTCGACTCGCCTGTATTTAGAGACATCACTCCAGAGCGGTTCAATGCATTGAAGACGGTACTGGAGCCGGGGAACACGGTGCTCTGGGTTACAAGCGGTCGATTGTGCGACGAGCCTTTCGCCAACATGACTGTCGCCTTCGGACGGGTCGCGACACACGAGACTCCTGACCTTCGCCTCCAGCACCTCGACATTCACGATCCCGAGCAGGTCAGTGTCGACGTCATAGCTGAGATGGTTCTCCGCCTTCACGCTCAAGGTTCAGGGGAAGAGAGCAATAATATTCTTTGGACCTTCGAGCCGGAAATTGTCATCGACAAAGATGGGCACCAGCTCGTGCCGCGGCTAAACTTCATCGATGAGCTAAACGACCGGTATAATGCGGCGCGTCGGTTGGTAGTGCGCGAGGTTGATGTCCAGTCAACAATTGCACCCATAGCACTTGAGGTTGCACAGGATGGCAGCTACATGCTCAAGGAAATTTCCCGGTACGAAGCTGAGCCTTTGGTGGGGGGAGACGAGTCTCAGAGCCTGATTGAACTTCGCACAACGCACTCCATCCTTTCGGCCCTGAAGACACCCTTTGGGCATAGATTTCTCGCTGTTGGAATGCCAATAGGGGAACAGATCCCATATCTGGCGCTGGTCTCCTCACCAGCTTCGGTTATCCGGATACCTCGGGATTCAGCGGTAGCTTGCGCGGTACCGGGCCTCTCGAATGAAGACGTGCTCCGACTTGTGGCTGCCCATTTAATCCCCATGGCGGTACTTGAGCGCTTTTACAGCGGTCAGACGCTCATCGCACACAACGTGCCACGTATTGTCGCAAATGCTCTGGCTCTTCAGGCAACTGCTAAGGGAATAAACACGGTATACCTCACAGATTTGGCTGACGATGATCTGCCCGGATCGTGGATTAAGCTTCCGAGGTTCCTGACCCAATCTGAAATGGAGGATATTTTGGTGACGGCTGATCCTCCAGCGGGTTTTGCCGGATTCACCAACCATGATGTTGAGAAATCAGAAAATGAAGACGCCATCCTGTCAAACTTGGACTCAAGGTGGCATACCATAGAAACGGCGGCATCCTTGTATTCCCGTGTTGCTAGTTGCAACAGCAGCATAACATCTTCTCGCTATTCGTCCAGCCTCCAAGGCATATTGCGAACTGCTCTGTCGTTTATAGCGTCGCGACAGCAAGTAACCATCGGGGGGCATCTCCCGCTGGACCCGGTCACGGAATCTGTTTGCCTTGGTTCCCTCACAAGCGGTTCGCAACCCGTGGACCCTCTGTGCGTGGTTGACTGGACAGACCGTACTCCGCTGCCGGTCTGTGTGAGCCGGCTTGATACTGGCCGCATGTTCCGAGCGGATAGTGCATACTGGATCGTGGGTATGTCAGGTGCATTGGGCATTTCGCTCGCCGACTGGATGATCAGCAAAGGCGTCCGACACCTCGTCATGACCAGCCGAAAGCCGGAAATCGCTCCCGAATGGATAGCGTCTCACCAACGAAAGGGTGCTAAAGTTACGGTCATCCCATGCGACGTGACAAACGAGGCTGCGTTGAAGGATGTCTATCAAACGATACAGAATTCAATTCCGCCCATCGCTGGTGTCATTCATGGCGCCATGGTACTGCGAGACACTTCAATCAGTAACATGACGTTCGACCAGCTAACTGAAGTGATTCGCCCCAAGGTGGATGGCAGCATCTACCTGGACCGCATTTTCTGGAATGTTGATCTCGACTTCTTCGTTCTGACTTCTTCCATCAACACTGTGATTGGTAATCTTGGCCAAGCTAATTACGCCGCCGCCAACGCTTTCATGTGTAGTCTTGCCGCCCAGCGGCGGAAGCGTGGTCTGCGAGCGGCAGCCGTAAACGGCGGCGCGATCATCGGGGCGGGATACATGGAGCGCGAAGCCCGAAGAGCCTGGGACCGAATAGCGCAGAACAACTACATGATGCGGCTCTCCGAGGAAGACTTTGTCCAAAGTATCTGTGAGGCCATCGACGCGAGCCGGCTAGACTCATGGCACGGCCCGGAAATCTCGACGGGGCTCGGTCATGTGCCAGCTGATGCGGCGAATCCCCCTTTCTGGTCAGGGGATCCAAAATTCTCGAATTTTATCACTTATCAGCAAGGAGCGTCAGGAAAGGGTGCCGAATCGAACGCCGGCCTTGCGATGGCTGCTGCCTCGATCCAGGACCTCGTTAGAGACTGTCAGTCAGAGCGGGAGGTACAGGATGTCGTTGAGCGTAAGAGTCACTCTTGAAGGAACGAAGCCAAAAGCGAGTACTAATTGAGGGGAACAGATGCCTTTGCAAACACCCTGCGTGCTATTCTCCATGTAAGCACGTCCGACGAGGGGCTGATGGCCTCTCGCAGCAACGAGATTGGGCTCGATTCACTCGTATCGGTGAACATTCGATCTTGGTTTTTGAAGCACCTGCAGGTCGGCATCCCTGTGCTGAGGATCATGGGCAACGGCACCATGCGAAGTCTCGTTCAGCTCGCCATTGAAGGTATGCCACCAGAACTGACACCTCAACTGCACGCAACCAGTCCGGCCGAACACGACGCGGACGCGGGTAGTAAGAGTCCTTCCTTCGGCAGCGACAGGCATACCTCCTCGAGCGTTACGATACCCGACACAGGGTCCATAGCTGACGACGGCGAAGCTGGCAAGACGGGCAGTGACAGCAGCCTGTCGACTACAGTCATAGACTGGGAAGCCGAGTCTTGCCCTCCTGGCGAGTTGTTGGATATCCCTCTCGCCACTGATTTGCCGCCTCCCTCAATGCCACCCAGGATAATTTTGCTTACCGGCGCAACCGGCCTCCTCGGCCGCCACTTGCTCTCTCACCTGCTCAACCGGACTGGCACCGAAAAAGTAATCTGTCTCGCGATCCGCAACCTCTCATCCCGTCTCGCGAACGGCGAGCTCCCCGCCCCGGGTCCCCGAATAGAATACCACGAAGGCGACCTCCCGGCGCCCCTTCTCGGGCTCCCTCCGGACCTCGCGGACGCCATCTTCTCCTCAGCAGACGCAGTCATCCACAACGGGGCCGAAACGTCCCATATGAAGGACTACTCATCCCTGCGGGCGACCAACGTCGGATCGACGACAGCCCTCATCCGGGCGTGCCTGCCGCGGCGCATACCGCTGCACTATGTCTCATCGGCGGGGCTGGCCATCCTGTACGGCAAGGAAGCGTTCCCACCGGTGTCAGTGACGGGGCCCGGGTGCGCGCGGCCGGCAACGGACGGGTCCTTCGGGTACGCCGCTGCCAAGTGGACCTGCGAGAGGATTCTCGAGAGGGTGCATGAAGCCTATGGCGGTGCATGGAAAGTATGTGTGCACAGGCCGTCAACTATCATTAGGGAAGGGAGCGACGCAGAGGAGAGGAAGGCCGGACTCGACTGGGTCAATGCCATGCTGGCGTATGCGAAGAAGAGCAGGACTGTGCCCCAGCTGAACAGGAATCGTGGGGCATTGGACCTGGTAAAGGTGCAAACCGCGTGTGAGGAGCTGGTGCGCCGTGTCGTGAATGGGGATGAGAGGATGGATAGGGGTGAAGTCGGTTATGTGCACCAAGTGGGTGATGTGGTCATTCCTCTCGACAAGCTGGAAAAGATTGGGCTTGATGAAGGGGGGAAGCCGTTCAAGGCGCTCCCCATGAGCGAGTGGATCGCAAACGCAGTTGAGGATGGGCTACACCCGGCTGTTGCAGCCTTGGTTGAGATGCTGGATGACGAAGGGGCATCTCACTACCCGAGACTTCTCAGGACGATTCCGGAGTGAGGATCAGGAGGACAAAGTAGTTAATGGGGGGGTGTAGGTAATAGGCACATGTGTATTCTACGCCATGATGTCCATCCAGCCCTTTGTTTACTAGTAGTTACTACTGTAGGAGTAACTTTCATGCACCTACCGCAGCGTGTGCGGGTTCTGTAATGCAAAAACCTCACAAGTCACAAGTCATAACTCACAGATACGTCCGGGTTGTCCAGGGGGCAGACAGAGTCTGACAACTCGACGCCATGGCTCGAGTGAGTCTGGGACACTGCAACGGGACGGCAACGTCCTTCTAGAAGCCGTGTCGCTACATGCCTCGTTCCACACAACCAAGCCCCTGTTCCTGGGTATTCAGATATATGGAATTTTATCATTCGGCGACTGACATACGGAGTACATACAGTACATACCCGGCAACTATCTCTCCGATCTTAGCCAGGGCTCTCTTATCGCTCCGACCCCTTCACGCAACGGCTGACACACCCCCCTCCCCTACGGACAACCAATTACCGATTGCCCGTCCGCTGCGAGCCTGCGGCAGGGAGACGGCACGCCGCTGGCAGATTGATTAGAGAGGCTTATAACGTTACAGCATATGCCCAGCAAAAACCTGCGCTGCACACTCACGAAGGACGAAGGAGCCATTTACCACACCCTCCTCGTTACCCACTGGCCAATGGTCTTGTTGCAGCCCGAACTGTGACTTGGGGGCCGGATGTATTCCCTAGGTGCAATTTGTGTGCAAGTTTGGGACAAGTACCAGGCAGGCACATTCAGTCTGTACTCTGTGGTGTCCCACCTCTCCGGCATTTACTGCTTATAGCTACCATTATATTGGATCGAGATACCCCGGAATGCAGGCGTTCTAGTCTACAATAGTTCAGCCTGCCCCCTCGGGCCCCCCAACCATTCTCATCGGGAAATGCATTAGCACGAATCGTTGGTTAGTGTGGCGTCCCGACAACGACCAACAATGGCCTTCAACGTCTTCCACGAGAGCGAGCACGGCACGGCCTTTGTCGTGGCCGTCGTGTCCATCCCGATAAGCGTTCTAGCCGTCTTTCTCCGGCTGCTCTCGACGCTGCACACCGGCAAGGGCATGGGGCTGGAGAATGTGTTCGCCGTTCTGGCCTTGGTGGCCTTTTTGGCCTATGCGAGCATTGACCTTTGGAGTATGTGATGGCGGCCCGTGATGGCTTAAGTCGTTCGTTGTTGTAGGATGTAGTTGACAATCGCGTTCTCTCTGCCAGTTCTCTGCACAATGAACGGCAAGAGTGTGTTCCAGCTCGGCGCGCTGCCTCGCGACACCGTCATCCAAATCTACACAGTGTGTCTCATCCCGAAGCCTTTCCATTTCCTCGCTGACTGCTCGAGTCCAGGCCGGATACGTGATGAACATCATGACACCGCTGAACCAGACGTTTGCGAAGTTGTGTCTGCTCGCCCTTTACCATCGCCTCTTCTCGGCCAGCCGCAGGTTTGCCGTCCTCACGTATACGGTGGCTGGGGTCCAGACTGCTTGGTGCATTGCCGTGGTTTGCGTGAGGCTGTTTTTGTGCACCCCCATCTCCGCCACCCTGAATCCCTTCATCAAGGGGAGATGTCTGAACAGCCAGGTGCTGCTTGCCGCCGGCGACGCCGTCAACTCGTTCATTGACTTTGTCATGGTCGGCATGGCCATCTATATGGTGGTTAAGTTGAGGTTGTCGAGGGCGGACAAGATGAAGCTGTCCGTCTTGTTCGCTCTGGGAGGCTTGTACGTGCTTCCCTTTCCTTTGACTCGATACCACCGCATTTCACTATGAAACGAAACACTGACTCTTTTCCAGCGCCGGTATCATTGGCATCATCAAGATTGGAGAGGCGTATGGCACCATTGGTATGTCCTCAAATTCCCTGATCCCCAACTCGAGAACGTCAGTCTCAGCCCTAACCTCGGGTTCTGCTTGACAGGCACCAACGTCCGTAATTCGAGCTGGAACATGGCCCAGCAAGCCAGCAGCATTGTGTGCTGCTGTGCACCAATCTACAAGACGGTACTGTCCGAATTTGGTATATTCCGGCGGCTCGGGTCGTCCCTTTTCTCGCGAAGCAAAAGCAAAAAGACGGATTATGGCGCCGGCGTCAGGACCTGGCCGCCAAACACGCTCATCGGCAGTGGCGGCAGCCAAGGCAAGCACGAGGAACCTTGGATTGGGCTCGAAGGGTCCAGCGAGCGCAAGCTCGTTTGGGCTGAAGTGCACAGCTCTCAAACCTCGCAGGATTAAGGTAGCTCGGTTTTCGCGATAACAATAACAGATGAAACCGATATCAGCGTTTGGCGACACGGATGTCGTCTGACTTCGAGTTGGCCTTGAAAAGTCCATGCTCTCACAATGGGGTCCAAGTCCGGTTCGTTGGGGTGTTGAGGGGGTTCAACATAACGGCAACCGAGAGGGAGTCGCCCCTGCATTTGGCTAGTTGTTGCCTAGCAATACGCACAACATTCAGGCTGTCGAGGGTTGCAACGATCGTAGGGAGTTTGACCAGTTGTGGAAGGGGCCGTGATGAACATCTAATGATGGTATTCAGGATGCACCTACTTCGTATGAGTGACAGAAATTGTAAATACATACGTTCATTCACCTAGTGATGCCCATAACCAACATACACAGGGGTTGTGGTGCTCAATTCCTTTCATGGTGACGGGAGGAGACATGGGTAGATGATCTTCAAGCAGGTCCGAAAGTTGTGGAGTTGTCTCTCCTCAGCTTCCTGGCGCTCCAACTGGAGCCCAATTGGCAAAGCCTGAGCCTGCTGAGCTTAAGCCAGTGAGCCACGTTCCCAGTTTTGTTAAGAGCTGTTAAGAGGGGTAGTCGAGAGGACGATTTTAACGTGTGAAATCTTGCCTGCACTAACAGGCAACGTTCACACAGTGAAGAACAGTGCCAGATTCATAGATTGATGGCATGTGTGGAACTGGGAAGGCGCAGCGCGCAACCGTAACAACCGCGACTGATGATGCGCCTTCCAGATTTGTCCCCACTCCGCTCAATGTCAAAAACGGGTAAATGTCCGGACTTCGGTGCGGTTAAAGGTCGGCTGACCCTACACGTGCATCGGGGTCCAGGACTCCAGGAACCCGTCCAGGCCGACGGAAGAGCACTGCACTGGGTCTTGGGATTGATCGACAAAGTTCTCTGCGCATTAACGTTAAGCTCCTGCAAAAGGGTGCGTGCCTGAACGGAGTGCATGCGTATTATGTACACTACTGCATACTAATTAGGACGACTCGGAAGATGTGGTTCTTCGTCTAATTAGCCAAACTTCATCATCGCATGCAACCATCGGATAATAGGTACTCGATCCGCAGGACTGACCTCACCATGGGCCATGGCCTCGTGTTTTCTTCGCTTCGCACGAGCAACAGTCATGGATCCCTTGATTCTCATCAGGGAGCTCCTGCTCTTTTAAGGCCTGGAGCCTTCGATGAATCCAGAATCGCTTTTTCTCCACACCCCGCACGCTTTCTCCACATTCGTTTACAACCGGTAAAAGAGGCGGGGGCTTTGCCGAGGCGAATCAACAGGCGTCATTGGATGTTCAAGGTCAGGGCAGCTCCAGCTTGGGCCTGAATCTCTCGACCTCCGCTGGAACTGAAGTTTTCCATATGAGGGCGGCCTGTCTTGGACTTGGCTTGCTGGTGTCCGTGCCATTAGATCCGTCAATTATTTATGGTTCAAGAGCTTTTGGTTCTCGTCTTTAGGATTCCAATCCATTATCCACCGTTTAAATCCTCCACCCTTTCCTGCGACGGTGTACGATATTGACGCTCCAGTGGTGGACGGGAAAGGGCTCACAATTCGCGAAGAACAGACCCTAGACCGGCAGTGTACAACAGATCCTGTGACGAACGGTACCGGCACGGCATGTGCAGATAATTGACGTCGGATGGGGCAACTGAATCGAGCGCAGCGCTTGTCGGTCGAGTTATACGGCTGAGAGGTGGAAAAAGAAGGACACTGACGGAAGGCCTCCGAGAACGTAACCAGAAGCAAAATGTTGCTGTACACGAGAGTTGCTCCCCCTAAACCGCCCAAACGACGGTCAAGAAGTGGTATGTTCGGCAATAAGTTGACAACCTCGCTGTTTCTCTGAGGAGGAGGGAAAAGATCCCCAACATCTCGCAGTGCTCATTACCAGTGCTGACGCGTCCGTGTGCACCCAAATAGGCTGTACATACTGGTATGTGGCATCCCTATTAGCTATTAGCTTCATGTTGTATCCCTCAAATACGCTTACGACTCTCGCCTTCTGACCTCTCGGTGAAGCAAGGAAAAGGTTCGTCAAGATCGGCCGACGTGTCCAGCTACCCGCTGACCCATATTGCAGAAGAAGAAATGCGACGAAAAGCGGCCAAAGTGCACTCGCTGTGCGGATCACGATGTTGCGTGCACATATGAGGCCATCAAGCCACGCCAACGGAGGAGGCGCGAATCTGCCGTCTCTTCCATCAGCCTTCCCGGTCACCGCTCGCCTGTCCGGAGACTGTCCGACGTCAGCTACTACAGCTATGACACCGATTCTTTCGTGCGAAATGGATTTGGTGGCCACGCCCTGTCGTCTTATCTGGACGAGGCCGTCATAAGTCCCTCGACCAGCGCGTTCGGTGATTTCTCTGTTGCCGCTTTCTCCCCGATCGGGTACATTGAAGGCCGCCGAGAGGAGGCTGCCCCTGAACTCCTCGACGAGGCCACTCGAGATGTGCACTCGCCGGGAGAAAGCAGCCCAAATTCGACCAGCACGGCATTGATTCCCCGATCTTCGAGGTCCCTGCATCCCGATCTAGCCATGATTGCGCCCTGCCCGGTCGGCTCCCCGCTCCTGGATTTTCGCTCACCAGCCTTCTCCGAGTTCTCGGACAGGCCGAACCGGCGGGCGCTTGTAGACCACTTCTGCAACATCTTGTCGCATCTGATCGTCTTTCGCGAGGAGACAGGCAACCCTTTCCAGCAACTCATCCTGCCCCTCACCCGGGAGAGCTCCCCGGTCACAAACGCAATATTCGCGCTGGCATGCGCCCACTTGGAGTACAGAGGCGTCGAGACGGCAGAAAAGTCGTTGTACTTCCACAACCTCGCCATTCGGGGGGTCGCGCAGCTGATTGAGAACAACGGCGCGGTTAGCAGGAATGAGATATTAGCAGCCATAATGTTGCTGGTGTACTATGAATGCGTATGTCCGGTAGGGTGTCGATGCCATAGCAAGCGAAGCTAACTGGTTACAGCTGGTCCAGGAAGGCCGCTCAAACATCGTAGCGAATCACCTGAAAGGGGCTCTGACGATCATGTGCACCGTTACCGACCCGTCAGATCCCACCAGCGTCTTCCTGGAACGCGTATGGAAACCACTGTTTACTTGTGCCTCCTCCCTACAGAATCCAGACTCACAAACGTGGCGCAGGCCTTCCGCTTCTACGACGTAATCACGGCTCTCTCCAATGGCACTGCCCCCCTATCAGCAGCGCCCACGCCAGGTTGCTTGCCCCCCCTCTCCCCTCTCGGCGCGCCGATGGCATCGCCGCTCTGCAATGTTGACACCCTACTGGGCATGGCCACCACGCTCTGGCCCATCATTCACCGCCTCGCAGGCCTGCGCGCGCTGAAAAACGACCTTGAAGCAGCAATGAGGGCCGGAGCTACCCCGTCCAAGCTGGCCGTTCTACGCACCGAATTCGAGTCTACCGCGCAGGCCATCGAGACAGCGCTGCTACAGTGGCGGCCACCGTACCTACCATCAGAGTGGACGAGTTTTCCAGAGGATTGCAGCACGCCTGGAGCCTCGGCCACCGCGGACACCGACACGGACACGGAGGTGACGAACCAGCAAGCCATTCACCTCACACCAACCCCGACTTCCTCCACCATCGTCCTCAACACTAACAACACCAGCAACAACGTCAACCAAGAACACTCCCGGATAGCCTCAATCTACCACAACGCGCTGGCATACCGGCACGCGTCGCTGGTCTACCTGCACCGGACCATACTCTCGTCGCCGCGCGCGCACGAGGCGGTTCGGACGCACACGCGGCTGGCGCTGGAGCACTGCGTGGGCACGGTGCGGCACGCGGGGCCCATGTCGGCGCTGCTCTGGCCGCTGTTCGTGTCGGCGTGCGAGGCGGCCACGGCCGACGACAGGGCGCTCGCCGAGCGGGCCTTTACGGCCATCGAGAAGCGCCAGGGCATGCGCAACATTGACCGGGCTTGGGGCATCGTCCGCGAGGTCTGGCGGCGCGCGGATGGTGTAGCATCTGAAGGAGATGGCGGATTAGGGGAGGGAGCAGATGGCATTGAAGGGGAAAGGGTAGGGGAAGAGGAAAGCGGAGAGGAGCTGTGGCGTCGGGTGAGTAAGGAGATGGGGGTCAGTATTGTGTTTGGGTGAGGAACGAAGAGTGTGTGGAGAGATAAAAGGGGGAGATGGGGTTCGAGTGGCTACGAGCACGACTCCACTTGGCAGGGTTGCTAAGGTCCAAACGAGGCTCGGACGATACGATACGATACGAGGCCAAACGAGGCCGTGACAGACGGGACGGGACAGGAGCGCGCTGCAAACAGCAAGATCGGACTGGAAAGGGCGAGCCCGCTCGTCGACGGGCCGAAATTTCCATAGACCGAAGCCGTCCCGAGCCCTGGGCAAACGCATGGCGATGTTGTCCTATCGGTCGGTCAGCACGAGGTCAGCAAGACGTCTCCCGTGAACGTGCCGCGGTCCGGTCGCACAACAACCCAGCCCGCGAAAAAAAAAGAAAAAAAAAACAGAACCTTTGTCTGTGCTACACGGTCCGTCCCGAGCAACGGTCGCGCAAAACCGCCATGCCTTTTGCTGTGCCGCCATGTCACACACTCTTGGTGTGGCTCCTCAAGGACAGCCACTGGGTTGCCGTTTTGCGTGCTACAAGCCCAATCGACAGCCAGCGTTCCACGACCCAGTCCCTAGCCACGTGCCTGGGCCATCACGGGATGGGGGAAGTTGTGAACCCAGCAGAGTGGAAAGACAACGTTACCGGTATTTCTACCTCTTGACGGCTGATTGGGCAGGAGGAGGGATCATGTGTTTTGGTCTGGATAACATGCTGTGTATATCTGTTGTGATCCCTGAAGCTTGTTTTGGCGACCAGGAAGGGATAAGACGACCTTGGGAGGCAGTGACGGCTGCCGGCAATTCCGACATAGGAACCTTAGAGCTCTGTGTTTGAGGAGCCGGTCTGGTGTGATTGGTGGTGGTAGGAGGGCAGGGCACTGTGTTCGTGGTATGTATTATAGCAGCCTCCTCGGATGGCATTGAAATCTTGGACACATTGGCTGGCTTTTTGGCACCTTTGAGACACTCCGGCTGCGGCAGAGCGCAAAAAAGTCTAAGTGGGGGGTTTTCGCTTCCATGCGTTTTAGGCTATTCACGTTAGGAGATCTTGAGTCTTGGAGAAGTACCTAGGCGATGCTGCTCGAGGCGGCATGCAGTTGGTCGAATTCGCATGCCCAAGGTTGGGTCCGGTAGCTTGCCAGTTGAAAAGTGGCAGTTGGATGTTTGAGATGCCTCTCTACTGTCTGAAGGATCCTTTAGTAGAGCAGACTAGACGTGATATGTAGTGCTCCATCTCACTGGGTGTTGAGAGGCTTCGGTGTTGCGGGAGCTGTGGGCGCAGAACTACCCCGGCAAATATTAACCCTGAGTTGCGAACTTGAAATGAGTGGCCCAAGCAGGAGGGATGTGCGGGGACAAGGATGCCGACCGACCTCGACTCCCTAGGCCCTGTTTGGTTAGGTTAGAAAGCTGAGGTGGGTGATTTCCCCAACCCAACGGCCTTTGCTGCGGGGACATCGTCCCTGCTTATTTCCCCCCAGCGACCTCGTTTTTTTTCTACAGACCGTCACACACCGTCCTTATCTGAGAGCAGTGCAGGTACCAATACAAGAACATACCTATGTATACAATGGATCAAGGCCGAGAATACGACCATGTTTAGGCTGCAGACGAGATAAGCTAGGATAACTGGAGATGGGACGGTTTAGGGGGGTAAGTTACCTTGGGCTGAGGTGGGGGGCCTCGGCTCGGCTTGGGATGGCGTGCTTTCCCGCTGACGACCCAACGTAAAGAGCTCGGACACGACATTGACTCCTCTCGGGGGAATCTCAGCTTTCAGTACTTCGTACAACGTGCCTTGGTTCACATGCAACGAATCTACCCCGTACCCCGAAAACATGGAGACACGGGCGATAGAGAATGATCCTGGCGTATGTAGATCAAGAGGAATGTCAAATCTGTCAAACGGCGTAAGCTTGCACTACGTGCGGCATCCGCTACCTTACACTTTCTGAAAAGATAACGTTAGGGCTCGTCCGGACCGGAACAATCGAGGCTTCTTCCGCGCAGAAGAGGGGCATAACGCTAGCCACTTACAGCTAGGAAAAGGGACTCTGGCAAAGTCACCGAGTCGCAGTGTAACCCAATGGTCTGCAGGAGGCGCTGTCCGCAACCCTATCACCACCAATTTATTGCTTTCTAACATTATGTGTATGGTTTTAGCTGCCTTCAACCTCGCATCACTGGCTGCCAATCTCATGCTGGCTGTCAGATACTTCCCTAGTTACTTACGTCGAGTCGAAGGGACGATTCCTCGGGGCGAGTTGACCCGATAGGGTTAGACATCCTTCCTCCCCACATCAGACAAAGCTTGGGCCCTCCGACTTCCCCATACAAATCCTCACTCGACGGAGTGCAGGGACCTGGAGTGGCAGACACGGCCGACACAGCTCAGTGCGGTGAACGAGTTGGCGCACGACTGCGACATCTGCTCAGAATTGTCTACAGGCTGTGCGGACGGGAATGACGTGCCAAATGAATGCCGTATGTACTGTACATAACCCTCGCAGCTCATCATCGTCCGGGAATCCGCCTGCGCCGCAGCGTGCATTGACACGGAAGTCGCGCCGAAGCCACACAGACGATAGCCTCCCTGTCCTGCTCCGTCGGTCGCTGGCGAGCCGTTTGGCCGGCAAGTGCAAGGCAATGACACTAGACCTGTCTGTTCCTCAGTACATGGGTAGGTCAAGAGAGGAACTGGCGCGAATGCAACCAGGCTGCATTGTTCAAGAGCGTAGACACAGCTGTGGCCGTAGCCCGCCGAGAGGTAGTGTGGAAAGAGGGGCCGAGCAGCAGCGCCTTGGGCATTCATCGGAATAACAGAAAATGAAGCTAGTCCGGCCTCCCGCCGGCTGCACGGTGTGGTATGGTATGGCATGGCATGGCGTGTCCAACTTAGTAAGTTTCCAACCGACTGGCAAGATAACTAAAAGGCTTTCTCTCCATTTCAGTGCCCTAGCGTCCGGGTGCCTGCTGTGCTCAAGCGACGGGCCGTCATGCTATGCCCACTTCCCGATTCCATCGTGACGCAGCCCAACCGCTGCGGATATCGCTCTCGTTCCTTCCCCAAGCTTTCTCCAAGTTCCCTTCTGCTATGCAGCTGGCCTTTTGGTCCGCTGTTCCTTCCCTCCAATCTTACTCGTATGAGAATCCATCCCTCTTTTACTCCTCATCTGCACGCTTTCCTCGCCTGGATCCTCCTGCGCGCATTGCACACTGACCTTCTTCGCCGCGAAACAACCTGGCGAGTAATCTGAATCCTAGGCTGATTCCCGGCGGCCATTCCAGTGCATGGCATTCTGCTAGATTCATTTCCACCGAGCCGCCTGCAACAGGCCACCCACGCATGCTAAGTGACTGGACGCGGACAGCACAGCGATTCCGCCAAAGGAGCTGATTCTCGGTCTCCAACCCACCAAGCTCCTTGCATTGACGACCCTTTTCTGCAGGCCTTGATATACCCCAACCGGAAAAAAAGAAAAAGAAGAAAAGATGTCTCCATCCCTGCCCCTCCATGTCTTGCTCTCCGCGTTATGACCACGTTCCTGTGCGTTTGTTGATCACCGCCAGCCCCGAGCCTGCGGATCGCTTCCTAGCATCGCAGCGCCAAGCCGAGTCTTGGACTCTCGACATCGCGCTACTCCTCCCTGCTGGCCATCCGTGGTAGATCCCCCTCATCCTGCCGACCGCTGCTTTGTCGGTTTGGATCTCAGGGAGCCCCACCACCGAGGACTCTACTTCGAGCCCGTCCCAGCGCTCGTCAGCAACCCACCATGAACTTGCTATAAAGGAGCGCCCGAGATGACCAACCTCACTCATGGACCCCTGCTGCCGCCCAAGCAAATTCGCTTTGTTAACAACCAAGGACAACCACCCTCCAAGCGGCGGCGCATCAACGCAGCGTGAGTTTTACCCTTTTCTGATTCTGGCTTTCCCCGTAGCCGGGGGACCAGGTCCGAGTTGCATTCTGAGATTGTGCTAGATGCTTGACGTGCCGCAAGAGGAAAACGCGATGTGCGGGTGAGAAACCTGTCTGTTCGACCTGCGCCAATAATGGGCACGTCTGTCTCGGGTACACGGTGATTGTGGAACGGGAGAGGAAGAGGAACGACAACGTGACAGGCGGATTGGTGGTAGCCAAGGTGGAATGCGGAACACCGGCCATCACCAACTTTGATACGGTCGACGGATGCTCGGACGACGACGATGAGCTGGAGCATCGCCAGTGGAGGAGCAAGGCCGCCGCGCCGCGGACCGCAGGCTTTGTCGATCACGACACAACGTCGTCGAGGCATACTTCACATCCCCATGCCGCTGGCATACCGCGGAAGCCCAGCAATGAATGGAACCAGAACAACAACTCGCAGGGCTCGCCTAGCGATGCGAGACAAGCCCAGTATGCAGCCAACGCCTCTTACTCGGAGAGCGGCCAAGCTTCGAACCACCGGTCCCCGACTCAGCACCATACCGAGAGTCACCGTATGCCCTACTTTCGGTATTTTGGCCCAACCGCCATAGTCCCGGGCTTCAAGCAAATGGTAGTAAATGTGTACCGCGACAGGCGTAAGAGCAGAGGAGGTTCTTTCTCAACAGCCTCCCCTGGTTCTCTTTTCGGCCACGGCACGTCACACAACCTTCTCTCGCATCATGAGACCATCCTGGAGACGCTGGAGGACCTGCCCGTATACGATGTAAACGCCCCAGGTCCAATTCATCCTCTCATTGTCTCGCTCGTGGACACCTTTTTCCACCATCTTGGCTGCAACTACCTCTTCTTGCGAAAGGACAGATTCGTCCGCTTGCTGAACGAGAAACGCATCGAACCAATCCTGGTCGACTCTGTGTGTGCCTTGGCAGCACGCTTTTCTGAGCAGCCCATCTTCACCAACGAACAAGACGGCAAGCTGAAACGTTCAGAATACGGAAATGTCTTTGCACAACGAGCCAAGTCCGCCATCGTCGATACCTTCCCGTGCCCGTCCGTTGGCGCTGTCCAGGCATGCCTGCTCATGGCGTACGAGAGTTTTGGCGCCAACCAGGACAGCGCTCTCTGGATGTACCTCGGTTGTGCTATTAGGATGACCCTCGACCTTGGACTCCAGAAGATGGAAGGTGTCAAGTATCAGGGTGAGCGCGACCCGTGGTACACGAGGTGTTGGAGCCGCAAGAGCGATGACGGAACGGACGGGCAGGAAGGCAAGCAAAACGAAGAGACGCTCAGTCCGAAAGAGCAGCGTGAGGTGGAACAGGAGCGCATCGACACATTTTGGGCCGTTTTCGTCCTAGACCGCGTTATCTCGTCGGGGACAGGCAGGCCCGTGACATTCCGTGACGATGACTACGAGCTGGCTCTCCCTGCACCATCCACTGACCCGGTTACGGGTTGGCCCGCTCCTTTCCCGACCTTTATCGAAATCATCCATTTATACGGCCGCGTGTCCGATGTCCTTAACAATATCCGGAACGCCAGCGATCTCACCGGTGAGAAGATGGCCAGGCTTGCCAGGATGGAGAGCGACCTCACCGCCCTGTACCAGAAACAAGATGAGCGCCTCCACTTCAATGCCGTCAATTTCCGTGAATATGTCAAGACGAACCAAGCCACGACCTTCATCCTGCTTCACTTCTGGTTTCATGCCCTGATCATTGTCCTTCACCAACCCACGCTGCTGACTCCATTCCACAACCTGAAGCCGGCCCAACTGCTGACGAATAGCCGGGAGCTGTCCATGTCAAGTGCAAAGACTATCGCCGACATCCTGGCTTTCGCCGAGCTAATCGATCCAAAGAGCTTCATTGGTAACCCCTTTACATCGCAGCCGATCTACATCGCCGCATGCGCCTTCTTGATGGAGTCGGTGGCCAATGCTTCGCAAGCGCCGTCACGAGAGCCGTCACCATCCTGTGACGCCAAAGGTGACCATGCCAAGGTGGGCGCTGGAAGGTACGGGTCCGGATCCGACCCACGACACGTGAAACACTCACTGCTCGCCTCAGCTGCCAACCAAAACTACCAGCGTTGTTATAAATCACTTCAGCAACTAGAGCAGTATTGGGAGGGCGTCAGATACATCATCAACGCACTGGACCAAAAGTCGAAAGGGATTTGGGACTGTGAGACGTACACGATTGAGGAGTACGAGGCGATAAAGCTTGCACGACGAGGCTCCTTTGGTCGTTTACCCAGATTCGACCACCCAGCTTCACCAAATGTCCCTCCCATTGCATACTCCCTGACAGGCACCACCAACTCTCCCAGTTCTAATCTTACCGTGTTGTTCCAGAGCAACCCAACCCAGTCGGGCAATTCGGCCTCTTCCTCGCTCTTCCCGCCTCCTCCACCGCCCGCGCCCCCGCCACCACCCTCAGTTCCGACATCTGCGGCAACGCCTCCTGGGAATATGATATACGATCCCATTCGACAGAGTCTACCGGAAACTCCTCCGGCCTTCCCACCACCATACCCGCAGCCCAACGTTTCGGCGGTGCGGTATCAGCCACACTCCTCCAAGCCAAGCAGGCTGTCGCAGTCGCCAGCGAGTGCTGAGACGCTGATCAAGTACGAGTCATCGTCGCCAAGTGACATGGGGCCCATCAGCCCTTCCAACGATCACAAGTCGCATAGTCACGGAACCGTGTCACGGTCTGGCCATGGGTCTCTCCATCAGCCATCTTACCACCATTCGGCGCATCACTCGGCCTACGAGTCCTCGGCGGGCTACAAAGATTCACTCTCGACCTCGCCGACGGATTCGAACATGGGCCAACAACGCAATCATAACAGTCATGACAACGGCATGGATCAGAGTAGCAGCTACGAGGCAGACTTTGCCCAGAGTGGCTTGGCGTCCGGATCGTACTCATACATGGGCCTTAATCCCATCAACGACATCATCACGTTCAACAGTCAGGAGGTCAACATTGACATGCTTGGCCTGCAGAGCGAGATTCTGCCGCCGTGGCTGGAGATCTTACCTGGTGATATACTGGGTGGATTGTTCGAGGGCGGCATGGCTGGGGCCAGTCAGGGGCATATGGGCTAGCTCACCCATGAAGCATGACTCATGGACGGGTTTCTGCATAGACGGAAGAGCGGCGCATGGTCGGATTCTTGGTGCATTTGGCGGCAAAAATTACGTTGTCTGTTCGCATTGGAAACCAACATGCTTTGTATCTTGTTTGATCTGTTTATTAATTTCTTTTTGTGTCTGCTCTGCCTGCCTCTCTTACCTTCGTCTTCTGTCGTCTTGCTCGACCCTCGTCCTCCCGCCGCAGCTGCAGCGGTTCTGTCGAGATTTGGCTTGCTCGTTTCGTCTCACGCTTTGCGCGAGCATGTGGCCAGCATAGCAGGATCAGGCAATGAAGGCCCGCTACAAGCCGCGAATTATTGCGCTTGCTGTGCGCCGGCCTCTCTTGGTACCCCGTGTGTACACCGTTTGTGTTTTCTTGAATCTCAAATCCTGATCTTTTGCGTCACATCAGTTGCCTTCTTGGTATATTTTCACTTTCGGCGATCGAAGCGAGGCGTATGGGCCATGGGAAAGATGGAAATGGGACTAGGACTGGAATTGGGACCGAAAAACAGAAAACACCAGGGCTATTGGAGGACGGCTTCTCTGCTAATGAAGTAGTTGCTCTTCTTTCTTGCCGCTGATATTCTAGGACTCCAGGCGCTCGCAATGACATGACATGCCCCGATATTCGCTGCTACTTTCACTTTCACGGATGAGCGCGCTGTGTCATTTTGAGTAAAAGGATCATCCGTCCAGCCTTCTCCCGGGAGACATTGGAGTGGTTATGGGCATTCCACGCTACAGCCAGCCGGAGCGATTGTCACCAGAAACGGGATGTAACTGAACGTAATGATGCTCTATAATTCATCGCAAACGCCTAAGCCAAAGCAGCCAAGAGGCATAAACATGAACACCCTATGAAACTCCTATCTACCACCCCAATAACCCAATGCAGCTCGGCCACAAATAACTACTACAAAACTCCAGGGGAATCTCTCCTCTCCTTCACGGTCTCCTGCCCATTCTTACAATGAAGGAACCTCAGTATGTCCTACCTCTCTATCAAAGCAGCGCTTGGGTCCCGCCCAGCTCCTTGGTGACAAAGGCGCCAAAGTAGGCGTTGAGTGCGTCCACCGTGGCGCCGCCCTCCTGGAGGGCGACAACAATTCCGACGTAGCCGTCGGGCCTGACAACAACGACGCCGCCGCGGTCCTGGTCCAGACCCATCTTAGCGTGGGCCGCAGCGCGGGCGTCGGGCACACGCCGGTCCCACCGGTCGTCGGCGTAGACGTGCTCGCGGTAGCGGGCCAGTAAGTGGGGCAGGTCGCTCGCGATTTCGATGCGTGCGCGGGGCGCGGCGAGCACGGTGCACACGGTGAAGAAGCGCGAGTGCGGGTTGTGGCGCTCGTGGTGCGACACCACGCGGTCGGCGTCCGGGAGCGCGTAGGCCGCGTAGAAGGACCCCTTCTTGGCCATGCCCGACGCCAGGTCCCGCAGGGCCTGTGCCTGACCCGGCAAGGCTGGGTTGCCGCCGAAGACGAAGAGCCGGAAGGACCCGTTCAGGGGAACTTCCTGCTCCAAGTGCACCACGTTGGCATCCACCACGCGCGTCACGTCGGCGTTGGCGAGCAGCCGCCCCGGCCTGAGCCTGGTGGATTCCGGGTGGGCCAGGATCAGGTGCGACTGGGCCGGGTGCGAGGGGGACCAGTTGAGCGCGTTGGGCTTGTATGCTACCCCGTAGCCCGAGGTGAATTCGCACGATTCTTTGAAGGTCTTGATAAATTCGTTTTCTTCTTCCTGGCTTGGTTGATTGGAGCTATGGTCCGAGGCGGCCGCTACTTCGTTGGCGGCAGGGGGCCGCTGGGAGAAGAGCTTTGCGTACTTGTTGTCGAACGCCAGAAGGGTCTCGGCGACGTCCTTGCGTTCTGACTCGTACGTCTCGAGCACGCTGCGCTTGGCGAAGCCTGCCTCGACCGCGTGGATTTTCCAGGCGAGATTGAGCGCATCGAGGAAGGCCGTGTTCATCCCCTGACCGGCTTTGGGCTGTGATGAAGTCAGTTTTATGACCTTCGTGTTGGGGGCCTGATCCCGCATGGCGGACACACTTACGCTGTGGGTATGGCAAGCGTCGCCGCCTAGAAACACGCGGTGGTCGATGGTGTACTTGTCTGCAATGCCCTGACCGATGGGGTAGACCGAGTACCACTCTACTCTCTCCCACTCGATCGAGTAAGGCTGTAGAATCCGCTTGGCTGAGGCCTGGACCTCCTCGACGGAGGCCGTCTTGCGCGGATTGAAGTCTGGGTCCGAAGACGACGCAATCTGGATATAGAGACGGACCATGTTGTCCTCGCGGGGAATGACCATGATAGAGCCGTTCTCAGAATGGATGGTGCATTTCATCTTGATATCGGGGAAGTCGGTCTTAACGACGCCGTCCATGACGCCCCATACGTAGGCGATGGGGTCCTTATGCTTGATCCCAATCTTGAGCTGGTCGCGGATGAAGGATCGAGCGCCCTCCCCACCAAACAGGTACTTGGCCTTGACCGACTCCTTGAAGGTGCCGTCGACGTGTTCCAGCTCGACACTTACGGGATAGTCCGGGTTCTCCTTCTCGTTAGAAGTGAACCCCTTGATGGTCCAGGGCCGTTGAATCTTGACGCCGTTTTTCTCGAGGTCGCCAATGAAGACACGCTCAATATGGCCCTGGTGGAGGAGAGTGGTGAAGGGGTACCTGGCATCAATGAAACTAGGGCAGCTGGCCCAGGTGCCGGTTCGGACGATGCCCTTGCCGTTCTTGGGGGGATCCCAGAAGGCGACTTCGTAGACACGGGCAGGCTTGTGAGCCATGATGGCCGATTTGAGCCCCATATTCCGGAGCAAATCAAGCGAGCGCGGTTGGATGCCGTCCGCCCGGCCAGTGGCCGTCGGCTCGGGCCTGTTGTCAATGTGCTTGATCTTGTAACCCCATCTCGCCAGGCAGGTTGAAAGCATCAGCCCGACGGGCCCGGCACCGACGATGACTGCCATAGCGGGTTAGTCTTCAGCTTCAAGGATGGAGGTGGCGACCTACCAATATCATAATGGTTGGGGCTCGGGTGTCTATTAGGTTGTGAAGCCATCTTATGCTCGGCTTGATGTGAATGCTAGACGAGACGAGAAAGCCAGAAAAGACAAGTAAACAAATCACAGGTGGACTGGGTATCTCAAGCGTCTAAAAAGAGAAAGAACGGCTGTCAAGCGAAGTGACGAATCCCTCTAGGCTGAGGGGTTCGACGAGCTATTTGAGCATCAAACCCCAAGACACAAATGGTTCCCGGGTTGGGATCCGACAGACGGGGCAGCACCACCAAGAAAGGCCCGAAACGGTCAATCACATTGCCCAGCAGCAAGAATAGTGACGCACAAGCCAAGAAGGCGGGAATGAGTTCGGGAAGATAGCTTCGCTCGGGTGCCCCTGACTCGGGATGATGAAAGGGCGAGGGCGAACAGCGCAGCAGTCGAACCCATCGAACTGGGGCCTTTATCCAACGGTTCCAACAGTCGGGTGGTTATGTATGTAACTGTAAGCCCTCTTATCCTTGTGAGGGACCGCGTGTGGCACTTTTTAGCTGTCATGTTGCTTCCAGAATTTACGGCGAGCTAGCGAGCCAGCTGGGGTGGGCTTGTACGCTCTGTGAGAAGTGAGGGGATGATCGGGACTTGGGCACGGGAACGGGTGGTGGGCCCGCAGTGGGGAGGACCCGGCTTAGACAATCGGGAATCAAAATGAGCGGGTTACGCCGCTGGCTGGAGCTGAGTGAGGTCGCGGCATCAGCCTCCGGGACCCCACTGCACCCCCGTGCGCTGTCGTTCCCAGGCGCCCCGGAAAACCTTAGTGCGACCTCCTCCCAGGCCCATGGTACCCCTATATTGAGCGATATCCCTAACGCCACACTTTCATCTATTGGACCCAAGTCAGACGTCAGACGTTTCCCGCCAGTTTGTGTCACTGTGCTGTAACTACTTGCAGGGCACACACGTGCAGTCCACATGCGCTACTGGTAGTGCAACCGTTTTGTCGAATCTGGTTGGCTCCGAGGTAGAACCCGAGGTGCAACAAAAGCTCGCCAAAAGCCCGGTTGCGGGTCTGACTTGCTCCCAAGCGGCTGGCCCCCTTTTCCTGCAAATCACCTCAGCTGCACGGCCTGCGGTTCGGCTTGGTCGGTGACATGAGCCGCAATAGCAACAAGATGCGGCTACACACGCCGATCTTACGACGACTGATGAGTTGCGCAAAGAACGATCGGTGTGTTTATTGACAATTCGAGAGGCTTCTGAAGGTCTGAAGGAGCCGTGAGCTGGGTGCTGATCCGATGGTCCGGTTCCATTGCCGTCTGCTGCGAGTGTCGGTGGTAGTTCGTATCAAATCTTGATATTTGGATCTAAGCCCTTAGAGGAGTGTCGACAGAGGACTCAATCCTTGGACGTGTCAACACCTCGCATCGGATCTGATCATTATCATCGATCACCAGCATCCGATACCTCCACAGCAAGTCAGTCAGCCTCCGGTGTCCAGATCGTCACGGTGACGTTGATCATACCATTCATCTCTACTGGCCGGTTCAAGAAGGAGGAAAGGCGCTGGGCTGTCCTACCTTCGAAGCACGGTCGGCGGCCGCGTGCTCGATCATGGCAGACCAAAGCTGTGCTCGGTGCTATCCTGCCGGTCCATCAATGGCACAAAACCCTTCGGACCTGAGGAGCAGGACTGAGCATTCCCATACGCACACACGTTCTTGCGTTAGCATGGTTCTGGGGCTGTAGGAGATGATCGTTCGCACTTTGGGAAGGCCTTCCATTTTTATGGCAATGACTCCAAGCCCAGAACGCGCTTGTCTCGCGGTGTGAACCGGGCTGATGTCAGCGCCGTCGATACTGCGTCTAGGTCTTGTCCCTGTCCGGCCTCGCGACATGACGGACAGGACTGGATATGCTGGAGCGCTGCTGCCGTCGTTTGTTTGGGACGGCCGCCAAAGACTCTTCTCGATGGATGCTGCTCTGCCTTGATGAGAAGCGGCCACCGCGGTTTTACTGCCCAAAAAACGTCCTGTCAAATTTGTCTCACTAGGGCAAATGGGAGGAACGACATTACCTTGCCCCTAAAGAACTGACGGGTCGGATTGTGAGCACCTCTGGCGATCCCCTATCCCATGCAATGCCAAAGGAATGAGCCTGCTCTTGGAGGTACGACTTATTTCACACGCCCATGAATGCAATAGGTATCTCTTTGCTGTGGCAACCGGCCAATCATGTCGATGGTAGCAGCTGCCGCTTCGCCGGTCGAGCTCCGGAGGAGTGCATGGGCCGGCCGGGTCCGCTTAGTCGTCGGCACGGCGATGTGATGATCTCAAACACGTTCGGGCCCTTCTTTTCTTTCCCTTGTCGCCGGCGGCATCCGCATTGTTCTTCCATTCTCATCACGCACGCTGGCAAGCTGGACCGAAGACAACAAAATGCGCAGCGGCAAGAACGTAACCATGCGGCAAGTCGAGGACCAGTCTGACAATTCTTTTGTATCCATCGGCGATGCGAGACAGCTTGTCCTTGTCCAAGGGAGTCCTTCGGTAGTCGATGTCGAGAGCCAAGTCGCCTCGTTCTGCGAGGGCGATTCGAATGAGAAATCCAGAAGTAGGTCGCCGTCGACGTCGTGTCCCTGTCTGCTTTTTGGACCATCTCTTCTTGCGTTATTCTTTCCTTTTTCTTTTTCGATTATTATGCTTTTCTGTTTTCTTTCTGTTTCAGAAAACCTTGCCGTACGATACTAATATTAGGTGGGTTGGGACTCAGGTCCAAAGAAGGGCCCGGTGATGTTCGTGATGCAGGAGGATGTCTGGTCCGAGTTTCCCAACCCGACATGCGACTGCAATGACTATTGTGGACACAAGAAGCGCAGAAAAATTCTTGTTCGACCTGGCGAGGAATCCAGAAACCACCGCTCGAACCGGCTGGTCACCGTCTATCAGGCACCGCGAAACGAGAGCAAAAGCAAGGCTACTGAAAGCGAGAAAGCCGAGAAGAGGGACCGCCTCCCGAGCACACTCGGTCCCTTCGTCGTCGATCTGAACTCTCGCATGTCAGAGGATGACGTGCGTAACGAAGAACACCTGACTACTCCGAATCGAGGTGGGACGGTCGAGGCTCACTGTGAGTTTTTAGTTTCGGCCAAATTCTGAATTCTGTGCTTCCATCTGCTGTTCAATCTCTTCTCGGGTTCCTTGCTACTTCCGTGTTTTCCGCCTCACACCTTTTGGTTGTACTTTCTCTTTTCCTTCTTGAGTCTCGCTGCACCTTCCTTTTCCTTGCCCAGTCTTTTCCAGTTGCGATTCGCTAACTGAAGGGAAATTGCAACTGCAGCTTTCGACCCAAATAGAATCTTGGAGGAGCTCTTCCGCACTCTCGGTAAGTCGCAACCTCCCTCGCGAATCTTTGACAAAGTCGCCTTCTGACTGTGTATCTCCATCAATATCAGAAGAACGTAAAGCTTCTGGTCGCGCGGCAACCCGGATCCGGCCTCTTATCGAGGAGGCTATGCAAAAACGTCGAGATCGCCAACGTGATCAGATCCCCGACGAGTCAGCCATCCGAGGGAATTTTATTCCTCTTTCGACCGTGCCCTTACAGCGATCGCCGTCACCAGGACACGGCAAGTCGCCACAAAACGTTCTTGTGGGGCTCAGCCTGACCGATTCGCAGCTGGACAAATTGTCAGCTATGTGAGTGTTTTGCAGTCCGAAGATTGCTTCTCCGCTGACCGTTGCCAGGCTGTCTCGTGAGGACGAGGAACCGCTCCCTCGCGGTAGGCACTCAGGCGACCGCAAGGAGATGAGTAACATTAGGGACCCATCGCCGAGCAAGAGATCTCGATCTCCAACCAAAACACATCCATCCAATAGCTCGCCCTCCAGGCCCCGTTCTCGCTCGCCTGTCAAGTCCCCCAGGTATCCCAAGTCTTCCGAGGGCCGCAGCGGCACTCAAGGTTTCGAATTTGACATCAAGCCTCAGTCTCCGAGCAAGGCGAAGGGAAGTCTCTCTGCTCACAATGATCAGGCCCACGGAGCCGTACATATGGCCAGAGGATCTCCGGACCCGATTGACATCACAGCCACTCGGACTCGGGCGCGACCGGCTGTCCTGGGAAAAGCAACACCCGCTCTGGTTGATGCTCACATTGCGCCCAAGAGGGAGCCTTCCCCTCCTAGCAATTCCGAGAAATGCCCCTCAGCCTACGCACCCTCGTCCGTCTACTCTCAGGACTCGGTTGAAGCGCAGTACCCCTCTTGTGTTAGCCCCCTTCGTATCCAGAAGGAACATGAGCCAAAGCATCTGAGTATTCTTCAGGATTATATGGATTGGAGAGACTCGCCATTGGGTTCCGCTCTGAATGCAGAGATCACGACAGAGACCTCTAGCGGAGCCGAGGCAATCGAGACGACGTACAGCCCTTCTGGCCTTGCCGCATCCCAAGGCTTGCCTTCTGTTCGAAAAGCATCTAAAACCTTGATTGGTGAAAACGGCTGGCTCGAGAGAACCAACAAGCGCCCTGATCCGAACACTTCCCCTTCCCGAAAGGGCGGTTTCCTCGCAAATCTCGTTAAAAAAGCCAAGGGAATGGTAAGCCCACATACAACTCTTTGTCTCTACCGCTTGCCACTAATCCCACCTTTCTCATCAGGTCGAAGCCAACAACACCTCCCCGCATCGCAAATCCCGTGAGTCGGAGAAAGGCAGCAATCCGCGCCCTGTTTCTCGTCAGCTGGCCATCTCTCTCAACCCCCGCGAGCAGTCACTCCTCTACTGCGAGTTGGAGTTCCTCCTGACGACGGTGCTCAACGAGTACATTACGGAAGAGTTCAATGAGGGCCGGCTGGAGGCGGACCGGCTCAAGCGCGTCGCCGAGGAATGGCAGCGCAAGGGCCATCCCAAGGTAGTGGGCTTCCGGTACGACCTTGAGACGCAGCTCGACCTGGTGCGCATGCACTTGCACCATTTCCGCTTCTACTCGCGAGCCGCCACCACGGCCGCCATCACGGCGACGATTGACACGATGCGCAGCAACGCCCGCGTCATGCGCGTCAGGACCTTCTGCGTACCCGACACCGTCATCGCGAAGCAGCTACTCGATTCGCAGACGTTGTTCCATATCCTCGGTGCTTTTGCGGAGAAACACATGAAGCTGGCCGAGATTGTGGGCTTCTTTAAGGCCGGCCTTGAGAGGGAGAGGCTTGCCGAGGCTGAGAGAATGCGGCAGTACCACCAGAACCTCCACCCGGGCGAGGGCTTCGTGGAAGGCCAGGGTCAGGGAGGCCTGTCTAGCCCTGGATATGGCCATGAACAACAGGGTGGTAATGAGTACTGGGGCACTACTGCTGCTACCCCGGTTACGGCTACGATGGGCTATACTCGCCATAGCAACAAAGACCATGGAATTGGCCAGGGTGGCTTCAACATGGACCCGGCTGGCTACGACCCCCGAGGCGAGTGAAGGCTTGATCGCTTGGGTCAACCAACTGGGCCCGAGGGCAGCTGTTGCTGCTATTAACCACGTGGATCTGAGGTCCACACTTGTTTGAGTTTCAATGGGCTGCTATCCCTCCTAGTTTTCTTCTGTTTTCTCTTGTTTTTCCTCTCCTATCTCTCCTGCTGCTCTATCCTGGGAGCTCATATTGCGCACATCATGCGCCGCTGACGTCGGGGACGACGAACCTCGATATTGTGAGATCCCTCAGCTTGCCCTGGTGGGTTGAGAATAACGGGCGGGCATGGGAAAAAGCAAAAACTGGCATCCTGTTTGTCTAATTGTTGGAGTTATGGTCACATCCCCGGAGAGGTCCTGGCGTCTATATAGCACAGCATCGGCATGGATGATACCCTTCCGGCGGCGGAACCGGATGCAGGGGCGTTAAGGATTGCTGGTACTAGGGACAGGAACGTTCATGGGACTATGTTAGGGTATGCTAACACTTCTAGGTGTTAGAATTTGTATCGGTATGTAGAACTAGGCTTCTGACAGGCAGTTACTTGCGCTGCATCTACAAAAGATTGCCTGATTGCGCCTCGTCTGGCCGGGTGAACACACTCCATACGTGACGTGTCCTGCGCCCCCAAGGAGGGTAGGACTCCAAAGACTGTACGGCGGCGTCCTTGAACGGGGATCTGGACCAGATTCCATTATCGCAGTCCCTTACTGGTACTACTAGTTCTATTCGGTTAGCCTCTGAAGACAAACTTATCTGAGAACACTGAATTCGTGTATATACTAGTAGTCTATAGATATAGGTAAGTATGAGCGATATCCGATTCTAACCCTAAGTATCAATATCTCCTTGATAACTTTCCCCATTACCAGTTGAACTATTCGAACTCTTTTAGTTACTATGTAATATATATAGGAAATGCTTAGTGCTAGTGTGTTAGTAACCCTGGTTGGTGCCACAACAAAAGAGCAATTTTATACAATCTATAATCACCTCACAGCAGGAAGTGCAACAGCCTCCATTCCCCCCTCCAGTCCTCCCTCCATTCCCTCCCTCATTACCCCCTCCATCCCCCCTTCCTTTTCCGCCTCCTTTCCCTCCTTTCCCTCCTTTACCGCCTCCATTCCCGCCTCCATTCCCCTGACCACTCCAGTGGCCGTGTCCTTGGCCGTTCCCTCCCCCATACCCCCCTCCATCACCATGGCCGCTCCTCTGGCCTTTTCCTTCGCCGTTCCCCCCCTTCTCCTCCCCTCCATTCCCCCCTCCATTCTCCCTTCTCATATCGCTTCCAGAAATGCTAGGTGGATCTACAAGTATTAAACGGTAGACTGTCACTTCGTACGGAGTCTTGATATCCCATTTAGGCTTGGAGTCTTCCGTTCGACCGAACAAGACCTCATCAACATGGCTGGAAGGCTCCCATACCTGAAACTCCAACTCTTTGGGGTTTCCTCCTTCCGGGTCTCGACTCATGGCTAGATTGATATAGCCGAGAGTGTGGATGGATTCTGAGCTAGTTGCTCCTTTGATTCTTAGAGTCCGGTCCTTATGCACATCGCGTTCGGTTTCGTAGCCTAGGGCTTCTAACTTCGTCTTAGTTATCAAAGGCCCGGCTTTGCTCCCACTGTCGAAAATGGCCCTCGTGGAGACAAACGAAGCCTCCCCTTTCATTCTGAGATAGACCGTAACCTGATCTTCTGTTTCCTGGTGTTGGAGATCCCCTGACTGGTTAGAAATTGCCTGGTTGTGGTCTGAGCGGGGCTCTCCTGGCCGAATCTCGTCTGACTGGTTACCAACTGCCCGAGTGTCGTCTGGCCGGTTCGTCCCTAACTGAACTTCCTTTACTGTGGTTCCCCTGAACTGATGATTGTCACCTGACCGATTATCCGTTGCCCGGTCATGCATTGATCGGTTATCTGTTGAGTTCTCCACTGGCATGTTCTCCCTGAATTGACTTTCTTCTACTCTGTTCCCCTCCGGGAGGTAACCCATTGGGTCATACTTTCCTCCTTGTTGGTTTCCACCACGTTCAGTATGCCCTGGTTGGTTTTCTGCTAGCTGCTCCCCTCTTGGCAGGTATTCGCTTCGCCGATTCCCCTCTGGCCGGCTTCTTCTTGACTGGCTTTCTCTTCGAGGGGTTTCGCCGGACTGACTCTCCTGTGGTGGGTTTCCTCCTGAGTGGTCATTCCGAGTCCTTGTATAATGCTCCCTCTGGTAATTTCTCTGTGCCCCTGGCTGACTCGTCTTTGACCGAATCTCTCTTGGCGGGTTCCTGCTTGGCTGGTTGTCACCTGATGGGTTATCCTCGGACAAGTTATCCGCCGGCTGATTCCTTTCTTGCTGGTCTCTTCTGGTGTGTTTCTCCTCTAGTTGGGTTTTGGCTGAGTCGCCATTCCTTGGCTGATCTTCCCCTCCCTGGTTCGCCACTGCGTGGTTCTCCCCTAAGTGGTTACCCTTTGGCTGGTCCTCATCTGACTGATTCTCCCCTGACCAGTTGTCTAATGACTAGTATCGTATCAGCCTTCGTTCCTTGCATTGCAACATACCCTTCATCCTGTGCATGTAGGCCCCTTTTCGCCCCCGTGGATCACCGCTGTGCGGCAACTGTGCACTTACCGCATCCTTCATTCGTTGAAGTCTTTTCCTGGCTGCCTCAAGTTCGACCATCTTCGACGTCCTTGTTAGCTCCACAGTTCTCCTATTTCCCCCCATCCCCGAATTGCCAATGGTGCTGAAGTAGGTTCCCCCTCCACTCCCGCTCCTGGACCCCTCTCTCGGGAAAGCGGGTGTCTGGCCTCCATGCCGGTTTCTTGCATGACGATTTGGCTCCATTCTCTAAAAAATGCCAGGTGATAAACGTAGCAATAACCGTCGACCACTATTATAGGCCGAAGTTACTTTGATTAGTAGGACACTTCCTGATCTCATAGCTTCTAGGCCACTTACCGTTCAGCTGAGGAACTGCATCTTTGTCGTGCTGTCACGGACGGCCAACAAAGCTTGAACAAGCACCCAGAGTCTGCTCTCAAAGTAAGGCAAGGTAGGTCTTGTAATCAGACAATATCCCCACTCTGTAGCTTAGGTGGCATCAACTATCAACATCACAGTCATCAATGTCCCGTCGCTTGGTTCAAATCCATAATGACTGAAGGTCTGGCATTTCAGTCCCTGTGAGTTCCCACCTTTTTAACGAGTACTTCACCGCGAGTTATCAGGTATGTGATTGTACCTAACCTAATGGAAAGAGGCACCCTGAGAGGTACTTGTACATAGAAAGGTACCTAGGTACCAATGTACCAGTGCAGTACATAGCAAACTCTTCACTCCTCCTTCCCAGGAGAAACCACGTTTACCTAGGCAGACCACTTCATAGGGCAAGCTGAAACAAAATATTCGATCAGCCCCGTTAGGTAGGCTTGAACTACAGGCTTAGGCCTTAGAGTCATATAGAAGTATCAAGGCACCCATCTGCCCATCTACTGTAGTATCTGCTGGTACCTCCAGCCAGCAAACCAGACCTGCAGACCGACCAGTCGGGAGTTCCCATGGCACGACAGCTTGAGCCTGGCGCCGTCTTGACCGCTAGAATGCATCTTACTGCAATTGGACAAGAGCACTAATCACAGCATTGAAAGTACCTATGTAGTATGTACAGCACGCCACCAGATTTCAGAACTTGTTGGCGACTCAGCGACGTCACTTTGAGCCCAACTAAGCGAATTGAGAATTGGACCTCAAGGCACATACTGTTCGACTTCGCGTCACTGGGTGGTAACATGCGCCCTATGCTTTTCAGAAGGTCGACGTCGATTGTTTACTTAACACGTCACATATGGGAGGCTTGTCTCTTGTCTGCGATGATAGGCACAGAGCAGAAACGTGGCCATCGTTGGGCAGTGTCTGCAGAAACCCGACTCGAGCTAACGTGTGAGTAGGTACCTACCCGCCGGGCTGCCGCCCAAGTTCTCTGCCGCCACAACGCACATTCGTGAAGAGAGCCCGAAGGGTGCTTTAGGCGTAACAGGTTTTTCCTCGCTGCGAAGAGTCTCCAAACCAACTAAACTGTATCCAACAGCACCTATTAGCTGTCTGCACCGACGTTGGGAAGCTGCCTCCATAAACGCTTGCTCGAAACTACGGGCTGAAGGCCTGAATAACCTCAGTTAACGGTCATTATCTTCCTTTTGCCTCGCTGACCACCTTTGAAAATCTTCTTTTGTTCGGTATGTTTGATCTGAAGCGTTTCCGCCGAGGACCTAGCCAGGTCGATCTGGAAATGGGGCCTTCTTCAGGAGTTCAAGTTGGCCCTGTCCCGCTGGATGAGAAAATGCTTGGGACACATATTGGAGGGTACCCGGAAGGCGCCATGTTCCACGGTTTCCGGGGTCTCTACGCAGAAATTCTCCTCCACATGCAAGCTGAAGTTATGCGCCTCCAGTCGGAACTAAGCCAGCCTCAAAACGCCGATGGCGACAGCGATGATGGAGATGATAAAGGCTCTAGTAAAGACACGATCGCAGTTCAAGCAGAGGGAACAGATGCAAGATCCTCACTAGATCCGGGTGTGAGCACCAGCTACTCCTCCAGCACGGCTCAGTTTCAGAAGGTCCTGGCGCTGAAGAAGACGTTGGACGAATATTGTACGTGCCTACCCAAGTATTTAATTTGTCAAGTCACTCGGTCCTAACAATCGTGAATCCGTAGATGATTCGCTCTTTCGCTATGAAAAGATCATCAACTTGCCGCATCCAAATTCTCGAGATCTGGAGGACATGGTGAACTGGATGTTCAGCAGACAAGCAAGTATGATCAATTTGAATGCTGAGAACTTCGGATTCTACAAGGACATGTGGAGAGACGATGGGAGAGAAACCAAAGAATTAGTCTCTCTCCATCATAGCTTCGACGATGCGCTCACCTCCTGGGTCCAGTATCACATCGTTGATATCTATCACAACCTCTGTGGAAAGTACATACATGTAAGTTTCCTAAAACTTGGTTGTATTGCACATGTTAAAGCTAGACACCTGACCACTTTTCAACTTGAAGAGGCCCCCCAAAGCAGCACATCTCCAAGGTGCCATCTTGTATGAACACAAGGATATCGCTCGCGTCACGCGGCTGCTCACGATCACATGCGCCTGCGCATTACCAATCGCATCAATTTTCGTTTTGCACAGCATCAAAGATGTATCTGTGAGACTGGGCATTGTCTTTGGCGTGTCGGCGTTGTTTTCTATCTGCATGGGCATGATGACCTCGGCAAAGACTCATGACATATTCACTGCGACTGCAACGTAAGTGCAAATAATCTTGAATTAAGAAATCAATCTGGCATTAGATACTAACGTCTCTTTACGACGGGCCATAGATTTGCGGCCGTGCTCGTTGTCTTCGTGGGGACGGACGGGAATGCCCTTTAAATTAGGGAGCGAGAGACTGAAAATGAAAGGAATAAGGAAACAATTGCAATTACATGTACCTTAGTAGGGAACTGAGCCCAAAGTCATATTCACAGGATTCATAAAAGCAAGGAGGGACGGGTTTGGAGGGACGGGTTTGGGAGGAGCTTCCAAAGATGTGCAATCTCTGTCCAATGTCTGGTACGACACATTAGTAGTAACTACCTTTTCTTGCCATAGCTGTCACGGTCGATGTCATTACACACTTCACAACCTTCACGAACATCATCAGGCAACTGCATTTTCTTTACAGACATTTATCGCGCACATCTCTCCCATAGTTGTACCTACACTTATCTGGAATATTAAAATCTAAGAAACATCTTCCTCCTATAAATCCTTACATGAGGCTAGGAGATCCAGGGTTGGCCGATGAAGAACATACCTTAGTGTCGTTACAGGTTAACTGACATCTCTATATCTAGAAAATAGACCGAAATAAATCACGCCAGGTCTGTTAACCAAATAGCTTAAACCGACCTCGACGAGCCATTAGTTCCCTCTGCTGCCTCTCACGCTCCATTAGTTCCTTCTGTTGCCTCTCACGCTCGACTCTCTCCTTCTCCCACTCCTCAATCTGCCTCTGAACCTCCTTCAGGTTCTCGTCCGACAGCTTCATGACATTCTCCATCTCGGCCTTGAGTGCCTCTTCCCGACGATCCATGGCTTGTTCTTTCTTCTTGATGTCCTGCAACAGCTTCTCCCTCTCCACTTTCATTTCCTTCTCTTTCTTCTCCAGAACCAGCTTCAGCTCCTGCATCAGCTTGTCCGCCTCCGCCTTTACCTCCTTCTCCTTCTTCTCCAGGTCCGCCTTCGCCACTCGTGACATCTCCTCCCGTGCTGCCCTCACTGCTTGCTCGTGTTGCTTATTCAAGTCCGACTTTTGCTGTTCCAGCCTCTTGTTCATCGTTTCTTCGGCCTGTTTAGCCTGACGAGCCATGTCTTCTCGCACTTGTTTCACTTCTTGCAACCGCTGGTTGTCCATCTCCGTCTTCTGGCTTGCCATCTCCTTCTTCATCATCACCTTCGCTTCCTCTGCGTCACGGATCAATGTTGCCTTCGCCTTCTCCTCCTTTTCTAGCTCTGCCCGGTGTCTTTCAACCTCTTTAAGCTGTTGTTCCAGACTTTTCCTCAGATCAGTCTCAGCCTTCTTCCACCCCTGCATCTCCTGGTCCATCTTGGACTGTATGGCTTTCACTTCGCCCTGCGCACGATTGACTTGCTCCTTCAAACGGCTGATGTCATCCTTCAAAGCCGTCTCCCGCTTGCCTGCAGCGGCGCCCATCTCGTCACGGACGGCTTTTTCTCGCTGACTTGCGTCGCTCGTCATCTCGGTGCGGACACGCTCCACCTCCTGCTGATGCTGGCGGGTGAGGTCGCGCTTGGCGCGTTCCAGCTCCTCGAGCGCAGCTTTTTCGCGATCCTTGCGTTCCCGCTTGAAGCCGTCCTCTACGCGGGCCAGCTCTGCCTGTGCGAGTCTCGCCTGCGCCTCCATCTCTTCCATCCTCTTTTTGACATCGCGGACCTCCTGGTCGTTGCACTCTATGATCTGTTCCATCTTGTCGGTAAGCTTCTGCTGGCGCTCTGCTCCGTCTCTGATCTCCCGTAGCAGTGCATTGATCTGCTCTCGGTAAAGCTTCAGAATCCCGTCGTTGTTTTGTTTGATCTTCCGCGAAAAGTCGCGCAGCTGGACTTGTTCAAGACGAGTGCCGGCTCGAGTCTCCTGTACTCCCTGCTGAGAGTCAAGCGCGATATCTCGGTCTGATTCAAGGATATGCGAAATGATCCTCAAAGCAGACTCCCTGTTGTCGTGGGCGAATCCGTACCGAAAAGTCTTGCTACCCCTCTCGTGCATAAAGCCAAAGAACTGGTCGCTGTCCACCAGCTCCTTCTCACGGCGCTCGCCCTCTTTGATCGGGACCTTCCCCCACATGGACGTGACGAGAGCAACTGACTCGTAGAAGGCCTCGCCGTAGAGGCGGGCAAACATGAGAACGTTAATGAGCGACGGACCCAGCGGTTTTTGCACCGAGATGGGGTGCAGGAAGACAACGCCACTGAGCTTCTTGCCCTGCTTGAACATTTCCAGCAGCCAGACGGCGATGGTGCGCAGCTTCTCCACATCAGACTTGTCCCCTGCGTCGCTGAACCCAGGCGTGTCGATGAGATGCACCCGTAGATGGTCATTGTACATGAAGGGGGAGCCCGCCATCCCAGCAGTGCTGTCTGTTGCCTATTAGCTTGTGGATTGCAGGACAGCAATAGATCGTAGTCAACTTACAATGCTGAGGCCGCTGTTTGCCAGCGCAGGTTGATATGAACGACGACTTGCCGGCGCCAGAAACGCCGACGACGGCGACGTAGGCATCTTTTATTGGAGTTGGAGTTGCATCTGACATTGTGCTTGAAGATGCATTAACTATCGGTAGGTTGCCCAGGGGCTTGAGGGGTAGTATGGGGTTGGCAGGAGAAGCCATCGAGAAGCTCAACACTTAATTAACGTCGCTAACGATGAGATGTGAAGTGAGGGTTCCGATATCCAAAACCTGAGTGGACTCTGAGCGTATGAGACTAGTTGCAGGGTCTTGGAGCAGGAAAGCAGTCACTCGTCATGTAGATAATCCAAGGTATAAATGCTATTTTCGACTCTACCATCATTCGGTGCTTGCTAAGGATGCCAAAGAACAAGAAGCCCAACACACCCTACCATACTGAATTTAATGAACATAAACTGGAGTGAATAAACAAAAAAATCCAGAAAGGCATCTGGTATCACGCTGCGAGACGAATTATGGAGTGGGAAAATATTAGGGTATCAATCAGGTTGAAAGTGAGGGCAATAACCTGTCAGGCTGGAACTGAGAGTCGAAAGCAAGAGCGAGCCACTCACCCAATAGTCGGATAACACCTGGCTGCAACAGAGATGACTACCTCTGAACTTGTTCGGTTTCCAGCAAATGAGCGCGTGGTCAACCAGCGAGAAACATCTGCCTCACGTCGATGTCAAGGAGCCTTACCTCAAAGGAAAACGTTGAGATCTTTTAAATCACTGGCATCATTAATTGCCTCCCAAAGCACATGATATGCACGCCCACCGCAAGCGAGGAAGCTAACAAATAAAGGCCAAGATACGGTCTCATGCTCATGCTTAGCTGGGAGTCATCATGACTACCTCCTGTAAGACTTGTCCTCGCTGCTAGGTAGCTAAGGTAGCGACGAGCACACCATCGCCATGCATGTCAAAGAAGCTGGTGTTAAGTGGACTGATGATACCAGCAAGCGCGCAAAACCCCGTTTTGTTGCTCTTTGTTGGTTGGGCACTTTTGTCACTTTGTGAAATGGTGCAGTGAGAAATGCCCATGACTTTTCTCACAACGACGATGAATCACTCTCATGACTATTTCCCCGTAAGTACAAGGCATTAGTACCTACATGTATTCTAATTGCATAGGTACTAGATGTCTTACCTAGACTTTCCTGCAGTATGCTTGAACTGGGACACAAAGCTTGATGAGTTCGAGTTGGGCATCAGTAGGTCTGAGGCGCATTGTAAGGGAAGGGTAACTTGGGCCGGATCACAACATGTCTTTGGCCTTCTGTGTCGTAAAACACAAGTAAACCACCTAAAGGCGAATCAACCTTAGTGAGCACGGGCGGGACCGAAAACGACATGAAATAAAGTGCTGACATAGAGTAGTAGTAATGCAGGTTGGATCTCACCAAGCAGGGTATTCCTGCAGGTCATCGGCATGATGTCAATCATCTTCGTAACCAATATCATCTTCGATCGCTTTGCGCTATGTACCAGGCAACACAAGTATCTACTACTACCAGGCTAAGTACACGAGATCACCCCGAGTCTCCTCACCTAGGTCTGACACATCTACCCTCAATAGATGGAATCCGAGTCGGCTCAGACAACCGGCGCCCTCTTCTCCATCGTCATGCGCATATTCTCAAAGTAGCTCACACCGCCCTTGACGACATACTTTGCGGGCTGCTGCTTGTTGGTCAAGGTCGGTCGGAAGCAGCGGAAGAACTGCAGCGGCGCCTTGAACAGCTCCATGTGGGCGATGTCCTTGCCCAGGCAGATGCGCGCGCCGTATCCAAAAGCCATGTTGTACTTGTTGTACTCGGCCGCCCGAGCAGGATCCTCCAGCCAGCGCTCTGGACGGAACACGTCGGCGTCCGGGCCGTAGAGGTTGGGATCCCGGTGTACCAGCCAGGGGTTGCACGTCACCTCGGTGCCCTCGGGCACGTGCATGCCGGGTCCGTCTCCGAGCGTCAGCCCCCCTGCGGGCGCCAGGCGCGGGAAGATGTTGGGTGCGGCCGGGTTGAGCCGCATGGCCTCGCGAACGCAGGCCACGTAGTACGGGCAGTGCGTCATGACCTGGTCGTATTGGGGCATCTCGCCAGACGGCGCGAGCTTGCCGGCCCGGGTCGCCGCGTCAATCTCGGCCAGCAGCTTGTCGTAGACAGCCGGGTTGCCGAGAATGTGCAGAATCAGCGCCTGGAAAGTGGTGCCAGTCGTGTCGGCGCCCGCGAGGAGCACAAGGAGAATCTCGGCTTTGATGTAGTCGAGGCTGAGCGGCTTGCCGTTCTCGTCCCTGGCTTCGATGAATGTCTGAAGGAGATCGACGCGCCCGTTTGTGGTGCCAGCCTCAATGTCCTTGAAGCGCTGCTCGATGAGGCGGTCTCGGAAACGCATCAGGATGCCGATTCCAGAGTCCTGCTCCGGACTGGCCACCAGGTACTTGCCGAGGAACGTGCTCTTGACCCAGTTGGTGAAGGGGTAAAGCCGTGCCATGATACCAAAAGCCGGCAAGCCGTCGTGGAATCCCTGGATGAGACCGCCCACGTCCTCGCCCTTCTCGATAAAGCCAAAGGGGGCGCCAAAACCAATGGACGAGATGACGTCGTAGGCTACGTAGACGGCCCAGGGTGCAAAGTCGAACTCCTTGCCCGTTCCCGCAAACTGCGCGCCAAGCTTGTCTATCCATCTCTGAATCTGCTCGTCAATGAGCGGCTCCATCTTCTTCACGTTAGAAAAGCTGTATGGGGCTGCGGCAATCTTGCGGAAGCGCGCGTGGACGGCGGCGTCCTGCATGTTGAACAGAGACTCATCCTTGCCAAAGCTGCCTGTAATGTAGTGCTTCGACTTGCTCGCGTTGCGGTTGTAGATGACAGGGAGTTTGGTGGCGTCGCTCACGAGGAGCATAGTCGGAGTGATGCGTATAATGGGACCTGCGTGACGGTCGTTAGCAAGCTTCATGCCGGCAGCCAGGGCGACGGCTCCCTCGACTCGGCCCTTGGTGGCCCTTGGTACTCACCATGTTTCTTGTGTAGCTCCTGGAAAACGGCACATTCATCTCCCTTGACGTTGTGGTAGGCGATCCATAACCTGGTAACGCTGGCCCAGAAAGATCCGGGGAACTTGGAGAGCGGGTGGAAGAAGCGGTAGTAGACGATCTGGTACAGCGCGCACCAGGCGATGTAGCCCAGCGCCAGGAGGGCGAGGTTGCCAACGCTGAGGAGAGCCATGGATGGAGGGCCGACCAGCGGAGCCAAGAGAGTTGCTGTAATTTCCTGCCAATCTTGGCGGCACTCTTCGAGATGACTCCCAGGGCCGCAAGGCGCACAATGTGGTCGAGGTGGTGAAGGAAACGGAGGAGGAAGAGGGAAAAAGAAACGAGCTCATACTGTACCTACGTACAATACAATACACTCCGAGTCCACCTCAAGCCCCTCGCCTATTGTAGCGAGGCTTCCCCGCCACCTCCAATGTCCATCTGAGTATTGTTGCATTCATCACGCATGTATCGTCGCTAATTGGGTCTAGCAAAGCTGCAACAATTCTCCACCGCCCTCCCTTCTTCTTTCCTTACACATGTTAGTGTGGTATGTATGTAGGAACAATACTGTACGATACATGCAGTGATGCTGTTGTAGGATTGGTCCCGAAACTGAAATGCAGTTCGGTGATACCGGTATGGCATGGCGCTCTCGTGTCGGTTCGTCGGTGTTGGCTTGGCCACCCACAGTGTGGGCCACGATTTGTTTTAGTGCTTACGCCCGAGGATCCTGGTTCGGTCTGAAGCGAACCCCGGCAAATGCCAACCATCCATATCCTTGGGTCCACAATGTGTTGAACACGCCCGGAATCCGTTCCGGCAGACGAACCATGTGGGCCCCATGTTTCCGCACCGGTACTTATCCACCAATGTTTAGCTTCGGAACTTGTTGGGAATGAGCAACTTGGGCTACGTTGCTAAGAGCACACTGCTCTTGACGCTCGGAATCAATATTGAGCAACCTAGGTCTTGATATTTTCCCCATGGGCTTCACCGACCGCTGAAGCCCTAGCCACGTGCTTTGGACGGGGAACGAGGAACGAAGAAAAGCAATTGACGAGAGCTGGAATCGATGGAATCGCGTGGTCCACCAGTCAGAGCCAACGATTGGCAGATGCAAGGAATTCTGCTGCGGGACGTCCCATCCTGATGGGGAATGCAACTGAGGAATCAACGGTGGCTTGGCTTGGCAACCCCACATCCTTCCAGAACCAGACAAGATCTGCTCGGGGAAGGAGCGGCGACAGCCGAAGTAACGTTATGAGACTCACCGTGAGGATCTGTAGTGCAGAACTTTACGTGTACAACACGACCATGGATGGGGCTTCGGGAAGTACCTGCTTCTCAAGTTCTCATGGATTTTTTTTCTCAAATCAGACTTCTCTTGCAAGTGGCCAAACTTCCAATGTCGGCGATTATTCGGCAATCTTAACTAATTCACCTCTTAGCCAATCCGCCTCCAGTTCAGGTTGAATTACTTAGTAGGTAATAGTTTACTACTAAGCTAGCAAGATATTCCTTACTAGTATACAGTACTAAATTAAGTCTTCTTGAACCTGTCGGCTGTCAATTCGTACTGGCGGTTGACAATTTGCTCGGGAAAACTTGCAGTCTTTCCAGGTTGCTGTCTTGCAGAATGCAGATCGTCGGCTGAGGTGGCGGCGGAAGTAACCTTAAGGGGTTGACGTTGGATTTAGTCTGTCATTGGATGCCGGGCCTTGTTCCTCAATGCCGGGTATCAATGCACACTTTGGACAACCTCAAAATTCAAAATGTGAAGTGTCCAGCTCCTCCTCGGGCCATCTCACCGCAGTCTTTCTTTCACCGGTCACCACCCGCTCCCTGTTTTCTCCACCGTTTTGCGGTGCCCCTACGGATACTGGCGCCTGAAATCGGTCGATTATCGACTCCCAGCTCCAGTTTGTGGATGCCATGGCTGAGACGCAGGGCCCGACAGTCGTGGCGGTAGCCATCGTCTTCGCCGTCATCTCTGTTCTGACCATTATTCTACGGCTCCTCTCCCGAACCCTCATAGTTGGAAAGCTGAGCCCCGACGACTGGATCATCTGCGTCGCCGTCGTTATTTCCTGGGCATTCATCGGCTGCACCATTGCCTCGGTTCAGTATGGCCTCGGAAGCCACATGGAAGATGTCTTAGTACGCGGAACCGACAATATGATCACCTACGCCCAGGTGGTTTGGTTGTCATCCATCTTTTACAATGCCTGCCTGGGCTTCATCAAGTGTTCGGTACTTGCGCTATACATGCGTCTCGGCGATCCGAACCTACGGATGCTCTCAATGATCATGACTGGCGTGGTGTTTTGCCAGGCTGGTGCCAATGTCTTCGCCTGCATTTTCCAATGCTCCCCTATTTCGGCCGCCTACGATATAACCATTCCCGACGACCAAAAGCGCTGCGTTAACATCAACGCCTTCTACCTCGCCAATGCCGCCGTCAACATCCTCACCGATCTCTTGACCTATACTCTCCCTATTCCCCTTGTGTTGAAGCTCCAGGTACCTAAGCGGCAGAAAATTAGTCTGGCGGTTATCTTCGGTCTCGGACTGCTGTAAGTTTCCATCCCCGTCCACTGCGTAGCAAAGTGTCAAGACTGACATCAGCTCCCTCCTAAGCGCTTGCGTCTCATCCATCATCCGAATCACCTACATCCCGCAGATGCTAGCATCAACCGACCAAACTTGGACCATTGCGGGCGCCATGTACTGGTCCGTGATTGAGACCAATGTCGGCATCCTCGCTGCCTCCATCCCGTCCTACAAGCCCCTGGTCAAGCGGTATGCGCCGCGGCTTTTGGGCAGCTATGCCGTCCGCGACGACAACAAACACTCCGGGTTTAAGATGATGGGGTATGGCAAGTCGACAGGCAGTAAGAAGGACCAGAGTGCACTCGAGGTGCAGAGTGGCAACGCGCCCGACACCCTGCGCAAGGGCCAGTCGACTTTCGTCACGCATACGAAGACGGGTATTCAAGACAACAGCAGCGAGGAGGAATTATTTGCCCCTATCGGCAGAATTGGCGTGAAGACCGAGATTGTTCAAGAGTTCGACCGAGCTGGCCCGAGCAGGGAGCCAAGTCCCCTCTCGAGTCGCACCCCCGGGAACTGAGCAACTGAAGACGGGAAAGGAGGCTGGCTGCAAGATGTGGAGAGCGTGGCTTGTAAGATGAATGATGGTCATGTCAAAGTGTAAAAGAGTATATACTGCCTACCATAGACTGGGGGGGTCGGTTGCACAAGCATGAGTCACGGTGAGGATAGAGCGTCAACTACACACGACACATACAACTGAAGATATAGGTCTTTTAGCTAATAGCCTTTGAACATCTCAAGGCAGTATAAAACTTAAATCAAGATATAGACAATGAACGAGAAACATACCCTACTAAGGCTACTATTTTCCTCCACGAGTCGGCCTCTACAGGTTGTCAAGTGTGTCATCATATTCGTATCTTTTGTTTTGAATTGATGAATCTGGCCGTCTTTGCCCAGCAGGCCCGGGGAGTATGTGCACAGAGTATCAGACCGTCACCAGCGCAAGCGTCACTTGTGGAGTGGTCAACTAACTCAACTTAGAAAGATTAAGCGTGCCATGATCGCATCCACATACTCAGTGGTACTGGCCAACCTAAACCCCGTAGTGCAGCGTCTGGCTGTTACGTAGACCGAATTGTAAAATCGGGGAGGAGCATGCGTATCTGTCGTATTAGTGATCACAGTGTTCAAATTTCACTGCAATGTCAACGTTTGCTCAGAGCTTACGCGGCTTTCCGGCTCCGCCTCAACACAATCGTGTGCACATTGTCGAACACCAGGTAAGATCGAGTCGGCACCGGGACGAGAATCGGCCCAGCACCAACACCAACACCGGCCTTGAAACGCAACGTGCGGATGTTCACGCATGCTGTAGCCGGTGGTCAAAACCTGTCTGCAATTTTTACGGTATATTAAGACTCAAGGCGCTGTCGACATGAGCCAGTGATATAAACAATTTCCATGATCTGGACAATTCATCCCTGGCTCTGGTAAGCGACAAACCGCCAGCCATTGTACCTTATCCAAATTACGTCTCTGGACTTTTACCTTCGCCCACCGATTCCCGACTCCTGAGTTGCATTGCTAAGCAGCCCGAGTTATACGATGAGGAATTCTGGCCTTCTAGCCGCACTCCAAGCTGTGTTGGTTACTATTCTATACCATGATATCGGGGTTGAAGCCAAGTGCGGTCCCTCGCCCAAGGCATACTGCGTTAGCTCATCCTCGCCATTCTGCAGAACCCGCCCGAAACTTGCTAATCTGCTCGCAGTGCCGCACGCTGGCCGCGAGGCTGGCGGACAAGGTTCTCTTTCCCAACGACACGGCGTACAACGAGCGACTTGACACGTACTGGTCAGTGAGCGCTGCTCTGAGTCCGTGGTGTATGGTCCTGCCTTCCACGGCCGAAGATGTTTCTACCATCATCAAGACCGTGGTTGCTGGGAATTGCCCTTTTGGTATCAAGGGAGGCGGCCATGGTACTTTCGCAGGCTCGAACAGCATTGAGCATGGCGTGACCATTGACTTTGGTAATTACTAACATCTCCCCTATTGACTCATCCTTCAATGAGACAAATCTGCCCTAACGGTTGATCACTTGATCCTCAATAGGCAACATGAACTCAACCACCTACCACCCAGAAACCGAGATTGCCTCGATCAAGCCAGGCGGTCGCTGGCAAGAAGTGTACGAGACCCTAGCACCATACGGCGTGACAGTTACCGGCGGCCGCGCAGGCACGGTCGGGATCGGTGGCTTCATCACCGGCGGCGGCAACTCGTTCCACTCCTCTTCGCACGGCATGGCCTGTGACACGGTTGTCAACTTCGAAGTTGTTCTCGCCGACGGGTCTATCGTCAATGCCAACGCCAACGAAAACCCTGACCTTTGGGTTGCGCTAAAGGGAGGATCAGCTAACCTCGGTCTGGTCACCCGCTTCGACCTGCGCGTCATCAAGTACCCTGATCCGACGCGTCCTGATCTCTGGGCCAGGTTCATCTCGTTTGACCCCGCAGACGGCGATGATGTCATTGAGGCTATGGTTAACTTCACAGAGAATGCCCACACTGACCAGAACACTACCTCGATCATGTACTTTGGGCACATCCCTGCCGCTGGCGGGAGTGTTCTCCATCTTGCCCTCGAAAACACGTTGGGCACTGTCAATCCTCCCGCGGCTGACGTCTACCTCAGCGCTGGCCGGGTCTTGTATGACAACGGGGGTCTCGTGTTGCCCATGGCTGACATCGTTCGGTCGGAGAATCCTGCTCAGTTGGCAGGCTTCAGGTAACCAAAACGGACTGTACTGATCCAGTAACAGAGCGCTAATTCCATGTCCACAGACAAATTTGGTTTACACTCTCCTTCGCAAATGACGCGCGAGTCATAAAGTACGCTGCCGAACAACATGCACTGGCTGTCAAGAGACTGTCCGAGACTTTGTCCCCCGACAGCAACTTCACCACCATGTGCGCTTTTCAGCCGCTAAACAAAGTGATCGCCAAACACGGCGTCCAAAACGGCGGCAATGTTATGGGACTGGATTACTGGATGCGGAACGGCAGCAACGGCATAATGTTCGTGGCTGAACTCGGCCTGCACGGCGCTGAAAACGAGGAAAAGGCATACCCAATCATAAAGGACTGGACAGACGCGGTTGATTCTTATGCCAGGGAGTTGGGCGTCGGCTGGGCCTGGAAGTATCTGAACTACGCTGGGCGGGAGCAGAATCCCTTGTCGACCATTGGACCTGATGCCTTGAAGAAGTTACGGGTTGCGTCGAGGAAATATGATCCCAAGGGCGTCTTTCAGACTTTGCGGGCGTCGGGGTTTAAAATTCCGCGGGACCGTCAATGAGTAGGTTTGGATGCCTGACGACGGGCCAATCTTCGAACTCGTCGTGATTATTATCCACGTCTGATCTGGCGGCTGCTTCGTCGTTCACGAGACTTTTTCCAACCCGAATGACATTCAAAGCGTCCCATAATCGCATCCACATACTGGCTAACCTAGATCCCGTAGTGCAGCGTCTGGCTGTTATGTAGGCTGAGTTGTGAGTGGACGGCACAGGTGCACAGGGAATGCGCGCACTTCTGACGGGGTTTGGTTGCCTAGATTTTGAAGCCAATAAGCTTTGGAAACTTGCGCCTTGGGCCGCGGCCGGCCGCCCTCGGCAGCGTAGCGTCAGATATCACCATACGGAATCGTGGACATCATGAGGTGGTGCTTTTCCCTCTGGTCTTCAGTGTAGATGATATCAATGTCAAGGGCCCGATGCTTGTATGGCACCCTCAGACGGTTCCAGAGGCTTTAGGTTTGCGATTTGAATCAACCGAGAGGGTCCCAGTCATCTGTCATGGTGCCAACACCGGCACATATCCGCTCAGTCTCAGACTGCGACCGACTCAGACAAGCTGCCCGAATCATCAATGAGCGCCTCAACTGGTGTCTCTCGGAACATGCCAACACCCGCTGCGCAACAGCCTCCAACGCTGCTGTCCCCAAACGGCTCATCTATTTGGACCCGTCAACACGCAAAGCCCGTCTCGTCCCCACGCCGTCTCCCCTTCCCCGATATGCCATACTTTCGTACGTCTGGGGTGCCGAAGGGGACAATTTCCGCACGGTTCGCAAAAATGTCAAGCAGATGCATGCCGAGATCCCTTCGTCCGACCTCCCCCTCACCCTCCAGCACGTCTTCCAACTCGTTCATTATCTGTCGCTCTCTTATCTCTGGGTGGACGCACTCTGCATTGTGCAGGACAACGACGACGACAAGGCGACCGAGATCGTCAACATGGCTTCCACTTACATCAACGCGTTTATCCAGATCGCGGCCATGTCCTCTCCTGGTGCGCGCCACGGCCTCTTTGCCCATGATGATGGAGAGCTTTCCTTGGATGAGCACCACCAAATCATGAAGGTCTGTCGTTCGCTGCGCCAACACGACTGGGACTCGACCCTATACCATCACTATCGCCTCTTGACTCGCGGTTGGACGTTCCAGGAGCGCATCCTGGCGCGGAGGTGCGTGCACTTTACCAAGAAGGAGCTTGTGTGGGAGTGCAAGAGCGCGCGGTGGTGTGAATGCGGCGAGATCGGTGACAAGATGGACGGCCATGCCTTGATCAACAATATGAGCGCGGCCCTCGAAGCTTGCATGACGCTGTCCAACGGAACGGAGAGAAGAGGGAGAGTCTCGCCACTCTGGAGGGAATGCGTCATGAGCTATTCGAAGCGGAACCTGGGCAAGGCAAGCGACAGACTTGCGGCCATCTCGGGCATTGCAATGCTCTTGCAGCCGCCGGGGGGCGAAAAAGAGTATCTTGCGGGGCTGTGGAAGGAAGCCATGCCGTTTGACCTGCTTTGGAGGTGTGATCAGACGGCCCGTTTGAAGGATAGAAAACTATCCCAACCTTTCTGGTCTTGGGGCTCTGTACATTGTGGTGTTAGCTGGCCGACTGCGAAACCTTGGACGGGAGAACCAAGATTGTGCCCGTCCGAAGTAGACTCGTCACTGGAGGCATCACTCACGTATCTCACTTCGGGGACCTATTTCGAATATGGACTGATAGGTGTCCCTGTCCGCCATGTCGAGGTGAAGGCAATCAATTCGCGATTCGGGGAGATCGAGTGGGGAGTTGTAGTCTTGTCGTCAAGAAAGGTTCCAGTGCAGATACGGAAACGCCGCGAACAGGAAGGCCAAGGCAGCGAACAAACTGACTGGATTGTTGAGGGCACAGGTTCTGGTCTTCCTTTCTACCCAGATGTCCAGTTTACGGAGGAGGGGCGCGAAGCAGGCGTTGACGGATGCGTGGAGTATTGGCTAGTTGAGATTGCATCGGTTTCGCAAGGTCAGAGAACCTGGGAAGCGGGACTGGTCGTCAGAGAAGCAATTGGTTGGGCCGGTGCATATGAACGGGTCGGGATTGCTGGATACAGCGTGTGTGAGCCAAGGGAAGGTATGCAATGGTTTAGATCGGAACCGGAGGATATCACGTTGATTTAGTGGTCGTGACGCATGTTCGGGAGACTGCGACGACAAGGCAAGGGAAAGCCGGGAACAATGTGAGAGACAGGTAACATGGAAGGTTTTGCAGGTCGAACAAAATTAAAGGAAAGGAAGATCAAAAAAGTACATACAACACCAGGGATTCGCTGGTCGTCACCGACCCAACTACTAATCTGGCCCTTACTGGTTTATCTTGGGGAGAGCGGACGGGATCCCGAGCTTTCCAGTAGGTATGGTCGTATGTGATAGGATGGCAAAATCCTTCGTATTATATTCTCAGTGGCGTTTGATAAGAGGTATGCTCTATCCTTTCACAAAACTCACATCAACATAGGTGGGTATGCTGTAGCCTGTTGGGTAAGGACTGTTGTGGAGAGTTACGGCCATTCTATTCAAGTTCGCCTTTGACTGCCAATGCTTCCATATCGTTGAGTGTCCGACTATTCGCCTCTTCCATCTCCAGCAAGGTGTTTCACTCTCGATCATGTGTGCGAAGAGCTGCTGGTACATCCAAAGGTCCTAATTTACCTAAGGTATCTTCCCTGATTTATCCATTGTCCATGGCGATATGGGAATTTAAACTCAAGAAGCGCACCGCCTTCAGATACCGGGATTTAGACCTGAGCCTCCTCCTGTCTAGTCTTACATCGAACAATCCGATGACCCTGATCAGGCGGCATACTACGCAACGTGCCTCTACAAGCACATGGAAAGTGCGGGAAAGCTTAGGTATTCTCATTGTTGGAGCACGGTTGGAAACTGCAAGCAATCGATACCATCCATGTGTTTCTTAGTCCAATCCAAGTTTCTTGCTGTACATTGAAAATGCCACTGTGAGCCAGATCCAGCCGGTGCTCTATCCATTAGTTCGAATGCTGATCGAGAGTGACTGAGCGGACTTCCGCTAACTGACCAACGTACAGACTCCAAAATCGCGAATCATTCTGCCTACTACAACCATGCCGCCCACTGCGGGAACCGCAAAGATCGAAATAACTGCGACCAACTCCACACGGCCTTCTGAATCAAACCCTAGACGCCTGGACAGTCTAGGAACCGGAACGAAGCCGAAATACATCCCATATATCATACCAATGACAAGCCAGGACATGGTAAAGCCCCTTTCTGTTTGCGTACTATTGCCCGGTTGGAAGCCTGAGAGACCTCCGACGACGGCAAGCGGGACAAAGTTCAGGAGGATACTCAGCCTTAGAACATTTATCGTTGACCACTCTCTTCTAACAAGAGGTGTGGTCGGACTCGGACCAGGCCACCCGTGCGATTCTTGCCAGCCGGCATGGATTGCCCCCTTGAAGAAGGCTTTCCTCTCATCCTCTGCTTGCTTCAGTATTGGGGTTCGGATAACAAACAGAGCCGGGTATTCTGGAGTAACCAGGTTTGCCACCAGATTCATTACCGACATAAAGGCGTAGGGAGCAACCGTCAAGCTAAACGCGGCATATCCGTACTGTTGCACCTGATCTCCTCGCGCCCGATAGATAGTGATGGTAGCCCAAATCGCCTGAACCAAGCTGATGGATAGCTTAAGGCGGTTATGACTTGACGATAAATGGGGATTCGAATGCTTAAACTCAGGATCCGATTCGACTAGCAACCCGGCAGTTTCAGCGCCAGGGTCGGATTCGAGGTGGAGCATAGCCGTGAAGGGCACGATAGCCAGGTAATAGTCCTCATGGAGCCAATACTCGCCGTGGATCTGGCTGTCTGGAAGGACTGCTCTATAGCCACGGGGAGGATTCCACCAAGGAGACGCTGGTGCTCGGGTGATGTCGCTTTGGTCAAAGATCGTGGCTGAGAGTTAGTTAGGTACGCTAAAGTATAGAGTTGACAGAATGCAGTTCCAAGCACTTACCGTTCGTTATCCGCATTGGGTTCGCCGCGTTCTAGGTCGACATCTCTGGCACTTCGTTCCCCTTGTAAAGCTAGCGGCGCCGTGGCGGAGATCTGTTGCCCTTTTGCATGGCCTTGGTGGGAGACCTCCACACCATCACCGTTGGATTCCGAGGGCGCAACCTGCGCCGGGCTTTGCTCGACAGTCAGGTCTGACCTAGACCAACTGAAGACCTTGCTGAAGACAGGACGCAGTATTCCTCGTAGGTTCAAAAACTTCAAAACAGTATCAGAGGCTGTAAGCCTGTCAAGGAGAGAACGCAGTCTTTCTCGTTCAAGTTGTTGGTTGGAAACGGCATCAGGGACTGTAGGAAGGTCCCGAGGGGTGACAACCGGGGGAATTTCATCTGCGCTAGGCTTCTTCCACGCAGGGAGGACGATACAGAGGGCGCCAGCCCGAGCGGCACGTCTCAAGGGGTTCCTGCGTTCCGTTGCCGCGTGACGTACAATGGCAGTAACCGCCCTAACGATTGCGCTGCCCGGAAGGGTGAGGGCGAGGAAAATGGAGATGGCAGTAGACTCAAAGCCCTGGCCGGGAACTGGCACAACCGTGGCGGCATGGGCAAAGTAGTTTCCGAAGAAGAAAATGACAAAATCATACCACTGCGCCGGGGTACACAGCAGCTTTGAATTGCCGTGGTTCGTGGTACCTTCTGGCACAGTGAGGGTGAAGTTCATTTCTGCCAGGCTTTTGGTGACAGGTGGTGACACGGGACGCTGGCGAGGCTCGGCACGCTGTGAGGTTAAGGAAACGCGGAGTGTTGGGAGTATGAAGGAAGTCTGAGACTTTGAGTCTCCTAAAAGAACTCGAATCACCAACCTCAGGCGAGTAGCCCCTACTTGTATTAAAGAGCATGGGGGTCCCGAGCTTTCTGCCGGGCATGCGGCAAATTGGCCTCATCTTTAAAGAGGGTGGGTGTCCTGCAGTCCCCGGTGGTAGAGCTTGAGGTGCAGATAGATATGGTCGGCGAGTATGGCTCGCAAGGCTGGACAAAATGCTGCCCTACACACGGATAGTCGGATACTACTGCTCATAGCGAGCTGGTGTGGTGGGATTATTGGTTTCCTGCAGAAGATTATCAACTTACCAAACATTGGGTGGGGAAGGAAGATTTCAGCCTCGTGGACAGAATGGTCCCGGTGGAAGGCAAGACGGGAGTCGGGCTTAGATTCAACCAGTTTGAGGGAAAGAGAAGAGAAGTGTCTGAGACACTGCTATGCAGCAACTTCGCAGTCTGCAATGCAGGTGCAACTCTGGCACACTAAGCACAGTTATAATCTGTCCAATGGAAATCGTTAAGGATGGCCGCTACAAGTCATCAGGGATTCGTGACTCCTGCTTGGCCAATGACATCATTGCTTCCCTTGCTTAACAATCGATCGCCATCCGCCAAGGTTGCGCGCAACGTCAGTTCCAGCCGACTCGCTGGGGAGAAAGCCTGATTTTGGAACATTCCATTTGTGCCTGTCAGTCTAAAACTTAAAGTGCCTTGTCCTCTTGCAGTAAAGGTGGCCGAGTCGTAGCTGGACTGAGATTCGACAGCCTCGTCAGAGTGAAGATTGCACACGTTGTCCAAACGCTCTGTTTATTCCCGGGAACGATCGCCGCACACACCTTTCTTCTCACCGAGGGGCGTTAGGTGACACGTCCACCGCAATTCAGCAGCCACAGCCGTGTGCCACCTCGTGACCCCTAGGCCCCTTATTTAGGCATAGAGCGCCAATTATCCTGTTGCAGCTCTTCCATAAAAGAGAAGGGGAAGACCGAGTATATGCTTCGACCAGAGAGCGACCTCTCTTCGACCACCTAGGAAACTTGGATCCCCCGTCAGGGGATTTCGAAACCCATCACCAAAGACCCAAAAGCAATGCCGCGCTACCATTCCGACTCCGACTCGTCCGATTACACTCCCCGGCAGCGGGCCCGCTCCCCAGGGAGGCGACGACCGGCGACCCCCGGCCCACGGCTCCGGGCGCGGGATCTGTCCGAGGACAGACAGGCGTCAGCAGCGGGGCCCTACGCTGCCGGAGCGATGCCTGCGCGACTCCAATATGAGGAGCACACTCCCTTCTATCCGCCCGCCCGGCGCGCCGACGGACCCACCACCACGACCGACGCCGCTCTTTTGGCGCCCACTGGCAGGCGCAGGGAAGACGATCGGCCCCGACGGCCGCGCGCCGCGCGCTCATCCTCATCCTCGTCCTCCTCGTCCTCCTTCCGCTCCCCTTCCCGGTCGCGCTCCCATCGCAGCCGTAGATTGAGCTCAGCAAAGGACAAAGCTCGCGAGATCATCAACTCGACCTTCACGCCGTCCACGTCTGGCCTGGGTGTAGGGGTGCTGGGCGCGATAGTCGGCGGGCTGGCGGCGCGTGAGGCCAGCGAGGCGGTTAGCAATAGTCATCATGGCGGCGGCCACCACCATCACCATGGTCATGGGCATGAGAAGAGGGATGACAAGGGGGCGTTGCTGTCAACCATTGTCGGCGCGGCGGTGGGCGGGCTAGGGGCGAACGCTATCGAGAAGAAATTTGAGGATCGACGGTCGGCATCCAGGGAGAAGGATTGGGAGCGGGATAGAGATAGAAGGGAAGGAGGGAGGCGAAGTGGGGAGTGGAGGCGGTATTGAGTGACTTTCGCCCCGTTGAGTGAAATCGTTAGAGGCTTTTTGCTGGCGTCTTGAGCAAATGTCTTTCGTTTCTCATGTCTGGTGGGCGTCTGGCCTGGTGGGCGCTTGGCTGATGGCTTGATGACCAAACGTGTATTGGTTCTGGTACAATACTTGGAGGTGGGCCAACATGGTCCAGGGCTAGCAATGGGTAAAGACTGAATGAGCATATCCTAGCAGACATTAACATTAAACAATGAAGATGACTCTTCTACCAACTTGAACTCTTATACATGGCCGGGCGTGACTTCGTAACTCGTAGCAAGACGAACCACATTCACTGGCTGGGCGAATACGTCAGCACATATGGTAGGTCCGTGGCGTCATTGGCCCCAGCCAGCCGGATGACTGAACCCTCACCAACCGATCGCAGGCTGCTAGCACTGCTCGACGTCCGACCGGCCGGGTATGGCTGCTTCGTCTGAGCAAAACTAGCCGAGCTAGACTGCCTTGAGAGGCCAGTGTGTCTGCTTCTGGGCGTTGTAGGAGCAGTTCGGTATTGCCAGGTATTTGCTGACGAATGGCGCGCGCCAATTCCCGGCCGCAGGCGTCCTGAGCTCTCCGTACTTGAGCTTCCTCTGCGCGCAAAGCTCCCAGCGTCGTTGGCGTTGCCACCCGTTGTCCTCATGTCTCGGGCAGCGGTGCCAAAACTCGAGGGGCTTGTCCCGCGTGGCGCATCATTGTCGATGTCGCTTTCCGAAGGAGAGCGGCTTGACGCGTCGTCCTCGTCACCTTGGTATCTCACCAGGGCCGCATGACTGAGGGGATGCATATTCCGCAGAATCTCAGCGAAGAGGTGCATCAGGGTACGGAACTGATCGTTTGTAAGGGGACGTGCAGAAAAGCGTGCGGCTTCGTACTTGGCAAGAAACTCGCTGGTCGTTGGCAGTGGTGCAAGAACCGCCAGATCGGTGAGATGCATCAGATAGTCGCGCAGTCCCATCGATTCTGGCCGCTGGAGGAGAGCAACTGCGTCGGGATTCAGGACAGGTGGCTCAACGTTGGATTCCGGGTCGGGAGGGGCCAGAGTGAGAGCCTTGGCCTCGATCAGGTTCGGTAATTCCAAAACAACCGTGTCATACTGCAGATTCGGCAAGTCAGGGGATGTAGGCGAGGCCCAACCAGGGTGCTCAATCTCGCCCCATACAGGCTTGCGCTGAGCCAGATCGACAAGGAGGTCCCTATCCGACTCGTGGCTTTTCCTCAGCTTCGATAGCCATGGCGGCGATGTAGCCGATTTGGATGATGCCGCTAGATTTTCACCACCAGGGTCCACAGCAGGCCGTTGCATGGGGACGACTGGTGGCACACGGGGTCTGGACTCATATGCAATCGCGGCGCTCCTGCTGAGATCCTCGGAGATCATCGCGTGCACATCGTGGGGGACGTCGCCTTTATCGATAGGGATCCATGGCTTTGGGATTGATGCCAGCACTGAACGAATGATGTACAGGCGACTGGCGTAGATAAAGATGACGCTGAGGATGGTCACGATGTAGCAGAGGGTAATGATGAGGATATCGTAGTTGGAGCGGCGCGGTATAGCCTGCTGAATCAAGTCGCTGGGCGTGACGATGATGAAGGCGATCAGAACGAGATAGAGTAAATAGTACAAAAAGTTATAGACGACGGAAAAGAAGAGCGATGTGGTCGACATGATGATTTTGCTATTGGCGGTACCTGAACCGTTTAGGGCTCAGAGCGGCCGTCGACACTGGGCTGAACTCGGGGCACGCTGTGTGCGCCGTGTGCGACAGTGGCAAGTGAGAGAAATTCATGACTGCGAAGGCAAAATTTGAGCAGAGGGAACCTGGAATGGCAGAATCTGTAGAGTTGCTCTTGATAGGACTCAAAACCCGGGGACGACTGGCATGGTATCCATGGGCATCCAGAGGGCTCGCGACGGAAGCTTGGAAGCTGCGTTTGGAGGTAAGGAAGCTCAGGAAAGACTTGGGCAAGCGTTCAGGAGGTTACTCGCCAAGCCTGTAGTTTGTCGATCGGACCAATAGCGAGGCTCTAACTCACTGAGCAAGGGTGAGGTCACTGAGGTGCCATGTTCTGCCGTCACCACTCACCGCCTTAAGATAGAACGGTCACCAGCATAGCGAGCATGTGTAAGACAGCGCCTTGAGAGTTGAGAAGGCGGCAAGTTTAAGAGTTCAGGTAGAATACTGTATTCTTGAACGTTCGCTAGGTGCGTAAGCAGGTAAGGATAGGTGTCTAACTATGCTATAAAAGAATTTGGCTCGAATTTAACAGACACTGCACCTCTTGCTTTGTATATACCTAGATACCTGTTTATATAAGGTATCTTAAGATTTTCATGACTGGTTTGGAAGGAAGAGGGTAAACAAACGAAACTTCATGTGCTCTCGAAAGCCACGTCCGTCATCTCCGAACCTAGGTACTCCTTGCTTTATGCCCCTGCCTTACTGGTGTATTATACCAGACACCGCCCACAGGTTCCGCTTCTCGACAGATATCATTGCACATTTTATACATTTTGTTACACTACCCATATGATCCCAAAGTTATGCCCGGCCCTCTAGCAGACGCCACTTAACCCATTTTACCAGCTAGCTGCACTGCCGGCTCCATTATCCCAGCAGCCTCCCTTGCAAGCCGCATATCCTTCAAGCTCAGCCTCAAGTCCCGGGCATACGGACCAAACGCCTCAATCAGCTGGCCGAGCGCATCCTTGAGCGTAGCCAAAACGTCGTCCACCTCGGGACACTCCCTCTTCCCTTCCACATCGGTCCAGTGCGTCGGCAGCTCCTCCCTGAATGTCTCCAGCTTCTTGGTTACCTCGGTCATGGCGCGCATGATCGCCGCAATGTCCCTCTGCACGTGGCCATACCTGTCCTCGCGCAGGCTGTGCACCGCCAGCTGGCTCAACGCGCACGCCGCGTTGATGTACAAGCTCGGCTCGCCGTAGGGGTCGCCCAGAACGACGCGCATCAGGCGTCGACTGTAGTGTTGCCTGAACGGCCGGCCTAACCCTGACCTCAACACCTTCAATGCCAGGTCCCTGATCAGGCCCTGCGTGTCTTCGGAACCGGTCGCCTTTTTCTGTAGCGTAATAAAGCCCTGCCCGGCTACGTCCGTCGCCTTCTTCGCCAGAGGGCTGAGTTGAGAGCCTTGGCCGGGCGACCTGGCCACTTGATTGACAACCTTCTCAACTTGGTCCCTCAGTCCTCTTTTTGATGGGATCGGCTCAAAGATGGCCTCATTCTTTGGAGGCTCTGTTGTTCGCTTTTTCGTCTCGTCTAGTGGTGCCGCCTTCTCCGTCGGGTCGGGCGGCGCCGGCATTCCGTTGAAAGCATCGATCCTGGAATCAATACTTTTCAGGACATCTAAACAGATCTTGTAGACCTGGGACCACATGGGGCCGTCCTTGCGATCGATGTCTTCGTAGATGGCCTTGCGTCTCTCGGGAAAGTCTCGAGCAATGAGTGCCAACTCCCACATGGCGAAACACTGCGACTGTCAGCTACATGGACACAAGCATAGCACGAACCGGCAATACCTTGATGGAAAGCTTCTTATTCTTCAGGCCGTTCAGCAAACTGCCATTCGGGTCCTTTGAATCGGTCGTCAATGGCTTTCCGTTCTTCAGGGGACTCTTAACCAAGAACAAGGAGAAAGCCGTGTTGGCCGTGGTCCATGCCAGCAAAATCATGAGGCTCACAAACCAGCAGCGCAATATAGCTGTGAAAGAAAATGGTAACGTGGTGGGCACCATGTTGGTTCTGGGCAGCTTGTAGATGGGCCGCAGGAAAGTCATCATCGTCCGCCATATCGTGGCGCGCAGGAAAAGCGGGTAGACGAAGAGAGTAATGATGAAGCCAAGTATTGACTGATTCACTGAACTCAACACTATCCCGGGTAGCTGGTCCTTGAACCGCTGGACTTGAATCGACGCATCACCGTCCATAGGCTTGCCGGTCCCAGCCTCCGGTCTGGCCACACCTAGAGACAGCCGGTCGACATCTTCGTACAGGTGCCGCAATGCTTGGTAAATTCCGACCAGCACCAAATGGGTGGTCAAAAGGATCGGCTTCTCGTTCAGTCTGGCCCGGTCCGACATGAAGTATGTGATCCATTCAAATCCCGACCCTTCCGGCAGAGACCAGAGGTAGATCTGACTAAACAAGTACGCGGACGTGCTGTAGGTAAAGAGGGCCTCGACCGTCGGCAACGTGAGGCCATACTGGAAGAAGGTGTGGGCGGCCGAGTCGGAGGTGCGCAAGCCGGGGTGGTACTGAGCGATGCGGAGGATGATTATGGAGATGGTGCAGAAGAAGAAGAAGACGGTGCGAATACCGGTCGGGCCGAGGGGAAACCAGGACCACAGCACTAGAAAGGCAGGCTGTGAGATGGTACCCGAGTATGTAGAGGAGCGAGTCAACAAGACTTACATGAGGTCCAATTCGCCAAGAGCAGCGCCTGAACATATGCGACGGCGAGCACACATAAACTTGCAGTCGCAAAGCGCCGCTGCAGCGCGGGCTGCAGGAAATCCTTATATGGAGATCTCCTGACTGTAGGCACTGCCATGTTTGCTGACCATGGTCGACGGGACGGTTGCACCTTTGGTCGCGATGGTCGATTCGTTTGTCCACTGTACATGGAAAAAAGCTGAAAGCAGTTGACAGCCCACCAGTTGCAACGGGAGACGGACCGCGTTGTGCTGTGGGTCCACACCCGGCGACTGATTGGTCAAGACACCCCGATTACGTCTTTTTTGCGGCTGCGGAAAGTCAGGCGGGTCTCAACAAGCAGGGGTTTCAACTGGTTCACAAGCACAGGCAGCCAACCTCGTTCGACCGGGCGACCGCAAACCATCGACGACTGATAACGAAGCAGATTCGACATCATCGAATCGCACACTCGCCAGTCGCTTTCATTCTCATCGCTCGCTCTTGCATTTTGCTACGCAGTCCATAATTGCAGCACAAGTAGGCGGCTCCTTTCCATCAACGCCCGCCATGTCGTTCGATCAGCTCTCCTCGTTGGAGGCGGGGCAGCGCCGGGGGACTTCGAGCTACGCCGATGACCCCGAGTTCCAGCGACTGTCCCAGGACCTCATGAACAAGCTGTTCAAGCTTAACGGCAACAACCAACGACTAAGCGGGGAGGTCGGGCACCTGGGGACGCGGCGTGATACCCCGCGCGTGCGGGAGCGGGTGCACGAAATGATTGAGGAGTCCAGGGAGATGTTCAAAGACGTGGGCGAGGGTGTCAAGAAGATCCAGACATGGGAAGACGTTACGGTACCGTGGCCCTTCGTCTTCTGATCCCCCCGCGTTGCATTGCTCTAACCGTAATCTATTCTCAGCCGACACAAAAATACATGCAACAAAAGCTCTCGCGCGAGTTTCAAGCCTCCCTCTCCGAGTTCCAAAACCTCCAACGGCAAGCCCTCGAGAAGCAAAAGGCCTCAGTAACTGCCGCGCGCGCTGCCATCGATGCCGAGCCCGTCAGCCCGGAGCTGCTCTCCTCCAGCCAGCAGCAGCAGCAGCGACACGAACAGTTACTGCAACAGCAGGAGCTTACCCGGCTCGCCCCGCAAGACGAGGTCGACTTCCAGGAAGCGCTCATCATCGAGCGCGAGGAAGAGATCCGCAACATCGAGCAGGGCGTGGGCGACCTCAACGTGCTGTTCCAGCAGGTGGCGCAGATGGTAAACGAGCAAGGCGAGGTGCTCGACACCATCGCCAACAACGTCGAGAACGTGCGCGACGACACGCGCGGGGCCGACCGCGAGCTGCGCAGCGCCGCGCGCTATCAGAAGAAAGCGCGGAGCACGGCCTGCTGTCTGCTTATTATTCTGGCGGTGATTTTGACGATTGTGCTATTGGCCGTGTTTCTGGGGTGATGCAATGACGTCTGGGGGTTGGGTGATGGCGCGGGCGGTATATTGAAAGTCTTGCTGTCGCCGACGGGCAGCGGTGCAGTTCAGATGAGTCTTTCTGTTGTACAAGGAGGCGTTTGGGAGTTAGCGCCTCACGGGTCTATTAGAGTCGTTCGATATCCTTTGTACTTGTACAGTCGAAACGAATGTGTTTCCCATCATGGCTTCTTCGTCCCTTCACGGGTTGGGCGTACCAATTCCACCGCTTGGGTTCGTTTCGCCGGAGTGACCGTCTTGGGCATGGGCATTAGCCGCGCTATGATCTCGGTCTGTACGCCCGTCAAGGCCGCCGAGCAGATCCAGTAGAGGTGCAGCGCAGCCGGCAAATCCATCGTCATCGGACCGACCGCAACGGCCACCATCAGCAACGCCCTTTGCACCCGCAGGCGCCATTTATTTTGAACCAGCACTATCTGGTTCTTTTCTGCGAGATTAAACAAGCTCCGGATCCCCATCCCGGTATGTGCCGTTCGCAACAGATTCAGCAGCAGGACAGCCGACAGGGCGAATGGCAGAACATGGTACGGATCAGCAGCCGTGAGATCCGGGAACCAAAGACACCCGCCTGTAGCCAGGGACGGATCCAGGCCAGAAAGCGAGCCAACCAAGGCCTCTCCGATCTCACCCTCGCCGCCTCCCATCCCCTGCACAGCAGCACCCGTAACACCCGCTTCGTCCCTTCCTTCAGGCGCCTCCCCATTCCCGAAAACCATCCTCCCCAACAGTCCCCTCGGGCCGCCACACATCCGCCTCAGCCCCTCGATGCCGGTAATCCACAGGGGAAACACGACCAGACTGGGAACCCAGTCCTTCCAGCTCTGCACGCCCCACCGCCGGAACCGCCTCTTCTTCTCGGCTAGATTGGCCGCGCGATACTTTAACCCCCACACCGCGATATCGTTTGTCGACATCATCTCATTTTGTTGTTGCTGCTGCTGCAGTCGGATTTTAGCGAGCTCGTGGTTTACGCGCGCGGCCCAAGCGCGCATCAATGGCGCAAGCTTGGCCCGGCGCACGGCGACGGCCCGCGCCAGGACGGTCGTGGGCAGCCGCGAGGGCAGAGTGATGACTAGCGCGAACAGCGGGATGGTCAGGTACCATGGTGTGCAGGTCGCCGTGTGCAGGGTGCTGAGCAGCGTCTGCGAGGCGGTGATTGCTGTTTCCAGGATGGGGATGAGGGAGAAAGAGCGTGTTTGGTGATGGTTGGAGAGGGGCAGAGTCGGTCTGTGTTTGGGGCTTGATCTTGTTCTTGAGGAAGGGAAAGGGGTTACATGAGGGTTAGGGGTGGCGAGTGTGAGAAAGGTTCGTCTTGATATCGATGAAAAGGCTGATGAGGTCCCCTTGGGCCCGCGCATGGGGAAAGGGGATGAGACAAGCTGGGTTCCGGCCAGGGCTGAGGCCCTCATGATGGTTGCTGTCATGGTGAGGTGGATTGGGTCGATTCCTGCGTCACCCGTGCATTTCGGGCAATGTGGTGCGCTCAGCTGAGATGTGAGCTGTGGTGGTTGCAGAGCTCATCAGTTGGAAAGCTTCTTTTTCGGAGCTGCAGCCTGCGCCTAGCTTCATCCATTTCAGCAGCCTGGGCTTGGCGTCGAATCACCTGCGGGCTCGCCACTTGCCCAAAATGGACCCTTCTGAACGGCCCGTGCTGCCACCTGCGGCATGGTGGGGGTTACTGCACGTCACGTCCACGCCATATCTATGGAAACTTCCGACCAGGTGTTCATAGTGCTCCCATTGACCGATTCAACCCCCTGCCCGATCTTGATAACCTGTCATACATCCTCCCCCTTCCTCAGTTCTGCATTCACACAGCGGCCCCTCGTTTCATTCCTATGGCTGCATGTTCGCAATCTCGTAGTTAACGTTGGGCCACAAACCATTCCCATCTCGACGCCGCTCTCCACCATCTGCCGTCTGCCGCCTGCCGTTTGCCTGCCTGCGCAACCCGAAACTCGTCCTCCGATTTATAGCTCACACCTTGCACCGCGAACAGGCCCAACACCTGTGAGCAGCAGCGCACCCATCTTTCTTATGGACGGCCAACTCCTGTCACACATTGCAGCTCGCCTGGTTCAGTTCCTATGCCTAGCGCCGCTGGCCCTCCTCTTCTTACTTCCTCTGCTCTGGCGCGGTGTGGGCGCCCTGCTCGGGTTGTATCTCCGGAAGAAGGCGGATGGACGTCGGTGCCATATTCTGGAGGTCGCCGAAGCGGAGGAAAAGCAGTACCGGCAGAACAGAAGGACCAGCAGCAGTAGTGGAGAAGCCGGGGACAGTGATGGGTGGGAGAAGGTGGATGCGGCGTTGGTCGGAACAGCCAAGAACGGGGCTAAGGGTAACGACGACTGGGATGGCATCGTGGGCTTCTTCCACCCCTTCTGGTGAGTTGGAATAGCCCATAACCCTTGCGGCACCTGTAACTCATGGCTGACAGACCAAGCAATGCCGGTGGAGGCGGAGAGAGGGTCCTCTGGGCCGCCATCCGGGCTACACAACAACGTTGGCCTCGGGCTAAATGCGTTGTCTACACTGGCGACCACGATGTGACCAAGGACGCCATTCTGGCCAGAGTAAAGGCAGGTCCCCTAAATCTCCGATCGCTGCACGCAGGCTCTCGCTAATCCTCAGATCTTAGAACCGGTTCAATATCCACTTGCACCCACCCACCGTCAACTTCCTCTACCTCTCCACCCGCCACTGGGTGCTGGCCTCGACATGGCCGCGCTTCACCCTTGCTGGCCAATCCATCGGCTCGCTCATCATGGCTTGGGACGCCTTCTCGCTCCTCGTACCAGACATTTTCGTCGACACCATGGGGTACGCCTTCGCCCTTGGACTCTCCAAGTTCCTCTTTCGGGATGTGCCTACAGCCGCATATGTACACTACCCCACCATCTCGACCGACATGCTCGAGTCCCTAAACCCGGCTTCGTCCGTTGGCAGGGAGGGCGTCAACGCCGGCCAGGGCGTCGGCGCAAGGGGTGCCGTCAAGAAGCTCTACTGGCGGCTCTTTGCCCAGGCGTACTCGCGCGTGGGCGCGTCTGCCGACATGGTCATGACTAACTCGACCTGGACGCAAGGCCATATCCAGAAGCTGTGGGGGCCATTCAGGAAAAGCCAGGGCCCCATTGCCGTCGTCTACCCGCCCGTTGCCGTTCGCGAACTGGAGAGTGAAGTGGAGGTGTCGCCCGCCACTGAGAGCAAGCGGGAAAAGGTGCTGCTGTACATTGCGCAGTTCCGCCCAGAGAAAAACCACGCGCTAATCCTGCAGTCGTTCGCCGAGTTTGTCAAGTCGGGCAGCGAGGCGGCCAAGGATGCGCGTTTGGTCCTGGTGGGCAGTGTAAGGGATGATCATGATTCCAAGAGGGTATACCAGCTGCGCCTGCTGGTCAATGAGCTTCATATTCGCGAGCAAGTCGAGTTCCATCTGGATGCGTCGTGGCCTGAGATTCTCGAATGGCTGCGCCGTGCGTCGGTCGGCGTCAATGGCATGTGGAACGAGCACTTTGGTATCGGGGTCGTAGAGTACCAGGCTGCCGGGTTGATTGCGGTGGTACATAATAGCGGTGGCCCAAAGTTGGATATTGTGGTTGATGTAGACGGAGAGCCGACCGGTATGTTTTTTTTTAATTTTTATTTTTTTTTATTTTTATTTTTTATTCCTTTCTGCCATCGACGCAATGGATATACTGACTCTGCGTGTTCAAGGATTCCATGCCACTACCTCGGCCGAGTTTTCGGAGGGTTATGAAAAGGCTTTGAGCCTCAAGAATCCCTATGCGGTTCGTCAGCGGGCGAGGCAATCGGCCAAGAGGTTCACCGAGGAGGAGTTCGCCAGGCGGTGGAAGGAGCAGATGGAGCTGTTGGTGACGCTGAGGGCCAAGCAGAGGGCATGACATCGCCTTTTCCCCTTCCCGTTATTTCCTCTATACCGTACTCGTCTCCTTTGCTTAGATACATGGATACCCCTTTTCATATGCATTGTCAAACAATCGGCCGGTGTTTTGGTTTCCGCCACACTCTGGGTTGGATTAGTCTTGTTCGAGATAGCCATTTACAGCAGTCAAAGCACCACCGTAGTGTACATCTAGGAAGACCACCTGTTCAAACAACTCCCGTTGCTGCAATGAGATCGCCCCCGCCGTCTAGACGATTAACCATCAACCCGGTTCAGCACAGCAACGCCCTCAACATGAGCCGTCTGCGGGAAGAAATCAAACCCTCTAATACTCTCAATCGCATACCTCACCCTTTTCTTCTCCCCTTCCTCCCCACCCTTCCCGGCCCCTCCAACCTCCTCCTCCCTCTTACCCAACAACGCCCCGTCAATTTGACCCCGAACGAGCATGCCGACGTCTCGCGCCTGGGTATGCACGTTGCAGCTCACATACACGACTCTGCGGGGTGCGAACTGGAGCAGCTGGCGCAGGAAGCTCGCGTCGCAGCCCTTGCGCGGGGGGTCCAGCACCACGACGGTCTCGTCCGGGTCGTAGGCGCCGCCGCCGACGCTCTTGAACAGCTCGGGCGCGTCGGCGGCGACGAAGCGGCACTGGTCCTCGCGCAGCCCGTTGAGGGACGCGTTGCGCCGCGCGTACGCGATGGACTGCTCCGCGATGTCGATCCCGATGCTTTGCCCGCCTGACGAGGAGAAGAGGGAGGACTGCGTGATGGTGAAGAGGCCCGAGCCGGAATACGCGTCGATCAAATTGCGGATGAGCTTGTTGGAGGAGGCGGAACCTGCGGCGGGTGTGTTGCTTGCAGGCGGGAGGATGTGCTCCCGGATGTAGGCCGTGAAGGGGGGGAGAATGGAATTGTTGTTTTGGAAAAAGGAGCCCGCGGGGTTGGTGAAGACGAAAGAGTCGATGTATTCTGTGCTGGTGGCGTTGTTGTCGGTTATGCAGGTCTTAAAGTCGACGTGCGTGTCTGTCTCGACGCGGATGGCGTCAGGGGGTATGCCCCTTGGTACTGGGACTACTTCACTGGGTGAGGATTTGGGTATTCGTTTGGTGCTCTCGCGCAGGAGAATGGTCGCCCCTTTCGTGTACTTCCCGTATTCGAGTGCCAAACGGAATCGCTCATCGGCTAGCCCCTTGCGCACGGCATCGGTAGCGATTGGGCAATCTTCGATGTCCAAAACTTGACGGCTTGTTTTAGGGGTGAAACCGAAAGGGGGCATCTTTTCATGAGGCTTCTGAGGCCCGCGCCGCCGGTTGTTTGGCGGCGCATCAAAGTGAGGCGTGAGCTTTGTACGATAGCCGTACTGCAATGGGCTGCCGATGGTATCGAGGATCTCGGGCACCAGCTCGGGTGGTAGCTGAGAGAAGTTGCGGTAGGCCTTGACAACAATGTCCCTCTTGAACTTGAGCTGCTGTGCGTAGTCCAGCATTTGGAATTGGCAGCCAGAGCACTTCGCAAAGTAGGGACACTGGATCCGGCTGTCGTCGCGCATCTCAGAAGGCTTAACGACCGAGATGAAATCGGCCGCAGTGTACCCTTCGTCGAGGTTGTGCCGATATACCTTGACTTTGAGCGTGTCTCCCGGAACCGCAAATGGGACCACGTAAATGTGGTCTGACCCTTTTTGCTTTGCCAGCCCTTCACCGGTAGACGAGAGCTCCACGACTTCGACCTCGATCTCACTGCCAACATCTGGCAAAGCCACGGCCTCGTTTTCGAGGGTGCCAGCCACAGCTTCATCCCCAATCTTCTGAGATGCTAACAGAGCCTGTACATCAGCCAGGAGCACCTCCTCGTGTGAGCCCTCCTGGGGCGCCTTCTGCTTTTTCCTATGCTTCGCAGGTTTGCGATGGGAGCCATGTTGGAAGGGCCGTTTCCCTTGTTGCTTCTGCCGATTTATGCCAGAAGGCTGAGACGGCTTGAGAGTCTCCGTTGTGCTCGGCACGTCAGCCATGGCTGATGGTTTCTTATCCCAAAATCTTGGTTTGTGAGATTGGCTGCGCAGGAGAGCAGCGAGAGATGAGGACGGTCGAGAGAAAATTCTGATGTTGCCGGGTCGCATCTGGAAACGGGAACTGATTTTGACCCGTTTCACAACTGGTATCCACTTGATATCAGGTCCATCTGTAATTGAATGTGATCTGTGAAATGTACTCGGGTTTTCTGTTGTGGGATTTTTCCTCACTTCATTGAAGTCGAAAATGGAAGTTTCGAGTCGATGAAAGTGAGGGCGTTAATGAGAGCACAGACCACCTTCGTGATAAGGGGCATCCCAGATTACCGTATCTGGTAATTGAATGAACTCGTCGCTGTACTTCGTACCGCCCGTGGACTAGTGAATGAGGAGTAAAAAGACAGATAGTCCCTCTAGCGAATCACATCTAGGAGAGTTCACATCAATGAACAGGCCCTGCTGCTTTTTGTATGCTGTTCGCCCTTGGCGTCTCAACCTGATTGTAAGCAGGTAGAGAGGTAGTTCTAGGTGCAGTTTACACCTAACAAAACCATCCAGTATCAATATCAGGGTATCATCTTCAGCCCGTACAACCAAACAGTCGCCGATCATCCTTCGCTATGTCTTAGCCAAGCACCACCTGGTCATACTGTACCGGGTCCATATACTGACACAGCGCCCCTTGTAGCGCCGCCTTGGTCTTCGCAATAGCCGGGAGAACTCCATCGATCTGGGCCAAGTTACTCCTCATGCTCTCCATATGGCTGCCAATCTGCTGCGACAACGCGAGCAGCTCTTCCTCTTGGAGGTCCTGCACCCCAGACCCACGGTTAGCAACCGGATGTAGGTAGAAGGAAAAACAAAAAAAGGGGCGACTCACCTTAAACACCCCTCCAGCCCCTCCCTTGCCCTCCTGCCTCTTAACAACCTCCAACCCCAACCCCCCCTCTCCCCCTTTCTCCCCAGCACCGGCAAGCCCTCCAGCAAGGACATGGCTCCTCTTCCCCCGCTCCCTCCAGCCCATCCTCTCGGCTTTGGCGTTCCCCTCGAGCTGTCGGAGGAGCTTGTACTCCCTCTCCAGCTCCCGCTCCTCCCGCTCCTTCTCCGCCTTGAGCAACACGACGGAATGCAGCAACGGATCGAGCGCACGCTCAAGACTCGCGATCGCGTCGACCGTCTTCTCAAAGTCAAGCTCGGCTTCATAGCCACTTCGACCCGATTGCGCTCTTTTCCTGGTCGTCTTCCTTGAAGACGGCGCCTGGGCGGCAGATATCGTCGGAGGCGGAAAGGGCATGCCCTTGACGAGCTTTGTGCGGAGCCGCGTGGCGAAGGTATGCAAAATGGTCTGCGCCTGGGCATGGCGCTGGTCGCGGTCGCGTAGGCGGAGAAGCACTGGGCGGGCGGCGTCGGCCACGAGGGAGTCGACTACCGAGATGGATGCCGGGTCGAGCGGCGTCCATTTGGAATCAATGATGGAGCGGGGGATTTGCCGGGTGCGGGAGGTGAGGTGGCGGTATTCGGCGGCGGGTCCAGCCTCTTGCGCTGGATCAAGATCCGGCATGGAGGGCGGAGCGGCCGCGTTCACATGGCGGCGCTGCGCTCGTTCGCCTCGTGCTTCCGGCTCGGCTTGGGGTTGCTGTTTGTTCTTTGCTTGAGGCTTCCCTGGGCCCGAACCGCCCTGGGAATTGGGAGAGGGCCCTCCCGGTCCCCGCTTCTTCTTGGACGGGCCTTCTGGGCCTTTTACGGCAACGGCAGTTTGAGGGGAAACCTTGTTCGCAGACCACCATGGGTTATCGTCCGCAGACCGGCGCTCTCTTCTACTTCGGCGCGTAGAGCCATCTTCCACATCATGGCCTTCTGCAGCCGACTTGTCAGGCGGGGCCGGATTCTGCGCTGATTTGGGTTTCGGCTTGTTTACTTGTTCCTTGCTTCTCGGTTCCTCCGAAGGGCTTTGCTCTTGGTTATCATCTTCAGGTCTGCGCGCTCTTCTGCTGCGACGGCTTTGGACTTCTGCTTGATCCTGTCCATTCCGTTCTGTGCTCTGCCGCGGCCTATCGGCAGACGGTTTGTCCTGTTTGCTTTTTTTACTCCCCTCAGTTGTCTGGTGCCTGCTCTGTAACTCGCTCGCCTCATTCCCTCTCATCCTTTTGCGTGGTTGTGTTTCCGTAGCATCCTCATTTGTCTCGGCATCATGCGCCTTAGGCGGGCGTACCCTCTTCTTCGGAGCCATGGTAGAGCGAGCACTCGCCAGTGATCACGTAGGTTTATGTTGCTTTGCTTTCGCAGCGGGTGGTGTTGTAACTGACGGTATTACACCAAGGCCTTCCCGTAGTCGCCCAGCTTCCCACAGCAACGTCGTGTTCTGCTAGTATCCACACATTTGGCTCTGTGGAGAGCTCAGCCTTCCGGTTCGAGACTCGACGCGGTTTTTGGCTGTCTGTAACGCGTCTGGGGGACGAACGCGTCACGACTTAACAAACGTTATTGTTCGGCTGGTCTTTTCGAATGCCTACTTTCTTGTTAATAAACAATGAGTATGTCGATTCTTTTCGACTAATCATGACTACTTACTACCAATACAGCCTTTTGTTCGACATGTGCCACCAGACAGCTCAACGGCGATGGTCTCGTCCCTTTCAGAGCCCCACTGTGGCTGGAGGTAGCAAAGACCTGTCACTGTACTCGAAAACGCGGAGCTTGAAACTGGGGTTGTCCGGGCCTAAAAAGCCCAACCTTAGCAGCAGCACCAGCAGTCGACAAGGGTCTCTGACGCGGGCCCCTAGTTAAGTCAACAGTGTTTAACCGAAACAAGTGCTATCAATGGCCCCGGTCATCAGCACCGTGGACCCTAGCATCGCAGCCGACGCGACGCTAAGCAAAGACATAATTAAAGAGAAGCTCGCGCCTTGCAAACTTCGGCTGTTTCTAATCTTCTTTCAGGTTGCTTGCTGGCTTTGTGACAAAGGACCATACACTGCTGTCGCGATTGATTGAGGGTATCTGCTTCAACTTCACCTCCAAATAAATCCACTCTTGGAGCAGTCAGTCGCTTTGAGTTTTCAGGCAGCCCTCGGACCCCTCACTCTTTCCATCGTCATCATTCCCCAATTTGTCCTGACAGCCAACGCTTGCGTCTCGTCATCAATCTCTTCCTCCCCATCCAAAGCTGCCAAAAGCAATTCGCAAGCAGCTCATTCCACGCAGCTATCTATTACCCTGTAATAATGCGTTTCTCCGCAACCGCCCTGCTGGCGCTGCCGCTGCTCGCGGCCGCCGCCGAGAGCCCGTATGAGCAGTACAAGGCCAAATTCCAAAGCTTCCTCAGCAACTTCGGCGTAGCGGGACCTGCTGCCGACAAGGCGAGCGCCCCCGCGACACCCAGCATCAGCACCGGCAAGGCGAAGAAGAAGGTGACAGAGCCGAAGCCGATCCATACGCTCACGCTCGACAACTGGAAGGACACCCTCTATGCGCCCGTTAAGGCCGAGGCGACGCAGCCCGAGGAGTGGCTAGTGTTGGTAAGCGGCCGGAATAAGACATGCTATAGTGAGTTGCCAACTCCTGCGACCTCCGTCGATACCTCATGTTATCCATATCCAAAACTAACCGGTCCGAAACCAGGCCACTGCCTCAGGATCGAAGCAGCATTCAACGAGTCGGCGACAAAGTTCGCCGCGATGCCGCAATCGCCGAGCCTGGGATATGTCAACTGCGACGACCAGCCGGTGCTCTGCAACAGCTGGTCTGCGGGGACGGGCAACCTGTGGATCTTTGAGATGCTCCCGGCTCCCGCTCCGGTCGACATCCACTACAAGCGCCTGAACCTCACGACGGTTACGTCGCAAGACATCGTCGACGCCTACACGGGCAGGCCTGACATTCAATGGCGCAAGTTTGAGGGTTACTTCCACCCGATTGACGGCTTCTTCGCCAAGTACGGCCTATCTGTCCCGCTGGGCTACTTCTTCTGGGCCCTGGGCGCTATCCCCTCGTGGGCCATGATGCTGGTGGTCTCGTTCATGACCAGGACGATGATGTGAGTTTTTTCTTGCTGAGGGGTTCATATTTGCGCTGACACTCGACTACCAGGAACCGCCGCATGGGTGATGCGAACCGGCAAGGAAACGCCGGTGGTGGTGCTGCGCCCCGTGCTGCTCCTCCCGGAGACGGCCGTTCTTAGGTGGAGATGCTCGGTGCGTATGTTGTAGGATGGTTCCATGGTAGCGACATATTACTCGGTGGGTCTGGGCTGGGGTTTGTGTTTTATTTGCTCGGATTTTGGGGTGTATACATGGTGGGCTGGCAGACAGTGGTATCAACATATTGTGCACCGCTGCCGTCTCTCAAGGCTAGAGGTATCAGAGGTGTCAGGACACGTGTTGCGCGGTCACGGGCATAGCGAACAGACTCGTATCAATTCTTCCCCCTACATGTCTCCTGCAAGTTTGCCAGGCCCTCAAGGACTTGCTCGTGCAGCCGGCTGTTAGCCAGGCGGCCGTAACGCAGATCGCTCATGCTACCCACGGTCTGCCGGATAGAGGCAAGGAGAGCTGCTTCCTCTTCCTCTAGCAGTTGCAGCTCGCTTTCAAGCTCATTGACGGCACTCTCCATGTCTGGCAGGATAGAGGCAATGCTGTGCTTGGGATTTTGCGAGCTTAGCCCATTTCCAAGCTGTGAGGTAGTCAGTGTCGGTGTATCGTGCACCTAGGATGTGAAAACTGACCATCTTCTCAATTTCAAGCTCATCGTCATGCTCTTGAGCCTCTGTTTCCCGTCTTGAGCGAATCACAGCGCGGCGCATCGCCTTGCCATGCTTGGCCTCTTCCTCGATCTGCTCGGCCACAGCATCGATGAGTGCATTTCTCTGGCTCTGTAAATTACGGTATAGACTGCGGATGTGCGGCGATGACTGCAGTGACCGGGGGAACAGCGCAACAAATTCCTGCAGCGAGATGATCGCGGGCAGCTGCGCAGGGACAAGCAGGTAGTTGCTCAGAATCTTCTGCTCAGTTGGCGCCATTGCGCCGAGTTGTGTCGCGTCGGATAGTTGGAGAAAGTAGAGGTACGAAGAGCAGCAATGTTGCTCCCAGAGGTACTCCTCTCGCCTCTTTAACGCATTGAACCCCAATTATCCCCACGGTGCATTGCTGAACCCGCTTTGAATTCCCGTGAAACGCACAGGGACGTGAGAAGGAAGGAAGATGGTGGTGTTCTGCATAGGGGTAGCTTATTGGTAGTTTCCCGGCATCCGCGCGTGTTCCCGTGATCTGTGCTTTGGTTACTCCTGGGACCCGAGCACACTCTAACGTCTCATCCCTGACTATCGACACATCGACGGCCTCGTTGGGACGATATCATTTTCATCCAACCGTTGAGAAAGCTGACTTTAGCAATATTTCTGTAGTGTATCTGCCTGATTTTTACTCGCCGTTGCCCCGAACCTGGTAGCAAAAGCACCAGCATAGGTGGCTCTTTCCTTCGAGTACCAGGACTGAGGAAGCAAAGGCCTTCAAAGCATCCTAAATCGGAATCAGTAACCGCAGTCTTGGACAAATAAATCATCTCTCGCTTCCACGACAGCCTGATCAGAAAGAGAGCGAAAAATTCTCAATCCAGACATCAACCTGCCTCCTCATCATGGCTCCTCAGAAGAAAGCTGAGCCTCCCTTCGCAAAGGACGAGCGCGTCCTGTGCTTCCACATGGAAATGCTATATGAAGCAAAGATCCTAGACGTTATGCCCGGCGAGAACGGCGAGGGGTGGCAGTACAAGATCCACTACAAAGGCTGGAAGAGCAGCTGGGACGACTGGGTACCGCAGGACCGAGTGCGCAAGTTCACAGACGAGAACAAGGACTTAGCCGCGCAGCTGCTCAACCAGTATAGAATGCTTCAGTCTGGAAAGTCGGCCAAGCAACCTAAGAAGGGCACCCGCCAAACTGGTTCCGACTTGAGTTCAGCCCGAGGCAGCGAGGAACGCACCGCCGGGACCGCAATGGCAAGCGGGCGGGGACCCCGTCGGGCGAGGGATTTTGATCTTGAGCAGGTAAGTTGGCGAATGCTTTGTTTTCGTTTCTCTTGCTTTTGCGTGTTTCGGTCCATTTCATTCTTTCTGCGAGGTTGGCCGGGGCGGGCTTCAGGATGGCGAGTGCCTCTTGGCCGCTTTCTCTTGGATTCTCGGTGTCGCGTTGGAAGCCTTCGTCGTTGGCCCAGTCACTGATGTAACACATCAATTTCGATGGCTGGATGAGGGGCCTAGGTGCTAGGCAAATGCCCAGGAAGGAACTCGCCGTCTTTGGGTGGTGCGAAGCTTTGGGTACAGCCTTGGATGGGCTTGCGGTGCAGACCACCGCTCAACAAGAAGGGAACCGTTGCTGGGAAGCCAATCGGGACTATGGCCTGCTACTGCAATGTTCTCCTGGCCCTCAAGGCTGCTCGCCGAACAAGTTGTGGGCTGCCAGTTCGACCAAGTCGCCTCAATTCCCTTGCCCCGTCTCCCCGGAAGCAAGCAAAGCGGCGCCCCCCTTTGCAACGTCGCCTTTCGTTGCATTCGCAAAGTTTATTCCCTTCCCCTTTCCCTTCGCTTTACACCTAGAGGACGAAAGATTCCCTAAACCCCTTCATCACGTCGGTATTACAATACAGCATTTCGTGGATAAGGCCAGCCAGTACATAGCATCGACTGCTCGTCCCTGAGCATTCCGTTGGATATCCATCAAGAATCTCTGACGTTGTCTACGATGACCCGCACAACTCGCAGTCACGCTCTAAAGGTAAAGCAATCTGAGGAGTCCGAACCCTGGGACATCAAGGAGGCCCGCTGGTTCGAGGCCGCAGAGAAACACGACAAACTCCTGAAATCACCAACACCGGCTACATCGGTTTACCTGGACAAACAGAACCGCCCCAAGTTTGACAATCGTTACGAATACATCCCACAGCGTCAAGCCCCCACCGGCGAGAACCATCCCAAACTACTACGCGCCAAGCAGAACGGGACTTGGACTAGGCTACTCCAGTATTACTACGAGCACTTCGACTCGAAAATCAACATCCCGCTTGCGGGTGCGTCGGCGGAACCGGCTTTCGTATGTTTGTTTTAGGAGGACGCTATGCGCTGGGAGAGAAGAACCGCAAGGCCCAAGTGAGCCAAAGGACGAGTGTCCGCATCCGGGGAGAAGCCCGCTTCCCGGTACCAACCTCCGTGCTAAAGTTTCCTCTGCACATGGGCATAGCCATTGGAGTGCCCAAGTCGGCTGTGCCAGACTTTCTCCTATCCGTCATATTCATTCTTGATGGATTCAAACTGAAAGCTGACACGAGACTCCCAGGAGGAAAATTTCCATAATCGCCCGTCAATCAAGCTGCCTCTTCCGGATCATTTGAAGGCAATGCTTGTTGATGATTGGGAAAACGTCACAAAGCTCCAACAGCTTGTCCCACTTCCACACGTCCATCCCGCGAACGAGATTTTCGACGACTATCTCGCGTACGAGCGACCCCACCGCCAGGAGGGTAGCGCTTCAATGGACATTCTTGAGGAGACCATTGCCGGACTTCGGGAGTACTTTGACAAGGCCCTTGGCCGCATTCTTCTCTACCGGTAGGGTTTCTCCGTCTCATGTTCGCTCGCACCTTCGGCTAATAAAGAGTCGTGCCAGTTTCGAGCGCGGCCAATACCTCGAAATGCATCAGCTCTGGAATAGTGAAGAAAGCAAACACAAGAGCGTCAGCGACACGTACGGTGCTGAACATCTGGCTCGGCTCCTAGGTAGGACTTAGCCCATCCATTGTAATCCGTGGCAAACCTCGCCATGACGCTAACCCGCGGCAGTGTCACTCCCAGAGCTGGTGGCCCAGACCAACATGGACCAGCAATCGGTGAACCGACTCCGCGAGGAGCTCATGAAATTCACCAACTGGTTCAGCCGCCATGTGACAAAGTACTTTGTCAGCGAATATGAGACACCCGGCGCTGATTATCACGAGAAGTCCAGGGTCGCTTAGAATGACGACTCTGGTGACGACGCTCCGGAGCAGGAGAGTTCAGAAAGCGGAACGGTGTCCTGAGAGGCCAAGAGACGCCATGGCTGAATCCCGAGCCTTGGGCGTCCTTTCTCTTCACAACCAAGGCCTCTCGGTTTACCAAATCCACTGGATGGGTTTTTGCTGACCAACTCAACTGGGCCACGGATTACATGGTCCTTGGAAGACACTCCGTCAAGCCCCTGCATCTGTTACTACTTTCTGTCACGGGCGGCTCTCTTGTTGCCTAGCAGGCACTTGAGGGGGCATCTGGGCGTCGGCACTCTCTACGGACAGGCGGCAGTTGATCAGCGATTTTGTTGTTACCAACCGGATGGCAAGCGTGGTATGGGCAGCGTTGAGGGGGGTCGCTGCTTTCCTCGGGATTGGGGCTCTTGGCTTGGTCGGTCAGAGGGCAACAGTACAGCTCGGCAGTGTGTGACCAAGCACCTGTCTGTTTGTTATTTGACCTTACACATTCAGGTCCCGCTGCCTGGGCAGATAGCGAAATCAATGGTTACGAATACCATGGTAGACACCCGATGTGTCGTTTTGCAGCGGACATGTGTATCCATCTAACCCAAAGCCCCAACACTACGGATATCTCATTTCTGGTACAAGTAGTTTACAAACCCAAGCCCGGGCATTTCTCACAGAGCCCTAGGGGATATATCCTCTTTCTTGCTTGCTCCTCCGCCTCTCCTACACCTCCAACTGCTTACACACCCACCCCATCCCCAAGCAAAAAGGCCAAAGCAATCCATCTCCCCTCCGCTTAGCCCACCTCATAACCTCACCTCAAGCCCTTCCTCCTGCCCCCCTTGCCCTTGGCTTCGCACCCTCCCGAGCTCCTTCACAGCAGCAGATATCGCGGAAGAAGAAGGAGAAATTGTAGGATCAGCCATCCGCGGGACGGCCCGCTCAACGTAGAAACCCGGGTCCGGGGTGCGCTCGGCCTTCACCTCGGCCTTGGTCAGCGGCCGCTCGACCTCGTCGACGCGCACCAGCTCCTTGACCTTCATGATCATGCCCGCGCACTGCGCGCTGACGGGGTGGAAGACGACCTGGGAGCGCCGGTGCAGGCCCAGGGCGGCCAGGACCCCGCGCGTGCGCTTCGGCATGCCGATCGCCGAGCGGTGGAGGGTGATGCGGAAGTAGGACATTTCTGGTTTTTCTTCCTCCTCTTCCCCTTTTTGTTATTCGGTTTGGATGGGAGTCTTGAGGTCAGGCTTTGTCCCCGGGATGGAAAACCGAACGGGGAGAGTGAATGGTCTCGGAAAATGCTGGTCGGGACGGAAGAACCGGGACCGCGGTCGACCAGGCTTTACGAGGTTGTCTGTACGTGTCGGCGACGGCGATGGCGTCGGCCCGGATCAACGTCGTCGTCGCTAAAGCGGGAAGAGAGCAGGTGAGCAGGACGCAGCACTTTCTGAATTGCGCAACCGGCGATCAGCACACTATGCCCTGGTCTCCGTTACTCGGCCCAAAGACTGCAGAACCTACCTACCGCTGCAACAAAAGTCCTCCAGTGAAAGTAGCAGTTGTCGGCTGTCAAACTCCCAGTATCAATTGCCAACACTAGGGCGTCAGGACATGCACAGAGGTGTCATCACCAGTGACCGGCACGGCATCCGGGATGGGTTAGATAGCAGGGTACGGAGTAGGGGTGCGGAACAAAATAATACTGCCGTGGTAGACCGCCAAGTCACACGCGACCCACGCGACCCGCGCGCATCGCTCAGTGGCTTGTGCGCTGTTTAAGCTCAATCAGGAAAGTTCAGGTACCTATTGTGCCTAGGGTACCATTACGTCCAATACCACTGACTGATCACAAATCATGCGCTGCAAGGGAGACATCGGGTCATCAATGGATTAAATATCTTAGTTTGTTTGAATAATGCCTGTCCTCATGCCTATGTGGAAGCAAGAAGCTATTTCTGCCATGGCCTAACAAAGGGTGTGACAAGTCCAGCTCCCGAGTCCTGGTTCCACAGTGAACTGCCTCTCTCGGGCTGAAATGATGCTGCGTCTAACAAAAACACAAAATGCTCCCTTACATCTGGACCTCCACACGACCCTCGGCACCCGGGGCACCAGCCTGCTGCAGGTTCGGGAGGAGGTATGTAATGTCATCCCAGGGATGGCGGTACAGACCGGTGCGCAGGCGCTTCTGGTCGAGGAAGTGAGCAATGAGACCGATGCTGCGGCCGAGGACGAACAGGCCGTTGAGCACGCCCATGCTGAGGTAATCTTCCGCCTCTTCGGGGCTGAAAGCGCCGCAGTTCCGCAGCAGGTCAACGAAACATACGGCAATGCAACCATCGACGTTCAGGATGAGGTTGTCCTTCTTAGACGTTGTTACTGTCTCGACCGCCAGCGCATAGTCGAGCATCTTGTGGCTCGGGAATTTGGCCTTGACATATTCCTTGACAAGCTCCACACGGAGATCCGGATTGTTCCGCGACTTGACGCGATGCCCGATACCCGGAATCAGCTTGTTCTGCTTGCGCATCGTGTCCACAAATTCACGTGGGCTGAGACCCTTGTCGAACGCCTTGGTAAACTCCTCGGCAGCACCGTCCAGAGCGCCACCGAACCGAGAGCCAATAGTGAGGAGACCGCTCACCAATGCTGAGATCAAGTCCTTGCCAGCACGAGTCGTGATGATGGTGTTCATTGCGCCAGACACAGCGGGACCGTGGTCAGCGGTAAGCATCAGGACCATCTCAAGGAATTTGGACGCGTAGTCTGGGAGGCGGCGACGGAACCACAGCAGTGACATGACGCCGCCAATGCCAATGTCCTCCTTGAATACATCCGAGATGGGCATTCCAGCATATAGCAGCTCCTGACCACGGTCGTCCGAGATGGTCGAGATGAAAGCAGCCGGCTTGCGGATAAGACCAAGTTCCTGCGCCCATGAATAATCGATGGGAATTTTGGGCACGACAGGCTCGGGCTGGGGCTTGATGGTGCCATCCTTGACAAGCTTCTCGTACAAGGACTTCAGGACAGCCGGCATGTCCTCAAAGGTGTCGGGGACGTAGAAGCCAGCTTCACGCATGCTCTGATTCTTCATAGCGGCAGTCTCGAGCTGCGAGTTAGCGAACGCACCAGCATGGCCGAACTGAACCTCGGTCTTGAACATGCTAGCGCAGGTACCGATGGCCCACGCCACAATAGGCTTGGTAATGATGCCTTGCTTGACGGCATCAATCACCTTGTACTCCTCAACACCTCCGACCTCGCCGAGTAGCACGAGGATCTTGCATGCAGGATCGGCCTGATACCGCAGCAGGTGGTCAACAAAAGTGGTGCCGGGGTAACGATCGCCGCCAATTGCCACACCCTCGTAGACGCCGTCTGTCGTCTGCGAGATAATGTTGTTCAGCTCGTTGGACATACCGCCCGACTTGGAGACGTAGCCAACCGAGCCCTTGCGGTACAGCTTGGAGGCAACAATGTTGTCCATCATGCCACCGGTGTTGCCGATTTTGAAGCAGCCGGGCTTGATGCCACCAACAGTGGCAGGGCCAATAATGGTGACGCCCTTCTTCTTCGCAACATGCGCAATTTCACGCGCGCGCTGTGCAAACCCAAGGTTAGCACCCTGAACATCTTACCAACGCCGCTATGGGAATGGCTTACGCGCTCCGGGACACCCTCGGCAATGATAGCAATCGTCTTGATTTGCGGGTACTCCATCAGCTCCATCGTCGAGCTGTAGACGCTACGAGACGAAGCAAAGTTGACAACCACATCTACATCGGGGTGCTTCGCCATTGCCTTTGGAACTTCTTGGTAAACGGGGAGCAGGGTCTCGCTAGTTCCCCAGTACATCTTGCTGACGAATTGACCGCCGAACGTGTAGATAATTCCCGCGACCGAAGGCGTGGACCGCTTGCAGATGAAATCGAAGTCGAGCATGCCTTGCACGGCGCGCGGCTGCAGACCGTAGACAAAGCATCTTGTCTTTTCGTTGAAGAGAGTGTGGGCGGGGAGAGGGCTCAGCGGCCGACTCGGCGCAGCGAAACGGCGGATGTTGTCGTTAGCCGAAAGAGTGCCGCTCGGGCTGGCGCCGTTGGCCGAGGATGTTGCGGGAGCCATTGTGGATTGTGTAAATCAGAGCTCACCGGTAATCGTCTCCGTGAAGTGGTGGGAAGAGAAAGGCAAGCAGGCGAGGAGGGGAGGACAGGTGAGTCGGAATGAGGGAGGATGATTATTCGGGGGTGGGTTTTGTCGGTCCCTTTGAGTTTTTTTGTCGGGAAGTACCACACTCGGGGTAGGCACAACACTCTGCAAGCTGTAGATTTTTAGTGAAGGTGCTCTCCTGTCCAGAGGACCGAAACGTAACCGCCCCTCCTGCTAGAAATGTGGTGGGTCGCTTATTGGCTGGATGCGAGGTCAACCAATCCAACAAACAGGGTCGTTTCCCCAACTCTTTTTGGCCCCTGTCGGATTACCCACCGGACTTTCACCAAACGAGCCAGGCGTCCGCTTTTTTTTGCTGACGACAGGTGGGGTGCCGTAGCAGCTTGAAGACAGAAGTACTGGTACCTCTGTGCCCCTCAGCAACCTTTGTCGTCCGATGCCCCTCCGAGACTTGGAATGGAAATGGCCAGAAACCCAGGAATAGCAACTCCCGGTCGGGGAATATTTGGTTCCCAGCCTTTGCGTTGACCGCTGAACAAGATCTAGAAAGAGAAAAAGACCGCACGCGACAAGACGGAATATCCACAACAGTTGCGACTTGCTGGCGCCAAAAGACAGACTTCCTGAGCCGCGAAGCCAGCGCCATGCAGATTTCTGCTGCCGTGCTTTAGAGATCCGAGATCTCGGGCATCGGGGTCGCGGGCCCAACTTGAGAGACACATGGCTTCTCAGGACGGCTCGGCCTCGGGATGTCGGCATCGGCGAGCACTCGCATACCGTGTATGGACAAAAGAGAGTCGGTGGATTTAGGTATGTACTTCGGGCAATTTTGCGCCTTGCACAACAATGCTGTTCTTCTCAACGCTGCATGCGTCGCGCGCCAAGCTAATGCTTCGCCCGGATGATCCCCAACGCCGTCCGAGTTCCTTCACGGAGACGACAGTGAATCGGGCAATGACATTACGGGATAGAGATTAAACACATCCTTGATGCCAGATAGAAAAGAAACAAGAAAATTCGTCAGGCATCCCGTCACTGTCGCAATCGGGTATCTTTGCGGCCAAGGTGCAGGAGCGTAGCGTGGTGTCTGGTTGTTCAGACGAATTGAGACCCCGAGCTCGCAGGTGCTAACTCCCTTGGCGCCTTGAGGTACCTGTACCTCGGGTTCCTGACCGCCCCAAGCGATCTGCCCCGCTTTGTTTACCCCCAAAGGTTTTGGTGGGCAGACACTGGTACCTTTTTTTCTGGCCATTCCCCCCGCCCCAACCCCAAAGGAAGCTACGGTCCCTTGTGCTGCTGCTGCGCTGAGTGAGAGACCAGAGTTTTTCGATTCGGAGCCGGTGGTCCCTTCCTCATCTTTTCTCACCGGGTGCATCTTTGAATCGACATCCTCTCTCGCCCACTGTCCCCTTCTTCGCTCCGTTGGTTGCAAAACTGGGTGAAGCACGCCTGCCCTCACCATCCAGTGCCTTAAAGACTCGTTGATCTGGTAAATCCCCTCGCTTGAGGTTTAAGCAACCACTTGATTTGCCCGGGTTTGTGCTCAGCTGTCCACGCACTCTCGTGAACGCTGATCAGACACCCAATTCCGAGTCCAATTCTAACGGCTGAAGGGAATCAGGGCGAAAGCATTGCGATCTAACAAACAAACAAAACCCTCTCCGACTTACTTGAAACACCATGTCCGCAAAGAGCATCTTGGAGGCCGATGGCAAGGCCATTCTCAACTACCACTTGACCAGGGCTCCCGTGATCAAGCCGAGCCCGCTGCCGCCTCCGACCAAACACAACCCGCCTCCCAGGCTTGCTTCAATCCACTTCCCTGAAGATGCCGACGTCAACGCCGTTCTCGATCAGGCCGAGATCACATACCCCTGGCTTCTGCACACCGGCGCCAAGTTCGTTGCAAAGCCAGACCAGCTCATCAAGCGTCGCGGCAAGAGCGGTCTTCTCGCCCTCAACAAGACCTGGCCCGAGGCTAGGGCGTGGGTTGCTGAGCGTGCAGGCAAGGTGCAAAAGGTCGAGCACACTGAAGGTGTTCTCCGGCAATTCCTCGTCGAGCCTTTCGTGCCGCACCCTCAAGAAACCGAATATTACATCAATGTGAGTGTGGCTGGTTGAACGAACCATTGACAGGAAAATGCGCTAACGCCTCCTAGATCAATTCGGTTCGCGATGTAAGTGCTGCTTTTCAATTTAAACCATGCTTGGCGTAAGCCCCACTTTTGTGACGGGAACAAAAAGGGACCGTTGTGAGGAGCGAGGTCGAAAACATGTTGAATCACCGTGATGCGGGTGGGAAAGAGCCACATCTGCATCTTCGCGGGCATTTGCTGGGTTTTTGTATACGGCAGAAAGTGCGCCCCCCGCAGACCCGTGTTCTACGTTAGGAGAGCCTGCCGAAGCCCGACGGACGAACGGAAGGCTAAACCAGATTATGATGTGGGCCCAAACCGGGGCACGGGGATACTCACGTCAAGCACACAAGCATCCAAACCGTTGAGCCGTTCCGGACGCACGTGCAGCTGACCATCTTCGGTAGGGCGATTGGATTCTCTTTACTCATGAGGGCGGTGTTGATGTCGGCGATGTCGACTCCAAAGCGGAGAAGCTTCTTATCCCTGTCGACCTTTCAGAATATCCATCAAACGAGGAGATTGCTGCCACTCTCTTGAAGAAGGTCCCTAAGGGCGTGCACAACGTCCTTGTTGATTTCAGTAAGTCTCCGGCGCCGGCTGACTGGCAGTTTCAGAGGTTGACCATAGCGTCTTCTCAGTTACACGTCTCTACGCAGTCTATGTGGACTGCCAGTTCACATACCTGGAGATCAACCCCTTGGTCGTCATCCCCAACGAGGATGCCACCTCCGCATCGGTGCACTTCCTTGATCTGGCCGCCAAGCTGGATCAGACAGCAGACTTTGAGTGCGGCGTGAAGTGGGCTATTGCGAGGTCGCCGGCAGCTCTGGGAATCACCGCGCCGACAACTACCAACGGCACTGTCAACATTGATGCTGGCCCGCCGATTGAGTTCCCGGCGCCCTTCGGCCGCGAGCTCTCCAAGGAGGAGGCTTACATCGCCGAGTTGGATGCCAAGACTGGAGCGTCGCTGAAGCTGACGGTCCTGAACCCAAATGGCAGGATCTGGACACTGGTCGCTGGCGGTGGTGCCTCGGTCGTCTATGCTGATGCTATCGCGTCGGCCGGGTTCGCTGATGAGCTCGCGAACTACGGCGAGTACTCCGGTGCCCCCACGGAGTCTCAGACATACCACTACGCCCGGACCGTGCTGGACCTGATGCTGCGGGCGCCGATGAACCCCAAAGGCAAAGTCCTCTTCATCGGTGGTGGTATCGCCAATTTCACCAACGTTGCCAGCACCTTCAAGGGTGTCATCAAGGCCCTGCGCGAGTATGCTGTGACTCTCAACGAGCACAATGTCCAAATCTGGGTGCGCCGCGCCGGTCCCAACTACCAGGAAGGTCTCAAGAACATGAAGGCGGCGACGCAGGAGCTGGGTCTGAACGCCAAGATCTTTGGGCCGGAGATGCACGTCAGCGGCATTGTGCCTCTGGCGTTGATTCCTGGCAAATGGGAGGAGAGCAAGGCTGAGGAGTTCAAAGGTTAAACGGAGGCCCATGATGCGGAGTTACATTGATTGGCTCTCGCTTTACTGTCTGCTTTTCTGTGAAACCCCATACTTAAGTCCCATGGGGAGGAATGGACCCCCAATAGAGAATATAATACATGAGATGCCTAGCATTATACTCGCTATCAAGGTTGTTACATCTTTTCAAGGCTTGAAACTTCGTTTCGCGTGTCTCGAGCATCATAAGTACCATTTACACCCCTTGCTATGACCTAAGTCCTGCAAGGGCAAGCATGACGCGCAATACCCCAGTTACGAAGACGCGAACAAAGTAGGAATTGGGAGATAAATGGAGGAGGCGGTATCATACATACATCCAATATATACAGGTTTCACGCCGAGCTGAACAGGAAGACAGCACGAGAAAGAAAAGCACCAGATTCCAAACACACCATGTCCGGTCCTTTTCTCTCCGTCTGTCCCATTACCCAGTTACCCAGCGGCCCGGCTGGATCGCCATGAGTGGCTTGAGTGCCCGGTTTGCCTGTCTGCCATGTACAATAAATACAATACACTCCAGTCCTAAATTACCTCCTTGGCCCGCCCTCTTATATCGCTGATAATATCCACAGTTCTATCCTCTTATCTTTTCTACCGAGGCATTAAATATCCAAGGCAGTCAGAACAAAGCAATTAGATTGCGGCCATGACGGCAAGGGCACCCATAGCCATGGCGGGTAAGACAACGGCACCCGTGCGCGGGGCAGCGTCCTTGCTTGGGGTGGAAGAGGCTGAGGAACCCGTGCTGGTGCCGGTGCCGGTGCCTGCTTCCGTGTTGGTGCCCGGTTCTATGGGACCATGTTAGCTTGCTCCTGTTGCCTCCTTTTTGCTCCGGATCCGAAAGAGCGAGGAGGGACTTACCGTTGATGGCGTCATCGGCCAGGGGCTTGACAGCCAGGTTGGTGATTACGTTGCCGTTTGAGTTGCGGACCTCGTACTTGACGGTCCAGTCGCTGATCTCGATCAGCTTGCCTGAGGGCTTGGGCGACACGCCGTTCTTGATAATCTCCTCGGCTCCCGGTGGGGGGACGGGGATCGTGAAGTTGTTGTTGAAGCCCTTTGTGGTGATCAGGCTGGGGCTGCATGCAGGTGGCTTGGGCGTCTCGCCCGTGGGCGGCTTCTGGCTCTGGATCTCGGTGAAATTGAGCTTGGCGTACTGGGCCTGCAGGGTCTCGAAATCGCCCCTGAGCTTGGCAGTGCCGTCCTCGTTCATCTCGACTAGGCCGTAGTTGTTGGACTCTTGCGTGTATTCGTAGACGATGCCGCCCGAGAAGACGCCAGTCATCTGGCTGCCGTAGATAGTGCCGACTTCGGTGAAGACGCGGGGAGACGGGGTGTTGCAACCGTACTCGGAAAAAAAGACGGGCACAGAGGTGCCGGTGAAGCCGCTGACCAGGTCGTCGAAGGTGGAGGTTTCGAATGAGCTCTCGCCACACCAGCTGTAGCTGTTAAGGGCGAAGATGTCGACCTTACTCATGTTGTCATCGTCGCCTTCAAGGGAGCACTGGAAGTAGTTGTACGTGTCGAAAAGCACATCACGAACATCAGCGGCAGAGTAGCCGACCGGGATGGGCCGGGAAACGTGGTTCTTGACGTAATTCTTCAGATCGCGAGTGACGGCCCTCATGTAAGGGGGAACAGTGGCGCCATTTGAAACCTCGTTGATAACCTCGTTCCCGGAAAAGAAGGCCAGCGTGTTGGGGTAGTCCTTAAAGGCCTCAACGACCGCAAAGGTGCGGTTCAAGTAGGCAGCATAGTATGATTCCCAGGGCTTGTCGCTGGTCAGAGACTCGCCGACCAGGGGCGAGTTGACGTCGAGGATCATGTACATGCCAGCGGCATTGAAGATGCTGGCGCACGCATCGTGGTTCAGGTTGGGGTTCAGATTGTATACGCGGATCGCGTTGACACCGAGAATCTGGAGCAGGGCGGCATCACGGAGGCAGATATCTGGGTTGCTCAGCGGATCCACCTTCTTTTCCTCGTTATAGCCCGCAGAGCCGCCGGGCTGGTAAGCGACGCCGACGACCTGGAACCGGTTGCCGGTCTTGGGGTTGACGAAGTAGGCGCCCTGAACCTCCAAAGGCTGGACGGCCGCGGCCAGCGTCGCGCCAAGCGCGAGGAGGGCCGAGTGAATCTAGGACAGCAGGGTCAGTACTAGGCATTGCTGTGTCGCGGGAAAAGCAGGCAGCCTACAAACATGACTACTATGCAAGTGACTGTAAGGGGAGCAGAGTCCAAAAGTAGGGCCTATGAGTGGAATGTGGCGATATTGCGCTGAAGATTAGAGAACGAGGGAGGGAAGCGATACAAAAGCCCCGAGTCCTGTATGGCAAAAATGACAGCAAAGAATGCAGTTATGCCAAATGAGCGACAAGAAGGAGAAGATACATGCGCAGAGCAAGCAACTTCCTCAAGTCCCAACGAAGGACTGTCGAGGATGTGGTAAAGATGCTGCGAGGTTGCAACACGAGTTGGTCGGGGCTTGGGAGAGGAGATGCCCATTCCGGGAAGCACGAATGGGAAGGGGCTTGCCAAACCCCACGGCGACAGGGGTCAAACATAAAAATTCCAGGGACCTGTCGATGCTACCCAGGGGTCATTTGCGACCAATGAGGGGCAAATTAACGGGTTATTCCTTCTTGGACTAGCTCTGATAATCTCGTTCCTGCCAAGCGCCATCCAACCTGATTTGTGCCACTGAGCCGAGGCCCTATCGATTTTGGGTCATCATGCCGACTTCAAGGCAAACATCCAACGATGGATACGAGATGGATAAGTACAATTCACTGAGCACCGTTCGGGGCCAAGGCGGTGATACGACATCAGGCCAAAGACAAAGTTTGATGCAACGGTGCAGCTTCTACGTAGCAGTGGTGCATCTGTTGTATGATGTATGTACGTTGCGTTGTAAGCCCCGAGTCCCGCATTGATCGTCATAGGCATTGTTCTCACAGATCACTCGAACCCGGTGGGCGGGGACAAACAAGGGATAGTATAGTCGGCAAATCTCCACGCATCTCGGGTCGATTGCAATACATACTTACAAAACAGCTGTCTCGAACATCTCGCGCGGATACATAGGCTCATTGTTTGAAGCTTTTTGTACGCCGTGTCACGGTGTCACAAATCGGCGGGCGATCTATGGCGCTCAATGGATCGGGCGCACCACATGAATGTGCCGCGTCCTCACAGTCAACACGATGAGTCTTGGGATACAAATAATCACTGGTTACCATTACGGCCGCGGGTTTGTGTTTGCTGGCGGCAGAGGCGCAAATCCGTCTCACAAACTGACTGAGGTAAGGACGGACCACAGCAGTGAAGAGGACGGCGCGGGATGGATGACAAAGCAGCCTCTTACAAAACGCCTTCTGGATTCTCATCGAAGATTCGCCAGCCTTGTGTAGCCGGCTCTGTGGCTTATAGCTTCGACTCATGACAAGTGAAATAAATACATAGATACCTGAGACATATGTTTGGCCGTCTGCGAACAATAACTCTATTGTCATCCGTTCTACGATTCCAACCGGCATCCACCAGTTGCTGCGCAAGTGCTTCAATCAGTTGTCGAACTTCATTCGCCGCCCCACGATACCAGAACCTTGGATCTCATTCGGGCGGTGCGATCCTATTTTTTCCACACTGAACAAGGACATCTGTAGCGAGCGAATACTCAAACTCATCATGGACACCGCCGAGTCATCATCACCGGCTAAAGATACGCAACTTGACTCATTATCACTGTCCGACAGCAATGATGATTCCCCCGTGAAGATAACCATCAAATTTCCCCCTGAAGGGCACAACCAAACATGGGCCTTGTCCGCCTCGGACACCTTTGAGCATCTCATCGCGGCCCTCGAGATGGATTTCCCCCAGTACGACTGGACCAAGAGCAAAGCCCTCGTCGAGAAGCGACCAAAGGGCCTCAAACCCGTCTACACGCCTTCCAACCCGCAGGACATGACCCTGCCGCTATCCGCCCTCAACGACACTACTCTCCGATTCCTCGCCCCCGCGACCTCCGCCCTGAGCTCTTTGCAACAAGCCCAACAGCACGCCGCGGCGACCGCCGCCAGCTGGCAAGCCAAGCGCGCTCTCGCGCGGGCGCGGTACGCGCGGCTGAACCCGCGGCAGCGGGCGAGCGCCGACGAGCTGAACTGGACCTTCCACACATTGCGCCCGTTACCGCACCTCCCCAACGCGGAGCGCAGCCTGGCCTTCCTCGAGCGGCTGCGCGACGACCCGGGCATCCGGACCGTGATGCGCCGGCACAAATTCAGCGTCGGCCTGCTGACCGAGATGGACCCGGCCGCGCACACGGCGGCTTCCCACGAAGGGGTCACACGCATCCTGGGACTGAACCGGAACCGCGGCGAGGTCATTGAGCTCCGCCTCCGCACCGACGCCTACGACGGCTGGCGCAACTACTACGTCATCCGCAAGACGCTCTGCCACGAGCTGGCGCACAATGTGTACGGTGAGCACGATGCCAAGTTTTGGGCTTTGTGTAAAGAGATCGAGAAGGAGGTGGAGAAGGCAGATTGGAAGACCGGGGGCAGGACGGTTGGGGATGAAGAGTACGCCCCTGCTAAGGGAAGCGAGGACGAGGAGGATGGGATGGTGATGGACCATGGCGGGTGGGAAGGGGGGACGTATGTCCTTGGAGGTGGTGGTGAAGGGGAGAATGGGGGCTTGAGTGCAAGGGAGATTCGGGCGAGGGCTGCCGAGGCGAGATGGTCCAAGTTAGAGAAGGCGACGAGGCAAGTGGGGGATGAGAAGGGAGAAGGTTCTGGCGCAGCGGGGGAGAAGAAGCAATAAGGGTGTACAGAGTATCTGAGCTCCCAGGAATAATGAATCATGTCACGATAACAGCGAGATGTCAATTACTGTCCAGGTTTAAGCTGGCTTTTGTCCCTTGGCACTTTCGCTGAAATGTTTTGATTATGTATTAGCATAATCAATGTGAGCCAAGGCTAGAAGGAATCCGCCTATCTAGCCATCCATACGTCCATCCTAGCCCGCCCCTATTCCTTCCATTTCCAACCAGCGACCGCGACTGCAATTATCCACCCACCAGCCGGCTCCCATAGTTTACCTATACATCTTTCCCTCAGTCTGTCCTGACGTCTCATCACCAAGCGCAACTGCAAGGAAAGAACGCTTCTGTACTAACACACGGCCATAAAAGAAAAGTAGAAAGTAAGAGACCCAAGGAGAACGACAAGCCCAATGCGAGCAGAGGTGCGTGGCTGCGTGCGTGGCTGCGGGCGCACTCGCGTACGGCCTCCCGCCATCCAGCAGCCCACGATCCAAAGCAAAAGCGAAACACAAGAGAAAAAGGAACGCCTTATTCAGCCGCCTAGTCCGTTTGCCTGGCTCTATCCCCCCTTGCGGTGAAAAATGATAAAATCCCGGGTTGAAGAACCACCAGCAATGATGATAGCTGTTGTTGAGACTAAGGAAAGAAATGCAATGACCAGAAAGAAAAGAGAATCCAGCGCCGTCACCAATGAGAGTAAAAGTACAGACGTTAAACAAGTGAAAAGGAGAGAAAATGACAAAAAGGGTATCGAACCACTCCACAGCTTCGCTCCAGCATCCATCGTCAGCCACCTAACTCCAAGCATATTACATTATCAATATATCCCCTCATCTCACTCAACCTCCTCCTTCCCCGTCGGGATCCTCATCGTGTCTCCCCCTGTCCTTAGCTGCAACATCCTCGGCTGCCTCAGCATCTCCTTCAGCATCGCCATCACCAGACCCCGAACCGGAACATGCTTCCCCTTCTATCTCCGAAGAAATCGAAGAAGAAGGAGAAGCAGAAGACCTTCCCCCTACGGTCCTAGGCCTCCTCTCCTCGTTATCTCCGGCACTGACCCTCAGATTTCTCAACCTAAGCTTTTCATCCAACATGGTGACCAAACGCTCGCTGTACTGATCCAAAAGGCCCTCGAGCAGGGCACTCTCACTAACTGCCTTGTTATGACTCCCGTGACTCCCATGCCCAAGGCCGCCGGAACTCCGAGTCCTGATGGCCCGCTCGCCCAGAGCGCCTGCCGTGAGCCGTAGCTCAGCGTCGAGTTGCGTCAGCAGGTCCGGGTTGATCTCAGCCGATGACGCCCCCAGTTTCTTCCTATAGGCGCGAAGCTGGCGGCAGGTCTGCTCGGTTGCCATGCTCAGGGACCCAAAGCCGTGGTTGTTACTGCTATTTCGATGGTTGTGGTTGGTGTCGTTGCCGTTAGTGCCGCGGTTGATGCCACTACGCATGTTGGAATTGGAGCTCTTGCGAGATTTGATGGATTTGATAGACGACGAAGGCGTCAAATTCAGGGCTGGGAGGGAAGGACGGCGGAACATCCTTGAACGGTGGTTTTTTGGACTGTCCTCGGGCGGGGGACTATCTGATGGGCTGCCGCCGCCCGAGGAGGCGCGGCGGGAAGGGGTCTCGTCGATGGCGGCTGTTGTGTTGGAAGGGCTTGTTTGTTTATCCGTGGTGGGGGTTCGTAATGAGGAGAATGGCAGGTGGAGTTTTGAAGGCCGGCGGTGAGAGGGCCGGGGTGACGAACGGCGGCCGGAGGTTGATGTTGTAGGCCGCTGAAATTCGGCAAGCTCGGCTTTTGAGAGAACTCTCCTCAACGGAGGACGGTTCGCAGCTAGTGGTGTTTTCTCTGGGGACGGGTCGCGGCTTCTTGACCCGGCTGTAGGATCCTGGAAATCGAGAGCCCAAACCATGATTGTGCCGTCCTCGCCAACGCTGACAACCTTCCTCCCGTTTTCTTCGCTATCCGTAAGGATAACGCCTTTGATAGCTTCAGTGTGGCCCCACTCGCGGTGAATGAAGCAGCCGGATTGTGCATCGTAGATTCTCACGGACTTGTCAGTATTCGATATACCCACGAGAATACTCAAATCGTCCGCCTCGAGTTGCCCGTATGTCAAGGAGTCGAGAACGACGGATTCGTTGCCTGATTCGTCGCTGCATTTGAACGAGTTCAAGAGCCGGCCGCTCGACATGTCGAACTGGCAGACAGAGCGATCCAGGAGCGACACAAATACCGTTTTCATGTCGGATGTAACCGTCATTGATGAGGGTGATGCCCTCAAGGAAATGACCCTCGAGGGGATGGCTGCCATAACGTCCGGTGCTCCCTCCTTACTCACGATGTCATGGATCTGGAGTGTCCGGTCTAGGGAGCATGTCAATACCTTGTCCTCCGTGGGTATAAGCACCTGCACGACCTTGGCGGTGAACTCGAGCGTTTGGAAGTGCTCAAATACCCCTGCAGACGAGCGGAAGAATAGCTGAACAGTCCGGTCCCTTCCACAAGATGCCAACAGGGCCCTGGATTTCCCCTCGTGGATCGTGATGTCCAGGCAGTTTGAAGAATGAGCTTTTGTCTCCAACAGGCACTCCTTGGAAGATGCGTCGATAATTCGAAGAACGCCAAGTTTGTCTCCGACGATGAAAAGGCTTCCGTCGTTTGTCGCCCTCACTACGACGACCTGATTAACAGGGTCAGAGTCATTGATGGTTTCAATCTGCTCTATTGGGATGTTGAAGGACGACTTGATCATGCCTTCCATATCCCAGATGTTTACTCTCCCGGACCCGGACCACGTGAAAAACATCGCTTCATGAATATTTGATGCGGGCAATCGTTGTATGCCAACAATGGGATCGCCAGGCCCCGGAATTGGGATGCGTTTGCTGTCGTCCATTTTGGAGGCCAGGGGAATGTAATCATGGCTCCACACATCGATTGATCGCTTAGTATCGATCGTCACGAGGGTTTCTGCCAAGAACCCCATGGCATTGAGACCGTCTGCCATTTGGAAGTTTCGAATGTCCGGTTCTGGAACGCCGGCCAAGATGCTCTCGAGGCTAATTAGGGCCAATTGGCCTTCCTTACCCCCAATGTAAACGTCCCCGTTTCGTCCCGATATGCAGGTGACGCCGAAACCAAGATCCAGAACCTTGATAAGCTTCATCTGCTTTCCGATGTCGTCCAATAAGCACACACTGCCCGTCTCCGAGCAGATAATGGCTTTGTCGTCACCTGCGGGCAAGGCGCAACAGAAAGTGGCGTCCAGCATCGATCCTAACAAGATGTTCCTTCCGGGCAAGGACTTTTGTGCCTGCGAAGGCGCCGGAGGGACTGAGCCTTCGGAGAACTTGGTCTTGATGGGGGAGATGGTCGGGCCATCTTCTACCCTCCATGCCTTGACATGGCGGACACCAAGTGTTATCAAGGTGCTCCCCATCCACACCATTCCCTTGACGAAAGAGGTGCATCTGTTCTGCTGAAACAGCTTGACTGCACCAGTGCGGGGGTCGACCTTCCATAGATAGAGAAATCCGTCGTTTGCCGAGCCCAATGACGCGAGATACTTGGTATCCGGGGACCAAGCTACCGCCCTAACACCGAAGGTGTGCTCACTGATGGAGACCAGAGGTATATCAGATGAGGTATCCTGCAGGCTGAAGATGAGCACTCGCGGGGCGTAGCCTGTCTCGCCCACGGCGAGATACCTTCCATCTCGGCTGAGGGCCAGACAGGTGGCAGCCTTTATCCGTTCGCGGCTCGTCCACGTCTTGGAGGTGGGTGATGATTCCGGCCAATCGGCGGATCCATACAGGGTTTCTCTCGGGGAAGCAGCAGCCCTGTTCCTGCTATCATTTGCTTTTGGCGTAGAAGTTGAAGGTGAGAATGCATTGGCGACAGAGCAAGTTAAAAAGACAGGGACCGCGGTCGGCCGGGCACGGTAGAAGCGCTGTGAGTAGTGCTCGCCAGAGACATCGACCACGACGACGGCACCGCCGGCGATGTAGGCGAAGGACGAGTGGACGGTATCAAAACCTGTGGGCGAGCTGCAGGTGGTGCCTATCACACGCTGGAGGGAGAAATTGGTTTCTTGAAGGGCTCGCGGACGGACAGGCGATCGAGTGGGCCGCGAAAGAAACGGAGAACTAGATGGTGCAGGCTTAATCCGGTTTGAGGGAGTGGATGCCATCGCTCTTCGCCATAGACCGGTCCAGTAAGGCTGTTACGAGCGTCTGGGAAGGTTTAACGTGGGCGTAGGAACATCTGCAGTGAGCGACCGGTTGCTGGAATCGGTGCTATCGACGAGGCTGGAAGAGCGTGGAGAAGGAAGGAAAGATGCCTGATTCGCGACTGTGTGTTTTAAAACTCTAGAGCCCAATGCTGTCGGAACGAATGATTGACAGAGGGACGAGGAGGTCGGTGGGTTAAAGGCTGCAGATAGTCGATCGCAGCGGAGGTTTCAGGTCAGAGAACATGCCCGACAACAAAGATCACCTCAGAGTGATGCAGGCACGGAAGCTTACAGTGACATGAGGAGATGCAGCGGAACAGGTCGATTGTCCCGGCAGCGAAGTCGAACTAACGTTAGTTTAGGGCATTCGGATGGCGTCACAAACATCGGGGGTTGGGATGGTGAATCGCCAAAAAAATCCACCAAGCCCTGGTGGGCAGAGATGCGATATCCGGTGAGACTCGAGCAGCACCAATTCTGGGTCCGCCGGACTGGATTCTTTTGTTTGTGGCAGGGGTAGCTACACAAAAGCTGGAGGCAGGAGTGTGGCCCGTGCATTCCGCCTTGCTTTTAGCGCCCTCTTGGTTCCTGGTTTCCCTTGATGGTGGAGCCACAGCAGCCTGTGCGTGTAACCCTGCCAATAGGGAACGGGAGTAATGCTCCCCAACCAATCATCTCCCAGGTCCGACTTCGGCAAACGCCTATCCAAATGTTTACCTTGCATCGTTCACGGAGTATAATGTTTACTTATCAGAAGCTCGGTTGGGAATGACAGTGTAGCGGAATGCTGCTCGACAACAAAACACGTAAAATCAGATATCTTACAAATGGAGTTCGGCAATTGTGTCGCATCAGGGTCGGGATGTAAACCCCCACGATGTCATCAGTGGAATGTCAGGCTGGAACATTGGACCGTGTGACGAGGCACGGCGATGCATTAGCGTTGACTGGGCATGCGTCGAGCGAGATGAATGGCTTCGTCTGTTCAGTCTGACGTGATTGGCTCTTCTCGGGCTATTGCAACACTAGCCGTCTACAGAGATACATAACCTCGATAACCACGACGGTAGCGCAAGGGTTTGTATCCATTGCTCCATCAGCAAGGTAAGGTATCTCTTCAAGGTGTCGATATCGCCTTCGACTGGAAACCTCGTAGCGCTGACCTAGCAAGCCTCTGGATAGCCGGGAGGTGTTCCATGAAACCCAGTAAACCAAGCGAACCAAATTCCATCGTCATCTCCGGAAAACCTCAGTATCTGATAAGTTCAGACCTTAGTTGCATCGGTTCCAGAGCAAGCGAATAACCCAAGATGAGTTCGAATCACTCTGTTATACTTTTGTAATGGAGTTCATATTCGTACAATAATTATGATACAGAATTACCCAACAAACTTTCAGCACACAGAGCTCACTGCTTGCCGGGACAGTACCTAAGCTCTCGCTCGCCTTTGCCCTCTTTAACGGGGCAAAACATCACCCCACCATGTCCTCCGCAATCCTCCATTCCACCTCGGCAGTGTGCTCTCGTTCCTCCTTCACCTTCTTAGGCGCCGGCTTCGAAACGGGTCCTCTCGGGCGATTCCACTTGGGATCACGGACGATGCCCTCGGCCCGCCACTTCTTTGGGGGCTTCTTGCCGAGTTCGGCCCAATGCGCCCAGACGCGCTTTCCTCTGTTGAACCACCTCTGCTGGCGCTCTTCCTCTTCCTCGGGCGACGGGGTCCATTTGGACTTGAGGATCCTGCGGATCGCTTCGGGCGACACCTCGAACTTGTTCGCCAGCACCTCGGTGGTGTATTCTTCGGGAAACTGTGCGTGAAGGGCTCTGATTCCGGTCATGGCATCCGGCGACAGCTTTTTGCGCGGGTTCCAGCCCTCGGGGAATTTTTCCTTGAGTGCTTTCTTCTGTATCATCCAGTGTTCTTTCTCTTTGGGCGGATCAGGTTGTTCATCGTCCTTGACTGTTTGGTCTTTCTTTGCTTTCTTCTTCTTCTTTTTGGACTTGGGCTTCTCCTCGCCAGGTTCTCCTTTTCGCGTCTCCGAGTTGCGCTCATCTGCCTCAGTTCTTTGTGCCGTTTCGGAGTCGTGGAAAGTAATGTTGGGCGGGAGCCTTTCTCTGCGAGATGCTACCTCGGCCAGCACGGTAGTATCCTCCGGTGTCCTCCCCTCGTCAACATCATCTTGCACGGCGCGGACGGCTTCCGCTGAGCCTTTTCTAACGGTAGAAGTATGTAGAAGTCTCGATTGCGGCGTCGAAAGCGGGAAAGTTGCCCTCTGCGAGCTTCTGACCCGCCTTGGGGGATTGCGAAGTGCGTTGTAGAGACTCTGGTTTTGCGAGAGTCGGGACGTGGCTGCGCGTGCAGGGCCGTGGACTTGAGCAAGGCTGTTCAGAAAAAGCCTGAGCGCAGTGCTTTGGCAGCAGCAAGCCATGATCTGTGAGACCACGGAGCGTTGGTGGGTTCAAATCGAATGCATAGGGCGGACAAACATATCAGCAAGCCGGTGGTGGTCGCGGTTCGAAAATTTCCAGAAGGCGTCCTGCATGAGACGCTGGGCTCGTGCCGTGCACTAAGGAACAGGGATCAGAGCGCCCCACACACCCAGTGGGTCCCGGCTGGGCGCAGGCTCCGGCTGTTACATGTGGATCTCCCGTGTCCGGTCCGTCGGTGACTCGGTGTCCCCTCCCGCTCTCTCGGCTAGGCGCTCTTGAGGCGCTGTTGTAACGTTAGGCTTTTCTGCAGAGTGTGCGTACGTGGTATACGACGTACATTTAACTCAAGTTCTCGAACCATCTTGTAAGATTCTTGTACTAGGCATCATGGTATTGTACAGTACATACGTACAGTACAATACATGCGACTTAGATCGGCTTCTAGCGATGTCCTGCTTCGCCGCATCCATCTTTTAGATGTTGGAACACCAACAACTTGGGTGTATCCAAACAGTCAGGTGCATCCTATACCGAATCCGCTATCACCAACAGTGTTGGTTGTATATAAGACGGAACTCCTATCCGTGTGGCGATCTTCTTGGGTGCCATCCGTGGGATCCTTCACGTGGCGACCGGCGAACACCAGGAGATGCACGTCACATTGGCGCACCAGCCACGGATATGTTGGTCCGGCTATCAAGTATCAACTTGGCCATATGCGGGTTGTCCAACTTATCAACCGGTTTGCGTGCAGAGTGTATTATTATTTATGTCTTGAATGATGACTCTATAGACCTTCTTCAGGACTAGTCAATTTGAAAAATAAAGCATTGCAAAATATATGTATTTGATTGCGATGACTACCGTCGTGCCGGTATAGTCGACCTGTGATACTCTGAGCCTCATTGCTTCACACATAAAGCTTGCTGTGGGCAACCTTTAAACACTTTATCATCAGCCAACGCCAGCATCGAAATGTCATCTCGCAGGTTGGAAAACGGAACGCGCGTCCAAGCCTGGGACTACGAGTTTGACTGGACTCCAGAGCATCTCACCAGCGAGCAGTTACGGCCCATGATCTTTTCCTACGACGAGCTAGCGACGAGATGCCTTGACCGATTAGACGACCTCTCACCTCTTCACCTGAGATCCAAGACACAATCCAAAAGCAAGGTAGCAGCCTCCAACGACACCGCTCCCGGAAAGCAGCATCCAGACTTATACGAAGTTCTCAGAGAGCGTGCTCCTGATGACGAGACGCTACGACAACTCTGGGACCAAGTTACCACCGTCCCGGACTGGGTGGATTGGGCGCAGCTGGAGCGCGGCCAAAAGGTCTTTTACCGCTACGCCGGCCCATCCATCGTAGGCCTCACTTTCCAATCGCTGCTAGGGGGCCTCGGCTCTGCGCGGGTGGTCGAGACGCTTGCGCGGACAGGCGGGTTCGGGGTGAGTGTCGTCCGCCGGCGGCTGCTCTCCACCTTCCAGCACCTCCTGGACGTGACCCATGACATAGACTCCATCAAGCCCGGCAGCAGCGGAAGGGGCTTCGCCTCGTCGATCCGCGTGCGTCTCCTGCACGCCTCGGTGCGCCGGCGCATCCTGGCCCTTGCCCGCTCCCGACCAGACTACTTCGACCTATCCCAACACGGCGTGCCGATCAACGACCTCGACAGCCTCGGCACCGTGCTGACCTTTTCCGCGACCCTCATCTGGATCGCTTTGCCACGGCAGGGCATCCGCCTGCGTCTGGACGAAGTCACAGACTACCTCGCGCTGTGGCGGTACCTGGCATACATCCTCGGCGCGCCGTCCAGCCACTTATGCACCCCCTCCCAGGCGCGGGCAATGATGGAGTCCCTCCTACTCTCCGAACTCGCCCACCCGGGGCCCTCAACAACGTCACGGACGCTGGCAAGAAACATGCTGACCGCCCTGGCGGGGCAGCCGCCGGGTTATCTGTCCCCCTCCCTGCTGCACGCCGAGGCGCACTGGCTCAACGGCCATGCGCTGGCCGACGCGTTAGGGGTCCCTCGCCCCGCGTGGCACCACACGGTCCTGGTGGCCGTGCAATGCGCCTATTTCGCCGTGGTGTGCCGCGCGCGCAGGAGTGTGCGCGCTTGGGACGAGGCTAGCATACGCCGGCTGCGACGCCTGCTGGAGGGTATCGTGCTGAAGGAGATCGGCGGGGAGAGGGCCACGCACACGTTTCACTACGTCCCGCGGTTGGGGAAGGGCACTACCGGTGGTACTAGCGGAGAAGGAAGAAGGGATGTGGTGACTGCCCAGGTGGGTGGGGATGGGGCGCAGCAGAAGGTGAATGGGGAGTGGAGGATGGTTTGGGCATCCACGGCTTTACGTACGGGCGTTGGCGTATTACGAAGACGTCGCACAGCGGAGCTTGTGGTTCTGGTGATTGTCGGCTTGATGGCATGGCTCGGGCTCAGGGGCGTCTCGGAATTGATGTTACAAGTAGTCGGTTGATGCGCGGCTCGGGTAACTGTCGATCCTTGGGGGGCGCATTGGTGGGTTGCTGGATGTGTTAGAGATCTGATGGCTCCTCAACATGTGAAACACTGCCGATTCCCGATATGAGTCGGGTCGATGCTCGGTTTGCTCTTACGCCACGGTCAAAGAGCCACGGAATAGGGGATTGAAACGTGATGATTCTTTTCACTCTTCAGTCGTTCGACAAGATATTTTGTCAAGACGGTTAAGTTTTGGCGCTGTTATCACTATATAAGAAGAGCAACACTGATCACAAGTGTGCTCGATCTCTGGTTACACAGCGCAGGATGGTAATACTAATGCCTCATGAACCGCACACTCCTCAAGATGCAAGATGCTTCCTATAATGCAGTGATGTTGACTGCGACGATCTGTGTCTGCCGCACAATCCCGTCGAGCACCCAACGCCAACCATCCTTTTTCCAGTACGCCCCGTGCCTTTGGATATTGTACCACATGGCCTGTGACTGGGAGAGCCGCAGCCGGCCGCATAGGGGAAGAAGAAGGTAAAACACAATAGTGAAGAAGAATAAGAGGCTCCTAGAGGCCTACAGAAGCCATTTTCCCTCATGAATCCATCATCAACTCAACCGGGGGCCGCGCCGTATGGGCCATGATAGGCTTCGGCGGCGCATCAGCCGCAACAGGGCTGATCTCCTCAGGCTCATCCGTCAGGTCGTCCACCGTCACGCACGGCAACTCGTCCACATTCGGCTGGAAAATCAGCGTCGAGCTGCGGCTGCGCTGCTTGAACCCGCCACTCTCATTGGCCGGCGACACGGGCGAATGCGCCTGCGCGGCCTCGTTGTGATGCCGCAGCCTAGCCAGCGCCTCGGCCAGGTCCTCGGCGTGCACCATCTTGTTGGGCGCGTCCTCCATCCTCACCTCCCATCCGTGCGGCGGACTCGGCGGGGGCGAGATGAAGAACAGCTTCCCCGCGTCGGGGAGAGCCAGGTGCACGGGGTGCTGCGCAGTGATGGGCGTCGGCTGGCCAAAGTAGACGCGGCAGCGCTCGCCGAAGATGGCCTCGCCGTCCCAGATCTGGCGCACCGCGATGGCAGCGGATTCGTCGAAGAAGGAGACGATGATACGCCGGAAAGACTTGAGCGGCGACCACGAGTGGATCGGCGCCGTCTTGCTGATCAGGTCCCGAATGGTTTGCAAGTTCTCGGCGTGGAATATGTCGCGGGATTGGAGATTCGTAAAGATCAGCGTGTTGGAAGGTGGTGTCGGCGGGACGTATGGCGGCACGCTGGACAGGTCAAGCGAGAGGGTGGATTTGCGGGAACTGCCAGTTGAGGACCGCGAGGGCGGGGTAGGCCGGAGGTCCGGCGATGGTAATAATGATTGTCGCTGCTGCTCCAGCGGCTGCTGCGATTCTTGTTGAATTTGTGGTGATTGCTCCATCTTGACGGCAATCCGACGCGCGGCTGTTGGGTTTACGATGGCCTCCAAAGTCGTCTTCTTTTTGAATCCGCTCAAAGGTCAACGTTCATGTCAAGCTTGGTCGCACGAATAATTCCACCTTGTCGTCGTGGAAAGTCGGGTAGATCGCAGTCGGTCTACTGTCGGTATGCACAGTAACAAAGAATGCAAGCAAAAGAGGAAAGCGGATGAGGGTGGAAATTTATAACGTCAGAGAGGTGCAGTCTGTGGTTTGGTAATGGCGCCTCACTGCAAATGTTAGTGGTTGGTGTGGCAGTCCACCTGCGGGTGAAACAGAAGGCCGCAGTGGGCGATCACGGGCCCACGATTGCGACCCGCAGGACGGCCAAGCCGCCCGCAGAATGCCCCAGAGTGCCCCAGTTGGATGGCTGAGCCAATCGACCGAGATTGGGGTCGAGACCGATTCTTGGCCACCGGCATTCAGATGCTGTGGCTTCTCCGGCCGCCAAGCGTCAAGCATTGCCATTCACATTTTTCACAGAACTGCAAAGCCTCTTTCCTCCGGCTGAGGAACCCCAGATGGGGGAAGTTTGCTAGTGCTCATAAGTTCAGGCTGTTCTTGCCAGTTGCCACGAATTCCATGGTCAGGGCAGCGGCGAGCTTTTGGCAAACGCCGTTCTCGCCGTTTACTTGAGTGGAGACTCCCGGTTCCTTGCGGCCTCCCGTTCTGATTGGCTTGGCCAGGCCTTGGTGCGCGTGCACAGCCTCACAACGCCATTCTTTGGAGAAGGAGGTCAACGGTACTGCATCATCTGTTTTCTTGCCTCTGGGCCGCCGGGCTTTCCGCCAACCTCTCAACATTTCTTTCACCATTTTGTACCAGCCCATCCAAGGCCAATTCAAATCCCTTCAGCCGCTCTTGCCTTTAGCCCTGTATGCAACAGTACCTGCGTGCTGGGACCCGCAGTAAGGCTCTTTGGGTGGGTTCCAGAACCCCATATCATGACCGACGGCCCCTTCCCGATTCACTGCCATGCGCACCACTTCGCCCGCTCAACAAAGCGACTATTGACGAGCACGGCACTTGTGTCCGTGATCATAGCCCACCGGTCATTTGTGCTAGTCTTCTGCCGCGTTGACTGCTCACTGCTCAGCCCTCTGACCTCTACGCCACTGGGTCATACGCGGCATAACTCCCGTGATGATGGCCGGAGACTTGCCCCTGACGGCCCAACAGACAGACAGGCAATGTAGGAACGGAATGCACGGGCAGACGGTCAAGCGTTTGACATGCATCTTACAATAACGTACTTGCTAACCCTCACACATAAATACAACTCCAAATGCCTGCATCGCGGCAATGGCACGACGCGACCCCAATAGGCCAAGCGAGCTATAGCTTTACAATGATGAGATCAGATCGTGGGCCAAATAAGCGAAGAGGTAAGCCAACGAGGCTGAACCTGACTTGGACCAGGTCTCAGCCTTTTGAGAAGGCTTAGTCTGGCATTGCGGATACATAACGCTGAGTGATCCATTGGGCCAGGCCGCGTATCGTGGTCACTTATACGAGGAGAGCGAGCTGTTGTCTGGCCATTTTACCGTCTCTGCCGGTGTTTTGCTTACCCTTAAAGTCTTCGTAAATCTAGTTCTTCTAGTGCTTCTGTTGGTTTTGGTTACTCACAGCTTATCTGCGCTGCATCACAACCTCCATACCGTACATAAGTCTAAGCCCTCATCAACGTCGCAGCCCATGCCGCCAGTGCAGAATGTACGCTCGGCGAGGAGATATGGCAATGGGCGGTCGTCATTCGATCTGTGGTCTGTCCAATGCCCAACACCAAAGACACTTCGTCATTACCCAACGTGGCAGGAGGCATCGGACTTGACTACTGAACCTTCGTCAAACCCCTCACTTAGGGCTCCACAAGCTTTGCACTGCCCTCTTCCCATAGTGTATAGGTTGCATTTGGGATGTGCTCCCGGTAGTTCCTCCTATCATACAATGCCATCTATCCGTCTAGTATATCCCGAACTTTACACTATCTACAGCTTCCAGTAGGAATCCGGCTGGAGCTCTTCCGCTCTTCTCAACCCGAAATACAGAGCCATTAGACCATTTGCTTGGAGAAAGTAAGAGGAAAATCCTGCTAGTCAACCCTAGCGTCTCGCCGAGTGTGGCGGAGCAAGAGGGGAGTATCAGTCAGGGGCTGTTTGGCGGAATTAGGTTCCGACTTGAGCTCGCTCCAACCATAAGAAATGCCAACTGTTTAGCAAACACAAGGCCGTCCTCAGAAACTGCCCCAAGAACGGGGAAAAGGAGAGAAGATTCAAGGATCAGGCGATCCGGGCGCTGGCTACCTGATCTCAACGCCCAACTTGTCTACCAACTCCTTGACCACCCTCTCGTGCATGTCGTTGGTCTCAAGATTCGTCAGTGTTCTCTCCAGACTCCGATAGTTGATCCGGTAGCACAAACTCCTCCTCCCCGTCTTGGGATGCGTAAACTCGTCCACCAACCTCACATCCTCCGCCACATCTCCTGCCACATCCCTAACCACCTCCATCAGATCATTCTCATGCCAGTCGTGCACATTCGCCCGTCTAGAGTTCCCACCGGCCGCTGACGCCGCTCTCAGCCAGAACGATACGTCCTTGTAACAGGCAGGGTGCTTGCTGAACGGCACAAACGGCTTCAGCAGTGCCAGGTTGTCCTGCACGCCCCTGAACTGGCTCAAGAAGCGCTCGTCACGGGACCAGAACAGCCGGATGTCAGGGATCTGGAAGAGCAGCATGGCGATGCGTTCCAGGCCGATGCCAAACGCCCAGCCGATCCGTGATGGTACCCCCGCGTTGATGAGCAGCTCCTGCTTGCTCACCCCGCAGCCCAGCACCTCGAGCCAGTCGCCCTGGTAGAACACTTCGAGCTCCCAGCTGGGACTGGTGAAGGGGAAGTAGGCCTCGACCCATCTCACGCGGAGCGGTTCCTGCTCCTGCTGCTGCTCCCCGCCAGCAGCGGCAGCAGCGGCGCTCTTGGCCCTCGAGAAGATCTCGCAAACCATCAGCTCCAACGACCTCTTCAGATGCGCGGCAACCGCCTCGGCCTCCTCGGGCGTGTGGTACTTTTCCTGGAGGGGGTTCCGGTCCGCGTGAAACGGCGGGTTGGGATCCTCTACCTGCATGCCGTGCTCCGGCAGGCGCCGTAGGTCCTCGTACACTGCGCGCGCCACGTCCCCTCCGGGCACCGTCTGCCTGTTCCACACCCGCGCCCCCTCCATCTGGTGGAAGACCGGGTAGTGGCTGCGGTCGACCTCGTCCCGGCGGTAGACGTCGGCGCTGATCAGATACCCATCGCTCTCGCGAGCGCCGAACAGGTGGGCCTCGTGGGCGCTGGTGTGGGTGCGTAGCAGGGTGTCGCGGTTGACGTAGTACGTGTCTGAGCGCGCGCGGCCCGGGTGGTCCGGCGGGAACCCGAGCGAGTCAAAATTCTCGTGCGTGGACACGACCGGGTCGAAGTGGTTGTAGGTTCGGTAGGTCGATTTGGGGAAGACGGATTCGACTATTTGTCGCGTGATGGAGACTGGGTGGTCTTTTTGCAGGTGCAGCTTGCGCCCCGTTAGGGAGAGCACCGTAGATGGGATGTTGAACCATGCGTCGGTTGCATATTGCTTGCCGTTGATCTCAACGGTTCCCGAAGTCGGAGTAGTAGATGTGGATGTCGTGGTTGTTGTTGTTGATGATGTTGATGTGGCTGTGGGCGAAGGAGGATGCGGCGTTGTAGAGGCTTCGTGTTCACGGTGGTTGAATCAGTATGCGTTGCCCGTAACGCAACATGGTGTGTATGATGCTGTTCGGTTGCTAACCTGAAGAGTAGGCAGCTCGCCAGCATCGAGCGGGCGAGCTGCTGCGCGGGCGGTGACTGCTCAATTGGATGCCTGGTCCAAGCAGCACCGTAAGTTTGGAGCGGCTCCCAGCGCCAGGCCAGAACACACCAGCGAGGCCTCGCGATCCGATCATGCTGAAACTGGACGTTGGGTTTGCGGCTGCCAGGCGGCTGCGGTGGAGAATTGGAGACCTCGGGAGGAACCTGGCGATCAATGCGGCAGAGCTCAAAAAGTCCCCGGCGCGTCCCTCAATGCCAAGGAACGGCCCCATAGTCCACCTACCGTAACAGGGGTCAGAATGCACAATGACATCGGATTCATCCCTTGAGCCGTGATTGGTCAATGGCTTGCAAGCTGCAACCACAAAGGTTCTCTCTTGGGCAGGCACGGCAGGGAAAGGCTACCAAGGTCGATGCTACTCTGTACTTTGTTGCAGAGATCGGAAGACCTGTCATTGATTCCCCGAATCGGTACTATCTTTTAGGTTTGCCCCAAATCCTTCTTTTTCCTCCCTTTTTCTATCTTACACCCATTTTGCGCCTTACTTGCTCAGGGGCTGGCCATCCTGGATCTTCTGCAGGCCAAACTTCTTGAGGCGGATGGCCTGGATGGCAATGAAGCCCGTGGTATCCATGGGCGAGAAGGTCTCGAGGGAGTCCATGGAAGCATCTTCCTGAGAGTAGAGGTTGCTGGCGTCGCTCTTGCGACCCAGCACGTAAGCATTGCCCTTGTATACCGACATGCGGACCTCGCCCGTGACGTGCTGCTGCGAAAAGATAATCGAGTTCTCCAAGAACTCGCGCTCTGGAGTGAAGTACATGCCGTTGTAGAGGCAGTGGGACCACTCGAGAGTGACGAACTGGTCACGGAGCTTGCGAACCTTGGAGTCCATCACCAGACCCTCGAGATCGAGATGGGCAAGGCGGCTACGGGATGTCAGCATCAATTCAAGGTAGCTTTTGCTGAGCGAGTGTCCATTTTGAGAACTTACGCAATGGTGAGGCCCGGGGTGTCGTAGCAGCCTGGTTTTTGTCAGAGTGGAAGTATACAAGCGATGGGGGGAGCAAGCACTTACCACGGCTCTTGAGGCCAATGAAGCGGTTCTCAACAATATCAACTCGGCCAACGCCATTGTCGTGGCCAATCTTGTTCAGAAGCTTGAACAGCTCAACCGAATCGGTCGCTGTCTGGTCGGGAGTGACAACCTTGACCGGAATACCCTTCTCGAAGTGGATGGTGAACTCGTACGGCTTGTCCGGCGCATCCGTGGGGTCAACTGTGCGGGTCCACAGCTCCTTGGGCGGGGTGTGGTCGGGGTCTTCCAAAACTCCAGCCTCATATGAACAGTGGACCAGGTTGTCATCCATACTCCACGGAGCCTTGGGAGTCGACGAGACGGGGATGTTGTTCTCGGCGGCAAACTTCAGGAGATCGGCACGGCCCCTGCGCAGAGACAGTTAGCATGCATCATGATAGAGCATCCGAAAGATTGTGAGCCACGTACTGGAACTTCTTGATGAACTCGGGCATTCTCCACGGAGCAATGACCTTGAGCGACGGGTTGCATGCCATAAATGCAAGCTCGAAGCGAACTTGGCTGTCGAGCCGATGTCAGCGACCGTATCTGAGATGCGCCTGCGCAGCATAAAACCTACTCATTCTATCCACAATGTTAGCACGCCACCAAAGATACGGCTCAATCAAGCCACTTACGCCCTTGCCAGTGCAGCCGTGGCTGAGGTATTCGCAGTTGTACTGCTGGGCGACGCGGACTTGAGCGCGGGCGATCACTGGTCGCGCCAGTGAGGTGCCGAGGAGGTAGCGGTCCTCGTAGATAGCATTGCACTGAATGGCGCGGAAGACAAGCTCCTCGACAAATTCGCGCTGCAGGTCCTCAATGACCATGCGCTCAGCGCCAATGGCGAGGGCCTTCTTCTCGACCGCAGCCCAGTCCTCCTCCTGGCCGACATTGGCGAGGAAGCACACGACGGTGTAGCCCTGTGTTTGGCAAAATCAGCGATTAGATTGCGCGACAGATGGTACCATGCCAGATGGAAAGTGTGGTAGGAATCTTCTGCCTTCGAGCAGTTTTTGGCAGGGAGCTCTCACCTCGAGAATGAGCCATTTCAGGATGGTAGAGGTGTCGAGGCCTGTCGAAAAGAGTCAGTCTTGGTTCGGCCTGGCGGTGGAAGCCGCTGGGCTGTCACGAGCGCGGAAACTAGAATTGGTTGTGCAATCCACGTCGTACCTCCAGAGTAGGCGCTGTTGGGGGATCAGAAGTCAGTACCCACAATCCACAATTGCAGCGTTCAGCAAGGATTCGACTTACAGACAAACGCGACCCTTCGACATGGTGATGGTTTGTTTGTGTCGTGTGCTCACGATTGAATCACCTGGGACGGGTTGAAACTGGGCGATGCACTGGGAGTGTAGGAAGCGGGATGATGAAGATTGCAATTCAGACAGAGGACCAGAAAACCTCAGTTAGTCACCGCTTCTAGCTCTAATTTCTAGTACCCTAGTGGTAGATATCCTCCCTCCCTTCCTTCCCAAAGTAGGCTATGACTCTAAGGCGGTCAAACTTTTTCCATATCAACCTGCCGCTGCCGATATCGCAATGAATGGTGTGATAAGATAACAAAGCCCCCTGTCGAGTTGGTTACACTCTTGTCTGACGTAGTGCGGTGACGCTCGGACTTGATCTCAACTTGTAAAAAAAGATTCAAGAACTGCCGCCATTGCCGAACCCGCCAATAACCAAAAGAATAAGCTGTGTTATCGAGAATTCACTCGTTTCCCAACCAGACTCCCCAATTGGGTCTTGTCGATCTATTAAGACTGTAAACATTTGAGCGGAATCATTCGTTTACATACTCCTGAACCCCTGAGCGGGATGTTATCATAACAAAAACTCTCCGCCCGGGAACCGCGGAGTGAAATGGAAGTCGCGAAGAATCAAGCAACCCCCGCGGCAGCGCGGCCGCCGGTGGCAGTAAGAAAGGACGAGGATAAGGAAGTCGCATCGCGCACAAAGCAGAAGCCGATACACTACCCCTTTTGGTTCGGCGGAAGCGCGAGCAGCATGGCCGCATGCGTGACGCATCCACTCGATCTCGGTAAGCGACCTTGCGAAACCCGCCAAAATCGGACGACATAAAGCTAATCAATGGCTGCAGTAAAAGTAGGCGATCCACGACCCTATACCATCCCATAATGATTGACCCTTTATTTTTCCCAGGTCCGCCTGCAAACCCGCACCGGCGACATGCCCAAGTCCATGAGCGGCACCTTCGTGCACATCATCAAGCACAACGGCGTCCGCGGGCTCTACAGCGGCCTCTCGGCCTCGCTGCTCCGGCAAATAACCTACTCAACGACGCGCTTCGGCGTCTACGAAGAGCTCAAGTCGCGCTTCGCCTCCAAACAAATCGATCCTGCCACGGGCAAGGCCAAACCGCCATCCTTCCCGCTCCTCGTCGCCATGGCCTGCGCCTCGGGGGTGCTGGGGGGGATAGCGGGCAACGCGGCGGATGTGCTCAACGTGCGGATGCAGCACGACGCGGCGCTGCCGGCGGCGCAGCGGCGCAACTACGCGCACGCGCTCGACGGCCTGGTGCGCATGGTGCGCGAGGAGGGGGTGGCCAGCGTGTTCCGCGGCGTGTGGCCCAACAGCGCGCGCGCCGCCGCCATGACGGCGAGCCAGTTGGCCAGCTACGACGTCTTCAAGCGCACCCTGCTGCGCCTCACCCCGATGCAGGACAGCCTGGCCACCCACTTCACCGCGTCTTTTCTGGCTGGTGTCGTCGCGGCCACCGTGACCAGCCCCATTGATGTCATTAAGACGAGGGTCATGTCCGCCCCGAACGGGAGTCATGGTGTAGTGGCGCTTCTGAGGGATGTGTATGCCGCTGAGGGGCTGAGGTGGATGTTCAAGGGATGGGTGCCGAGTTTTCTGCGCCTGGGGCCGTGAGTTTTTCCTGTGATGGTTTGTTTGCTCGCATGTGCCTAACCCTGGCTGACTGACCTTTCCCAGGCAAACAATTTGCACTTTTCTTTTTCTAGAATCTCACCGCAAAGTCTATAGACGGGTCAAGGGCTTAGAAGAACCCGCATGAGAGACGAAGACGACGTCTTTTATGCTGGTTCGTTGGACATGGCGGCAAACTGCGATAGACGGCATCAACCCACAAGACAGATAGAGGGCACTATACCAGAGCTAGGTAGGATAGGCGTTTTTGGCTTTTGGCTTCTGGTTTACTTAGAAGTTGGGAGGGGGGGAAGGCGGGTGGGGGGGGACTGCATTTGTCAACCCGGTATTGGACAGAGCATTGGATGTGGCCTAGAGTCACTGGGTTTTATGTTCTCCCGCTTGTGTACTCTATATCCTCGGTCTTGTAGCAGGTTTTGTAGACTAGCTAGCGTAGACGCTCTCTATGCCACCGATTTAAGCTGATGTAAACGGCCCCCGTTTTCCGTTCCTTAACTCCTGATGGTATCTACAGAGATGTACAATCCAAGAAGGACGGTCTGCAATCCAGATGCTGATATAGTAAAACCTACGCACGCTGGGGCCGACTCTGCCATCCCAATTAAGATTTCATGATGTACATGGCGCGCACGCGGGCGCTGCCAATAATCAAATATGTGGACGCCCTCTGAAGGGCGAAACGAGCCGTAGGATCCCGCTGGCGGTGCGACAGACTTGGATAAGCCCGTGTGAATAGACGGCGGAGATCGCAAGCGGCTCTCCCGGCGCTAGGCATAGGAGAGTATAGGCGATGCCTGATATGATGTCGCTTGACAATCCCGAGGGAGTGAACTCAAGACCAGCTGCTCTGACCAGCGCCGTACGGCGTTGTCCCATACGGCGTCGTGCCGCCAGCGCCGCCCCATGCGCTTTGGTTGCCAGCGTTTCCAAACGGCGTTGTGTAGCCGCCAAAGCCGTCGGCGCCGGTGTTGTACTCTGGGCTGCGTGGCCCGTTGTAGTCGCCGTTGGCACCATCCCCGCCCTCCCCTTCTGTGAGCTCGTGAATCAGACCGGCGAGTTTCTGCTGCAGGACCTTAATGCCTTCTGTAACGATTGCATCGGGCGGCAGGTTTCCGGCGGTCTCTACGTTGTAGTAGAATCGATTCGGTACGGCATCATAGTCAAACGGCTCGCCTTCCTGCGGCGGCTCCTCCCATTCGGCATATTCACTTGGGGGCCTAGGAAACAGAATGAGCGACTGCCAGGCATGAGCAGTAATGCGTACGCGTCGAAACTCACCATTCAGCCTTTGGATCCTGCTCGTACCAGAGGTCCGTGTGATGCAGTTTGTTATGCGGGTCGTACTCGAATCCGATAGCCGCTGAGGGCGCCCACTTTGCGTGCTCCTTCGCAATGCCTTTCTTGGCGATGCACTCCAGCTTGATCTCCTGGCCCGGGCGCAGCTTTAAGATGAGAGGACCGAGACCTTCAGAGTCTGTAACAATCGGGGTTCCCAAAACTTGGTTGAGACGTTCGCCCGTCGGTACCAGGTCGCGCGCAAACACTGACATGTTTTCGTCGCCCGTGCACTTGGCGTGGAGGGTAAGCCTTACACTGCAGTGCTCGCAGTACCCTTCGCAGTCGCAGTCGCGCGAGTTTACTAAAGACTCGACGCCCTCGGCATTGAGCGGAATGAGACCCAGGCGATGGGCAATGAACTCGTCTGCCAGAACGGTGCTGTTCTCCTCGATCTCGACGAGGTCGATAGCTATTGTCGGGATTTCGGCAAGCATGACGCGTCGCAGCGAGTTTGCAAACGAGATATCAACATTAGAGAGCTCGAATTTCGTGCGCACCGAGTCTGCCTATATTCATGGGCCATGTTTAGAGTCGGAGTCCACCATCTGGGAAGGGAGGCAAGCTTTCAACAAAGACATACTTGGGAAATCTTGACGACGGGCCCCAGCGACTCGGCGTCGTCCATTACCATAGGATCGAAGTCCATGTCGCCGGTATACTGTAATCACTAAACTGGGGGAAAGCGGCGAACGTTGCTGGAAGCCGGGAATGTGGAAGGGAAGTTTGTTGTCTTGGTTATAAACTGGAATGTCTGTGGAGGCTGGTTTACATACCGTAAGCTCAGCGCCGGTCGCAAAAGTTTAAAACGGATCACATAAGACAAAGCGACGAGCTCGAGCGATAAGCTTGTGAAGGCGAGCCCCTGCAACGTTATCCTCACCTGACAGCCGAATTGCTGCCACTCCAGGCCTGCGAAAACAGGATAACGGCCCGTCAGTGTACTTTTGACAGCTCTGCCGGCCCGGCCTGTGGCTGACCAGGGTCGAGGGACAACGCCCCTTGAAATTTCTTTGACGACATCTGCAGCAAACACGCGACACCTACAAGGTGCAAGTCATTGGCAAAAAAACCTCAGCTTTTCACACATCCGCAACCATGTTACGACAAACAGTTTCGGCACCTTCGCGCGCTCTCCGCTCCACAGCCAGACTCGGCACTCAAAGGAGTATTGCCAGGCCACATCAACTACATCATTCCCAGACACCCCTCATCACCTCAGCCCGGACACTTGCTCCCCGGATAAGATGGTACAGCTCCGAGACGGAGGCTTCCAAAGACAAAAATGCGCCTGAGTCCAGTCAAAACGGAGAGGAAGCAGGGAAGACGGAGCCCGAGAGCCCCGAAGTTGCCCTCAAGAAACAATTAGAGGCCAAGGATGCCGAGATCCGGGATTTGAAGGTTAGCATCACCGTTCGCATCCTGCATTCACCTATAGCCCGCAGCCTAACAGAACGCAACAGGACCGGTACCTCCGCTCCGTAGCCGACTTCCGCAACCTGCAAGACAGGACACAGCGCGACATGAAGCAGGCCCGCGACTTTGCCATCCAGAGCTTCGCCAAGGACCTGGTCGACAGCGTCGACAACTTTGACCGGGCGCTGACCATGGTGCCCGAGGAGAAGCTCAAGGCGAAGGAGGCGTCGGAGGAGCAGCAGTCGGAGCACCTCAAGGACCTGGTCAACCTGTACGAGGGCCTCAAGATGACCGAGACGATTCTGCTGCAGACGCTCAAGAAGCACGGCCTCGAGCGGTTCGACCCCGACGGCGAGGTTTTCAACCCCAACGAGCACGAGGCCACCTTCATGACGCCCATGCCGGACAAGGAGCACAACACCGTGTTCCACGTGCAACAGAAGGGCTTCAAGCTCAACGGGCGTGTCCTGCGGCCGGCCAAGGTCGGCGTCGTCAAGAACAAATAAGCCACTCCCACAGTGAGTCGGCGTTTAGATGGGGGGACTGTGTCTCCCGCTGTACTACCATGTCAATCATTTGTTGTATGTGCCAAGATATGCTGGACCGGGGCGGCCGGGCGTTTTTGTATTTTCCTTTTCCATTGTATAAGTAATGCTCCTCTCACGATGTCGGTCCAATGCCGTTTAGCATATGGAAAGCGGTGAAAAAGGGATAGAAGAGGTGGGATGATCTTGGGCGAGTGGCATAGAGCCTCGTTGCTGCACAGCGTCAAGCACGCAGTCTTAATGCTTGAAAGTTGGCTGGTGGGCTTCCGGGGCCCATCAGCCGGTATGGATCCTCTCACGAAACAAGCGGGTGCTGGAGAACGTGTGTATGAGGTTACTCATCGTTGCTACGAAGTGCCTCTCCTGACAACACGCTTTAGAACAGCGAAGCAACCCTAGCATCTAGCTGGGTATTATGAAGCAATACCAACATTGACACCCCGTCCCCAACGACACTAACAGCCTAGGCGACAAAGCAACGCAGAAAAACAAGACGAAAACATGAGTCTCAATTTTAACGCCTTCCCCTCCCTTCAGTACATATCGTACCGACCCATGCTCCCATCCCCACGCCAATCCTCATCCCTCCTTCCCGCAAACCAGCAGCACTGCTTACTACTAATACAACGCGCACTTTGCTCAGGTACGGGGCAACCAGGCGGTAAGCTTGCCAATGCCGCAGAGCCTTGTGCGCAGAAAACTCGCTTTGTAGTTCTTTTTGTCTGATGTGGCGATCGTCATGTCGGAGAGGTCGGGAGCGGCGGCGGCAAGGGGGATAAGGAAGTCGGTATCGCTGATGGTGGTACTGCCGCTAGCCGTCCTTGGGTTTGTGGTGGGCTTGTTGTTTCGGACGGTGACGGCGGTGGCTGTTTTGCTTCTGCTGATGGTGTTGGTGGTGGTCTTTTTGGTGGTGCGGCTGTTCCTTGAGCGTCGGATGGATTAGCCTTGGTAGCGCTGAAGGGAAGGAGAGGACATTTCAGGGGTTTGGACGATTTGGCTGCTAAGATGTGACGCTGCGAGAAGGAGGAACCAAAGAGGACATACCTCGCTTCGAGGGCGGCAACGCGGTTTCGCAACTCTGCGATCTCTTCTTCCGTTTGCAATTTCTCCTCGACGAGCAGCGAAATTAGCTCTGCCAACCTGGTGTTCGCTCTCGTGTTCGTGGACGCCGGGTCCAAAGGCTTGTTGTCCGCTGGAGGAGCCTTGTCGGTTTTCTTCTGCAAAGAATGGGTTATTAGGAGGCCACGGAAGCCAGATAAGGGGGGGGGGGGAAAGTCAAGGGTAACCTGCCGCTGAGCCTACCTCATCCTTCTCATCCTTCTTATTCCTCGCTGCAGTCGCTTCATCCTCCCGCTCGTCCTCCACACTACCAAGCGAGGACACGAGAAGCGGTGACTCAAACTCAGGATCCGCTCCATGTTGGTGGATTAGGAATTCACGGCTGACCGCGGGAACTAGGGCACCGGGCACCTTGGACAGATCGAGCCGAAGCCTTTCGAGAGAGACACCTGCCTTTAACGTCAGTTTCTTGTTGCCTATCCTAGACTTGGGGTCCAAACAGGAGCACATGTAGCGCTTACCAGGCGGAGACCACTCGAGTGAGGTGTCCTGTGCAGAGGTAGAAGGTGACCACAGCAGTTCACCATCTTGCTCGTCAAAGTACGGCTCCGGATGAGCCCAGCGCCAGAGTCGCTTCTCACGCCGCTGCTGGCGCGCAGCGACCTTCTCTCCTGGTGGGGGTTCGGTACTAGTAGTCTTTCGGGGGCGCACCGGCGTCTGGCTCTGTTTCTGTGTCAAGACAAGGGATTGTTTTCAGATTTGGTTATGTTTCGGGCCCACGTACCTTGGGGATGACTGGTTTAATTTGCTTGTCCGAGTCCGCGCGTTTGCAGCCGGCAGCCAGAAAGGCAAAAGTGCATGGAGTGATGCGGCTTTCCTCGGGGTGCCCCTCTCCATCGGATATCCAGTCATCGTCATCCGCAAATTGATGATACAGAGGCGTAGGCGGCACCTCGACTGATGGCCGCATGAAGCGAGCATAAACCCGCGAGCGTGATCTTCCTGGCGCCTCGCCGCTGTCCGGATCCTCTGCCATTCCCGGAGTCTCTTCTTGAGATTGGAAACGCTCACGAGGATACCACTCGTTAAAGGCACGGTCTTCTTTCTTGTTGGCAGCCCTCCATCCCGCGTTACGCCACATATTCTTTGCCGTGATCTCGTCAACATTATACGCGGGCGCAGGAATCAGATGCTCTTCGTCAGCAGGCCGGGTGTAATAGTAAACCTCGCCGCGACTGGGGTCATCACAACGGCGCGAGCGCATGCACTCCCAGATCTCATGAAGCATGCTTCCCAGGCAAGGTTAGCAAAGATCGACGAAGGCCCAAGGCCAACCAATCTCAGTAAGTGCCACCTACTAGGGATCTCCTTTTTCCTTGTTCCACTCCTGATTGAGGAGGTGTGACAGCACGGGGGCGTCCGGGCCGATGGTGAGACTGTGGACACCTCGTCTCATGGCGACATAGGCCTTCATCATGGTTACGGTCAGACGCCATTCCTTCTGCTTGCCAAGGAACCCGGCATACTCGGCTTCCTTGACGCAGTCTGGCTGAATACAGCCCACGCGGTTATCGCAGAACCGGAGGGCGTCTGGCGGAGCGGGCATCAACACTCCTTCGTGCCGTGATGAAGGAGAAACAATGCGATCACGGGCGTCACGGCCGTCGTGGACCGGCTCAACCCTTCTCCATTGACGTGATTCGGCTTGAGGGCTAACATGTCGTCCCCGATTTCGATCTACATTGAGGTTATTCGTTAGCTTCGAATTCGTCTCACTCAACACTGACCATCGCAGATGGACTAGCTTACCCCCGGCTGGGTCATGGAAACCAACGATGCCTCTCTCCATTGTCGATGGAACGAGACCAATTTCGGCCCGGATGATCGCAACCCACCAAGTCGCAGATGGGAAAATATATCGAGTAGAGAATTGCTGAGTTTATTGCTACTGAAACGACGGTGGGAGAAGAACTTGGCAGGAGAATCGGGGCTCGTCAAGAGCTAGAAAAGAGCGATAGCAGTTGGAGATGAAACGAAGGAGAGGAGCGAAGGATCAATGACTAGTAAGTCTACAGTAAGGAGGAAGAGGTGAGAAGTCACAAACTGCAATCGTATTCTCTGTCCGCTGAATGATTTGGGGGAGGGGAAAGAAAAGACTGCAAACTACCTACCGAGGGTGACTTGCGGCTTGCAAACTAAGGTAGTTGTCGAGGATGGGGCATGATTTGGGATGCTCTGCGTGTTGTTGCCAGTCGGCAAAACACCTTTCAGAGATCTTGATCTATGTGACGTGCCGAGCTCATGGCTCACCAGGGGAAACGAAGGCTAGGAAGATCGAATGGGAGAACTTGGACCCTCGGGAAGGTGATGAGCTTAACACACAGTCCCAATGAGTGAATCGCTACATGCTAAAAGTCTTAGGCAGATATAACCATCAAAAGCGCACTATAACACGGTATGACACGCCCAAGCCTTCTAAGAAACTATTCCTTTGACTAGGACTTTTTCGGCCGTCCACGCCCACGCTTTGCGCCCTTGCCCTCGGCCTTTGGCGCCGGACCGCCATCTTCATCATCATCCTCATTCTTGTCAGCCTTTCCAGGCTTTTTAGCTGTCTTCTTCGACCCCTTTGCCTTCGGCTGCTTGATGTACTTGTCCGTCTTGAGGTCGAGCTCCTCCTCTTCCTCGTCAACATCGACCGCTTCCGCAAGATTGTCTTCTTCTTCAATGACTTCCTCCAGATTAGGCACCTCCTTGGCAAGCTTCTTCGGTGCTGTTACGCTGCTGGCTTTCATGAAGGGCACGGGGTGAGCCATGGCATTGTACCTGGACGCATGTTAGCATTGCATCAAACACCCAACTGGCGCCGACGACTTACGTTCTGGTAAACGCTGCCTTGGTCTGCGACTCAATTTTGAGCAGCTCTTCCGACTGGTACCCCACTCCAAGCTCCTTGATGGCGTCAAAGTCCTCCCGTGTGAGGTAGTAGCTATCCATCAAGTTGATGACATCCTCCACTGCATCATTGCCTTCAATTTCCAGCCGCTTTACCAGCTGGTGCCAGAGGACCGGTAGATATTGCTGGCGGACTTCATTATGATCACCCGATGATTTGAGCCGCATGTGGGAATGGATCTCGCGGACAAAGCGGCCCAGCTTCAATGTCTTGCTCATATTCCCGAGCCAAGATGTGAACATAGTCTGGGCTCCAAAAGCGCCGGCAATGAAGCTCGAGGGCCGGACGGTGCTGAAGACTGCGTGCGTGGGCATCAAGCTCCAGTGCTGCTGCGGGCCGTGTATCATGCGGTCGACCAAATCTCCATCGCTGATGCTTTCGGCAGCCAGATCAACCAGCTCAAGATGTTTGAGATTCTGCTCCTTCGGGCTGTAGCCCTTGGAACTTAACGCTGCCGGCTTCGAGCGAAGATAGTTTTCTTGTATCATCAAGAAGCTAAATTCGTGGTCATTGAAGTACAGCTCGATTTTGTCGTTCAGTGTCGCATTGCTCGCCGGGCTGAAGAGTCCGCCTCCTATCATCTTTTGGCAGATATCCCACGGCTTCAGCACCACGTGCTTCTCCCATGCCTTGGTCATCGCCTTGCTCTGTTCGTAGTCCATTGACGTCTGATCGAGCTTTGCTGTGGACAGCATGTTGATGATCTGGCGAATATCTTTGTTACTACCCTCGATCAGGGCGTTCACAACCTGAGGCTGCATCTTCAAGCCTTCTCTATGGCAGATGGTCATGACGCGGGATCGGATCTGGTCAACAGTTGGGCGCTGGAACTTGATGTCGAAGGCGACGTGATCAAAGGGCTTCATCTTGGGCAATCTGCGCTCGTTGCAAATCAGGATAAGAGGGACCTCTGTCGTTTTGCAGAGCTTGGCAAGAGCACCGACACCACCCTGGTCGCCGGCAGACATGCCGTCAACCTCATCCATGACAAGAACAATCTTCTTTCTGGCGGCATCGACCTTCTTGCCGTCGCCGGCAAAGAAACCCAGGAGCGACGTGTTGTTGAGCGCATCGCTGACGCCGTTCTCGACCAGCTTCTTGCTGCGCGTGTCACTTGCATTGCTCTCGAGCACGTCGTAGCCTTCTAGCTTGGCCGCAAGGTGAGCTGCTGTTGTCTTGCCAATACCGGGCGGTCCAGAGATGATGATTGCGCGGTATCCGCCCATACCATCCGCGCCTCGCTTTTGGAAGTTGTACTTGCGTGACTTCGGCCAATTCTTAAGCCAGGACTGTATTCGCTCCACATTCGCCTTGTTGCCGCAAATCTGATTAAGCTGGGTGGGAGCGTATTTTGTCGTCCATAACTGTGACAGTGGTTGGGCCTGAGCGGGTGTAGCGACTCCACGGGCAGCGGCCGCCTTCTTAGCCGCCTTCTCCGCTTCCGCTTTCCTGGCCTTCTCTTCTCGCTCCATCTGGGCTGCCTCCTCACGGGCCTTTCTCTCTTCCTCTTCCCGCTTTTGCTTGGCCTTTTCAGCGCCTTTGCCGGTGCCACCATAAGCTGGCATGGTCTTGATAAGGTAAAATAGGCCCGCCTCGTCGATCGTCTTGAGCCCGTGCTCCTTGATTTTTCTCAGCTTGCTGGCACCTGCATCGTCGCCAAGGACAACAAAATCTGTCTTGCTGCTCGGAGCGCCTGTAACCTTACCGCCATACCGCTTGACCAGAGCCTGAGCATCATCCCGGCTGATGGTCTTGAGTAGACCTGTGAAGACGAAGGTTTTACCGATCAGGCAGTTCTCCTCTCCCTCCGGTATCTCGAGCGCACCGGCGTTGGGGGGCGGTCCAGTGTTGCCACCACCTTGTCCAGCGTGCTTCCGCCAGTCAAACTTCACGTTCGGATCTACTGGGGGGGCTTCCGGCGCCTCGACTGTGGGGACGTTGTCGAGAATGGCCTTGATCTCATCGGGCTCCGGCTCGGCCTGCTTCTTCGCCCGCGGAGCTCGTGGCTTAGCCGGCGCCGCCTTTTTGGCAGGTTTGACATCATCCTCGTCTTCGTCCTCGCTGTCAGCGGCAGGAGATTTGCGTTTCCTGCTCACAGCGGGCGCCTGCTCGGCAGCTTTCTTCGAGATCTGTTTTACGTCGTGTTCGGACTCGTCCTTGATGGCTTTGGCACCGCGGGACGCGACCCGTTTAGGCTTAGGGAGAAATTCCTCCTCGCTCTCCTCCTCGACATACTCGTCGTTCCTCCTTTTGTTACGGCCCTTCCCGTCCGCTGCAAAGATGTCATCGCCCGCATCATCGTCATCGTCCATAAAGGCATCATCATCATTCAGGTGGTGCTCCTTAAAGGCGGTAATGGGCTTTTTGGTGGTGCTAGTTTTTGCAGCCTTGACAGGCTCAGCGGGACGTTGGGATGCTGGGGCCTTCGTTCTGGGGCTGACGCGGACCTCAACACCAGGCTTGGGCGTTTCTTGGGTATTATCTGGCCTCGTCTTGGATGACGCAAAGTACTTTGCGGCAGATGTTTCTACTCCTTTGATTTCGGCAGGAGCTCTGAGTGGCAAGCGCATCAGCATTAGCAGATGAACTGTGGGCCGAGAAGAGCTACTTACGCTGTCTTCTTCCGGGGCGTTGTTCGGACTGGCTTCTTGACTCTGCACACGCGCCTGATCAGATTAAAGCAGACATGAGTGCAGAGACTCAATGGACATACTCAACAACTTCATCCTCATCGCTATCTTCGACAACTTTCCGCCCTTCTACGATATGTTAGAGAAAATGAGACGACCAATGGCATGTTTCCCAAGCCTACGTACTGCCTCTCGGTTTCTTGGTCGTTTCCTGCTCCTTCTTGGGCGTCGGCTTAGCCGGAGGAGCGCCGCCCTTTGGGACGAAAAAAGATCGAATGTCAGGCATGGCGGGGGTTGGAAAGACTGAGATCGGCTATTGACAGAAGGCGAAAAATATGCGAGTATGTTCGGGTGCAATTGGGAGAAAATGGGCGGGTTTATGATCTATGAGTCCTTGGGACTTCTTGCATTGGAGCTGGCGCAAGTGCTCCGGCAACAGTAAGTCAAGAGGCCTGAAGTTGGATGTTGAAATGGCTGACGCGCTGAAGAGGAATGGGAGTGACGCGAAGCAGTCAAGGGTCTTGGCACAGGCGCGCCACAACGTGACGTGGGGAGCGACCGGTAAATTATTGGCTCGGTGGTTACTAACTTAATATGGAAGGCGGTCCCACAACTTCGCTGCAATTATGTAGTTTCCCGAAGCTTACCCGGCGACGGCCAAATCCAAAGCTTTCGGAAGGTGCTTTTGGTGCTCCAAGGGCAACTTTCAGTGCCCGAAACCACGTCGTTCCGCAAACTCAGCCGACATGAAGCCAAGCGCTTCATCGGCACTCCTCAGTGCCTTCAATGCGCTAAGGATATCTCCAACACCTTCCGTTCGAGCTTCGCTGCCATCGACAACTCTTCTCCGTCCTTCACGGCTGGCCGTGGCTCCGCCTGCGCCCCAACATGTCAGGCTATTCTCCGCGACAGCCGTCCGGGCGGGCACCTGGCTAGAGCCCAGGATTCCGCGGACGCAGAAGATGCACAAAGGGCGGCCCAGGGTCGCTACGGGAGGATCGACTAAGGGGACAACTGTGGTCTGGGGGGACTACGGTCTGCGAATGTGGGATCACCACCGCAGAATCAGCGCGGCCCAGCTCAAGGTTGCCGAGGATACCATCAAGTCGCGGTTGCGTGGCCAGCGGTACCGGCTGTACAAGAGGGTTGCCTGCAATGTCGGCGTTTTCGTCAGCGGAAACGAGGTGAGATGTCATTGGCTTCACCCGGTCACGGTGGTGCGCTAACAGGTGCCGGCGCAAAGATGAGAATGGGTAAAGGCAAGGGATCCTTTGACCATTGGGCGGCCAGAGTTGCCGTCAACCAAATAATTTTTGAGATTAGGGGTCTGGTGCACGAGCAGGTCATTCGCGATGCTTTCCGGCTGGCGGGGAACAAGTTGCCAGGTACAACGTATCCCGCTGCGGTCGTTCGGTTTAAACGCTGACCATATTCCAGGCCAGTACGAGTTCGTAAAGAAGGGTGACCCTCCTGTTGTGGGAATCACCAAATTGGATGGCACAGTCACTATGGAGGACCTAAAACGACCGAGGAAGAAGCTTCCGGCACCTGAGGCTACTGCTGCCCCGCCATCTCCCGATACGACATCTAGCTCGGCCCCTCCTCCATAATCACGGGGCTGATTTCCTCTCCATGTACCATATGTAGACCAACAGAACTAAGGTATCTTATTCGCTCTATGGAGCGAGGTTGTCGGACTCAGCGTGTGTGGATTTCCAGCTGGGGGGGTTGGTAAATAGCCGGACACGTCCTGGACGGACAGCACATCACCTGAGATGGTGATAAACTTGTCAATTTTACGCAGCCTAATTCAATTGCTGGAACGTATGATTTGGCAATCAATTGGGCGAAATACATACCTACTGTCTTCTTCCATCTTGGGAAAGGAGAAAGCAGGTACAAACAATACAAGGTCAATTCATGTGGCCCGTGCACCGCACCATGGGAGCGTTGCTTAGCAGCTTAATTGATTTTTGGCCGCGCCTTCAGTCGCGTCACCCTGACGCGTCTCATAGATCCTCGATCTCACCAAATCGAGCCCGAACTCTTTGGAGCTGCACCAGCAACTGCAATGGCTCTCATTGTGGACAAACATCGACCGAGGTCCCTTGATGGCCTCACATACCACAAGGAGCTCTCTGAGCGGCTGCGCTCGCTGGTACGAATTCGTTTGCGCCTTCTAACGGCACCCGCTAACCCTGAGGTAGGCTCAGAGCGGCGATTTCCCCCACCTTCTCGTATACGGGCCGTCTGGTGCAGGCAAAAAGACACGGATCGTCGCGACCCTAAAGGAGCTGTATGGCCCGGGTGTCGAAAAGATCAAGATTGACGCGCGTGTTTTCCAAACAAGCAGCAACCGCAAGCTCGAGTTCAACATTGTCGCCTCGGTCTACCACCTTGAAATCACCCCCTCAGATGTCGGCAACTACGACAGGGTAGTGGTGCAGGATTTGCTCAAAGAGGTGGCCCAGACACAGCAGGTCGATCAAGCGGCGAAGCAAAAGTTCAAGGTCGTGGTCATCAACGAGGCCGATCATCTTACCCAAGATGCCCAAGCGGCCTTGCGTCGGACAATGGAGAAGTACTCGCCGAACCTCCGCCTCATTCTCCTTGCCAACTCGACGGCCAACATTATCACACCGATCCGGTCACGAACCCTGCTCGTACGGGTGGCGGCGCCAACACACGAGGAAATTTGCGACGTGCTGGCCGCGTCGGCAAAGAAGGAGGGCTGGCCGGTTGTCAAGGGCCTTCACCGGAGAATTGCCGAGGAGAGCGGGAGGAACCTGCGCAAGGCGCTGCTGATGTATGAGGCGGTACACGCACAAAAGTTAGCATCCCGCTATGTACACGGCTTTCGTCAATAGCTAGGGCTAACCTCGTAACAGCGAAAAGGTCACCGACAGCACGCCCATACCTCCGCCTGACTGGGAGGCCCTCATCGGCCAGATTGCCAAGGAAATCATGGAGGAGCATACGCCGGCCAGGATCCTACAGGTTCGCTCCAGGTTCTACGATCTCCTCACCCATTGTATACCGCCGACGACCATCTTGAAGACACTCACCTTCAAGCTCATTCCCCTCATCGACGATGCCCTAAAGGCGGATGTCATCAAGTGGTCTGCCTTTTTTGAGCATCGGATCAAGACGGGCACGAAGGTTATCTTCCACTTGGAGGCGTTTGTGGCCAAGTTTATGAGGATATTCGAGATGTATCTAATGAGCATGGACATGTGAGGCTGGGCTTTCGTCAAAGGTTTAGGCGTTTATGGATGGCGTCTTGAGAGTTGCTTAGCATGGTGACAATCATTCCGAATGACTTTGCACTGCTTCCTACCTTAATACGCCCTACGTTTGAGCTATCGAGCTTCTCCTTGCGATTGACCGTATGCCTGTCTGAGAAAGGCTTCTGGAGGAGCCTGCCAGGTGCTGTCTTTCCCAACTTCTTCTGGCCATGATAGAAGGTGGGAATACCTACGAGAAACAGGACGGCTCCTCCCAGCTGAGGTAGCTCGACTGCTGTAGTGTCGACTGCCTGATCACCCAAACGCTGAGCAAGGAACTTCCGAGGACAGGAAGAAGAGGGCTGAAGAAAGAATGTCTCGTTCTCTGCCGGGAGGTCGACTGCGAGCACACCTACGCCCTGTATTTGTGTGCCTCATCCCTCGATGCCGCTGACAGTTACCTACGCGGTACATCACAGACAGGCAGACACAAACGCCTCATTACACATTCGACATCGATGATCTTCCAGGTTTACACACTATGTACGGATACGGATTAAGTTATTGAGACCAAGCGCAAGGTACGGAGTACTCTGTAGTTCTGAGCGAATCTGAGCGACAATCACGATTGACAGTAGTTCGTAGCAACTGCATGAAGCGCTGGATTGCGATTAGATACCACGTAGCGAACCGACTTCGCGGGACTCCGACAAGGGACAAACGACTCAAATTCTTTGGCAATGTCAAGGCAGAGAAGAGATTGCCTGGACCAGCATCGAGAAGGTTGAAAGAATGCTATCACTTCTTCTCCATGGCCAGACTGCAAGGCCCAGCACACAGTGAAAAAGAGGTATGACATCAAAAATTACGACCGGAACGGCCCCGAAGGACAATTCAAGACGACGGGCTCCACGATGTGCAATGCAGGCCTATCGCCCTGGTACCCCTGATTCTTGATCCAGGTGTACCCAATCAAGGTAAGTATGAGGAAAAAAGAAGAGAAGAAGAGGAAGAGCTGGGAAGGGAGCCATCGATATATACTCAACCTTGCTGGTCCGTGCGCGTCTGCTGATGGACCGTGCGCGTCTGCAAATGGGCCGTGCGTCTGTTGATGGCCCGCGCATGTCTGCAATTGGACCGTGCGTATCTGCAGTTGCGGTACGTACCTGACTCTGCTGCCATGCCAAAACCACACGCGTTGACCCTCGTTATCTGAGGCAAGATTGCAACCTGGGCCACATGTCGGCCGGGAACCGATGACAATGAGTAGGACGTCATAGGTTGGACCCAAAGACATATGGAAGTCATTAAGATGAGGGTTTAGATAAGACACTGGTGAGGTGTTCCTACAGCTCGAGCTGTGTGGTATGCCGGCTAACCTAGACCCAGGGAGGAGGCTGAAGCTGGAGTTTCGCATAGACACAAATTAGAGAGACTACATTGCTGTCATCATCAAATCTTTATGAACCAGATTTGTCGACGATGTATGTTTGACAGTGAGAAGATACCTGGTAACACAGCATGGCCTGTCCCTTGTGAAACATTACCGATGCTTACATCTTTAACAGGGAGAGCCGCACGCTCGCTTCATCTACCAGATGTTTACTGTGTAAAGTGAGGCTACGGGTTCAACAATTCCATACCTAGGTACTCTGTCTGTTTGTCCTGTTGACCAGTTCTTGGGGCTCATATTGGTTGATTCTAACCGTCCTAAGCTTTGGGCATGGATTGTATCTCACGCCCAAATCCATGGTAGGGAATAACAACGATGCCGTCTATGTTCACTTGGTACAAGACTGAGATGGAACACCTACGAGCTTTTAGGTGCTACCTTACCTGTCGTCGTGCTTTGTACCGCAACGGGCAACAGCTGCCGATTCAGGCGGGAGTGGTTGGAGCCACGAGCCCGTGATGCTTCTGTGCCTACGATTGGCGGATTGCCCGCAGCCTTGTGGGGCCCCTTGCAGCTCATGGCAGGCATGCATCATTGCCGTGCCGTGGACAAGGGTCAGCAATTCCATTCATCCCGAAACGCGTCGTGTCCTTTTGGATCATTTTTGGAGGAAAGCCCGACCTTTTGTTGGAAGCGCTCTGCAGCGTCTGCGTCGCCCACCGAGCTTTACACTACTAGACACCAGGTACTGATTTCATCAACCCCGCCAGCAGCTGCCTGCTCAAAGCCCAACATCGGCGCTGCTGCATCGGCAGCCCTGGACTCTGTCATATCGAATCAATTGGCTTAGACGAACGGCAAGCGGCAACATGGTGCTAAACTTGTTTCGCGTGGCGGGTATGCTTTCCAACGGGGGGATGGGCATGACAAGAAAAGGGCGAAGACGGAAGTGCTAACATGGCACATTGCGACAGGGGACCTTTCCCATCTCGCGTCCATCTTCATTTTGCTGCACAAGATTGTGCAGCTCAAGGTGCGCTCGACTATTGAACCTGAGCGCCGCCCGATTCGCGAGTCGCTAACACCCAGCACGCAGAGCTGCTCAGGCATCTCGTTCAAATCACAAGTGCTGTACCTGATTGTCTACTTCACACGATACCTCGGTATGCCATGCCACGCCCTCATCTCGTCCCAATGCAGCTCCAAATCAAACAACCCCTGAGCCACGAAAGCTGACCGGCCCCGCGCCAGACCTACCATGGACCTCGTCGCCGTACAATTTTATCTTCAAGATCCTGTTCATCGCATCGCAGATGTACATCATCTACCTGATGGCGTCGGCATACCGCCCCACTAATGACCCGAACCTCGACACGTTCCGCGTCGAATACCTGCTGGGGTTCGCGGCGGTGCTGGCAGTACTGTTCCCCTACAAATACACAGTGCTGGAGGTCTGCTGGGCCTTCTCAATCTGGCTCGAGTCGGTGGCCATCCTGCCCCAACTGTTCATGTTACAGCGCACCGGCGAGGCCGAGGCCATCACGGCCCACTACCTCTTCGCCCTCGGCACCTACCGCGCCCTGTACATCCCCAACTGGATCTACAGGTACATCAACGAGCCCACCCACAAGGTCGACACCATTGCCGTGGTGGCCGGCGTGCTCCAGACAATCCTGTATAGCGACTTCTTTTGGATCTATTACACCAAGGTCATGAAGGGGGAGAAGTTCAAGCTACCTGTTTGAGGGGTTTCTCCAGGTGGGGTCGTTGCGATGGAGTTGGTCGGGATTATAAAAGAATAAGCAAGCAGGCTGGTGACATGGGTGGGTTGGTGGAGATGTTCTGGAGGGTCTTCTCATCGGCGCAGGATGACCAGGACCAATCGTGGCGGTAAGCATGCTGCCTGCCAGTATTCTGCTTCTATATGGGAGGAAACGACGGGCAATGCATGACTGGCGTCTGGGGCTCATGCTTGTGTTCTATGTTTTGCTGACACGGACCCGGAACACGGCGGACGAGGTCTTGACTGGGCACGCTTATCCGAAATGGTTTAAATGTACATAGACAAAAGAATCGGTAAATATCGGTGATGCGGTTTGTTTCTTTCAGGCCTCGGGCCGACTGAATCTTCAAGAAGAGGGTGGCGAGCAGCTCGCGGCGGCCCATTAATGTGCAGCCACTGTCAACTTCAAGCTGCGCTTTACCTTCCCAGGATTAAAGGGTCCGTTCAGCAATATTTACGACCCTCCTCGGCTGTACTAAACTGCTGACTTTTCTGGCAGGCACTGTGCCAGGGGAGACTGTCCCGCCTTGGGATAGCCTAGAGCCTACTTGCCCTCTAAGATTGACATGTCGAATTGACTTCACAGGCCGATTCCATCTTCACCGTCACAGCCTCGATACCCTTCCTCACAAGCCACGCCGAAAGCAAAGTGTGCAGCCACTGCCCTATGCTGCGCTCCAACAAGACAGACGCTTCGCTCTTGGTCCTCCACATCCAAGTCTCGTTGATGAACACCAGATCCCCAATGTCCTGCCTGCTCACTTCGGCGACGACCACGCCCCGGGTAACAGGTCCCTTGTAGGTAGACGGAGCGTCGAGCAGCAACTCGATACGCTCACTACTACCCGGCAACTTCCCGTCGCCTCGGTAAGCGACCCGCCAGAACCCATTCACGCGGTCGCCTTCCTGGAAGTCGAGATTTTGGATGAACTGGGCGTTAAACGTCTTTCTCAACCGGCTATCCCCAACAGACGCCCACAGGACGAAGGCCTGTGGTGTCCGGCTGAATGCGGTCATGGTTCCTCGGACATAGCTTGTCAGAAAACCGGAGAGGTCCGATTGCAGGTTAAGGGGCGGGCGGGACAGTTGCACGGGCTCCGATGTGACCCGTTCGTATGCCAACACCCATTCCAATTTGTTGTCCAAAACATCGTGCGGAAGGGTCGTCGGCGGCGTGAGGGCCGTCGGTTGAATGGTCGAAACGCGTTGCGTTCGACTGCGCAGGCCGGTTTCGACGCTGTACTTCTCTTTGACGGCGCGGTCGAGGTAGAGAAGGTAGGTGAGCGGAATGGCAACTGGTAGGATGGCCAGGCCAATCGCGTATCTAGACGTAGGCAAGGCTAGTAGGTTGCTGAGCATGACTCGAATTCGGGTCTAAACATCTTGACTCTCTGCAAGGACACAAGCCGGGTGTGAGACAGATATTTGGTATTTCACTGTCGTCGCGATTCTGATGCCAGAACAGGATGTCATAGAGGCCCACCGAATACGGGACTTTGCTTGTAAGCCGGAGCAAATGATCATTGCAGTGCCGGAGAAGTCTGAAGGCCGAAGGCCGATATTCCGAAATTGACTCCGGTGAGTACGGTCTTGAGCGCAAGCGGTTGACCGAGTCTCGGAGTGTCGGCCTTCGGCCTTGAACTTGTCCGCTGAAGAAGTTGACTGAGAAGACACCAGCTCACTAAAAGCCGGGTTTGTCAGCCACAATGTATAAGATCACAACTTGAGAAGCAGGGCGTGAGTACTTACAAAGGTGCTCACCTCAACGTTTCTTGCGATCTGGAGCTGCTACCGGGTCTGTGACTTCATGTTGGGACCGGAAGGTGCATGTGGCAGTCGAGTTTCTTATCCAGCGGCTGTTGTCACTATTGATCTCACCCAACCCCACGGTCCACGGTCCACGGTCCATACTCCATAGTGTTATACCATCCTTTTAGTATCTCGTAGTGGTCGTACAAAAATGTGTTGATGTCAATCGAATCGAGTATGGTGATGGCATTGTACACTGGAATTTGCTTGTGCGCATAGAGTACTCGACAATGTCTCTCAAAGAACATCCTTCCTTGTAACCCAATAGAAATCCGAAGGGTGGTATCTTCGATTGCATAAAGGATACGCTGCCCCTGTAGAATTTGGATAGCCTCAAAGTCGTCAGCAAACTGAACACAACAACGTGGATCTGGCTCCCCTTCTCCTGCTCCCCCTTTCCTGCTCCTCCACCGCTAAATGTCCAAACCGTCGGATGAGAGAGATGATCTTCTGCTGAATATTGGAGGAATGTTATGACCCGTCGAACTTATCCACGTTCCTTTCGATTTCTTCAAATTCAGGTCTCTTACTGCCTTCAAGAAGGCGGAAGTCAAATGCCTTTGCGAGTGACTTGCGAAATAGCGTTTCGATGGCGACTCGAGTAAAATCAATCTTGTAGTAGCCTTATTCTTGTGTTGGGAGGAAGTCGAGTTTGGAAAACTGGGAGCTCTCTGCTGGACACGCAGATTTTGATCGCTCCCCTGGATTCGTCCACCCATTTTCGCAGGAGATCGACAAGGTCCGAGTAAGTGTTGCCATCGTCATTTAGTTCGTCAAGGCCATCGATGAAGAAGCAGAATTTGTGCTTGTGGTAAGCATTGCCGTTGCCAATCTTGAGATCGAAAGCCGGACGGATTTCTTGGTCAGATAGCTTGACGTCGGAAGCAGTCCAGAGGATGTCATTTTCCCAATTCTTCCAGCGGTCGGGGAAAACACACGGGATCTCGTCCGGAACCTGGCTTAAAACGGTGGCCAACAGGGCCCGAACCAAACCTCGGATCGTTCTCTGGAGGACATGGCCGTGGCCCCGAAAGAAGTAACGGGATACAACGATGCGGCTAGTACCAGCCCAGAAAGTCAACTCGTTTATTGTCCGTGTATGGTCACAAATGAAATTCATCAAGGTGCTCTTCCCCGAACCTGGGGGCCCAGAAATGTGCAAGATACCATCATTGACATCAGTGGACAACAACCACCGCTTGAAGACAGTTTTCGCCCTCGCTATACTGGAGCCAGAGTCATCGGGGATACTGAAGATACATTCGCATGTGTTTTCAATGGCATTCAATTCATCGAGAAATCTTTCGTCCATCTCGGCCAAGCGGAGCGCTTCAATGATCCGCTGCTGCTTTTCCCTTCTCGTCCGCTCTATGATCAAGAGCGTGAGGTTTTGCAGCAAGACTCGAGTATCATCGATACTTTTGGTAAGCAAGTCGTGAGATTGAGACAATGCGGCGAAATCAGCCTTGTGTTCCATTCTGTTTCTCAGGTGTTAGAAGAGACTGCGGATGTATGGTCGGGAGCATCATATCCATATTCACAAGTACCTCTGAATGACTGTTAGATGGAGACTGAGTTGATTGCGGTATTGATTCGGTCTCCCCTGCAACTGGTTGATTTCGCTGCGAGACCGCATGGTGAGAAACGCGGATTTAAGGGACTGTATCAAGGTGCGCTTCTTGGCTTTGGTCTTGTTCAAGCGACGAATGATGTCGTTAGCAATACCGCGGCAGTGAGATGCCAGACGGGCCATGTCGGCATGCTCAGGGGATTGCGTGGAGCTTTGAGAGGGTAGCTTCTCTGCCAGATTCTTCATTGTGACCATGGCTTCCTCCAGGGTCTTGTAGTCAAGACCTGAGTGCTTCCGGTCATCATGAATGCCTAGAGCAAGCGAAAGAAGCTTTTGGGTAAAGTCGACGAAGGTCACGATGCTTGCAGTGATTCCGACGATGCTAACAGGCTCCATCGCGGTAGCTCGATCCAGCTCACGGCGCCACACAATGTTTGTACGGATTTCCTGATGAATGGATGATTAGGTACAGTTAAATAAAAGCGGCAGAAAACAGCAAGAAAAAAGCTCTGCGGTGTGTACAGTCCGTACCGCACCTGCAGAGTGTGCCACCAGACTGTGTCTGGCTGTGGCTGGCGACATGCAAGCCTGACACTGCCTCACTCCTCCAAATTCCGGGTCGCGGACTACGACGGCGCAAAGCAACTTGCTCAAATGGGACGGATGGAAGACTAGCGATGACAAAGCCGAGCGACGGGACTGGTCTTAAAGAATATCGCTCGCCGAGCTATGCGCTGACGAGCAATACTTGTCCGAATGAGAGCCACGAGGATACACGTATCGGCTGCTACAACCGCACTTCTCGCTTCCCGGTGATGGGCGCTGCGGTCTGGCAAGATGGCAATGAAGGCAGTGTAATGTAGGGCTCATGGGGCCAAAATCCTTGGAGCTGATTAGATAGGCGTGCTCCATGTCGGTCAACATCCAGACCTGTCAACAAGGGACTCAGCGAATCATGTCTCGGTTTGGGTATGACAATGAATGGATGGAGAGGACTCGGGGCATACGTAGATACTAGTAAGAAAACTAGGCTCGCCGCTTAGAGCCCTTACGCCGCCTCGTGGAGTGGCCTGCGGACTGCCTTGGGCTCCTTTGCTCAGTTGCTGTGACTACCACACCCGTACCGTGGACCCTCGGGGAGAAAGGTAAACTTCCCGGACGTTCTCACCTAGGCCATTAACCGCCTTTGCCGCCAGCGAGCAAAGACAGGCAACCCGTTCGCCGGGGAACCGCCATCCCAGATTCGGGTCATATCGGTCTTACAAGAGAGTGAGACTCCCCAGCTGCCCAATGCACCGAGTTTTCTCGAACCAGGTTCGTGTTCCGAACAATAGAGAAAGAACCAATCAATCCCGGGTAGGAAAGCATAAAGTCAGCGGTTTGACGTTGGTGTTGTCAACGAGAAAAGTGTCTCAGAAGCAAATGCAAACCCTGGATCGGCCCCAAATCGGGGGTGTCTGTGCGTCCCGGCGCGGCCATGCTCCGGAGAGGATCTGCGGGAGGTTCCGGGGTTACATCCTTGCAATTGAAATGCGTTCCCAATCTTGGGGCCCCCTTTTCGTGGGGTTGACAACTTGCAAGTGCAAACTCGCAAATCAGGGGTCGCATGGAGGTTGTCAACCCACGGAATGGCGTAGCCTGGGTTGCGCATTTTGCTGCTTTTCATCTCATGCTAACCTTACCGCGCAGCAGCAGCGACGCGGCATTTTCGAGTCTGTCACTGCTCGGTTGCAGAGATATCTCCGTATCCCAGGGTGGCAAGCCGTGATGGCAGAACTCGTTCCCAGGGAGCGTGTTTGGCGCAGCACTGCCGTCTTCAGAACCTGGATTTGGTGCGGTGATTTCCACACACGCATTGCAAACATCTCCTTTTATCCTCTGGCCGTCCGGCGAGTTTGTTTCTCTTCTTTCTTCTTGCTCTCTTCTCCCATTTTGCCTAATTTTCCTCATCCTGGCCGAACGACTCTGGCTGAAAGGATGATCGCCAGGTCCGCCATCGTTGCTGCCGCACTCCTTTGATTCCCGGGCTATCGTTACCTTTCAGCATTTAATCCATTGTATGTATATATGTGTTATAATCCAGCCGGCCGGTTCCGCACAATGGCCAGGCAGCCATTAATATTCCACCCTCTCTATCTTTTCTTCTTAATATGCTCAAGCTGCGCTTGGGTAGGAAGCGTCGCGGCGTTCGGCCCGAACCCGGCCCCGGTTCTGGCAAGCGATGCCGGGACGGGCCGAGTGGAGCGGGTCGACGCGGTCCGGGATGGATGCCACGCCATGATCACACCGCCTCCGTCGCTCTTTCTCCTCGCCCGGCAAGACCAAGGGCAAATCCAAGCCCTGAGCGACCAGTTACGGCAACTTAGCGCCCAGTCCCGGTCCGTCAGCCAGTCCAGCCAGCAGCTCAGCCAGTCGCTGCAGCAGGCGACACAGCGGCTGAGCCAGACGGAGCAGCAGCTGGCGAGCGCGCGCGCACAGCAGAGCGCGGCCGAGGCCGCCTCGCGCTCCATGTCGCAAGCCTCCGCCGAGGCGTCGCGGAGCGCCGAACGCGTCCTCTCCGAGGCCAGCCGTGCCATGTCCCAAGCCATGTCTAGCGTCACCAGCTCCATGGGCGCTAGCTTCGCGAGTGCCCTCGCCAGCGCAAGCCGCAGCATCAGCGCCGTCCGGGTCTCGGCTGCCAGCGTCATCCAGGCGGCCCAGGCGGACGCTACTGCCTTAAGGGTATGTCTCTCCCCTGCCTCACATCTTTCGTTCATTTCATTCATGCCCGTGGCCGTTGTTTTGCTTTTTCTAACTGATCGGCTTTGCTGGGCTAGAACGAGGCCCAAACACAGGTCCAACAGGCGCAGGGCGCCGCTCTGTCGGTCACCCAGATCGCACTCGCGGTAGTCGGCGGCATCGTCGGCTCGTCGCTGCTGACAGTGCTCGGCTTTGTGCTCATCCTCCGACACAGGCGCAAGAAGCGCCGGGGAGGTCTGGGCGGTGGCCGGATCGGGCTTGGGAGTGGTAGATGGAGGAGCGGTAGCGGAAATCCGAACATCGGACACCCTGAGCTGGTGAAGACGTCTAACAAGGCATATGCTGCTTTTGCCTCTGGCGGGAGTAAAGCGGGAAATGAGGCGCCAAGTGACGATGGAAGTAGCAGTATCTATAGTATGGGTGAGAAGGAGAATGGCGGCGAGTTCCGTAAGGGCCTTAGCGATACGGACGTTCAGGCATCGTTGCAGCTGGCGGCGGCATTGGCGGCTCCACCTGCGGCTGCGCTGGCGAGGGCGAATACCACCATCACCAGGAAGAGTGTCGGCACTGGGATAAAGAGCGACAGAGCCAATGACGGTGAGATGGGGCATGCGGTCAGCTATCATTGTCCATCCTGGAAAAGCCAGTCAAGCCCGCCTGCAGGTGTTCTTGGGGATGGCGAGGGAGGTGGGAAGTTCCAGCCGGGAAAACCGCCGTTGGGCGGCAAGTTTACCTTGTTCCCGAGGAGCAGAGCTGAGTATAGTCCTTGGTCAGCGTCGGCGGGGTCGCCGGTTGAGAAGGGCTATGGGGAGAGAGCGTCGAGGTCATCGTTTCCGACTCTGGATGCCTGGTTACAGTCGGGAACTACCGTGAGTCCCTTTTCGACGCTGAAGAGGTGACAGGGGCAGGCTGGGCACGGGCAACCGTTTGTAATGGGACTTCGGAGGAGGAACATTTTAGACTGGGAGGGGGTTAATCTTGGATATCAGAAGTAATCAGCGACAAGGCGGTGTTTCGTTGTTATATACCCATGGTTTGTTTTTCGCCGTTCATTAGAAAATTATCCATGACTTCGGTCTGACTTCCTTTGGTAGTTGAAGTCGGCTATTCGCTATCGAGTTTGCAATCAACGGAAAGCACTAACGACTAGCGCGCCGCAAGGCAGAGTGGCCCCCGACATTCAACGTTTTTCTCTTGGCGAACGCCAGAGTGGAAACTGCCATTGACGTGGAAGTCACTCGTCTCAACCCTAACCGGCACCATCGCAAGTCTTTGAAACGGGCGTTTTCAAGATGACTTGCAATATAAATAGACCACGACACGCACCCCCCAGAGCTTCGAGTTGGCGCTTTCAACGAGGAGGAGCAATCTTTCCACGCCGGCAAGTCTGAAAAGGGTGGATACCAAGCGAAGTAGTTCGAACGGGAAGCAACTCCGAAATCGAGACCAGTACCTCATTATCCCTGCTCGGCGAGGGGTTTGGAACGGGAGAATAGAGTCAAAGACACGTCAGTCACTGCTTGCGGCTTGAGGTGCTCGTTGGTGCGTAATAGTCACTGCCCGTCCTTTGCTGGGACCCTGACCACCTATCTTCGGAGGCGATGACCGGATTATCAGAATCCAGTCCGTCAAAAGCTGTTCCACCTTTCAAAGCCTTTTTACGCCCACTTTCCGTTGAAGCAGCGCAGGGTCTCGTGCCAGATTACGCAAACAAGTAAAGGCTCGATGTCCCCATCGCCCAAAGTCTCTTCATCGGGACCCGCCAGGGTGACGTACGCGTCTTGCATTAGCAGGCCATGTCTCCAGCCTCACCCCTGCACTATGTAGGGTGTCGCGTGCTCGCTCCATTCTGTGCTCTCTCTGATCTGTCTGCCCAGAGATATCCGAACATCTTGGCATTATCTAGACATCCAGACATATTGGGGTAAGCTAGTACTACGGAGCAGCAGTTACAGTAGTTTTTGATCCGACTACTTCGACTTGGGACTTCTGTCTGCTGATAGTACTCCCGCAGTAGCTCATCGATTCATCCCTTCTTGGACGTCTGGAAGTCAAGTAGGCGCTGAGCCCATACGTGACGCGCGTCGAGGCAGGTCTCCAGTGCTGAAGGGGAGGGCCAGGTTCTCCATGTCTCATCTCCGAATGTGTTCCGTCAGCGGCCCCGGATTACGGCGCCGCATTTTCTCTCTGCTGAGCACAGCGGTGATCGACATTTCTTGATCTTTACCTTTTAAATGTAACATATCCCATATCGGATGCCGCCTCCACACCAGCTGATGGCCGTGTTTGGAGCATTCCAATCTCATATGTTAGCCGTATATCATACATCCCTCTCCTCTCCCCAGTGGTCAGCGTCACGACAGCGTGACTGCACACCACCGTCCTCGATCTAGTATACGGACCTACAATGAAGGTTTCCTCGTTCCCTTCGTGTTCCTTTCCAGTACTTCTCCCCTTGATTACATTCCTCCTCGTTTCCACCCTCCTAGGCGCGGCTGCTGTCTACAGGAGCAGTGACGAAACCCTCTTCCCATTTTCCTCCCAGCAGCAACAACAACAACAACCGCAACGGCAACCGCAGTCTCACTCACAATCACAACCACAAGGAGACCAGCAGCAGCACCAACAACAGCAACAACAGCCGACCAAATCACAAACACCAAGACCCGTCCCCACTGAGCAGCAAGAATACAAATACTTCCACGAAGCTGGGTGGACCGAACAGCTCGTCCACTACGACGCCCGCTTCTTCCGCGGAGAGGTTCCATACGCGGCTCACCGCACTGAGCTGGAACACCTGATCCGCTCGTACCTGTCTACCTGCCGGGCGCTCGGGGTCGAGACATGGTAGGTACAAACCATTTTATTTTCTTCCTCGTTTATTTTATTTTGGTTTTCCCCTTTCCCCCTTTTTGCCAAAAAGTCTTGGCACTTCAGGGGTAGTTAGTAAAGAGACTTTGGAAGAGAATAAAAGAAGACGGACCAACCAACTGACAATTGTCTTCCCCAGGCTGGCGCACGGCACGTTGCTGGGGTGGTGGTGGAACGGGCGGATCATGCCGTGGGACTTTGACCTGGACGTGCAGGTCAGCGGCGCCACGCTGGCCGAGCTGGCCGCGCGCCACAATGGCAGCGTGCACGAGTACACATATTGGGAGGAGCAACCGCGGTCAGATGCCGAGCAGCAGCAGCAGGAGTCGGATGGGGACGGCGCGGTGGTGGAGGTGGAAAAGTACAAGATGTACCTGCTCGACGTCAACCCAAGCTATGCCGAGGTGGGGAGGCGGCAGGGGCAGAACGTGATTGACGCACGCTGGATCGACCTCGACACGGGCATGTTTGTCGACATTACGTCCCTTGTCGAGCGGGAACCCGCATCCCAGCCCGGCGTGTGGAGCTGCAAGAACTACCACAGGTATAAGACGCAAGATCTGTGGCCGTTGAGGGAGACCGAGTTTGAGGGCGTGCCGGCGCTGGTGCCGTTTGAGTTTGAGAAGATCCTGGTTGATGAGTATGGGGAGAAGAGCCTGGTGGTTACAGAGTGGGAAGGGTGAGTCTTGCATTCTTGCGATTTGTTGACAGTCGTAAAGGGGCAAAGCTGACGTTTCCAGGCATCGCTGGAATCCGGATTTGAAAGAGTGGGTAAGGATGAATAAGACCGAGGATGCGTCATAAATAAGAAACGATGCTGTCCATATTCTGGTGACTACATCGTGCTCGAATGGAGTCCTTCGCGGCGTGTATGAACCGCCTTGATGGCCTGGGTTTGGAAAGAATCCACTCCACTACTGGGCATGATAGGATATCGACCTGGTCCTCCACTCAGAGCCTGTCGACTTGCTTTGGCATTGCTGTCAAAAGTCAGGGACAGCAACCGGCGATTTGGGGGTTGAAGGCATAAAAGGGGAACCACTGCACAAAGATCATTACAGAGGCCAACTACGGACCAACATCCGCGCGAGTCACGCCCAACAATCCATAACATATCTATTCCAAACCACGCGTCCCAGAGTTTAAGCAAAAGCACTACCTCGGCAGGCCTTTAAACCGGCAAGCCCTCTTCCACAACCTCGTCCCCATCCAACCTCTCCAACCCGTCCCGCGCAGCGCCGTACACCCTGAGCGGGACGGCCACCTCGAAGCTCTCGCACGTCAGGTTCTCCACAGCAACGAGCACCAACCCGCCGCGGTCGTCCCTTGAAATCTCCTCGAGCAGCGGGTGCGGTTTCATCACCGCCTTGCCTTCCTCCTGCCCCTTTCTTTGCCCATCTTCATTCTCATCCTCATCATCCTCCCCGTCCTCTCCAACCTCAACCCCGTCCTCCCTCCTTCCACCTCCCTTCGGCAGCAGCGTCTCACCGGTATCCACAGGGACCACAAACTCCAACCGAACCTTCCACTCAAGCGCCACACCGCTCGTGACAAACTCTGGGGTGGCTGCGGGGGGGATCGTGGGGTTAAACACGGTCCTGCGGGCAAACATGACGGCCTCGCTGGCCGAGACCCAGACTTTTCTCGTAACCCTGTGCACGCTGGCCTCGGAGCGGAGCGCCAGGCTCGGGTCGACGCGCTCGGCCGTCTCGAGCGCGGCGTGCACGGCATAGCAGGGCACCTCGGCGCCTGAGAAATCGATGGCGAGGTTCACGGCCTCGCCGAGGCGGTAGGCCGGGCGAGCGAGCATGACCACGCCCACGCGCCGCCCGTTGCGCGCAATCTCGAACCGGTTGGCCGCCTGATGGCCCGGCGGCGAGCGGTTGGAGCGGAGGATGGCCAGGTCAATGGCTTCCTTTGCCGAGGTCGGATGCAACGCAGACGAGGTGGATGGGTCGTCTGAATACACTGAGTGGACGGATGGACGGCGAGAGCGGGGAGTGGGTGCTGACGGGCTAAGGAGGGCGGCCGTGGGATGGTGGCTTTGGCCTTGGCCTGGTTGGTGGTTTTTGGGGCGAGCTAAGAGGTCGTCGACGTAAGAGAGGAACGAAGCCATGGTGGAGGTTGTTGCGGACGAAGATGGAGATGCGGATTTGGGTTTCTGTTGGGTTGGGGTATTGGGCCCGCCGTCCTTGACGGCTTGAACGCGGGCTTGGTCCCGTAGGAGGATGTAAGGGGACATGAGGTCGTGTCCGAGGATCTCGCCATGGCTGTTGACGCTGCCAAGGACACGAAAGGGAATCTCGACCGATTTGACTTGCTGTTCTTTGGCACCACCAGGCCGCTGTGTGCCAATAACCAGGCTGTATGATATCTTCATGACTTTGCCGCGGTGGGTAGGTGGTAAACCCTTGGGAAGTTTGAAGGCATACTCAAAAGCCCTGCTCTCGCCAGGGCCTAGCTGCAGGTCGACAAACAGAATCGACTGCGGCGTAGATAACAGGGGGATTGACTTGGAGCTGGCTATCCCACGCATTTGCTTGATGCTGCTCAGCTCGCCACCGCCCAGCAGCTCGCCAATGGAATTGGTGATGTTGCCCCATCCGAAGCTCCGTAACAAGCTGCCGTCGCGCTTTGTCGTCTCGAGACCCACAACACCGCCCCCATGACCGCCAACGACGGCTTTGCGCTTGACATGTTCAAAAGGCCCCAAATTGATGAGCGACCCGTCCAGGGTGAAGGATCCCTGTATCTGCGCATATCCCATCATGAGCGATTCGGGTAGTCTCGTTGAGCTCGGCGAGAAATTGGACGTCCTCCTGCTGTGTGGTGCGCGTCCGTTTGTCCGCAGGGGCTGCTGCGTGACATACTCCGAGGCCAGCGTCTCAGACGAGTTGTTGCTCAGCGAATAGAACTCACCGCTACTCCTTGGTGTCCCCGCTATGCTTGTGGTTGACAAGATGCGTGCCGAGGGCGTGGCCCCATGCTCGTTTATCGTTGGCACCGGATCCCTCAGCCGCATTGGCAGCGTATTTGACAATCCGGTCGGCTGTGATGGGCTCAAAATTTCTTCGTCTGGTCTTCCGCCGGGAGTGCCCGGTATCGATGGCGAATCTGTCATGGGGAACTTGAACGCCGATAGCGGTTCCGGAGTGGAAAGGGGAGACGTCCGCGAAGACCAGGGCATTGGTGTGTTGGGAGCTGTTGAGTTGCCCGACATGCGGCCGTTGATGCTCCTTTCTGGAGGGTATGAGGCATGGAAAAGGGGCGAGGGCTGTGGATTGGGCCCCCTCTGATGGCCTTCGCGAACCTGTCAGCATAGGCATTTCTTCGTGTAATTTAGCCAAACTCACCAGGACGGGGAGAATTAAACGGCCCACTACGGGGTATAGTTTGTAGACTCGCCGCGCGAGCGTGCCCCCTCGCCGGCCGCTGCGGCTTCGGCGACGACGCATGGCTCTGCGCATCGTCGTTGACGGTGCTCAGCGAGCCAATCGAGACAATTGACACAGATCTCTTATGCCCATGGCCGCCTCCGCCGCCGCCGCCGTTACTGTTCCCATTGTCATTGCGCTGAGGACGCGTGCCGGCAGTGGGAGATGGCAACCAGGAGATGGACCCGCCACGTCCGCGAGAGGTTGCCGATGGGACGGATAGCGAGAGGGTCGAACGGTGACCACGGGCAGCCGGAGGCGGGGCGAGACCGGCATTGGGCTTTGTACGCCCGGGTACGCCTGGGTGTAAGGGTGATGATGGCTGGCGCGGACCGCGCTCGGCGCCAGGGTGTCGGGATGAGGGTGGAAACTGTGTTGAAGGTTTCAGAGCAGTCGGCGTCGAAAGTGTAGATCCCGCTGCGGGGGAGCGGGCGACATTCCTGAAAGTGATGGTGCATTTGACATCCTCTCCAGCAAATACGACCTGCTCGTGCCAGCGCACAAAGACGCGGATGTTGCTGTTGCTGTTGCTGCTGCCGGGGCCGCTTCCGGGGTTGCCATGACCGTCAGTCGGCATTGTTTGGGCGGGATTCCCAGGCGAGGAAGTAGCGTCGGAAATCAGTTAAACCCCTTCTCGGAGAAGGAGACGGGTCGGCGGGATCGTCAGACCGCTTGATTCAGCATTGCTAATCAGCATCTTGCGGCACAACCTTGGTGCTCAATGCACGGCGGGATGCAAGGCGCGCAACCTGGAAGTTGGAGGTTCGTATTTGGATTGTTCTCTTTCACTGCAGTGGAAGGCGACCAGCGGGAGGTCGCCAGCGCAGTGGACAGTGGACACCCCAAGAATTGCGGGCCAGGTCGCGCAACCCACCAATTAGACCACTGAACTTGGGATTTGCATTGCTGTAACTTAAGATTGCCAAGCCCAAGTTAGGTACCTGGACAGGACCCGCGCAATCCACGGGCCTTGCATCTGTGGGCGTGGATTGTGCGACACCTCAAAGGAAGCTTGTCGATTCGAGAAGCCAACTCGCCCCTTTTTCTTGATCGCCGCCTTCGCCGCCTACCTAGGTCCCGGCATCGAGCTCTGTTCAATGCCTTGCACCCGCGCCAACACTTTGCAGAACGACGCTGATCATAGGGCCGAATTGGTGAGGAACCGCGTGTGAACAAGCGCGGGTCCTCTCGGATGAATCCCTCCAACGATGGCTCTAGCTCCGGCTCAGGGCTCCCCCTTACCGCCTCGTCTTCTGCCATTGCCGAAAAGAAGGGTTCGGAAAGCGTTGTTGACGCAGGATTGAAGAGTCTGCATCATTGTATGTGTCCTTGATCTGGCTCAACTGGGGACGGAAACCTCGGCCATCAGTTCATTCTTATCGTCTCATACTCCTCCACCACACACCCCTCGATCCTCGGCTGCCCCGCCCCAGAGTGACCCTTGTTTGGATCCGGCATCCAGCAGCGACTCCCAGGAAGGCAATCCTCGACATGATCTGGACACTAACGGCGGCGACGCAGACAGACGAGCGCTCCCGCCATGGCGATATGCCCTGCGACAACGGCTCCTGCCCCTCGTACGGTGGGAGACGCCCTACCTGGCCGCCCTCCAAAGCGTCATGCGCACGCCGGCACTCGATAGCTACTTTGCCATTACAGCCAACCTTGGCACGCACACCTTCTTCATGATCGGCCTTCCCATTCTATTTTGGTGTGGCTTTCGGGGCTTTGGCAGGGGGTATGGGGCGAACCAAAATAACAGACCCTCTGCAAGCCTTGACGGGACAAGACTGACAGAAATGGGCTCGGCAGGCTTGTCCACATCCTCGCCTCGGGCGTCTTCTTCACCGGCTTCATAAAGGACATGTGCTCCCTCCCGCGACCGCTATCTCCGCCCCTGCAGCGCATCACCATGTCCGGATCGGCAGCGCTCGAGTACGGCTTCCCATCTACCCACTCGGCCAATGCCGTCTCGGTCGCCGTCTACGGCATCTTGCTGCTCCGCAGCGAAGGCAACCTCTACTCCCCGACTACAACGCTGCTTCTTGAAGGCCTCGCCTGGTTCTACGCGCTCTCTATCGTCCTGGGCCGTCTCTACTGCGGCATGCACGGTTTCTTTGACGTGGTTGTGGGCTCTCTCATGGGCGCCGCAATATCACTGATTGAGTTCTACTATGCGCCCGCCCTCGAGGCATGGATCCAATCCAGCAATTACCTCGCCCCGCTGATGGTGGCGCTTATTATCATCGTCCTCGTACGCGTACACCCCGAACCGGCCGACGACTGCCCGTGCTTCGACGACAGCGTCGCCTTCGCGGGGGTCATGATCGGGTTGGAATGCGGCATGTGGCGCTTCGCGCACTCAGAGCTGGCGCAGGTCTACCAGGGGCCGGACGCGTCCTTTGACCTGTCGGCACTAGGCTGGCCCATCGCCACCGCCCGCGTCGTGTTTGGCGTCCTGATTGTGTTTGCCTGGCGCGAGGTGATGAAGCCAACCCTCCTGCGGGTTCTCCCCCACCTGTTCCGCGTCATTGAGACCCAGGGCCTTTCGCTCCCCCGCCGCTTCTTCGTCCCCGCCTCCGAGTACAAGGACGTGCCCCTGCATGTGCGGGACGACACGGTCCTCCCCAACGTGAGCGACCTGCCTAAGCTAGTCCGCAGCTTCCGCGGACCCGGCCGTGGCAGATCCGTGAGCATCGGCCCGCAGAGTGCCGCGGACGCGTACGAGACGCTGGCGTACCGCGAACGGAGGAGAAGGGAGAGTTTGAGTAGCGAAAATGGTGCTCGGCCCGGGGTGAGAGCCAAACCGAGCTTGAACGGGTTGCGAGAAGAGCTGAAGGCTGGTGAGCATGGCGCGGGGCGCGATGGAGAGTGCTCACAAGCTTCCGGGGTAGGCGGGATCGTGCAGAGCGGGCGTTTGGCGGAGTTTGAGAGAATGATGGGCACAGGGGATGTTGTGGCTGCCCCTCCTCCTGGTTTGGATCCGTCGGCGGCGGGAGATGCTGTTGCTGAGCCGCAATTGTATCTTGGACAAGAGGATGAGCTGGGCGAGAAGGAAGTGTTTTCAAGGCTGGTCAAGCCACGTGTGAGATATGATGTTGAAGTGGTTACCAAGTTGGTTGTCTATACCGGTGAGTTCTTTTCTTGCTTTCGCAAACGCAGGCCCGGACGGTTGTGGGGCAGTCGGCTGACTCGGGTTACACAGGCATTGCATGGTTGGCGGTGGATATCATTCTTGTTGCCTTCGAGGCTGTTGGCCTAGGAGCGGCGCACCTGAGAACACGATGAAGATCTGTATCTTTATCCCGATGGAATACTTTCTCTCCAACTTCGCCATCTAGATTATATTCAATGATCCTCTTTTCTTTATGGCGGTTACAGCTGGAACTGAGGCGCCTATTGTGCCGAGACATGAGGATTATCTATCCATCTGGATCTCTTGATCCATTGGAGGAGTAGATCATATCAGATCCCCCACACACTGCCCGCTCTCACCACACCCCTGCTTGGCTCAGGTACAGGCTGGGTGTCTTTGGCTTGCTGCGATCTTATCTAATCTCCCTCGACCCGATTTGCTGTCACGATCGCTTCGACGCCGTAGTGTGTAGACACAACCCACCAAACATAATTCGTAAAGTACGGTGCGATGTGCAGGAATGTACGGGCGGATTTACTAGACGACACTTGAGACTGATTCACATTATCAAAGCCAATCTCGTCTTCTGGCATATCCGTTGCTAATGAACCGGTCGCGATTTTGTTTTGATGTTGGTAATTTTTTTATAACGGTTAGCTTGAACACCTCGTCACATTCATTTGTGCAGGCTGTGCTGCAGCTCGACTGCCTCGCGGTTCCTGGCGCTGTACGCAAGTGTCAGGCACTCGGAGGAAAGAAGGCTGCGATGCATGAACCAACGTCCACGAGAGGACAAGGAAGGAGGCAATGGAACGTCCGTATGACGTCCGAGAGCAAAAACGGTTCAACCGCGGTTCAGCCGACAATGCCATCCAATCACGTGGGGAGTCTGCCACACTAGTCTTTGCTTATCTTGCTTAGTTGGGTTAGTCGACAACTGATAAGGATATCGTTAGCCAAGATTTTTCGGACATCGACCTCAAAACCGAGCGCTCTGTGCGGACCCTTGCTCATTCGACCCAAAAACCCTCCGTTCCGCAAGGCCACTTGAGCCTGATCTTCAAGTCACACAGCTTGCGGCTCATTTCGCAACCCGAAGCAAACTGACAGAAGACCAGATTTCTTTCATTCGGCTTTTATTTGGGGAATAACAGAAAGAAGCGTTTTTCGGAAAAGGATTGCGGGCTGCGCTCACAACAGCGGGAGATTACACAGCGACAACTAATCTACCCCCCTGTAACTGTATTCAGCAGGGAGGCTTTCAGCGGACCCCCAGCGCCTTTCCCGTTTGGTGCTCACCCGCATTTGCCTCTGCACAGGGCCGGCTTAGGGAGTTGATCAGCCCAGATTCCTCCCAAATCGACCCATCGGCAAGCAACCACGACAAGTCTTTCCCCAGCCCCCCGCCTGGTGCTCTCTGGGACCAAGAACCTTCGAATTATCGATCCTGTCCTTGTGCTTGTCATTTCCGACCAGCTGGCTGCAGGAACCTAGGCAAAAGTCTTGGTCGATACGCGAATCGAAGTATTGTGCCTTGGCCCACTTGATCATCGCATTTCACGCCTATCGCCATCGCACAAGACTTTGGACGCATGTAGCGCAAGGGACCATGTCCATCGAAGCGATTGGCGCTGCCGCGCCTCTGGCCGTGGACGTGGAATTGCCCGTCGACAGCTCCAAGTCTACCGGTCTGCACTCGCCACCTGAGAGCAACAATGCCATGGATGTCGACGGCAGCGACTCGGAGCTGAGCGACCTGGACGAAGTCGCCGGCAAATTGAATGCAGGGATCACGAATGAGCATAAAGACGAAACCCACCCGGAACCTAAAGACGAAGATCAGCCCTCGCCCGATGACATCGGCGAAGTTGAGCCTGACCACTGGTCCGGAAATGTGCCGGTCTTCAAGCCAACCATGAAGCAATTTCAAGACTTTAAACTATTTGTATGGTTGAACTCCTCCCACGTCTCCGTTGTTGGCTTGTTCGGGGTTGACGGAGGTAATCTAGATGGAGAAGGTCGACAAGTACGGCATGCAGTCCGGCATCATCAAAATCATACCGCCGCAGGAATGGAAGGACTCGTTGCCGCCATTAGATGACTTGGTCAAGCAGATTCGGGTTCGCGAGCCGATCAAGCAGGACATTATGGGATCTAATGGAACTTATCGACAAGTCAACATCCTCCACCAGCGCTCCTACAACTTGCCGCAATGGCGACAACTCTGTGAGCAAAGCGAACACCAACCCCCCGCGAGGCGTGGCGAGCGCCGGGCAAATGCGGATAGGAAGCCCGCCACCAGGTCGCGCGGTGCTGCGCAATCGAGTGCCAACAGCGCGACACCTGCAGTGAAGAGGCGGAGGAACGGCAGATTGACCCGGAGGTCCGCCAAGGCCGCAAAGGAAGAGATGGAAGATGATGACGACCGCCCGATGACCCCTGTGTCCCCTGCCGCGGAACAAGACGAGGTCATAGACTCTGTAGAACAGGACCCTGGTGTCGAAGATAAAAAATACGATGATGAAGACGAAGCTCCGGTGCGGAGAATGGGAAGAATGGGATTCACGAGACAATCCAAGCCGAAGACTCAGTCCACATCTGCCCGTCGGAAATACAGCCGCCGCGAGGGCTCGGCGGTGATCGATGAGGCTGCCTTCAAGGATTTCGATTACCGAATGGATGTTTCCGAGTTCACGCCTGAACGCTGCGAAGAACTCGAGAGGATATACTGGAAGACCCTCACTTATGCGCCGCCGCTGTATGGAGCAGACCTTTTAGGCACCCTGTTCGACGATTCCACCAAGATTTGGAACTTGAATAAGTTGCCCAACCTTCTCGATGTTCTGGGCACAAAGGTACCCGGGGTCAACACCGCATATCTATACCTCGGCATGTGGAAGGCGACGTTTGCCTGGCATCTGGAGGATGTCGATTTGTACAGCATAAACTATCTGCATTTTGGGGCGCCCAAGCAGTGGTACAGCATTTCCCAAGCCGATGCCCGACGCTTCGAAGCCGCCATGAAAAACATTTGGCCAACCGAGGCCAAGGCTTGTGATCAATTCCTCAGGCACAAGTCGTTTCTCATCTCTCCCGCCCACCTCAAGCAACATTACAACATCACTGTCAACAAATGCGTCTCATATCCCGGCGAGTTCGTTGTGACCTATCCATACGGCTACCATTCCGGCTACAATCTGGGTTATAACTGCGCAGAAGCCGTCAATTTCGCCTTGGATAGCTGGCTTCCGATGGGCAAGGTTGCTAAGAAGTGCCAATGCGCCCAAGCCCAGGACAGTGTCTGGGTGGACGTGTACGAAATCGAGCGTAAGCTTCGCGGCGAGGAGACCGAGTATGAGGAGACAGAAGACGAGGAGGATGAGGAGGATGAAGACCAGGACACAGGTCTTTTGAGTCCTCCCTCAAGCCACACGGTCCGCATCAAAGCCCCTGGGCGGAAACGCAAGCGGGCTGCGGAGGAGAAAGAACCCAAAGCCAAGAGGATCCGCTTGCGTCCCAAGCACTACGTGGAACCGCCCTGCTGCCTCTGCCCTAACGATATTCCTGGAGCTGAGATTATGTCCACCGACGATGGCCGCAAGGCTCACCGCATGTGCGCGCTTTATCTACCTGAGACGTACATCGAAACGGTGGACGATCAGGAGATTATAGCAAACGTGGCGGGCATCGACAAGGCCCGCTTGGAGCTGAAATGTCTATACTGCCGTTCCAAAAAGGGCGCATGCTTTCAGTGCTCCCAGAAGAAGTGTCCGAGGGCATATCACGCGACCTGTGCCGCAGCTGCGGGGGTATTCGTGGAGGAAGCCGAGGTGCCTGTTTATGGAGAGGATGGGACGGAATACAAGGAGCAGGCTTTCGAATTCAGTTGTCGCTTCCACCGGACAAAGCGAGACAGAAAGGCCGAGGGCTATATCCTCGAGGACAATCCTCAGATCCGCGAAGCCGCCGCCGCGCTCAAAAAGAACGACATTTGCCAGCTACAGTACTACCGCGGAGACATTTTCGCAGGTGTTGTGGTGGAGAATCGCCACGACGAGGAGACACTGCTCCTCGATGTTATTCCGAATGGGTATGCTGAGATCTGCCGAAGGCGTAGTGCTGCGCTAACAATCAACAGTGATCGAGTCGAAGTGGAGTGGAAGTGGCTGCTCCTGCCCGACCCGGCAGACTTCCGCCTCCCGAAGGCTTCGCCCAATGCGCTACCAATGCCGACGTGCAGGAAAGCGAAGCGGGAAATCAATGCCAAGCGTTCTGCGGACGAGGCACCGAGAAAGGACGACGAGTTTGGCCCTGGATATGTGTGGGCGGAATTCAATGTCGTCGATGCTATCAGGAACAGTGCGCAAGTCAAGATCGACTTCTGCAAGGAGGATCAGATCTGGTATTACCTTGGCAAAACATCCACGGAAGCCAAAGCCCAATACACCGAAGATCCAGCGAAGCCGCGGCACAACCCCAAGGGCAATTTCCTCGATACCGTACCGAAGCCCATATCGGCAGCCCGGGCTGCTTTGCTAGCTCAGCAAAGCTCAACACTCCATGCCGCGCAACCTGTTCATATGCCGTCACCCGGAGGGCCGTATTCTGGATCGCTGCCGGGAATGGTTACGCCAAAGCAGGAGAAGCCTTATGTCTACAAGCCACGGAAGCCAGTTGCACCCATTACCGGGTCGCAGCCTCCTCCTTTCACTTCACACACGTTTGCGGTCCGGACGCCCCCGGCACCAGCCATGTATCACCAGCCACAACCTCAGCAGTTTCAGCAGCCGCAGCCGCAGCTGCAGCAACCTAAGCCGACATTCCAGCATCATATCTTCCAGCAGCAGACTGTGCAGCAACACCAGCAGCCTCTTCTTCACATCAAACAACACGAACCATCTGGCAAGGATGTTCAACCAAAGAGTTCGTCGGCACAGTATTCGTCGGATCGCTTCGCGCCCGTCGGAGGTAGTAATGGATTCCCGAAGCTTCCTGGCTTAACCTGGCCCCCTGCTCACATGAAATCAGGGCACTCTTTTCAGCCTCAATCAAGAGGGTGGTCTTCATCGACGGGCGCGGCCACTCCCATGCCGTACCCGACGCCAATGACCTCTTCAGCATTAAAATCCCCAAGCGTCAGCCTTCCGGGATCCGGAGCAGCAGGAGGCCAGCCATACATCAGCGCATACCAGAAGTACAGCTTCTTCCAAGTAAACCACAACAGGTAATAGACCCGGTACGTGCGATTGTTGTGCAGTGATGCTGAAACGCTAGCAGGGATTCTTCTAGATATCGGACTCCGTACGGTGCATGGGGGGGCTTCACGAATGGTTATGAAGGCAACCTCAGGGAGTTCCTGATGAAGGCCCAGAAGGCCCTCTCTGGGGGTAGCAACAAAGTCCCTATCAAGCAGATGCCCGCTTCCCTGTTGCAGCCTCTACAACCACGGACCAGTGCCTCTGCTGGGACGGGCAATCAAATTCACTCTACCCAGGGCTTGGTATATACTTCGATCCTCCCACGCCCTCCTGGGCAAAGTCCTCAGCCATCATACGCCTATGGCGCTGTGGGCGAAACTGCTTCGTATCAAGCCACTTCACCCCAGAACCAGGGATACCTTGCGCAGATTAGCCATGGTCCGCCTCACGAAATCACACAGCCCGGAGCAACAGCCCTGCATCCCGCCATCCGACCACAGTATGGGTCTCCTTGGCCTCAGCAAAGCCCGCCTCCGCCCACGGCACCGGTTCCCCCCGCCTCAAAACCGATGTTCACCAAGCAGAGTCATAGCCCAATCCCATTGCCGCCCTACGTGAGGCAAATGACAACGGCGTCAGCAAGCAGCACAAAGCAGTCTCCGCTCGGTCAACCGCCGGAGCAGGCGTCATCCATGGTGCCATCAATACAGGCCCAGTCTCCGGAGCCATCGGCAAACACGTCGGGGTATCCCGACCCGTCAATACACGGGCAATGGGCTGGGTCAGGAGGCGGTGGGATGGGCTTTGCAGAGTCAACAACGTCATATGCCGCGTCGGGCCCTCAGCCAGCGGTTCAGACGCCAAGCCTCATAGAGCAGCAACAGCAGCAGCAGCAGCAGTCGTCGCCGTACTATCAGACGTCGCCTGGGCAGATGCAACCGACACTTAACGGGCCTGTCATGCTTCGTGACGCGCAGAGTGGGGATGAGAAGGCTTTGGTGGAGAAGATGATTATGAACTTGAGGCGGGCGAGCGAGAACTTTGGGCGTTTTGAAGCCCCGCTGCCTTGATTCTCAGTCATGACGGGATGCATGGGCTTAAGGTTGGGGGGTTTCAGGGAGTTTTGGAGGTTGTACAATCGTAAGGGCGTTTTGGCAGGTTCTTTCGGGCTGGCCGACTGGCCGGAGTTGGTGGTCTTAAGTGCGGTTGCTTTGCTTTTAAGATGGTTATTTTCATGTTAGCTCTGTATGTATGTACAGTATTCTACATATTAGGACTGGCGGTTTAGATGACAGCATGGTGGTGCTTGGGCTTTTCTTGATCACTTAATTATGGTAGCTGCAGCGAGTCTACCTTCGTACGGCCTGCATCATTTGCTACTTAGCTTACAAACCCAGCGGCTGACAATTGAATGAGTTGCAACACTCGACTCTGACTGTGCTGTACCTACTTCGGCCCTAACGTTATTCGCTTCCAGTTTGTTTCAACAACAGGATAACAGTTATACCAGTAGTTTCCTACAGTACTCGTCTCGAGGGCGGTTGGTGCCAGACGACGGCCATACGTGATCACGTGGAGCCAGTAAGATCCAAGGCTGCCGTGTGGATGGGATGATCCCGAAAGTGGGAGGGTGGGGAGTGGCTGTGGCTGGCCTGCCTAGAGCGCTGTCGCCGTGAATATCTCAGCCTGTGACGTCAGGCTACGCACCGAAAGGGTCCATCACAAAGTCCAGCGATTCTTGATTTAGGGGTAGGATATGGGTGACTGGCGTCATTTGGGCTCATTTGAGTTCGATATATGGGGATGTTCTTATTCCTCTCAAGCAGTCCTGGGTTCATCCGAGAATCAACCAAACACCTTGATTAAACTGCAACGTTGACCTGCAACCTTTGGCGAGTCTGTTAGTGATACCGTTGCAATCACACCAAACTGTTAACACTCAAACAAACCCCTATTCTATCTCTAAGCAAACCAACAACAACAACAACAACCCACCCACCCACCACCAGAACCTTTGAAAGTATCGAACAATCTCGAAAGAGAAAATACCAACCGTCAAAATGCCGACCGTGCTAGGCCTGACCAACGAAAAGTCCAAAAACTCCGGGTACACGCCCTCGTCCAACACGATGGGCTCCAACGCGCGGCTCGACACCATCTCGAAGCGGAACCACGCGGCGGCACGCGAGATGGAGACAATCCTGTGGCGGGCGCTGCTCGACGAGCCCGACACGGCGCGCGACTACATTGCCCACGACTGCGTCATGATCAACCCGCTGCTGGCGCCACACCGCTCCACGCAGCCCCTGTCCAAGGACACGCAGCCCCGCGCCCAGGACGTGCTCGCCTCGTCCGGCAAGGGTTTACAGTACTCGGGCTTCCGGTTCCATGGCGACCCGCTCGTCGTCGAGGTCGATCTCATGGCGGTTGCGCTGGTTTATAAGTTGAGCTTGTACAAGCAGACGAGGAAGGGAACGAGGGAGATTGTCTGCACGGGAAGCAGCACGTGGAGGCAAACGGCCGGCGCGGACTGGTTGTTGGTTGCCATGCATGTTGCCGAGGTGGACGAGGTTGGTGAGGATGAGGAGTAGAATGGGGACTGGTACTGATTTCGTGTTTTGGTTTTCTTGTTGGCAAAGGTCATGTTCATGGGAGTATGGTCAGGATACGAGTTGATATGGTTTGGGTACCGCCTTGTGGATAGGTCTTCGGTATTTCTCTGCTTGGTTTCGATGGTTGAGTTTGGAGTGCAGTGGAAGGCATGGATATCCCGGTTGACGGACGAGGACTGGACTTAGCAGTGGTATATCAAGACGGTATTGCATATCATCAATGATGTCAGTGGTCCATGATGGTTCAGTAATTGTTTTTATCCATATGCTTTGCAACAACAGCCAATCCTGGCCGAGAGAGAACGACGAATGGTTGAAAAGTGCAAGAATGATAACCCGTCCTGGACTGAGGTACACCTACCTTAGGCATTCGACTTCAAGCATAGAGTACCTCGCGAGTACAATGGTCAATCGGATACTTTGCTTCCTGGTGGGTGCAAGATCGAACGGCAGCTGACTGCGATTGGCAAGAGGCAAGACGGGTTGACAAGCCCAATGGCAGGCGCGCTACAGCTCAGATATCTGGTCTATACCTTCCCCGTTGGCAGCGACTTTTTAGCAAACCTGCTGGCGCCCCTCAGCCTCTGCCCAAAAAACCAGATGACCCACGGTCCCGGGATGCCGATGACAATGGCGATAAGGCCCAGCAAGCTGCCGCCCAAACCATAGCCTAAGCTGCCGAAAAGAGCCGGTACGAACAGCGGGAACACGAAGCCGAGCACAGAGCGGAGGAAGGAGCATGCAGCTGACGCCGACGCCGAGTGGAGGTTGTACGCATCGGCAATATACGACGACGTGCACTGGAATGTAATCATAGAGCTGCCAGCAAAGATTGTCGCTCCAATCTGTCGTTTCATCATGTCCGGTTAGTCCAATTTTTCCCTGCAGACCTCAACTTGTTGCTAAGTTGAGAAACCGGATACAAACTTACATTAGCCACCAGGAAGTGTAGCTTGGCCTCGGCTGCCCACCCATAAAGAAAGATGCCGCACGGGGTGATGATGGATGCTGGCACCATCAGCGGCACGCGAAACTCGGGCAGCCCGTGCTCATCTTCGGGGATGCCGTAACGCCGCTTGAGCCTGGCATACACGCGATCTGTAGCGGGAGCGCAGATGTAGACGCCGATAAGCGAGCCGACAGCGAGTGAGATGTAGTTGAGAGTGGCGTCCCCGCGAGGCATGCCGTACCGCCCTTCCCACAACGCCGGGAAGCTGGATATGAGCAGGTACAAGGTGCCAAAGTTGAAGGCTTGATAGAGCGCCAGGACCTGGATAATGGGCTGCGTGCCCAGCATGGCCCACGGCCGCGACAGGGCGACGCGCAGGAGCCCGACCAGTGTCCTGTCCGTCTCGGATTGCTCCCACTCGGTGCGGAACTCGGCCTTGCCGCTGCGGGTACGAAGGGCCCGGGCCTTGAGTTGGAGCAGACGCGGGGGGTAGGTCTCCTGGAGGAAGAAGAAGCTGATGATTTGGACCACGACGTTGACGATGACGACAACCCAGAAGGACCACCGCCAAGTTGTATACTGGGTTATATAGCCGCCAACTGTGGGTGTATCAATGACTGTTAGTACTGAACAATGGACCGGGTTCTCTACGGCGGAAATGGCATACCAATTGGGCCCACAGCCGGTCCCAGCACGGGCGCGAGCTGGTATACGGCGAAGCCACGTCCGCGCTCCTCGGGCCTCCAGCAGTCCGTGAGCACACCACCACCCATCTGCATATGGTTAGCCTTGGGCATCTTGCTCAGAGACGTGTAGCATACCCCGACGCTAGCACTACCCCCGAGCCCTGCGAGAAAACGAAAGGCTGTGATCTGGGATTGCGATGTTGCGAAGCCACACAAGGTGGTGAAGATAAGGAAGACAACGTTTGCCGTCCGGATGACAGGCATTCGGCCCCAAACCTCGGAGCATGGCGAGAGAACGAACGGCCCGAGAGCGTAGGCGAGGAGATAGACGGAGAGAACAAGTTGGAGTTGGGCGCCGCCCGGGATGTGCAGTTCTTCGCCGATCGAGGTGAGAGCCGGGGCCGTTATCGACGAGCACAACGGCGAGAGGAAGGCAAAGGCAGATATGATCAGTGAGGTCTTGCCGGCGATGACTTGGTGGTTAGCAACCCCTGACTCCTGTGTAGAAACATGACTTTCTGTCAAAGAATGGACACTTACCGCCCATTTCCGCCAGGTACTCCAGTTCTTGGGGTTCTCGGGGTCGTCCGGCCCATCCCAGGTGACCTTTGTCCCGATTAGTCACAATGTATAAACTGGCTGGACCCGTCTTTGCGGCTCACCGTGTAGCATTCCTCTACTGAGGTATTACTTTCGGCTAAGGTCGGGGTGGAAGGAGTACAACTGGTGGGAGTGATCGCCCCGTCCTCGCACAGCGTCTGTGTCCGGCTGCCGCATATTGCCTTCTCAGTCTCCGTTTTACTCTCAGCCAACTCGCCGACCGACGAAGAATTCGAATCGTGGAGTATGGGCATGGCGTGAAAAGGGAGCGAAAGGGAAAAGGAGGTTGAGACGTGTGTAAACAAAAGCCCTAAAGGGGCAGGAAGGGTTGGAAGTCAGTTTGGCCTATAGCATCCCGGAAGTCGCCTATTATTGTGTCGAGAGACAGACCGAAACACCACTCGTAAAACAAAGGATCGTTAGGGGCGTGGAAGACTGATGGACCAGCTGTTCACAGGGATCCTGAAGGAAGAGTGTCGAGGCCATCTCCTCGCTTTTATACAGCTCTACAAGGTAAAACGTTAACAATCTCGAGGTCAAGCACCACAGTAGAAGAAAAAGGGAAAATATCCGCGAACAATGAGGTCTATTGGTGACACAATTACTCAAAACAGACTTCGAGAGGAGCCATGGATCCAACCGGAGCAAAGTCCGAATGCTCTTGGGGAGCTGAAAGATCCGTAAAGATCTGGCCGCCAACGGTAAGGAACCTAGACTCATAGTTGGATGGGGTCCTGGTGGCTCCCACGTGGAACTATCGCCCAGGCTGGATGAGTTTGCCATGGGACATTCTGTCAGAGTGTCCACTGGGCAGCCAATTAGGGAATTTTGCACACGACATATTGCCCGGTCTGGTGGCCACTTGGTCCACAGAATCCGACAACTCGGGTCAACGACGGGGAACCCCTGGGCATTTTCCAGTTCATGTTGGAGCCGCAATAGCAACGGACTTAACCTTATTCCATCCCATCCCCTCGGGCTAACGAATCACAGGAGTGTACTTTGCTTATCAAGAAAATTTCAGTTTTCATGAGCATCCACACTTGCATTCATTGCATCCATATTGCTGTGGATCAGCCGCGCGTTTGAGAGACAATCGGCACTTGATGGCAGACACCAACTTCAAGTTCCTCATTATCAGTTATTTACTTGAGTGCCTGGCCGAAGGGCTACCCTATTGAACTCAAGCAGTGACTGCAAGTTAAGTAAAATGTGCTTCAAGTTTAAAAGTACCTAGGTAGCCTTGGATGGCTTATACCACTGCAGTCGTGTTCGGTTCTAAGGTGTTCACTGCATCCAATGATGGAAATAAGTCTTGTCTTGTAGAGTAGCAAGTACATAGGTACCTACCTAGTATGCCTCGAGACACATCCTGCCGGCTAAGCCCTCTTCTCCACTGGCGAAGTTGCCCCGATACCGGTGGTAGGTATGCTAGCAAAGCTTGGTTAAAGCTTGGTACGGGCGGGACGGCTCCACTTGAGCTAAGTCCCTTTGCCTACCTACCGATGTATATAGAAAGAGAGAGTCTGGTAGGAGACCTGAAGCCCTGGAGAGAACGCTGTTATCAGTCTTAAGGTTTCGACATACCATACCGCTGGACACTATCCACCCACCTAGCAGGAAGACGGGCCTCTCTAACATTACGGCAGAACTACGACATATAAGTCTGACGCAAGTGACCGGAGAAGTATAGAAACCTATTCAATAGTGACAATATGCTGTCAAGTGTCAACACCATAGCTCATAGGGCCTGGGGTGTTCGGTTGGGCTTTCAGCATGGGAGGTCCTTCGGGACTTAGAGCCTCTTAGAGGTCTTTCAAGTTTGTCCTCTCTGACTGGACAAACGCCCTCACCACCGATATAGGCGTGCCGTCTGGGCCTCGGAGTCAGGATCCTCGTTCTCCCTCATCAACAGAGCTGAGATTCCTACAGATGCCCCTCTCATAGGTAGATAAGTATTATAGGTCCCTGCTAGGGAGCGGAGTGGTCTTTAATGTTTGGCTGATATCCGTTGTGTTGATGGAATGCAAGCGAGGAAGCGAGTTACCTATATGATAAACGTCGATTAACAAGCCGACAGCAACCGGGAACCCGATGAAGCCCAGTAGAGCGAAAGTGTGAGCATCTACCAGGATGTTAACATCAATATCTACTCAGGCACAATACCGACTTTGTTCACATCATGGATATTCATCGCTAATCGTGACTCTATTACCTGTACCTTACATGAAGTCAGAAGGTGCCAGTCTATCCAGTAGTAAGAACTCCCACGGATGAGGATAATGATCTATGCCTTTACCTCTACCCAACTGTCCCGTTTGAGATCATATTGACTGTGATGCTAATGTATTCGTCTTGACATGTTCCTTACACCTGACTTTCAGTTTGCCTATAGCTTTATCCTAGTACTATAGTACATGTATTCGTGCTGGAATACGTGAGTCATCTTTTTCAGGCTTTTACTGGCATTGAGTTTCCACATGAGCGCCTTACCGCCCGATGACTTGGAAGATGATGCTCTGTGCTATTGTGAGACTTTGCAGGAATAGTTGGACTGTCTAGGTAGGTAGTGGACTGCTTCAAGTTGCCAGCCTGAGACCTATCTCGTCACCTGGGGGCACGTAGGCTGCCAAGCTCTGACTGGACGGGAACATGAAGGGATGAAGAAGAGACACCTGTGTGCGCCAAGATATTATCTTCCTGCAAAGGACTGCAGTGAGAGATAAAGACAGTCACAGTCCAACCGGAACCCTGAGTGCCGGTCTGCAATCGAGCTGAGGAGCAACACCAACATGAAGGTTTCTTTGAATAGTAAGTACCTAAGCTGCGGGTTGTATTTACCAGCGCTCCATCGAGAATACAGAGCGCAGATGCATAGGCACAGTACCTATGCCGTTACTCAATGATTCGGACTGTGGACTCAGACTCGAGCATGTGTCAATGGTTTGCTTGGCCATTGGGGCCAGAAACCAATCAAGTAATAATTCCCTCTACCGGCCGCCATAGGTCAACTGAGCCAAACGCGGAAGGACTCCGTCTTGGAAAAGCAATCGGTTAGGAGGTAGAGCGCGCTTAGGCTGAAGGATATATGCATCCGGTAGGTGACTTTGCGTCAGGCCTGGACCTACCCAATCGGTTTACCGACCCTCCATCATAAACACTCTCCTGCTCATTCTTTGGTGTCGCCAAGTCTTACAGTGTAGCAGTAATCATGACTTGGCGACCGTATAACTACTAATAACAGAGACTTATCCCGAAGCGTGCAGCAGCGTCTCATGCCGAAGCGGGGAACGTTACTCCCGACCGTAACGGCGGTATGTCCCCTCCTTTCCTTCCAGTCGTGGCATGGCTGACTTTTAGGGCAACCAATGGCGAGTTTGCCGGTAGTTTGGTACACGCCTTGCAAGATCCATGATGTCTACCTGGTACCCGTACGCAAGTAGTGTAGGTACGCATGGAAACAAGCGTGGCAAGCCGTAGCGAGGCAGCGGGATAGCATCGGCTTTGTCGTGCACGGGTAAGCACCTTGTGGTGCATGTATTGTACATGCGGATAATTCTGGGGTGGCCTGGAAGCCTTGGGCGGCCTTTTGAGTCCCAAGGCCCGTATTCGATGCACTGCTCAGGATACCGACCTATGTTGAACTTAACAGCACAGCCTGAGCCTGGGGTGTACAACTTTGTTGGCTGAACCTAACGTACCCTTCACCTGGTACGTACAGCCCGAGTCACAACTGCCTCAATATGAAAGTACTTCCAATCGACAAACCGGGAGGCGTGACGCAAACCTCGACAAGAATTGCTAACGAACATCAGATGTTTACATGTCCAGTCTAAGATGGAATGGAGGAAGTCTGGCGTGTGGGTCACAACCCGGCGATTATCGCATGTCGTGCAGAACTCGACCGAGAGGGATCTCACGACTTGCCCGATAGTGTTTCCGAACTGAGATAGAATCAGCTGAACATGAAGCTATTCCGAGTTGGCAATCTGGGACTTTTGGGTAGGCATTATCTTGCGCAGTGGGTGGGGGCTGAAGTGTATTACCCAAACCAATGTCATACGTCGAAAAACGCTAGATCCCGCCAGTAGAATGAACGGAACCTGTCTTGGGAAGGGAAACCTAGTAATAAGGTATTCAACAGTACTGGGACGAATGGGCTGATCAGGCCCGACTGCACATGATACATACCTAGTGATACCGACTCAGCATGGATGTGGCAAATGAATATTTCAACGTACCGAACCGCAGAACCTGACCCTTACCCACTACACTATCGCTACTAGTAGCGCTAGTGCCGAGATCACCCAGTGAGCCCCTGATGCAAGGTTCCAAAATCCCTCGACCGTTGCAATAAGGGGGAAGAAGGCAGGAAGGCAACCAGATTGTGGCTTCTTTGCGTTCGCGAGTTCTTGTCACGTCTACTAATTGGACCGAGTCAAGAGATGCAAATTGCTGACCCAAAGAAGCCTTCTTCTGACAAGTACGAATGAACAGTTTTCCGGATGGTGCGAGTATCGTTGACCTTGCAATCATCGCGCAATGCTTTCAGACCAGCCAGTCATCGGAATGACGGCGGAACCGTTGGAACTGCCGTGGATGCCTGCTCATGGCTCAGCTGAAGCGCGAGGCGGGGAGGGGACCGTGCCCCGTGCATTCGATCTTCGATCGATGGCGTCTGTATCTCAGGAACCTCCCGAGCATGCCAGCAAACTTGCCTGAACCTTAATATTTTTGGAGGCTGTTCCTGGCAGAGTTGTGCAACCGTCAACGAATGCCACTTGATGCATTGGACGTACATACCCGCGTAGTATTGCGGCAACGACCCGAGATACCGGACGCTTGATAACGGGTCAGGGTCGTTCCTGGGCTTGTTGTTCGTCAGGACGACTTGGTGGTTTGGTGGTCACGTGCCTCACCACACAATAGTAACACTACGTGTACGGAGTACTGTACACTACAATCAGCCCCTTATGATCTTATCCAGCAAGATAACCACTGACACTTCCTGGGCTCCACAGTGGAGTTTCCCCATGTTTGCTCCACAAGACTCCATTTATTACACTACACACTGACCTCGATGAAAGTACCCAGAAACCAACAACAATCACCTCACTTTGCAAAAGTAAGCGGCGGGGAGAGGACGATTCTGAACTAGAAGACCTGACAAGATCGTCCGTCAGCAATACTCTTCTTTTACTTGCCTATTTCAATGTTTATCGCTACGCGAGCGTTCCTTAGCATCCTTTGCTTCTCTTGGCAGTATTAACTTGACAAAGCGTTAACATTAACCATTTCCATCTTATCGCGGGCCAAGTCAAGCGCAGCGTTCAAGGTTTCCACCAATTTGCGACGTTGGTAGTAACTGTGCGATAACGTTAACGCTCAAAAGGAGTCCTCCACAATGGATTTCCACCAACTTGCGACATTGGTGACCGACCGAAGCACGATAAGCCTCACAAAAGCCTCCACAATTGACGTCTTGGCTATCTTTCCTCTCGCAGGCGTCGATTTGCCAAGCCGCGCCCAAACCGCCTCCCCCGGATCTTAGGCCACAGGGGTCTGTGCAAGCTTAGCCGATTCGGGAAGCTGGAAACAGACTCCCAGGAAAGGCCCAGAGGCAAAATGTTTAGCCTCCGGTGGATGGACGAATGACGGGACTCCCAGATACCGTTGCGCTCCGTTTCCTCGGTCCATTCTCCCCAGACGGCAAAGATACGTGTGAGGTCCAGCGGGAGGATGGGACGCAGGTGCTGCAGGCCACTCCGGGATACCGCCGATGCCCACAATTTCCGTTTCCACCTCTGCCTGCCGCTCGTCCGCCGCACAGCCATCATGTCAGGTTGCTGCACCCTTCCGGCGGTGAAACGATCCAAGCCAGCGCCAGAACTTAGAGGGTCCAACTAGCCCGCAAGGACGGTTCATTTTTGCTATAATAGTATGTACAGTATCTGTCCACGAAGAGGATATTTCCACAAGACGCAGAAAATTGCAGTTCGCCAGTGCCCGATCAACGTTCACGGTAATCGGTAGACCAGCGTCAGTGGCGCGGCCTGGCGGCCATCTCTCCAATGCGCAAGAGGCTGGCCACGGGGCAGATCTATCGGCTGACTTGGCACGTCCTTGGCTTTGGCGCAATTCCTTGACAAATGCGATGCCCAGGCCTTGGCTGCTGTTGGCCGTTGTCTTGGCACTATTGCCCTCTCCCAAGTTCCAACGATATCGACGGGACCGGATCGCCGACTTTGTTCCTGTATTCGTACACAATGCAGGAGACGGGTACGAAGTACAGGGCGGTGTTCTGTTGAATTGCACAAAAATGTACGAAGTATTTGTGCTCTTGTCATTGGGCTGCTGGCTGGGACGATGACCCATCTCGATCCACATGTCTCGGGCATCGCCGTTGCCCCTCACAGAACACAGGAAGGCCCCGTTGCGATCACCGTCATCATTTTTCTCGAGCTTACCTACACCACCCCCAAACCAAGGGTAAAGTAAAGTTATCGTATGTACACTATATCGGCCAAGACTGGCACCAGGGCCTTCTGATCTGGCGCATCGACTTTATTATTGGGCCACTCGGTTTGCTCCTTCTCTTTTGGGAGCTTAGAAAAGGCCGCGCGCAGGGTTGCTATCAGAACAATCAAAAGCCCCCGCCACTCGTTGAACACCACCCCAATCTGCCAATCAAGCCGGGATCAATTGGCCACTCCGGAATTGCTCCCCAGCTTCGGTGCAGCTTCTAGCCAATTTCTGCGCCCGCAGTCTCTCAAGGGCCGGCGAGGAGAAGATCGCCTCACTGGCTTGCATAGCCCAAACCTCGCTCACTCCACTTGGCTGGGATCCAACCCCGACCCCTCTTCCAGCTGCACCACTTTCGAGACCCTCGCCGTAACCTTGGTATGGTACTCTTATTTCCTACTTTTCATAGCAGCCACGAACCGTGGCCTTGACTGCATTGTTACGCAACAGGAGGTAACCCTGTCCTTCTAGGTCCCTCGGTTTGACACGCGCTCGTCGAGTGGGAATGCGACCGTAACCCTGGATCGTTAATAAACCCCCCCATCCCTCACTTGCCAGCTGTTTCGCCTGTCCTCTCCCTCCTCTTCTCTACCTGCTCGTGGCTGCGTCAACCTCAGCATCATGTCGTCAGAAGAGAAGGGCAACGCGGGCCTCTCCACCCCGGACAAGGAGTCGGCTCCTGCCTATGGCATCACCGAAGGTTCCATTGCTGCTCGCGACCAGGAGGATTTCTGGACGCGCAATGGCCTCACCCTGCGCTCGTTCGAGAAACGCTCGGGGGTAGACGCCGACGCGGTCGACTCGCTCGACCGGACAATGCGAACGCGCCATATGCACATGATTGCCATTGGCGGTTCCATCGGCGCCGGTTTCTTCGTCGGCTCTGGCAGGGCGCTCAACAACGGCGGGCCTGCATCGCTGCTCATCGACTTCATGATCGTCGGTATCATGATGTTCAACACGGTCTACGCCCTCGGTGAACTCGCCGTCATGTATCCTGTCTCTGGTGGTTTCTACACGTACTCGACCCGCTTCATTGATCCCTCGTGGGGTTTCGCCATGGGCTGGAACTACGTCATGCAATGGGCCGTCGTGCTGCCGCTAGAACTCACCGTCTGCGGTATTACGGTGGGATATTGGAATAAGGATATCAGCGTTGGTGAGTCCCATCATACGGCCCACTGTCCCCAAGCGTGGCGACGGCCTCGAACCTGGGAATTAACATGTTTGTCTCAAAGCTGTTTGGATCACCGTCTTTTTGGCAGCCATCATCATTATCAACATCTTCGGTGGCCTCGGTTATGCCGAGGAAGAGTTTTGGTCATCGGTGCTCAAGCTCGGTGCCATCGTCGTCTTCATGGTCATCGCCTTGGTCCTGGTTTGTGGTGGCGGCCCGAGTGAGGGTCGCTATAGCGAGTACTGGGGTGCACGTCTCTGGTATGAACCGGGTGCATTTGCCAACGGCTTCCGCGGCTTCTGCAGCGTGTTCGTCACGGCTGCCTTTTCCTTCTCTGGAACCGAGCTTGTCGGCCTTGCCGCTGCCGAGGCTCGCAACCCGGCCAAGTCGCTCCCTGGCGCTATCAAGCAGGTCTTTTGGCGTATCACTCTTTTCTACGTCTTGGGCCTTTTCTTCGTCGGCCTGCTTATCGCCCACAACGACGACAACCTGCTCGGCGCTAATCCCTACATCAACGTTGACGCCTCGCCTTTCGTGCTGGTCGGCAAGTACGCCAATCTCCCTGGCTATGACTCGTTCATGAACGTCATCATCCTGGTCTCGGTCTTGTCCATTGGTGTCTCGGCCGTCTACGGCGGCTCCCGGACGCTCACTGCCCTTGCCCAGCAGGGGTACGCACCCAAGATATTCGCCTACATTGATCGCTCTGGCCGTCCATTGTTCTCCGTCATCTTGCTCTGCGCGTTTGGTCCCCTTGCCTACGTCAACCTTTCTGCCGACGGTCCCGTTGTTTTTGACTGGCTCCTCGCCCTGTCTGGTCTCGCCGCGCTTTTTACCTGGGGTTCCATCTGCCTCGCCCATATCCGCTTCCGCAAGGCCTGGCTTCGCCAGGGCCACACGCTCGACGAGATCCCTTTCAAAGCCATCGGTGGCGTCTATGGCTCCTACTGCGGCCTTTTTTTGAACATTCTTGTGCTGATTGCTCAGGTAAACAAATACCAACCCGTCAAGAGATTTATAGATAGTGTGCTAATCCCTCTGTTCTTGCAGTTCTATGTCGCCATCTGCCCAGTTGGTGGTGGCTACAACGACGCCGAGGGCTTCTTCAAGTCTTACCTCGCCCTTCCCGTGGTCATTCTTTTCTGGATTGTTGGCTTCTTGTGGAAGCGCGCTGGCTGGCTGCGCACCGACCAGATTGACGTCGACTCGGGCCGCCGCCAACACGACTGGGATGTCATCAACGAGTACCGAGCCAGGCTGGCCGCCATGCCGGCATGGAAGAGACTCATCCACACCGTTTTTATATAATATTCTCTCCTTCTGGGCTGGACATCCGAGCGTTTTACTCCTTTAGCAGTTGTATTGCTATCTATGGGCATTTGTCATAGCTACCTCCTTGTTATTAATGCACCCGGCTTGACCGGTGTCTGCTATGACGGGATGATGAAGCGGGCGCTGGTTTATCTGGTGCTGCTGAGGAAGCACTTTACCCCTCTGTTGATACCATGCATATAAAGAGTTGAATTTGTGGCATTCGCCTCACCATTTCTATTTCCCGTATCGCGTGATAACTGGATGGGCTAGAGGCATTATGCGGGTGCTGAGTTCTGGTATCTAGAGTGTGATACAGAATCTCAATATTCATGTGTTTGTACGATGCCTGGTGAGATGTCTCTCCAGGTGGTTATTTGTCACATTATGATAAATCACCGGTCACGTTACAACTGTTGCATGAGCCTCGTTAAGACCTTCTACCATCGCGGTTGAGCATCTGGTCGGAGTTATCGAAACTGATGCCCCGTTATGTCGGCAATCTCTAAAGTCCTATGCTATACACTACATCGCTTACTAAGGTCACAGCACAGCCTGGTAGTCACAGCGATCCATCTCAGGTTTGCAGGACACCTCGCCCGATGAACTGCGATGGAGACAAGACTCTATGGGGCAAGTTCTTCATGGGTTCAAACTGAAGCTTTGGGAGGGCCTCCGGAAACCGGGAGGATTGGTTCGGAGGACGAGAAACAGAAAGAAATGCTTGGGCAGAGTCTGATGTTGAAGAGAAACTGGTGATTAGTCTCGGATGGGGGCGGCAATGCTTGCCTGTGGCGGTTGCACAACCAAGTTTGGCTGGTTAATGTAATATATCCGAAGGTGGGGGGAACTTCAATCTAGGAGGTGACGAGGTGAGCTTGATATAACCGGGCCCGACCACGCCAGGCTCTATATTTGTTTGAGAGAACTTGTGATGCAGAAGTGCGGATTGGGGTGTGGATTGGTCATTCGGGGAATGCAAATGTTCTCTGAAGTCTGGACATTACATAGGTAAGGATGTAATGCTGTTGGGGGTGAAGGCTGATGTTAGCATGGCGACAAGCTCCAGCGAAGGAAGCAGCCGCAATCTGATAAACGACTGATTGGCAACGTTTGAAACAAGCTGAAGCGTGAAGGACTGCAAGGTCTCAACCAAGGTAGTCTCACTCAGCATCTTGGGGAAGTATTCGTGTCTGTTTCGAGATCTTGATGCTCTCAATTGGGTAAAAGGGCATTCCCATTTGAACTGGACGTCCTGAGTTGAGTACTGAGAGCCCGGACTTCTCATAGTACATGCGGCCGTGGGAAAATGGACAGAATAGCGTTCTTATTCCTTCCCATGGGACCAAAGGGAGGACTCTGTCCATGATATCAATCGGTATACAAAAGGAAGAAGGTCCAGCTAAGACTTGCTGGACAGGTGGTCGACTTGTATCTGATACCAACGACAACACTATCTCTCTTCTCCCGATAGTCTGCTTCATGGATAGTCCGTGGAGTGAGTGCGGTTAGCGTCAATAGATAACAAGGTCTTCACGAAATAGAGGGTGGAGGACTGGAGGATCTATCCAGAACAAAGAGCGGACCAATCTGTAGGGAAACGCGCACCCCTATGGCTCAGTCGTCTTCGCCAATTCTTCGTAAAACGCCTTCCCCATCTCCGAATGCACCCAGTCGATCCACATATACGCCCTCAGCACATCCCTCACTTCGCTCCACCCCGTCTTCGGCCCAGTCAATCCCAGCTGCTGCAACACGACTGTCGCAGTTCTAACGAGTGTCTCGTCATGCACGGGGCGGTCCAGGACCGAAATCCTCGCCACAAATAGGAACCACAGTCTCAACTTCATGACTCCTTCCCCTTCACCACCGGATTCAGTATCCATCGCATCCACGACGCGCCTCACCCGGCGGGCTAGGTCGTGGTAGGGCATAGGAATCTCCTTGACCTTGAGGAAGGTGGTGGTCGTGAACGCTAGCATACCTAGACGGAGGAGCTTTTCCGTCTCCGTCTCCGTCGCCGTCACTCTCTCCGTGGGGATTGTCGATTCCGATCCCGTCTCCATCTCTTGGCTCGGTGGTGGCGAGCGTACATCCTCTAGTTCGTGCTGCAGCGCCAGAAGGCGATACTGCACCGAGACGAGCGTCTCGCGGAACGACTGGGCGGGAATCTTGAGGCCTGTTTGGAAGGCCAAATTGGCCGATAGGGAGAATTGCGCAAGGTCTTGAGCGACGTTTTGCAGGCGCGGGTTGGATGGGATGTTGAGATAGGGGCTTAGAGAACCCCGGGGAGGGCTGGGTTTGGTAGCGGAGAAGCTGGAAGACTGGGCGTTGGTACTGGTGCTGCTGCTGGACGGGAGTAGGTATGGTTCCCAGGAGAATCCGGAGCAGAAGAAGAGAGGTTTGGAGCCCATGCTTAGTGCCAGACCCAGGTCGGCTCTATTGGGACGGGGGTGAGTCAGTTCGCTATCTTCTCTATGGTGGGGGCAGACGAAAGAAGAGGAGTGAAGTGAGGGTGCCTACCTGAGCACTTTGACCTGTAGCTCGCTGTTATGACGGAGAGCTCGAATTCCCCCGCGGAAATCGACCAGTTGGTATAGGCCCTGCATGTGTTTCCTGGCTGCTTCGTAGTCTTCCAGAATGTCGGCCATCAGCACCAGAGTGAGGACAGTGCCAATGGTGGAGTCAGAAGTTGCCAGTTTGTCGTTTGTGAGGTTCTCGCGTAATAGTTTGAGCGAGTTACCCAGATGGTGCATGGTGGTGTTGCTGAATTGACCGTACCGGATGAAGTCGAAGTAAGCTTGCGTGGTGAACAGAACGGAGTGGACATAGGCCCGGTCGTAGGCGAGATAATCGACCCATTGAGCAAAGCTTGGCTGTATGCAGGCTTCGACGGGGTGCATTGCCTGCTTCAGGACGGTGAAAACTGCGGGCAGTTTCTTAGGTTGAGTATAGGTCATAGACGGAAATACTCTGACAGGGAGACAGTGGATGGAAGGGCCTACAAACAGTGAAAGGCTAGATTTATCATGTATGGTTTCATCTCGTCGGCGAAGGTGATATGCGACATGTCGTCCCCGACTCTCTGGGGAATGCACTGGAGATCGTGGTTGGCGGCCTTCTGGCGCCCGTCCTCCTCGGCATCTTCAAGTTGACGACCGTTGATCCATGACCGGGGAACACGGCTGTTATGCAGGTTGTGCGGTTTACGATTCTTGCCCCGCATGACATGGCTACGGACCTGCTTTCTCGCAGCCGCGTCGAGCTTGGCTGAAGAGGTGGAAATAATCAAGAACGGGCTGTCGTTATCCGACGCCGTGCTGCTGCCGACATCACTTGGCGCCATTTTGCTTCCTGAATCTTGTCCCAGTTAGACCATGAGCGAAAACTTGAAAAGCCAAGGGCGATTGAATGCAGTTTGTATCCGCCAAGATAACCACCAGTTACCCTCTTTGTAGCGCACTCCGTCCAGTGCTTCGGTACTTCAAGCCTTCACCAACGGTTTGGGAAGGAGTGGTGCTGTGGAGTCGTGGTCTCGTGGACGTTGTGAAATGAGTTGGAGGGGCAGGCCCGACCGAGGATGGAATAATGCTGATGAATCAACGTCTCCCGTTGTCACTCTGATTTGAAGATTTGTATGAAAAGTTCCGGTTTCACAACAAGCGAACCGATTTGACCAGGGAAATGAGTTTGATGTCAGCTCGAGATGATTCAGTCGAAGTTGAAGACGGCGTTGTCAGACGCAGACAGGTTGTAGGTCTTGGCTTGGCATCTCCAGCCCCGCCCCGCCGCCAAGACAAGAGCAATTGCCACATTTGGAAAGCGGGTTCTTTGCAACCGCCTCCTATTGGCCTGCCGAAATGGGCTCCAGCGCAGCACTTCAGCTCCGCTCGAATCGCCTGGGACTGCCAGGACTCGGCCTTACCTGCACACTCAGAGCGACGTTATCTCCGGTGGTGCGGAGCCGGGCTCTCCTAGATTCAACTCCATATTGCCAAGCAGCGATTCGTGACCGAAACCAGTCAAAAACATCACAACCACCACCGGTGGAGGACACAATCAGACCGTGTACCTACTACCTAGCCTTTGTTCGGGCCATTCGTCAGCCCGCTAGCCTTTAGCCTCCAGGCTAACAACTGAACCACGGCCTTAAGAATGAGTTTGTCATCGTTAACGCCATGTTTCGCAGGACGTGGCCGACGACTATCTCTGTCGGGCCAACCTCGAGCCCGTCGGGAAAGTCGTTGATGCCGTATAAACAAGCCCGCCTGCTTCTCTTGCATTTCTTGAATTCTTCTACTCATCATGCCTCAGCCATTGGACTTTCATCAACTTTTTTAGGACTCTTCTCCGTCTTCAGCGTATCTCACCAACACCAACCTACCCAAGCTCCGAAGGTACCAGCTATACCCGACCTTACTCGCACGATTCCTAGGTGATCCCTGGGCCCAGCACCACCAGCATGGCTGCTCCCAGTGCTCCGTCGTCCCTCTCCCTAGACATGGGACCAGCACCATCTTTTGCTCGCGTCTTCGTCAAATCCCAATTCTGCACCAAGACGAAGCGCGTCGCTCTATCCCCGGAAACCTCCCTCACCGGCAAGACGGTCCTCGTCACAGGTGCCAGCACAGGCTTGGGTTACCATGCCTGCCGCCATTTTCTCTCGTTAAACCTGTCGCGCTTGATCCTCGCCGTGCGGTCCGTGGCCAAGGGCGAGCGTGTGGCCCAAGAATTCCGTGCCAAGTACCCCAACGCCACCATCGAAGTATGGGAGCTGGAAATGAGCGACTACGACTCGGTCATCGGATTCTCGAAGCGCGTGGCGGCTGAGTTCGACAACAACAGCTCGGCCGTGGAAGCGGAACCGAAGGAGCACCAGCAGAGGAAGAAGGCGAGGCTTGACATTGCCGTCCTGAACGCCGGCATGACCGGGGCTACGTTTACCAGAGACAAGAAGACGGGCCACTGCGAGGTTGTGCAGGTGAACTACCTGTCCACAGTGCTCCTGTCGGTGCTGCTAATGCCCGTGATGCGGGATGAGGCGGGGGGAAACCCCGGCAGACTTTGCATCGTCGGCTCAGGCGCCTCCCACATGGCCAAGCTGCCCAACCGGCACAAGAGGCCGTTCCTCGCCTCGTTTGACGACCCCGCCGTGCAGCCGTGGGAGCCAGCCGAGCGCTACTTTGCTTCCAAGGCCCTTGGCATGTTATTCTTTGTGCGCCTGATCGATTACCTCCCATCGCCTGACGAGCTGGTGGTGAACTTGGTTGATCCAGGGTACTGCAAGGGGACCGACCTCCACCGGGACGCCAAGGGGCTGATGAGGATTATGTTGTCGGCGACGAAAGAGCTTACTGGTAGACCGCTGGAGGATGGGGCCTGGACCTACGTGGACGCTGCTGTGGTCAAAGGTAAGGAGTCTCATGGGTGCTTCGTGATGGACTGGGATATTCGCCCGTAAGTTTTCATTTTAACCCTCGTGGAATGTATTGACTGACATTTTTGCAGATTTATCAATGTTGTCTACGAGCCCGAAGGACAGGGACTGCTGGATGCTCTGTTTGAGGAGACGGTGGATGAGTTGAGTTTTGCCGGAGTGCGAAAGATCCTGCACGATATGAAGAGGAAGCGAACAGCTTGAGAGGTCACGGGTAGCACCCGAGGAGGCTGTTCTCTGCCCTTAATTTCCCTGCCGTTTGAACGGTGAATGTCTAGAAGTTGTCCACGATTCATTACCAGTTTGTCAGAAATAATAAGATAGCTACAGAGACGCGACACGTTGAACACCATGGAGAATTTGTGAACAAATTGTCCAGTTGCCCTTCACTTCGGCCTATAAGTAAACATCAATGCCCATCAACATACCAGCTTATTCTTCACGTTCAACACACTCACCGGACCATTTCTCAGCTACCTTACCTACATCACCAAAAGTGACAGCAACATAAACCAGACTTCAACTACCTTTTTTGTTCACAGTCAAAAATGTGCAGGTGGGCGCCAATAAAGTACAAGCACTGCGGATGTATCAGACCCAGGCGAGTTGTACCATGCTATGAGTTCAACGACACGGGGTATTGTCCCCTGAGCGATGGTACAATAATGGAGGCTCTCTTCACGCCGGCTGACACGAGTTGCGATACTTGCCGCAAGAAATCTTGCCGCTAACCCTGGAGCGGTGGATGACCAGCGGCTGCTGTGACCTGTCTCACGATACAACCTAGATAGAAAGTTGTTGGTGGAGCTCCTTAGAGCTCTTTGGGCCTTAGAGCTTCTTAGAGCTCCTTTGTCCTCTTTGACAGGGCAAACACTCTGGCTGTGGTTCTCACAACCACAGCCAGGCAAGCCTATATATACCTTAGGCTTGCCTTCCATCAGAGCCTCTCTGGCCAGCTCTTTTCTTCCCCATCATCATCATCAGATCATTCGAGCAGTAGCAACAGAGCTTGTTTTCACATAATAGTCGAGACTCGCCATGTTTGGTCCTGGCTTGAGCCTTGATAACTTGAAGTAACCTTCCATTTAACTTGAGCTATTGATATTTGTTCCAAACTCTCCGCGTCTATCAATGGCTGTCTTGATACTTATTATAGTCATCCTTGCCGTCCATTGTCACTGTACCATGATCTGTGAACATCTTGCAGTGATCTTGCCGTGGAAGAAAACCCCTTCTCATCCATGTCACTAGTAGTTGGATAAATCACTGTTACACCTGCTGAAATTGGCCACAGCCCAGACCCGAGACACCCAAAGTGCAAGTAGACATTACCCCATGTTCTTGTTCAAGGCACACAGTACGTTAATTTCCTTGTGTCGTAATTGTCCCAACACCCCTTTCATATCGCACCCCTGCCCTTATTTCATTTCCCTCTTTGCTTCGCTCTAGCCTTGCGGCTCCTGCCCATGGTGCTTGACGGCTCAGGGAGTGGTGGGAGGGCGGGCCCCGAACCGGCTCGGGACAGGGAAGGGGTTTGGGTAGTGCTCGGGGCTTGGCAAAGTGCCGCCGCACCGGCCCAAGACGGATCCGCACGGGGTATTTGCTGTATTATTGAGGTAACGATTGGTGTCATCAATGACGGAGCTGGTATGGCGGGAGATCGACGCGGATGATCCGATATGGAACCTGGGCCAGGGCGAAGGGTTATCCGCCGGACTCAGCGGGAGCAAATGAGAATATGGGGAGCTCAGGCTTCGTGTTTCGTCACTTTCGTTGAGTTCAACAGATGGACAATCGGGTAGTTCATTGATCATTCCGGCAGACAAGGCAGCAAAACTTGGATCAGCAGGGTGCACTTGGGCCTGGTGCGAATGGCAACCCAACTCTTGTATGTACATACAATACAGACATCCAAGGACCAAGACACCGACGTCAATCACGGTTCCTACCCACTTCTGTAGCTGCACCCTCGAGGCACTGCATTCACTCTGTTCCGTTTTCGATCGGAAGTTCCAAATGATGACGTTTGACGGAATCCAAGGATCGAAAATGGGGATCGCGTAATGCTGCGGCATTGTTAAGCGAACAAACGAATGCGTCACCACTCGCTCATGACTTCAGCACCTACAGCCTACAGGAACTTGGAGGCAAATAACGATGAGGCCCCGCTATGCCATCATGATCTCGAGGCTTGAAGACGTATATAAGATGCATGCCCTCACGGATTTCCTACCCCAATTCGGCCTACTTTCATCATCACACACCTGAAATGACCATCGTTCAAAAAACCGCACGTCTCACACGAACAATCGCACAAAGAAATACTCGTTTCGTACCATCAACCATCAGAATGCAATCTACCAACGAATACGGACAGGGCAAGTCCCACGCCAGCGGCGAATCCAAGGTTCCTGGCAAAGTCCAGGAAGCCGCTCCTAGGGGACTAGAGGAAGCGCTTCCCGACAAGGTACATATATTTCCTCAGTTTCGCCAACAGTTTTTCCTTCAGCACGGGTCGCTGACAAGTTAATGCAGCTTCACCCGACCGGCAAGGAGCCCGGCCAGAGCACGAACAAGTCGCACGCCGTCGATCCCGACGCCTCCATTGTGCCGAAGAAGCTCCAGGAGAAGCTCCCCGAGTCGGTGGAACGAGCTGTCCCCAACATCATTCACGACACTGGCCCCAAGAAATAGACATGAGGAACGAAATGTGTCGATACGCGTCTCGAGGATGTGATATCACTGTATTATAGACATTGTTGAGTATCATGAGTGAATGGCAGAGGAAACCAATCATTAGTTTGGGTCATGTGCGACCCCGCGTCGATTATAGAGAACGATTGCTTTCTCATCATCAAATGGTTGGCTTTATTCCGGTCACTCCTTCCTCACGCCTTAGTCATCATTGATATAATCGGAGTGAATATTCTTTGCAACCCAGCAGCATTATAAAGTACCTCACTTCTCTGCATCGGGCCCTTCGTAACACGGGAGCAATGGAAGAGGATTTTAGTCAGATGAACTATTGGATTGCTATTAGTTGACATGTAGCGGTATTATAGGTAATGTGGTACGGATATATACACTTCATTTGGAAAGACTGACCGCTACTAAGCAAATCCCGAGGCAACAACCCAGCTCACGTCGTCATTGAACGAAGCCGCAGCATCAAACATGTGCACGCCACCGTTGCCCGCAACATAAGCCACATTGGCATAGTGCCTGACATAACGTGTGGGGTAGTTCCAGGACCGAATTGAACTGTCCGCACTCAAACCGTTGAGCGCCGTCTGCGGGCAGAAGGTGGCGTCTTCGGCAAACTGCTTGGTGCCGTCGTTGGTGCCCAGCCGGAGCGCAAAGTCGTAGTGGCGCATGTAGCTGCCCGGCGTGTCCCTCGACTCGAACGAAAAGCAGCCGCTGTTACCACCCCCGAGCCCCGTGCGGACGATCCACGTGGCCTGCTGCTTGAGGGTGCTGCTGCTCGAGGCCGAGACAGCTTGGGTGATGATGGCGGAGGAGCTGTTGTGTGCGAGGTACCGGTCTGTGTAGCTGGAGGTTGTCACGCGCAGCGAGACGGAGGACCCGACGGTGAGGGACGGACCGCTGGTCAGCGAGGTGGTGGCGTACTTGGCAGCGACAATGTTGGCCTGCACGGCGTTTTCGGTGGCGTCTGAGGGGTACCCCGAGGTCATGGCGCCCTCGTAGAAGGTGCCCTGGGCGCTGATGCTGTTGTCGCCACCAATTCCGAGGATGATGGCGCCCTCCTTGCTCATGGGATTGTAACCGCTGGCGCTGGGACGTACGCCGCTGTAGAAGGTCGACAGCGAGCCAGACGCGGCGTTGGCACCGCGGATGGCCCACTGGTTTGGCCTCCCCTTGACGACGGCCGTGGTGAAGCGGTACGAGATGGGAGGGTCGTTGGTGTTCTTGCCGGAGCTGAGGCCAGAGAACAGCCCGTTCTCGAGATCGGCCATGATCCATGGACCACTGCCGGCGCCAGAGCCCCACGAGGTGCAGTCGCCAAAGTAAATGGCCTCCATGTGGCCGTTGCCCGTGTCGAGGCTGCTGGTTTCGGCATTACCGTAATCGAAGCAGCAGTACTGGTTGTAGTGGGTCCCGTCGAGCACCGCGTACATGCCCTCGGGCTCATCGCCCTTGGCTGTGCCGCTGGCAGCATTGTTGCGGTAGCCGGTGCCGGGGGAAACGAAGACGCCATAGGCCTTTTGGCCATTTAGTGTAACGGGTGCGCCAATGGCGCTGGCCAGATTGTCGTATCCGTTCGCCTCCGGGCCTTTGAAGCCGCCAGGGGGCGCCTGTGTGAGGTGGTTTCCCCGGCCCGACTGGTCATAAATAATGGTGATGAGGCAGGTAGTGTTGTTGCAGAACGAGTCCTGGGCGGCCGCATTGGCCACCCCGCCAGCCGAGAGAGGCTTGATGTCGGTTTTGGCCTTGTCAGAGCCACGCTGAACCTGGTAGAGGGCCCCGTTATAGGAGCTGTACAGGGCGCGGGTAGTGCTATGGGCAGCAATGCAAGGGGTACCCCCAGAAGCGTATATGTCGCAGGGGCCCGCGGCGACGAGGACGCCGGTAGCAACTAGACCAAGAGCAAGCACCCGTGAGCACATCTCGAACGACTTCGACTCTGGGCTCTCTGCGGGACGTTGTGGTAAGTGGACTACAAGAGAGTAGAGATGCCCCCTATTACGAATGTCGGTTCTTGGCAGAGCCATTGTTTATACCAGAATCTTGGTATTGCACAAGATTCTCCTTTAGAAGCAGCGCCAAGACTGCTGGTTGGAGGAAATTTGATTCCGCTTCAGTCGTCGAGATGTCGTCGCACACAACATGTATGTGTGCATGGCACCTTGAACCGCGCCATTGTAACCCGACCCCGATCAACACTTCACCTCGGCCTCCACGTTTACCCCAGTCTTTCGCTACCCGGTGCCTGGGCACAAACCACAAAACTTTGACATAAGGTAGCATCGTCATGTCGGCAACCGTTGCTGGACGGGGTCTTATGATCGGTGTGTTCGGAGGAACTAACATCTTTTGGGTCAGCTGTGTCCGGGCGTCGTCAGTCCCCAGTCTCCAATTCACGGCGGGATGGAGACGAGCCATGGGACTCTCAGTTATTTGTTGGAGTCTAAACCCGGATATAACTTCTCAGGGCATATATGCAACAGTGTTTGCGGTAGCCGAGTAGATATGAACCTATATGCTTACAACCGCGCCAATCATATTTCTGTTCCATTGCTGTTCTCTGCTTTGACTCGGACTCGTTGTTCCGACTCCCGAGTCCTGACGGAAGCGGGTACATACAAACAGGAAGCATATAGTAGAATTGAAGTAGCAATAGGCCATGTTACTATATAGTTAGTTGTGAGATTGTACTTGCAGCATGAGTGCCGGGTTGAAAACTTGAAGAGATCGGAGCATACATGAAGGTTACCCTGGGTTGAAGACAGGTACTACCTACCGACTAGTATGTTGGAAAATGTCGGAGCACTTGCAGCCTTCTTTGCGTCCAGGTCCAGACCGAGTTTCGAAGTATTACATATATGCAATACATGTACATCGATGTAGGGCATCTAACTGCAAAGAGTTTGGCTGGACCTCCCGGCCAAGTTGTAGTTCCTGGACTCACCTTATGCCTGCATCTTCTCGGCCCTCCCGTGCCATTTTTCCCCTTTCTTCCTCAAGCTAACACTACTTATAGCTCCTTGGGAGCTTTCCCCATCGGCATGTCTTCTGATGACGACGCGATCTCGCTGTTAGTGAGGATGGACAGCAGGCTTCACCTTACGGTAAAACCTGAACACAGCCATCCCAACAAGCTCATAAATCATATACCCCATTATGGGCCGGTCATGGCGCCGGATCAAGTCCTGGCATTCAGTCTACTCCACTTACCACACTGTTCTCGCTTTAGTCTGCCAGTGTTTGTTGTCGAAGTTCTGACCTTGCCCTTGAACAAAACTTACACAAGTACGGTACCTTAGGTACTAGTAGTGGGTCTTTCGATATCGTCCATCTGACGCTTTTAAGTTCTAAGACTAAGAGACTAAGATTCATGAATCTCAGCAGAAGCGTACTACCATCCTTCCCTTGCACTTGAACACTGCCGAGTGCGGGCAAGCCGGCAAGTTGACAACTTCAACTTTGTACTCGGTCATATGGTGTCTCCCGTACCCTGAGAAGCCCTGTGCTACCTGCCTGAGTCGTCATCATCATCAGAGAACCGTGTCAGAAAAACAGCCTGAGTTTTGCTGTCTCAGGAAGGTGCTGCCTGATCATGTATAGCTGAGTCCAACCCCTGTTGGTTTGTTGGTCATCAACCACACCCCGAGCCTCCAGAAGATAACATAACCCTTCAAATGTCAGCGTGTGAATTCCGCCGTCCAACAGTCTTGTTGAAAGTTCCGATTGGGCGACTACGGCCTCCTCCAAATGGGATCCGAATCCTAGCACGGCTAGACATGCTTTTGTTGAAGTCCGTTCTCATATCGGTACAGAATTTTGGATGAGGTGCAGCCAACGGCCCAACAACATGTCAGCGTCAGCAGAGTCATGCAACATGACATGGAAGGTACCTACTCACTATTCGTCAGCCAAGCTGATGCTGTTCATACCCCGCGGTTCAGTGTAGGTAATGACCAGTTAAACTGGGAGATTATAACATGGGATAGGGGTTGAAAAGAGGAGCATGTTTCCGGCCTGATCTTCCTGATCTTCCAGTTCCAACTCCCACCATCCGCTCGCCAACCCACATCGTTCCAAAATCCTCCTCCTGGCGCTTATCATCACTTGTGGTGTTATCTCCAGATATACTGGCCCAATGCAGCTTACCATGGCTCAAAAAGCGTCGCAAAATGCCATCGCCCGGCTGAAAGCTGCCTTCCCCGGCCGTGTCACTACTCCGGACATGGGCGATGCCTTTCAGGCCGAGGTCTCTGTTGCGTGGTCCCAGACTTGCTGGACGCGCGCAGCGGCCTATGTCCGACTGCAGACTGCCGCCGAGGTAGCCAACGCGCTGGGCATTGTCAAGGAGACGGGGACCAAGTTCGCGCTGCGTAGCACGGGGCACAACCCCAACGCAGGCTTCAGCAGCGCTGGCGACACGGGTGTCGTGCTCGACCTCCGCAACTTGGCCTCGAGAGAGCTAGACGCAGAGGGTATTGCCAAGGTCGGCGCTGGCAACACCTTTGGCGAGGTGTACGCCTGGCTGGCCGAGCACGATCGTTCGGCCATCGGCGGGCGAGATGAGCAGGTCGGCGTCGCGGGCTTCCTGCTGGGGGGTGGCATGGGAGCTTTCCCAAACCTGTACGGGTTTGGGGCGGACGGCATCAAGAGTGCTGAGGTATGTCTTCTTCCGCTCCGTAGCGGTGATATTTCTTGTACGTGTCAAAGTTTCTCAAATTGAGATCAACAGGTAGTTCTGGCAGATGGCCGCATCGTAAACGCCAACGCGCAAGAGAATCAAGACCTCTACCGTGCTCTCAAGGGTGGGGGTTCGAACTTTGGTACGTTGATACTTGACGGATATGCCCACTCTCGGTCGGTGGGCTACTGGGGACCGAAGATGGCTGAAGACATGGCCCTAATGGTGATACAGGTGTCGTCACGAGGTTCGATCTGTACACGTACCCGTTGCTCAAAATCCAATACACCATCAACCTCTATAATCCGCAGGACTACGTGGCCATCATTGATGCCACGGTCAAAGTGCAGGAAGCCATGGAAAAGGATACCAAGATTGGCTCCTTCACCAACTTCAACGCCCAGTTCGTTGCCGTCGGGTTGCTGCACGCAGGCACTTCCTCCGAACGGCTCGACGCGTTTCAGCCGTTCTGGGACCTAAACAGCCTGATTACCACTGCCTGTCCTACGACGGAGGGCACTCTGCTTTCGCTCGCCCAGACGGTGTCCACGCGGCACCAGCAAAATGACGGGAAGTGAGTTCCGATTCGGGCGCCTTTGATCTGCTGTCACGATGATATTTTCCTTCAGTCAGGTTTTACTGACAATGCCGACTTCAGGCGCCGTATCTACTCCGTCACCACACGGGTATCGCGAGAGTTATACGGGGGCATATACCGACTCTACCGGGAAGCCGTGAAAGAACTCCCCGAAGGTTATGTCCTTCACTTCACGGCCCAGCCTGTGGGCACGGCTGCCGTGCAAGCTGGCGAGGACCGAGGCGGCAACTCGCTGGGCCTCGAGAAAACTCCGCAATGCTGTGCGTCATGGGTCTTTACCTTGCATACCAATTAGCACTTGATCTTTCTGAACCTAGTTAAACTAGACTAACCCATCGTGCAACACCAGGGTGGGTTTTTACCTGCGAGTGGGCGAGGAAGGACGACGACGCGCCCGCTGAGAAGGCCCTTGGCTTCCTCGAGGAGAAGGTGGAGGCGCTTGCGCGGGGGAAGGGCCTGCTGCTCGCCTACAAAAGCGCCAACTTTGCCACGGGTCACCAGAAGGTTCTGCACAGCTACGGGGCTGAGAATCTGAGCAGGCTGAAGGAGACGGCCGCAAAGTACGACCCAGAGGGCTTTTTCCAGAAGTTGCAGTATGGAGGGTTCCTGCTGCGCGACAATGCTTGACGAAGGGTGACGGGATGGTGGGCAAGTTCCGAGGTTGGCGAGGTTGGCAAGTTGTATGCAAAGAAAAAGTGTGTCGCCTCGCATACCTTACGTTCATGAATCCTCATGGTGGCCTCAATGCCAAATGCCGATCTTCCAGTTCCATATGTACCTAATCCCATTCCACCAATTGTGAAATCGAAAGCCGAAAGCGAAGTTGCTATGATGTGGAAATGAAATTGAAATTTTCTGAAATCCAGCCTTTCTTGTGAAATTTGAATTTCACGCCGGCCACTGAATTTCAAAGATTTCAGCAGGGAGGTTTGTTATGTAAGATAGGGCACGCCTAAGGCTGGGCCTGACCTGGCCTGGCTGCGTGGTTAGGGTTGGAGAACTGTGTTGGTAACCCTAACCCGACAACCTATATCGGATTAATATGAAATGTTGAAATTCAATTAAATTTCAAGGCCATCTGTGAAATGAAATTCGAGGCCCTCCTTGAAATTTCCACACCCTAAAGCGAACCCTCCACGCCGTCTCCACCTTCCATTTCAGAAAGAAATGACGACGCTGATTGGTTCGGTGCACGGGGCAATGAGGCGGACCGACCGACAGTCCGTTAAAACGACCGTTGTTTGCTAAGGTACTTATTTATCGAATGCATAGAAGGCTAGAACGACCTGTCTCCGTCCTGTACAGTACATACAATACAGTACCTATCGATGGTGTTAAGCGGGACTCTAGCTACACTTGCTCTAATTTTGGAGAAGCACACCAAAGAATGGATGTATTATTGCACATAAGCGGTTGGAGTGTTGAAGGAATGCTGAGAAAGTTGAAGCGCAAAGTCCCAGTGTCGGAGGGGACGGAGGAAGGTATGTACATACCTACCAGGTAAAGAGCTTCAGCGTACGGTAGGTACTGTATCAGTACCTTATGTAGTGGAATTGGCAGGGGCTACGAAGTAGGGGCGTGTGGCTTCGCCGGCTGAGGTACGGATTACGGTAAGCAGTGTGGGCCTGGCTAAGGGTTCCTGAGTTCCTCCTTCCCACTTAACAAGTTTTCAACGGGCAAACACATGACGGGGGGCTGTCCTTAGCTTGCAGGGGGCTATCGGTAAACCTCGGGGGCCCAAACAGGGGTATTAACCCCCCACAGCTGTTTTTGGCGACAGGGATAAAGTACATTATATACAAAGCACTTGCAACCCACTAATTCCTATAATAAATTCCTTTATTATAGGACATAATTCTTTAAAGGTATAATATATACCTAGTATATACTAGGCATATATATAAAGTAAAGTGAATGGAACTAAGTAGCTTACTATCCATGCCTAGTATATACTAGGCATATACTGTTAGGTACTTAGAATCCAAATATATACTAGGCATATACTATATATATATATAGTAAGATACTTAGCTTCATTCACTCCACCTAAGGTATATGCTCAATATATGCCTTCTAATATTCAAGAATTGTAAACTCAAAGACTAGGAAAGCGTTGCTTAGGCTGTGCATGCGATGTGCATATGCTGTCCTTTGGCTGCAATGAAAAATCGTTGGAAAGGTCGGAAGTACTATACTTTATCCCTGTCGCCAAAAACAGCTGGGCGGGGGTTAATACCCCTGAATGGGCCCCTGAGGTTTACTTATAGCCCCCCGCAAGCTAAGGACAACCTCCCGCCAGCTGCAACCTGGTTTTCAACAAGTTTAGGCACCAGTGCAGTGGGTCCCAAATGGGCGATTGGACTCAACCCCAGCGATTGATTTGATAGATCAATTGAAGTGGGAAGATAATTATTGTAAAATAAGCCCAAAACCGTGTTTTCTTTTCTGTGACCTCTCTAAACCCCGATCAATACTACCTTACTTGAGATCATCAATAACAATCCCGCCATCCTCTCCTGCTACATAGTGACTATGATTGCTAGGGGCAGACTGTGACTGTGCGACTGCCAGTTGGCCGAAGCCCTGATCGATCGAATCGGCCACTTGTCCTCCTCGTCCCCCCTCGAAGGTATACAACAAACAGCCAACCTGGCACGAGCCACCGACACCGCCGTTATTGCCTGTGGACAAGAAGCGTCAGCCGTCGGTCCTCTTGTCCCCTTTTTCTCGATTTCTCGCAGCAACACATGGAAGATTTGGATGAAGACAAAGACTCAGAGAGACTGAGAGGGAGACAACTCACACTTGGTATAATCCTCTCGTACAAGCAAGTACGCCGTGATCAGGCTCTGCGACATGCCCAACGGGAAACGGAAGTCCTGTCTCTCGACCGTCGTGACACACCCGGCAACCCACTCGACGCGATAGTCGTAAAAGACGCCGTGGCTGTCTTTAACGCGGTACGGGAATGACCCGTCATCCGGCCCGATGGTGTCGATGTTGAGGGCGCTGAAGTCCCTCGAGAATGCGTCCTGGTCGTCGGGCTGGATGTCGGCGTGGCCCGGGAAGTCGGCCTCGTTGAAGCATTTGATGGGACCTCGCGTTAGCGGCGTGATGGGGGTGGGAGTCGGAGACGGATTGGGAGGCGGGGTGGGAGACGGGGTGGCGGTGGACGTAGTGGGCATGAAGCGCCCCAGGTCCCAGCTAGCCTCGTCAAGAAGGAACTGCGAGGCTATTGAGCTGATGACGCTGTCGGGCTGGCGGCCCATCTCACCACAGGTTGCGGTAACGGTGGCCGTCGGATATTCACGTGGCGTCTCTGTCAGGGTCGAAGTGGCCGTCCTGTCGTTGGCATCGCACGCCATGTATTGCTTGCATTGTGTCTGTTGTTACCATTCCAAGGTGGTCTGAGTCAGCGGCTACTTGCTCTCAAAACGGAATGGCGACCTCCAGGCTCCAGAAGCCCGACAAGTTCAGCCACTTACCCTTGTGGTGGTACTGTATCGGCCGGGAGAGGCTGTCAAAGTGCTGCTCACCCACAGGGTGCAATCGTCCGCCGTCTCTGGCTCACAGTCGCCTTCATTCTCAGTTCCGCAGCCTCCACCCCTGCATCCAATGCCGCCGCATTTGTTGAGAGGGCACTGACCTAGAAAGAACTCGTCAGTCTGAAAAATTTTGAACTCTTTCGTTCGAGCACCGAGGACTCGGACTCGAGGAGCAACACTCACTTCCTGGAGGGCATCCAATACCGGGAAGACAGCCGGTGCCGCACCCGGCCAAGCCGCAACCTCCGCCACAGCCGAGGATGCCACATCCGCCACCGCAGCCAAAAATTCCACAGCCATGGTCGTCGTCGTCATTGTTATCGTCATCGTCATCGTCATCGTCATCGTTGTCATCGTCGTCGTCGTCGTCGTCGTCGCCGCAGCCAAACTGGCGGCAGTCATACTCGCCGCACCCAGACTGGCAGGTCGACTTCGGTTCAGAGCTGGTATAAGTGAGCGTTGGCTGCTTGGACAGTGAGACGGAAACGGTCGGCTGAGGTTGGATTGTCACGGGGTGCGGGGTCGGGAAAAAGACGATGGGGAAGATGGTGGTGCTGGTGGTGGTGGTTGAGGGAACCGGCGTGCCCCCTGAGTACCTCGGGAATGGTGTAGGAGGTGCAGTTTCGACGTAGGGGGGTAGAGTTAACTGGCTAGGACGAGGCTTCACGCTCTGCACCGGCTTGAACAGAGCTGAAGTCGGATCCCCGACGCGGACCGTCACCGGCCACCAGGCAATGGCGTCCGTCGTGACGGGGGGGATGTAGATGATGGTCGTGATGGTCTGGATGCCGCCACCAGGTGCTGAGGACAGCAATGTTGTGGTCAACGGCGGCCATGTTATGGTTGTCGTAGAGCCGATGGGCGAAGGAGGGAGCACAAGGGTGCAAGGTGGAATGCACGAGGCTGTGCCGCCCCCGCCATTCCAGATGTCGGGGGGGACGTAGATGACCCTCTGGCCGCCACCACCACCACCACCACCTCCTCCTCCTCCGCCTCCGCCTCCGCTACCGCCATCACCGCCGCCGCTACCACCTCCTCCACCGCCTCCTCCTCCACCTCCACCACCACCACCACTTCCACCGTCACCACCTCCATCACCACCTCCGCCGCCTCCACCTCCGCCACAACTGCCGATGAGTTCAGGAAGGCCCGGATCCGCGACGGGACCGTCATCGCCACCGGGAGGGCAGCTGTTGAACCAAGTCCAGCCCTGGCCGGTCTTGGGATTGACCTCTGTCATGTCGGCGCGGCCCTGGCCGCCGAGGTTGGGGAAATGCAGGTTGGGTCCCGACGAGGAGCCCTGGTACTTCTTGCCCTGGGGATCCCACCAGAAGGAGCTACCCGAGATCTGGCGCTCGCCCATGTTGTACCATACGTCCGTGTCGCCGTTGAACTTGTCGATCCACATAAAGTCGGGCTTGCCGTCGCCGTTGACGTCAGCCCAGCGGTGGTTGGCGCGGTCCTTGTCGACGCTGAACTTGATCTGGTTCATCCACTGCAGTCCGCCCGGCTTGTTGAGCCACCCCGTCACGCGGCCGTTGGGCTCCAGGCACATGTAGTCGGCCCGCTTGTCCCCGTCAATGTCGGCAAACCGGATCCCGAGATCAAATTCGCCTACCCCCCAGCCCTGGGTGCAGCCCGACGACACGACCCGCGTCCGCGGACCGAAGGTGTACGAGTCGGACGCCAGGTCGTAGTGCGTCTGGATGACATCGAGCGCGCCCGTCGCCTTGTCGGTGATGATGACGTCGCAGAATCCGTCGCCGTTCCAGTCGCCGAGGTGGATGGCCTTGCGGTTGACGCCTCCGAGGTCCAGGACGACCCCCCTGTCGTACCAGCCGGCGTAGTCGGTGTTGGGCGGCTTGTTGACGTTTTGGAAAATGGTGATTTTGCTGTTGTGGTCGATAAAGACGTAGTCGTCGTTGCCCGACCCGTTCATGTCGCACCAGCGGACACCGTCGCCTTGGGTTCATTGCCAAGTGTGTCAGCCCGCTGCTGGCTTGATACATGGAGATTGGAGGGTTGAAGAGCCGTCTTGAACAACATGAACTCACCCTTTTGATGCGCGCCTCCACCCCCAGTGTTTTTCCAGGCCCGCACTTCATAGTCACAGCGCCCGTCCTTCAGCGTCATGCACTTGATGTAAACGTACTGGGACCAAGACCATTAGCGCAAGGCTACTGAGTCAATACAAGGTTGTGGCATCAGGAACGGCACTTACATCATGCCTGCCAGTGTCATAGAGCCTCGCGAACCGAATCTGGGAGCGAGCTCCTGCCTCGCCCATCCCGGCATGCGTGACGCCGACAGAGTCCCAATAGGGGATGAGTCCCTTGCCCTGGCCACGCTGGTTTATGTATGTTGTGACCTTGCCTGTGTCGTCCAGCCAGAGCCAGTCGGCACGGAAGCTGTGATGGCAGCCGAGTCAGTAACGAGAACTTGAACCTGAACTCATGAATGATTGGGGGAACTGCCACTTACTCTCCGTTGATGTCAACCAAATGGACGCCGTCGATATTCCCCATACCCTTGCCGGTAAAGACAGGCTTGCCCTCGCCAAAGTCCTGCCAGTAAGCAGCCATCTCGCCCACGCCGCCGTTGCGCCAGCAGTAGATGTCTCCGTTGCCGGCCACCACGCAGTAGTCCAACCGCCCGTCGCCGTCGATGTCTCCGAGGCGGACGTTTGTTTGGGAATAGGGGCCGCTGGGCACGGATTTGTAGAGGCCAACCTCTCTGAACTTGGGAGGGCTACCGCCGTCGTTGATGGATACGTACCTGTTGCGCAGGGGAGACTAGTGGTTAGCAGATAAAGACTCGAAACTATCATGATTGCGACATACATGTTCCCTTCGGGCCCGATGCAGATAAAGTCGTCTAGTCCATCGTTGTTCTTTTAGACAAAAGGTTAGTGCTCTTGAGGCGACGAATAGGGGTTAGGCGGGGGGAAGTAAACATGAAGTCTAGCATGTAGAGATTTCTCACCACATCCCCCCAGCGGATGCCTTTTTGCTTACAACCCTTGAGGGTAGGGATGAGCGTCTTCTCACCAAAGGCGCCGCCGCCCAGGTTCTCGCGGTAGTAGATGGCGTCGGGGCCCTGGCTAAAGACCCAGTCGTCGCGCTCGCCGCCGCGGTCGGCGCCGTACTTGTTGTAGAGCTGGGCAAACCACACCGTGTCGTTCCCCGCGTACCAGCCCGAGTGGATCTTGCCCATGGACTGCGAGCTGTGCTTGTACTGCCCGTCATCAATGATGCGGGGAGACAGTGCCTTGAGCACTTGGGTCCGCCCGCGCGGGTCCGCATTGCCGCTGCCGTACTGCTTGTCGCATGTCGTTGAGCCCCCCCCGGCGTCCGTGAAGGCCACATCGTTGCTGGGAGCCGAGAGAAAGCCTCGGCTCTCGGCCTGTTGGATGGCCTGGTGCCACTTGGCAGCCATCTTTTTGTAGCCATAGTCATTGGGATGCTGGGAGAAGGAAAAAAAGGGGTTAGTCACTGATGCTTGCAGAAAAGGGGTCGGGATGCTTAAGGTAGGGTATTGTACCGTTGTGTCGGCCAAATCACCCGTCGTCATGCAGCCGTCGCCAAAGTCGACCAGGACAAGACGTCTACCCTGGCCTTGGTACTCCGAGGCCAGCGCACGGTACTGGTCGTTGATCAAGGCGACGTTGCCCGGGTTCGCAGTGTTGGGGATGAGGGTGGACAGCACGACGCACACGTCGGGCACCGTGGCAAAGATGAAGTCAATCATGCCTCGCATACGGTTCTTGGTCGTCGACACGTAGTAGTCCTGCGTCGCGTCGTTGGTTCCCGCGTTGATGAGGACCACGTTGGGCTTGTACAGCGGCACGACAGTGCGTGCCCTGACATCGACCTGGTCAACGCGATATCCTGGCCAACCCTCAACGTCCTGTACATTGTAGAAACTGTATTAGCCGCTTGACCCTAAGCGTTGGGCGTGAACATGAAGAACGAGACACATCACACACCCTGTCGTTCATGGTGCCGCCGGCACGACTGCCAACCATGTTGACGTTCCAGCCATCGAACCGCAGCTGGTCGCGGAGAGCCTTGCGGTATCCGTTGCCATCTGAAGACGCCTGGCCCCATGTAATGGAGGCTCCAAGCGGGAGGATACGCAGGTAGAAGGTGCCGGCGCGTGCAGACAAGGAATGTGAGGAGGTGAAGTTTTGAGGGGGTGATTCAAGTTCAAGTTGTAGATGAGCAGAAGCGGCGGTAGTGCAATATGAGAGGACAAGGAGGAACCAAGCTGTCATCCACCAACGCGGGCGGGACGACGAGGCCACCCCTCCTGTCCTGAAGACCGCCATGTCGTGCGGTGAGGGTTGAGTCTCGCAAGATAGGGGAACGAGAATACTCTCTCCCCTCTTGACTCTTGATTGAGTCACAACGCGGGAGGCAGACACGAGGTCAACCATCAACGTACCATACCTGCCGTTCTACATCCCTTATATTCGCCAGCACCGTATCCATGACCCCTTCCCGCGAGCGAGTTGGGTCCGCTCAGACATGCAACTTCGTCTGTCCGCTAAGATTGCTACTGAGTGGACACCAGGCTACCTTGAACTGGCCGCCTCAATTTAGATAGTTACTTGTACAGTACTTGTACCTGGCAGGCATCGTTCTACTGTTGCTACTAGGATTCCTGTACAGCTCCTTCGTGAAGGATTGATAGCTTCATCCATCGTGATACTCTACCGCTGATAGCCTCCACTGACACAAGGTATCGTCCTCGACGACAATGCCGCGACGGGTGAAGGACGACCGAGTATCCGCTGTTTAGGTGTTGGTCGTTGGTCCCCTAATCCGGCCGTCCAGGTCCCAGGGGCACTTCGAAAACTTCAACCGCGTGTTGCTGGGATCCGCAATCCTGGAGGAGGTCCATGTAACCGTGTAAGTGGACGATGGAATAACGGCACTAGCAGGACCTTATATTATCTCGCCAACTTACTCCTTCTCGGACATACAGCCTATAAGGTGGTATGTATGTATACCTGCTTAGGTACGGATATACAACCAAGGCCTTTCATCGTCTGGGGCCCATGGCACCGACAGTGTGGCACAGCCGGCATGACCGGATGATCCTGTACTGTACTGTACCAGTGTACCTTGTGTAAGTATTGTACTATACAGTACTGTACATACAATATGCAGATACATTGCAGTACAATACAATACCAATTGTACAGTACGTACATACACCAGTGCATTCCGCCAAAAGGCCGACGGACTAATCACGGGCTGAACGACATATGTAGGAGACTGAGAGCCAACCGTTGGAGCGGCCCGTAAATAGAGGTCACATGGGGCGAGAACTCCCCAGCAATATCAGCAGTTTAGGTCTAGTCCGGAGGAAAGTGGGCTGAAGGAGCGGAGGCAAACTGAGGCCTATGTACTGTATGTACCTATGTAGTGGAGATCTTTCAGTTGAAACTTGAAAGCTGCCTAAACCCTCGCTGTATCCCCGCCCGAGAGACGCCATGTATACGGTACGTATCGACATAATGCAACCCTCCGGGTCCCGAAATGAGCAAAAAGCACGTGGGATCCTTTGGAATACAACTCGTTTGAATGCAGTGTCACCGTTCCAGTTAGGTACCCTAGCCAGGTACGGATGCTGGAATCCCGGAACCCCGGAACACTGGAACCCGGTAAGTGATCCGTTCCCGGACCGACCTACCGGGCACCTCGGGCCCCGGCAAGCGGCGCGCAGCGCTGTTGGTGATGGAACAAGAACCTAACTGAGTAAGGTAGGTAGGTAGGTATGCGAGCAGTTCAACGCGATATGTCCACGGACCACGGGTAGGTACTAGTAAGGATCCATGACTTCAAAAGCTACTTAGTAATAGATTGTAACAGAATAATACAAATGCTATTCGAAATTGGGAGTCTGGGACATTGAACGCAAAAGCTATTTATCTTAACTAATGGCTGTAACGCATGCTATCAGAGGAGTGGTTCGCAGGTTGGTCTAACTCGAGTTTATATGTACTAGTAGTCACGATTGCCGCATAAGGTATTGTACAGTACAAGTACCTATCTACATAAGGCACCCGCTTATAGCAAACCCCTATTGTTCCTAGCTGAGAAGCATGATACTGGACCGACCAGAACATGTGAGTCTGTCCTCTACAAGGCTCCAGTTAGGTATCTTCGCGGCTACCTACCTCTCTAGCCAAGGCAGAAAATGACCATTGACCACCGAGCAGTGCCCACTATGGTCCCAAGGTGTCACGGGTAGAATCCCAGAGTTCGCGAAACTCCAGTCGACCAGTCATTGTTGTCGGCGTAGATGGCTAATGATCAATCAATTGGGTGTTGTGCACAGTCAGCTCGGTTCAAAGGCCGATTTCAGCACGGACATCAGGATGGAAACTGGAGAGGGAGATTTACCCATGGCGAAGAGCGCGAAGGAGTCTTGGAAATTTGCAATTAGATGAGCAGAAGGCGTGAGCATTGGGGTAAAAACTCACCAGCATTGTTCACGCTTTTCTCGGGACTTTCCCGAGCAAGTTGACGGATGCACCGCCACCCGTACACTTCAGCCCCGTTATCGAGGCACTCATCGTCTGTCGACGAGTTCAATGTTAGTGGCGACTCCCAAAGTTCCAATCCGCCCTCGGAGTCTCGGACATGCAGTTCGCGGAACAAAATACCACGTACCGAGCCCAATGCCCATTACGGGTTCCAAATGAGTAAACTCGTGAAGAATAGTGTGTGGCATGTAGTTCGAGAGAGTGTTAAGCTGGACGGCATTGGAGGGTTGTCGAATGCCATTTGGCCCGTGATATTGCCCAATCGTGTCTCCCCCCTGGTACGACCCGTACCAGCGGATCATTCCCTGCCGGCAGAGCACTAAGGTCGCCGCATCATCGGGCACATCAAAAGGCGGATGATAGCTGTACGCTAGGGTGCGTGCGTCGTCTCGGCATCTAGGAATGTTTACCCAGGCCCCAATTTGATTGTTTGGGGTCCAGTAGCGGCCGTCGAACCAGTGCCTGTTACTTGGGCCTGTTTGTTCGGGGTTAGACGTGATAGGTAGGTAGGGCAGGCACTTTGTTCAAGTTCAAGTTGGTTGGATCATTTTGCCCACACGAAGCCAGCACATAAAGCAACTCACGTGGAGAACCAGCGGGGTCCGTATTTGCCCACCACCCGTCGTCGCAATAGCTAGATCATAGATGTTTTGGTCAGTTCAGGAACTTGAAATGATTCAAGGTAAGATAGGGCGGGAGAGCAGGAGCTCCGAGCTCCGAAAGGCTCCGATGTAGTACCTACACATTGATGTTCACACTATCAGGGTCAGTCAGAGCGTCTCGGATGTTCTGCGCAGTCGCTAATCAATATCCTTGATTAGCTTTCTTCTTGCTCGGGAATGCTGTGGACCGGTGGCATACCGAGAACGGTCATCACTCTCTCGAGGCCATCCTCGTTCTTGTCTTTGGCATCCTGAGTGTTCGTGCCAAAGTAGATCTGGCCAAAGAAGGATTCGAAGGTTCTGAAGAGGGTCCTGTCGGCATTGCTCATCAAGGCCATGCTTGGCACTGGATCCTCCGATATTATCGCCGTAAGGGTTTCGAGGCGCGGAACAACATAGTTGACCTGTGTGCCGCGTCAGGAATGTGTCTCATGACTCTCATCTCGCCTTTTGGACGAGCATGAAGGGGGTGAATAGCCGGCCGTCTCACAATGTCTAGCGCTTCGCCCATGGAACTCCGGACGATCTCCGGCCACCCATTAAGGCACGTTTGCTCAACAACCACGACATCGCGCTCCGTCAAGGTCTGAAGGGATGGCTTTGCAAATACATCTCTGGTCGTGTTGTACGGCGCCGACCACGCTCCCGTCACGCAGGACAAGACCACGGCCAGGCCGTAGCAGGCGGAGCCGAAGAGCGACTCCTTCCGCATGGTGTTCTCCTGTTTTTGTCTTTGGCAAAGATCCGGGTAGGCGAGGAGAAAAACTTGAAGGGCTGGGAACTTGGAAACGAAGAGGGCCTTGGGGGCATACCGGCACAGAAGACGGCCTTCGTGATGCGAGGGCGTGGGGGGGATGATGGGAGGCCTAAGTACGAAGTAACGCCCGCGAGAACAACTGACCACTGCCACGCGGCAGGGATCAATTTGCGCTCACGGTCTTCGTTCAACTTGCATGTGGGATTAACTCACATTAACTTAAGAGAGCCGGGGGCTTCGTCGGCTCGCCAAGCGACCAACGTGCCATCGCTGCTATGGCGATGGCTCTGAGAAAGAATAAAGATGGGAGGAGCCCGAAGGAATAACAGCAGTGGATGCGCAACCGCAAACCAAGTCACGGACAACTTGGACAAGGGTGCTAGGTCTCTCACCAATCTATCCGTACCTACGAGAATATATCCGTACTGTACTGTACAGTACAGTAGGTAAGTACCTACCTTGTACTACGTATGTACTGTACATTGTACAGTATGTATGTATGTACAAGTAAGGTACCTACATACCTCTGCCGTCACAACATTGCAAAGTTGCAACATGGCATCTTAACTAGGTACCCATGCTCTAGTCATTTCCTTCATGTTATCAAGCTAGTAAGGTAAGGGGTGTTTTGTGCTGTGAGGAGGCCTGGCCCCTAGAAACGCGCGTGTTGGAACGGCTGTGGGGTATGCCGAGATCGAGAACAACTTGAACTGGAACTGACAGGGAGCCCAGTGGCCCGTGCCAAAACCCGGGTGTCAAAAGTTTTGGCGACCAGAAAGAACCCTTGCCCTCTTTTTAAGCCCAGTGAATCCGTGAGGGTATCACGTACAGTACAGTACAGTAACTCCAGGTATTGACATCAAGTAACGTTACAAAGGGTTTCGTAACGGATGTTGCTCAGGGCGCCTTCCCCTTTTAGGCATCATTCTTCAATGCAAGGTCTCTCCCTCTCCACAGTCCACACTATCGGGTTCACTTCGCTCCTTCTTCAATTGCCCAGGCAGCCCTTTCAAATACCTACCTTACCTACCTTACCTACATTACAACTCCATCAACCTCACCAAGGGTCAGGATCCTTTAAACCCAGCTCCCCCGAAGCAGACATCACCTTTTTTTCCTAGCCGCCTACGAAGTACCTTCTACGCAATATACGGCCGCTTAGTGGGAATCCTGGCAATCCTTTCCTACCACTCTCTCTTCGTCCCTAACCTTGAAGAGACCTTCATCGCCGCTCAGCGGCACTCCATCCCTGCATGCAGTAGCTCAGCAGGAGCTGTTAAGATTGACTTCTCGTTGCTCGCTTCATGCCCCCGTTCTTTCCGGGTCACCGGGTGGCATTCACAGTTCACACCATACGACTTTGTTCGCTTCAGTGATTAGCATCCACCAGACGCCATCCGCCATCACTACTCAATGTCCGGTTACGACGAGTGCGCACGACAGTTGGGCGAGATGGAACTGCAGACTCGATTGCCGTTTCAAAGCTATGTCCCGCCGCGGTTTTGTCCCGCTGTCGACGGCGTGCTATGGAGCCGCATCCGCCCGGCGGAGGAAGACGACGGTTCTCAATCGCCCATTCTCAGCATCCTCGAGTTCACACTGATGCCCGGCGTCAACGTCCACGACCAGTCAAGGCCACCCGGAAAACTCTGGGATGCCGCATTGCGTTACATCGGCTCTATCCCCGGCTGCTGCGCTATTGAATGGGGTCCGAGACTGGACCGTGACAATCCTCCGACCGGGATCGCGTATACGTCCATATTATGCACACTTCACTGGGACACCACGGCCGCCTGGCGGGCCTTCCAATACTCCCTGGGCTTTACCCCTCTCGTGGGGATGCTAGCTTCCGACGTTTCAAATTGCTGCGCGAAGCTAAGCGCATCAGGCGCCCGGATATTTGGGGGGCAACGCCGAGATGGAGCCGCTGTGGTCGATGTGGTCTCGGTCGTCTTGGACGCCGAAGACGCGTCGTTTCCAACCCGCCGGTCCGCTCTGGAAGACGACTGGAATACGCTAGTCGATTTGGTGACCAAAGGGCATGATGGCCTCCGACACTCGTATGCTGTCTGGCTCGAGAACAACGCTTCGTCATTTCTCGGTCCGGTTCAGGCTGAAGCCGCCGCCGCAACCAGGCTGAACCACTTCATGGCGTTTCTTGCCTGGGATGGGGCACAGTACGACAGCCATCCCATCGAGGAGTTGTGTGACAGATTACGAGGCTCGCTATCGTCCTCTCAAGCACCCAACGGGCCAATCATTTCCAGAAAAGCAGTCCAGCTCGTCAGCGAAATGCCCCGACAAGAAGACTATCACGATCCACCGCGACATCCACTCGCGCCGCACAGCTTGGCTTCCATCCTCAAAGCGGATTTTCCGCGACAGTGTAGCGCCGACCTCGCAAACCTCAGGGAGCATGCACAGCGGACGCTTGATTGTAGTATCAACGACGCGAGGGCAAGGGTGCGGCTGTTCCCCGCTCCGCGGGGCTCATTCATATCTCAGGGCGAGCTCTACGAGGGCAGGATGCCCATGATACCGGGAAGGTGGCGCAGGGGAGGATACTTCAATCGTGGCTACCATTTCGTCGACGTCGTTTGGATACAGCTCAAAGCCCGTGCTCCCAAGACTCAAGGTCCTCACATTTATACCCGGTTAAAGAACGAGATTGGCGCTTTGCCAGGATTTGTCCAGGCCTTTTGGGCTCGCGATGTTCAGGACAAGGCGAAACTCGCCGTGCTAATAGGTAAGATGAGGACTAAGAATCCGCCAGCGGCCTAACTCGTCAATTTCTAGTGGTGTGTTTTCTGATCTATTTGATTTATCTGTAGTCTGGGAGGACCAGCAGGCGAGAGGACCCGCGTTACACGAGTATAGCCGGATACTGGACGACCTTGCCGCATCGTCAGTACACCTGGCCGCCCCTTTAACACACCAGACCCTCACCATGCCACGAAACGGGATGCGTCCATGGCTTGGCAACGGGCGGGTAAAGTATCTCGAGTTGGTCTGCTTTCGCGTTCAACCGGGCCTGCTTGAGCGCGAGCTCTTCGAACATGCCTATGCCGCTTTTGCAAAGTTCGTTGTCTTCTACCCCGAGTTCCTTTCCCACACAAGTTTGGCTTATTTTGAGGTACTTTTGCACACAAACGGTTTCGGTTAACTAACGTCTTCTGACTTTGGGCAACAAAAGCATGACGAAAGCTTCGGACATAGCGGGGATCCCTACCGCGTGTTCGGTCATTAAGGATGCTGGAGGCTGGCAGCTTGCCGAACCTGAAGCCGCTGACGGTTCGGACTTCCAGCTCTTCACGGGAGTTCTGACTTGGCAAAGCCCAGAGGCAAGGCAAGAGTGGTATGAAGAGTTGGTCAGGCTCTCTAGCTGGTCGTATGAGATGTTTGGCCATAAGCTCGATGCCCTAAAGATCTTGGCCGCTGGAGGAGTTACCGCGAGTTTCCTGGAGATGCAGAAAGGGTACTACTAGGTAAGTGAGAATCTGTTTGCTTCACTGGGCGAGTGAAAGACCTGTCCGCGGTCCAGAACACTGCATCTTCAGAAGAACACGTGATATCTCAGCAGCCACGGCAATACCCAGATTATTTCTGGCTTACGCCATGCCATGTCACGACGATAGGAACTCGTAACAGATGGCAAGAGGCGAACGTGGTTATTCTGGCACTCAAGTCAAAGGGAGGCCTGGTTTCAATGTGTTTCCAAGTTTGATAGGAATGCGATTGTTGACCGAACAACCGCACAAAGGCAGAGTTGTTTAGGTAGGTATCACCGTGCCGGGAACTTGGAAATGACTCAGCTCTATCAGCAATGGTCCGTAAGAGGGAACAGTATGAACAGAAGTTGTGTTCCCAGCAAGGTACCTATATTGCAACCTCAGGTTCTATGAACGAAAGGTCAAGTATATAAGATGCCTTCTCTGTACCGTCTCTAGGGCTCGCTCCTACTAACCTCCCACCAGAGAAGTACACCTCTTAGCAGAGAAGCGCACGTGTACCTACCCAACCCAAAACCCTTGTCAGGTATTTCATCCCTTCCTCGGCGAGCCCCTGAACAGTACTGCTAGTAGTATCGGTACCGTACTCCACAAAACCCTGCGCTGCTTCTGCACTGGCATCGTACTTAGTCGTCTCACAAAGCCATGTGCGTCTGGCAGGAGGTCATACACAATTGTGGATGCAAACACGTCCAAACCCTTTGGCGAAGAGAGATGTGTAAAGGGTGGGCTGAGCACAAACAATGCTCATACCAACGTTTGAGGCAGGACGAGCTGCGTCTGAGCTTCGTATGTCCACGCCACAAGTTGGCACGCAGACGGCCGGAGAGCTCAGATTTTCTTGAGGGCCTCTAGTCTTGTATCTCAGGCTAGTAGTGAGGAATATGACTCGGACTCGTATTGACCAGAAGCCTACTAGATTCGTCCTTACATTATCCTGGTATCGTGACAAGATGGGCCTGTCGGCGTAAACTTGGCCTTGTGATGGGAGAACTGGTAGATGGCAGCGGCGCTATCTCATGCCTTTTTCCGGTGCGTCCTCCTTTGCGCAAGATGAGCATATGTGCATCATGATTATGATCGGATACCATACTAATTGACGCCGAATGACATAGAAATACCATAGAGATTTCAGGGAGTCTATTATGTGTAGCAACTCATGGCGTCAGTCAATTTTGTAGCTCTTTGGAGTCCCCTATTTACAAGGTGGTGATAATGCCTACATGTAGGTGAGGCTCTTACATAGGTAGATGACAATGATGGTGATGATGATGTACTACTACTAGGTAGTAGTACTGTAGTAGTAGTAGGTACCTTTCTACCTGAAGGCTCGAGATTGCCCCTGACCAGGCCCGCTCATTTCAAGTTTCTATCTGATCGAAGGAAAATGAGTTTCAGTCCGTTCATCTTCGAGTGGCAACTGCTTCACTCGTCCGGCCTTGAATTGCCGCACATGACCGTGCACTAAGATGAAGGTGACGGCACGGGCCCGGGTTGACCCCTATCATTTCAGGAAGAGTCACCGCTAGAGGGGCGGAGGCAACGTCAAGTCTACTAACTGAATAACGGATACCTACCACCTATAGTATTGGAACACCCAGAGAGATAGAATAGGTCAACGTGGCACTATCACTGGAGGATATAAGCATGCTGTCCTCGGCCTATTTAAAACAGTTCTCGAGTCACTCCTGCCCAGGCCGCGCACTGCAAACCATCTGTGGACAAGACACAAGGTTCTGATCGTAAAGTAATACCAGAGCATTACTGACAGTTGAAGCGAGAACATGAGTAGTCTATCTAACCAACGATAAGCTTCACTGGCACATAGTTCCAGATAGGCAACCGACACATCACCTACGTTGGCGACCATCATAAGCCATGTGCTCCTGGCGACAGGTTCTTTGGGCATGCTACTGCCCACACCCTGACTCGCCCTGGCGCATCTCATTATGCAAGGGTTACTGCAGAGGAAGGAGATGCGATTGGATATTTTACTACCCGGTCCTGGTGCTGGACGAGGAATACTGTCCCAGACACCGCAGACGCGTGCGTTGGCATTGACGGTCAACATACCTACCTAAGCTGCGAGATATCATGAAGTGGAGGGCGTAGAGGTTACTGGGACCCGCGGTTAGGAGTGGGGACGTGTCGCTGGTGGATGGGAGTATAGAATGGGGCTGAAGTCACGGTGAATGACCAAGGTGCCCTGGAGGATGCAATGAGTTTCGGGTTGGTTGCCGGCTGTTTCAACATGAAGACAGCCACGCCCAATTCACCTCAGGCTGACCTACCTGATGGAGACGCATCGATATTTGAGCGGTGATTTGACCTGCATAGGTAATTTACCAAAATACTACTGATACTACTACTCACTGAGAATCTGAGACCTAATAACTATTCGAACGCTTGCGGCTTTAATGTCAAGGTACCTAGGTAAGGTAGGTAGGTACCTTAGGTATTCATCTGCACCTACAGGCCCTCCGTTACTTAGAACCATTTCCAAAACAGCACCCGCCATTATCACCGAAGCAGCATCCACCATTATCACTGAAGCAACATCCGCCATTATCACTGAAGCAACATCCGCCATTATCACTGAAGCAGCAACCCCCTCGGTTCGAGCAGCAGCAGCCCGCAGATTCCCCCAGCCTGGCATGCGTGGCGGCGGAAAAGGGGTCGTACCCGCCCGCGAGAGGCACACGCATCGGGTTTGGCGGCGTGTACTGCGGCTGCTGTTGTTTGATGATGCTACTAGCAGCGTCGGATTGCTGGGGAGAGTTGGACGAGGAGGCTGTCGAAGCTGTTGACCCTGACAAGCCTGAGTCGGCCCGCTGGAGGGGTGTGCCGCCGGTCACGCCCCCGGTTCTGAGTGGGGAAGAGATGGACGCTTCGTAGGACGGCGGAGGAGGCTCCATGTGGTAGCCGGTAGACTGGGGAGAGTAGTAGGGTTGGTTGGTGGCATGGTTCCTGCTGGTCATTGTGGATATAAGTTGAAAAGCTAACTTGGTTCTTCTTTGGTCCGTTGTTGTTGAATTGTTGTGGCTACTGCTCCTGGCCACTGCTCAGGTGAGGAACTCGAATTGCGAACTCAGACGACTTCAGTCAAGCCAGAGGGGTTGAGGTACCAGCTCGGCGACAGGGCACAATGCAGTGATGGTAATCAAACTGATGGCTTTATAAGAAGATTATTGCCTCAGGGCTGGTTCAAGGTTACCACCCCTAACCCGTCAATTGGTGTGACCACTCCATGTCTGCACTCGCATTTAGCTGACGAAGTGACGCGTCATCTGAGCGGCGGCGGTGTAAGATTTCCCCAGTAGGCACGGGCAGCTGCTGCCAAGGGCTCAAAGAGGGGGATCGCACCTTCAGGCACCTACTATCAAAATGTTATGGCGACCCAAGTTACCAAGCCTAGGTAACTTGAAGCTGAAAGAAGCTGAGATGCTGAGCTCGAAATGGAGTACTGTAACTGTACACCAGCACTAAATGAGAAGGAGCGAAACATTATACAACAACCTAGAAGGTTTATTCCCCTACATGTAGGTGGTGCAGCAAAGAGCTTAGCTCGCTTTCGCCTTGCTTGTGAGCACAACCACTAAACACAACCTCGATCCGAGAAGACTACATGTAGGCAAAGATACTCCAATATTACTGAGCTGGACGCTTGCAGCACCTAGTATGACCCATGAGAAACCACCTTACTTAGGTAAGGTTGCAGCTGAGTCTGCTGAGACAACCATTGTAAGCAGTATACTAGTAGTGGATAAGGTAGTATACTTCTAGAGGAACTGGACCTCAACCTCCATGACCTGCCCCTGACTCCCACCTACTACCTTAATGGGAAATGAGGTGCCACCCATATCGTCTTCGCCTCAGTCTCCTCCTCATCTCTCTCGGATCCTCTCGCCTTGGTCCGCATCCGGGGCACACGGAATTTCGCGGCATGTCTATCACGACATGATCCCTGACTGGGTCGTAGACACATTCTCCGGGTGCGCACTGTGAGCATGTCGGCGGGCATGAGAACACTCGGGAGGAGTGCCCGCAAGTGTAGACAAGCCGCCTGAACCTGCACATGTTTGCTGTGGCGGTAGGTTCAAGCTGAGTTCGGTTGACTGTTGGAAGGGGTAAAACAAGGCCTTTCGTGTGGAAGGCGGAGGGTTGCTCGCAGTAACCGTCAGTTGGGGTTCCTGAGGGCATTTGTATGGATGCTTCATTGTGCAACTTGTCCATTTGCTCTGCGTCCTACATGTTGTTTGTTGGAGACAGCGAAGCATTGGTAAGCTGGGAGCAGGGCTATCGTACCAGCTGCGTCAACATGGAGAAAACGGTCCACGTTTCATGTTACTTCTCTGGGGCAACAATAAATGATGCTTGTGTCATGAGCTGGCTATATACAGTTGATCAGAACCTGTCAGCTACAGCCTACATGTAGCCTCTTTCCGGCTCATCTCATATCAAATCAGCCCACCGTCTCTGGCCGAAGACAAGCTTCCAGTTTCACTTCCCTGAATGGCCCGACCGTGACCCTTGACAATCTCAACCTCCTCGTCATCCCTCGAGGACGAATCTTGATAAAGTTCGACATTCATCTCATAGCTCCTCTGCACATAGATGCCCCAGCGGCAGCAGACACCCGACGATGACGGCTACGGCAGGCTCGATGGCGCCCCATATGGCCAGGCCGATAATGTCAACCCTTGTGCCGCCCGAGATGAGTTTGGTCATGCGCACGATGTACACCGACATGATGACAAGACCGAGACTGAAGGCAATGCCCAGGCCAACCTTGCGGCGGAAGTCGAGGTGCAGCGATGGCAGGAGCGAGATGGGCAGGGCCATGATCATGAGATCGCTCGCGATGTCGACCGAGGTAGAGTAGATGACGCTGAAGCCCTGCACCCAGATCTCGTGTGGCGAGTTGCATTTGCCTATCGGGAATTAACGACTACAATACGCAGGTGTACGGACGCGATGCAGACATACCAGGCCTGAAATAATCCGCTGGAGTGTTGCAGCTCAAGATGCTGCTGAGCCAGCACCCAATGTAGGCTATGGCGGCAAAGACGGCGACGCAGTACCACAGTCGACGGTGGACGGGAAAGGGCCAGACGAGGCGGAAGAAGACGGCCATGAAGCTCGCCTTGACGGACCACAGGGCGGTCCAAAACAGCTTGATGATGGGGAACTGCCAGCGCTTGAGCAGTTGAGCTCAACCGCGTTGAACAGGGTGTCTGGGTCTGGTGCGATGCGGCCGGCCATCAGATATGCTGTGTACCACAGGGAAGGCATCTGCACCGTCTGCAGAATCGACATGGCCAGAAGGCAGAGCCAGGCGAAGGCGGTGCAGTAGTCGTCGGAGAGAAAAGAGGCGTTTTGGCGGAACCGCACCGTCAGGCGGAGAGCCACAAAGAAGGTGGCGGCCGAGAAGAAGATCCAGACGATGGCGAGGAGGCCGGCCTGACCGATGGTTGCCGCCGAACCCAACAGCGGCGCATCCGGGTTGCCCACCTGTACCGGCATCGTCGGATTCGGAGCCAGACCAGTCGCCGTGGGCCCCGGGCTCACGGATGCTGACATGGCTTGGCCTTTATTTGGCTACAGGGGTCAACAGGACCTAAAACTCCACGGCAAGGAAATGGAGAGAAATCACGGGAGGCTTCAGGGGCCCCTGAGCCTTATCTACTAATACATAACAACCTCCAACAGTTCGAGTTGCAGCAAAGACCGCATGGTTTAGCGTATGTCTCTGCCGTTGCACTGCTTCGGTGCTTGTTCTTGATGCCTGCTACCCAAAAGTGTGGCGGCTACTGAGTTGTCAATTCGAGACTTGAGGTTGGGGGCCGGATCAGATGGCCGAGCTTTGGATCACAGGACTGGAGGAACGTAGGAAACTACCAGCAGAGGGAACTGCCAGAAATGTAAGGTTGAGCATAGCAAACATGCCAAACAACAGCCGGGAACTCACCCGAGCCGTCAACTGAATTCACCAGTTTGGCAACCTCTGAAGCCCACTTGAAACAGGATCTCCAGGAGCATGGCCATGCATGAATAGAGTAGACGGTACGGGATCCTAACCGGTCCAATGGCCGCAGTTGTTAGAGCATTGAGGCATTCATGCCCAGTCAGTGGCAGTCCTGAGCAAAGCAAGGAAATCCGGCGCGGCTAAACCGATAGAGAGCGGAACTGGAGTCATGGACCCAATCCCCTGAACACGAGCTGTTGCATCCAATTCTACCTACCCATCTCTCTTCCGGCTAGCCCATGCAAGACGACTGTTTGAAACAAAGGCGCCTCAGGCATGCTTACGGATACATAGATTGAAGAAACATGTCTCTTCCGCCCAACCAGCGGTATCGGTGCTGGTCCTACGCCACGTTGCTACCTCCCGCCCGAGCTGCTCAGTTGCAGTTCTGGTTGCCGCGCGGTCAAGATGCGTCTCCAGACGGTGCTGTCACTCTGTTTCGCGCTCGCTGCCACGGGGTTTCAGCACAATCCGCAGTGCACATGCGTAAGGACTTTTCCCGATCCAATGTTAACTGTTTCGGATGATGATGAACCAGAAGAAGCTGATCTTGTATCCGTTTGCAGGTCCCTGGAGATGACTGCTGGCCCGGAGAGCGCCATTGGCTCGCCTTTGGCAAGGAGTTGGGCAAGGACAAACTCATCAAGACGTCCCCAATTGCCGAGTCATGCTACAATGGCCCGCACCTGGATCTTGACAAGTGCGCCTACGTGAGGCAGATGTGGCCGGATCAGGACTTCCAAACAAGCCAGCCCGTCGGCAGGCCGTACCCCTACAACATCACCTGCGCCCCTGTGAACTACACGGCCGGCGAGACTCCCACGTCGTGCACCCTTGGTTCGCTGCCCGTCTACGCCGTCAACGCCACCAGAAGAGAAGACATTGCCCGCACGCTTGCCTTCGCCAAGCGCAACAACATCCGTATCGTCGTCACCAGCACGGGACACGACCTGCTGGGCCGCTCTGACGGCTATGGCGGCCTGCAAGTCTGGCTGCGTCATTTCCGCAACGGCATCTACTTCCAAAAGACGTTCAAGTCGGCCACCTCTTGCACCAAGTCCGGCTGGAAAGGAAGCGCTCTTCACATTGACGGCGCATGGCAGTGGCGTGACGTGTACAAGGTGGCCAAGGCGAACAATGTCATTGCCGTCGGCGGTGGCTCCATTTCTCCTGGCGCCATCGGCGGGTGGCCGTCCGGTGGCGGCCACGGCCCGGCCACCCGCAACTATGGGCTGGGCGCCGACCAGATTCTCGAGGCCGAGCTGATGCTTGCCGATGGCTCCATTGTCAGGGCCAACCACTGCCAGAACACGGATCTCTTCCGTGCCATCCGCGGCGGCGGTCCCGGCTACGGCATAGTCCTGAGTCAGCACATCAAAGCCTATCCCAACGTGAACGTGGTCACAGCGCATCGGCTTGCTATTGCCCCGCTCCAGCAGACCCCGGAGAATGCGGACCTCCTCGACGCCGTCTCCGTTCTCCTTCAGCACTTCCCCGACCTCAACGACAAGGGATATGCCGGCTACGGGTTCTGGTTCCGCAAGTTCCCCAGGCCCTTCATTGGTCAGACGCGGTCTGGCTACACCCACGGCATCTGGACCATTGGCAAGGGGCAGGCTGAGGCCGAGGCAGCCATCAACAGCACGCTGAAGGCGCTTGAAAAGTTCCAGGACAAGCTGTTCATCCAGTCGACCTTTGCCGAGTATTCGGATTACTGGTCGTTCTACGAGGCCGAGTCGGGTCTCTACGACCCGACTGGCTCGACATCCATCATGACGTCGCGCATGATTGACCGGGACGCCGTCTTCGATTATCAAACGGTCCGCGACACGGTGGAGATCATCAGCGGCAAGCCCGAGGAGTACACGTCCAACGTCATCATGCTCGTCTCGGGTGGCCAGGTCTTCAAGGACGTCGCCGACAAGAAGTCGGGCCTGCACCCGGCCTGGCGGACCTCGCCCTTCGTCATCATCGCGGGCCGCGGCATTCCCAAGGTCGCAAGCCGCCAAGTCCGACATGCTGTCACGGACGACGTGACCGACGTCAAGGGTGCCGCCCTCAAGAAGCTGGCCCCCAACACGGGCGGCTACATGAACGAAGGGGACCGCCATGACCCGGACTACATCCAGACCTTCTACGGCGCCAACTACAACAGCCACCTGGCCGCCAAGAAGAAGTACGACCCGCAACACGTCTTCTACTGCCCTACCTGCGTTGGGGCCGAGGCCTTTGTCGAGAGGCCCGATGGGCCACTGTGCCGCGCGTCGTGAGCAGTTATATTACCCACAGTACTGATAGTATAATATTTGATATATAATCACAAGTTGAGTCGACAGGAGCTGCGAGGCTCTCCCCCCCCCCACCGATTCTATCATCGTTTGGCCCCTTGGATCTCTACGAACACCGTGACCAAAGTGAATAAAACACTGTGGCTGCGGCCGAGGTGTTACATACAATAAGGTACTACTGTACCTAACTAATGTGCTCTACGCGTAGGAAACCCAGATCGCTGGATATAGCGCCCGGCATATACCGAACTTGAATTGTTCATGTTAATAGCGTACACTACACAGGAACCCGGGAAATGGCGATACATAGTCATGACGTTGTTGCGTTGCGCTCTCCACAGCTCTAGGGGAAGAGGTCACTGGTTAAAAGGGCGGCTAAATGTCGATCAATGCTTGTTCAGAACCTGCAGCTGGTGGAGCAGGAATGGAGAAGCCATTGACGAGGCTCCCGAGCCCCCATTTCACCCCACAGCTGGACTCAGTGGGTACGGTTCCCATATAAGCTTTCTTCCCGGTCCCGGAACTCTCGGCAGCATCAGGCCTACCCTTTACTGCAGATCCGGTGACCCGGGTGGGCGTGACGACCACTGCCCCGGGAATACCATGGGGGGCCGGTGGATATCATGATTGGTAATCCGCAATATTTCAGCAAGAACTTGCCGTGGAGAACCTCGGGCTGGGAAGACGGTGGAGAGCTGGGATTGAGGCTCTGAGAGACTGAGCATCACCATCTCCATCGTGATGATCCCCGCACGCGAGTATCCACGCAGCTTCCCCGCCTGGAGAAGTGGCTACCTCTGTATGTGCAGAAAGCCAGAATGAGGGCTGGAAACTGGGATTGTTGATGTGACTGTACTGACCTCCCAGCTTGACTGGAGAGAGTTCTCCCGGTGAGCCATGGACTGTGTGATGTATATAAGGCACTGTCACGTCTGGTTTTGATCCCGGGGGCTTGTTCTCGTCTTAGTCCACCGTCCAGCGACTCAGGCTTTCTTCCTTTTGCAACTCGCCATGCCGGTGACGGTTTCTTCTGTGCTCAGCAGTCTAAGCTGCTTGGCCGCGATTGTTCCGGCGGTCTCTGCTGGCTTTGCCTTCCCAGATTGTGTCTCTGGTCCGCTCGCCAACAACTCCGTCTGCGATGACTCTCTAGGTATGGAGCCCCCTATCTTTCTACAAACAGTAGAGTCGATCCCTGTGTTGACCACCCCTCCTAGATCCCTTAACCCGTGCCAAGGCGCTCGTCAGCGTGCTCACCATCCAGGAGAAGATCAACAACACCGGCAGCACAAGTCCCGGCGTTCCCCGGCTCGGTCTTCCCGCCTACACGTGGTGGCAGGAAGCCCTGCACGGAGTGGCGTCTTCTCCTGGCGTCAACTTCTCGGCCAAGGGCGACTACAGCTATGCCACGTCTTTCCCCCAGCCCGTTCTCATGGGTGCTGCCTTTGACGACGAGCTCATCAAGGCCGTCGCGACCGTCATCAGCACCGAGGCTCGTGCCTTCAACAATGACGGCCGTGCTGGCCTCGACTTCTGGACCCCCAACATCAATCCGTTCAGAGACCCCCGTTGGGGTCGCGGCCAGGAGACGCCCGGAGAGGACCCGTTCCATCTGAGCTCGTACGTGCGCGCCTTGATTGACGGCCTGCAGGGTGGTTACGACCCGAAATACAAGCGCGTCGTTGCCACTTGCAAGCATTTCGTCGGCTATGACATGGAGTCGTGGAATGGCAATATCCGATACCAGTTCGACGCGCAGATCAACATGCAGGACATGGTCGAGTACTACATGCCGCCCTTTAAGAGCTGCGCGCGAGACTCCAATGTTGGGGCCTTCATGTGCTCGTACAACGCCGTCAACGGCGTGCCGACTTGTGCCGACCCGTGGCTGCTCGATGATGTCCTGAGGAAGCACTGGGGCTGGACCAACGAGGAGCAGTGGGTGACGAGTGACTGCGACGCCATCCAGAACGTCTTCCTTCCGCACGAGTGGGCCAGCACCAGAGAAGAGGCAGCCGCTCTGTCCCTGATCGCTGGCACGGACATCAACTGCGGCACCTATTATCAGAACCACCTCCCCGCCGCCTACTCTCAGGGGCTGATCAACGAGTCGACCGTCGACCAGGCCCTGATCCGCCAGTACTCGTCTCTGATTCGGCTGGGGTACTTTGACCCGGCCGAGAAGCAGCCGTACAGGCAACTGAACTTTTCCCACGTCAACACGCCTGAGGCCCAGAAACTGGCCTACCAGGCTGCCGTCGAGGGCATTGTTCTCCTCAAGAACGACGGCGGCCTTCTGCCCCTGGACCTGCGCAACAACAAAAGCATCGCCCTCATTGGCGACTGGGCCAACGCCACAACGCAGATGCAGGGCAACTACTTCGGCCAGCCGCCGTACCTCCGCTCGCCGCTGCACGCCGCTCAGCAGCTGACAACCGTGTACTATGCCACCGGGCCCGGCGGGCAGGGCGACCCCACCACGGACCACTGGCTGCCGGTGTGGGACGCGGCCGCCAAGGCCGACATCATCATCTACGTCGGCGGCATCGACAACAGCGTCGAGAGCGAGGGCATGGACCGGCACGCCGTGGCGTGGACGGGCGCCCAGCTCGACGTGATCGGCCAGTTGGCGCAGTACGGGAAACCCATGGCCGTGGTGCAGATGGGTGGCGGGCAGATCGACTCGAGCCCAATCAAGCACAACGCCAACATCAGCGCCCTGCTCTGGGCCGGGTATCCCGGCCAGGACGGCGGCACCGCCATCTTCGACATCCTCACCGGCCGCGCCGCCCCCGCCGGGCGATTGCCCATCACGCAGTACCCGGCCGACTTCGTTGCGCAGGTGCCCATGACCGACATGACGCTGCGCCCGGGCCCCAACAGCCCTGGCCGGACCTACAAGTGGTACAACGGCACGGCTGTGTACCCGTTCGGCTATGGCCTGCATTACGCAAACTTCTCCGTCTCGTTTGGCCCGGGCGACGGCCCGTTGGTGGCGGCGGCGTCCAAGAACAAGACGAAGAACACCGATGCCTCCGACAACAACAACAAGGGGACAGGAGTAGTCCACATCGCGGACCTCATCGCCGCCTGCAACTCCTCCTCCTCGTCTGCAGTCTCCCACATAGAAAACTGCCCCGCCCTGAATTTGCCGGTAACCATCCGCAACACCGGCACCAACACTTCATCCTCTTCCGCATCCGACTATGTCGCACTGCTCTTCCTAACGGGAACCTTCGGACCCGCGCCACACCCAGCACGCTCGCTAGTCGCATACACTCGCGCACACAACATCGCGCCGGGAGACACACAGACGGTGCGTCTCCCCATTACCTTGGGCGGGCTGGCGCGGGTCGACGAGCGGGGCAACACAATCCTGTACCCGGGCGCGTACTCGCTGGTGATGCTGGACGAGGAGCAGAAGGAGGTGCTTGCCAAGACGGAGTTCAAACTGGTGGGTAGCGAAGCGGTGTTGGATCGCTGGCCGCAGCCTACGGCTTCGAGGACTCCGAGGCATAAGGGCACGGGTGAGGTTGGGGAGGGGTATTTTATTGGCGGGTTTGGAAGTGGAAGCTCGGGGATGGTTAAACAGGGTGCGAGGTAGTGGTAGATAGGGACGTGGTTTAGGTTGGACGGTCGAGAACTGAAGCTGAGGCAAGTTAAAATCCTAATAACTGAGGATTCAAGTCGGTTGTCGGGATGTACTTAGGTACTCACCCAATATGGCGCCGCTTGCGTCTTGCGTCCTGGAAGCAAGACAAAAGAGCGGCTTCTTTGACTGGGGCGAGTTGCAAACCGAACGCCTGATTCACTTGGTCTCTGTGCTGTGCTCGCTCAACTGGGTAGTGAGAAGTTGGAAACAAGATGATCGAACATACTAGATGTGTAACTTCCATCATGGAGGGAATGTTCTGTAGCCTGAAGCAACTGGACAACTTAAGACGAGAGTTTCAGTTAAGAGGGGTAGTCGAGAGGATGATTTTTGCATACAAAATTTTGGCCACACTAACAGATGTCCACCCTCCTCAATGTACCACCCGCTAAACAAAGCTGTATGCTCAGCATCAGGATGACAGGCATCAGCTCACAAGAACAGCCTAGCTGATTTGATCAATGCCGCGCGATAGACAATGTCCAAGACATCTGCAGTCCAGTTCAACCTTAGGTGATCTTCAAAGACAAAAACAAAACGGACTTATATCATATACACGGGTAGAAGCGTGCAGATCAGGTACTGAACTGCTGCAGCCTGGTCCTGCTCCTCGTGACTCTAACTGGGGGCAGCTCTGGTTGAATCACTAAGGTACCTTAGTTTCCATTGTTCTTTTCCCCGAAGTTCCTGATCTCGTTCTTCAGTGTGCAGACAGGGCAGCACGGCATTCTGGTCCCGAACGCCCCTACCGTAGAGAAACCACCATCCTGGCACCGGGCACCAGCGGGTTACAGCTGGAATTAGTGAAGTACAGGTTTCCATTCTTCCCATTCCCTTGCAGTGTATACGCCTTTTATCTCTGAATTGTATCCAAATCCCAACTCACCTGGCCAGTCAAGTCAATTATTCACCGCCTCGAGCAAAAAGGTATAGTGAACCTTGCATCGTTGTTCCATCATCGGACATCGGCTCGATCGCAATCGCTAAGTTGATATTTTGTTAGTACCTCGTCTACACTCTCGGCGATTTCCTATCGCCCTTAGGCAACTTTGTCCCCGATGCCATGGCGGCGAATAAGGGCACCACCCCGCCGAGCCCGCCGAGCTCGCCGTGCCTGCTCAATGAGCTAAGCGTGGACATCGTTATCAACATCCTCTCGGCAAGCAATACACTAGCGGACTTGAGCGCGCTTATTCACGCGTCGCCTTTCCTTTATAACTGTTTTCTCCTGGCAAAGGCATCGATACTTCGTACCGTGATAACGAATGAACTCGGGCCGGCTGTCAGAGATGCCTTTGTCCTCGCGAATACCGATATGCTTACGAACTTGGACTTTGAGACCAAGCTTGACAAGGCCGTCAAAGATTACCATCGACACCATCTGGCGGAAAATGCACCCTGGGTCACTGGAATCGATGCTCACACTGCCGCCAAGATGGCAAGGCTCACTCGCACGGTTCTCTTTTTTGTGGACATCTACACACGAGTTCGCTTGGCATATTTCAGAGAACGATCCGACGACGAGTCGGTCGACTGGCCCGCCACCCTAACAGAGCGCCGCCGCATCGCCCAGGCTCTACTCCGGTGGCAGACTGTCATCAACATGCGTGGTGACGCTATGTGGGAGGAGTGGGCCATGTACGAGTCTTTCTTGGCCAAGGTCGTCCCCCTTTTTGAGTCCTGGGAGCTGGCGCAGATATCCGACATGGACTGTTTTATTTACGGGTTAACCAGCGCATCAGCCATCGTGCAGTTCAACAACCGCAGGCAGGGAAGTCCGAGAGGAACAGTCAACCTCAACCTCTGGCGGGACGCGTATTACGATCAGTACTTTCCGAGCCTGATTGCATTTCATGCGAATCTAAGGGACGCTCAGAGAACACACAGTGCGTTCTTGGAAACGGTGATGAGATCTCATACAGTTTGGTACACGGATTATATTAAGCCACGTTCAAACGGTTCCATGTGGCTCGAATCAAGCCATTGGGCTCCTGGGGGAATCGAGATTCCGGCCCAGGCTACAAAAGGATATTCTAGCGGACCGATCGAAGGCACGATAGACAAAATCACTTTCAAGGGAGAAACCCCTCTGGAACCGCCATGGGCATGGCTCCATGCCTGGGACGGGTTAAGGGTGAACAGGTGGGGTGCTGCCATGATTCCGAAGGGCCTCCCGGACGGTGTCAGCTTTGACGAGCTCGAAGAGATCATCCGTTCGTTGAAATTATGGAGATGGTTAGGCCTGATGTTCTGGGACAAGGATCGCGCTGAAAAGCTGTTGGAATCGGTGCCCTTGGGAAGGTGCGAACATGGCTGGCTTGCGGCGCACATGATGGCCATCAATGCAGACGACGACGATGGAGAGGACGATGCAGACGACGATGAAGACGACGACGATGGAGACGACGATGCAGACGACGACAATACAGATCACGATGGAGATTACTACGACGCAGACGACGTTCATGACTTCTTTTTGTCTTCTAATTTGGCTTCACTGGCAAGTTTATTTGGGCCCTGATGATAGGGAGAGAATCACTTGGCCTGGTAGAATCACTACCTAGATACCAGTCTTTAGCAGTACTCCGTACAATATACTTATAGGAACTTGCAGCGCCGGGATGCTGATACGGTGTCACTGACCCCGGGGGTTCAAGGCTTTTATTGATGAGTCGTACTAGGGGGGCAGTGTGGGGCCCTATATAGCCCTAACCCTGACGAAATTACACCCAGGCCAACCCCTACAGTTCCGCACGTTCACACCCACCACTTACACGGCCCAACCACTATAACGCTTTGACTGCACTGGAATAACCGCGCGTTGATTCAACTGTAAGTGATGGCCTGATTGTATGGACTTCGATTGACTGAAAGTAGTGACTTGACTATGAGACTGTGATTTTGACTGCGACGATCCATTTGTCTACAGGGGATTTGCACCGACCTGACTTGCAACGACATGACTGATCACTGCAGTGATCTGACTGCACTTGACTGTAACAACCCGACTGCGACGACCTGGCTGCAACGGATTGACGCGACGAATTGACTGTGACGAATGGACTGCGACGAATTAACTGTGACGAATTGACTGCGACGAATTGACTGCGACGAATTGACTGCGACGAATTGACTGCGACGAATTGACTGCGACCAGTTGTTGTTCTGATGAACTGCTTGCAAATCGAGTGAACGTTGTTGTAGATACCGAGTGGTGTGCCTGGCAAGTCGGTCTGGTTATGGGCGTGGATGTAATGTATACGGTGTTAGGGTTACCTATGTGTGGGACTGCCCCTAAGAGGACCGCACTGCCCTTCTAGTACGAAGGTACGAAGGTACGACTCTTATTGATTGTGCGATTACAGGTGTTGCGTTTCTCAGAACCAGCAGACCAGCAAATGCGCAATCATTTACAGCCCACAGGAGATGCTAGGTCTACGCCGGCTGAGCCTGGCGACATGAATTCTCTCACGGTAGCATACTAGTAATGTACATTCTCATAGCCAGTGTACTTCGTATCGGCTACGACTTGGCTCGTCACAAAAGTCACAAATAGCTGAGATCCCTTGGCAGCGGCACTTCGAGATAGGGCGGCCAATGACAGTTGCTGCTGAAGATGGACTCTCAAGTGCAGTCCCTTGGGAACGGGAGCCCCAACACAATCACCTCACCAACAAACAATGGAAAGCCACGTGGATCACACGAATGTAGCCTCGCCTTTTAAGGGAAAAGAGAACCAAATTCCAGGCCAACCTAGATTTTGTTCGGGATCAATTGTTGTCAGCCTTCTGTTTCGCCGTGGGGCCTCAGCTGGATTCGATGTTTCTCAGTTGGATCCGAAGGTCGCGAGGATGCCCCACTGGGGTCGAGATGACGTCCGGGCAGTGGCTGCGCCGGGCTTCTGGTTGGCTGTTATTCGCCCCACAGCAGCTTATCGAATCTGTCAGCAACCTCATGGCAGCTTCCAGAACCAGGTCGCGCGTGTGACTGACACTGCTTTCTGTCAGCCCAACGTCAGGCAAACGTCTGGTTGTTTTATAAACCTCAAAATACCTGATCGATTTGTAATTCCCCTCCTTTCACCTCAGGCAAAACTCTCCTTTTAACCATCGTTGCTGCACAGCGCAGGACACGCTTCGCAGCTCATCTACAGTGCACTTACACAGCATCTAATCGGCAACCTTTGAGATATCCGTATTCCCATTCTCATCGCCTTGGATCCTACGCCCAACAGCGCAATGGCTGACCACGCCGGACGCGACCACCAAGAATCGATGTACTGCCATGCCTGTCACCATCAGTGGCAGCGGCAAGGCGAAACCATCGAATGCCCAATGTGCGGCAGCGCATCCACCGAAATTGTACGACAAAACCTGGTTACACTGGACACTCCACTGTTGCAGGAGCTAACAAACGTGCAGGTCACTCCAGAGAATGATCCCCGCCACTTCCACAGACCGCAGCGGGAGGGGAGTACGTCTAGCAGTGTGCCTGACGCTGCTCCAATAGCTGCCCACAACCCCACAGCTGCAGCGGAGTCGACGGATAGAACAAGCCCGCGCGCCGATTCCCCGAATACCTCAAGCAACAACAACCCAGATGGCCCCGGAGCGCGCCCGGCTGGCGATGAACAACGCCATGGGCACCGTCGAAACGGCCCCCCGAATATCACCTTTATCACCATCGTCTCCGACCCCGGGCATGCACATGCTCCGCTGATGCCGCCGTGGATAGACTTCTACAACTTGCGCTTTATTGTCCCGCCCTTCCAAGGGCCGCCTCCGCCTCCACCGACTGGAAACAACAGTACCCCAGTTGGCCCAGAGGTTCAACCACAACCACAACCACAGCAGCAGCAGGCACCCCAGCAACCACAACAGGCAACCCAGCAACCACAGCAGCCACCGCAACAGCCACAGCCACAATCACAGCCGCACAATGTGCCCCCTCGACCAACAACCCCTTACGTCGCACCCGCGGTCTTCCCTGGGGTGCTCATCGGCAGGCTGTTCGCCTCGCTATTCGACCCGACTGCCGCCGTTTTTGGCGACGCCGTCTTCACCCAAGAAGCGCTGGACCAGGTCATAGCCCAGCTCGGCGAACAGCACCAGGCGCGCGGGCCACCGCCCGCGTCCGAACCAGCCCTCGAGAAGCTGCAATCGCGCGTTCGGGAGCTGGACGAGAAGATGCTGGCCAAGGCGGGCTGTTCCGAAGGAAAGGCCAAGTGCGTAATTTGTGTCGACGACATGGCCGCAGGCGAGAAAGTGTCGGTGCTGCCGTGCAGCCATTTCTTCCACGGCGACTGCGTGCTCCCGTGGCTGAAGCTGCACAATACCTGCCCTGTATGCAGAAGATCGGTGGAAGAGGAGGAGCAGGGGAAGGGCGACCCTGCAAAGCCCGTGGTGCCGCCTGCAGTAGGGGTCGATGCCCCCATGGATACATCGGAGGATAATACCGTGCCTTTGACTCCTATGGACCTTGATTGAAATGCTTGCAGAGGCGTTGGGGGCTTAGGCTGGTGGACAGGGTTGCCCCACGGGCTTCGATTTATTCGGAGTTGGAGTTTAGGACGTGGGACTCTGCATTTACTTGGCGAATCCCACGACACGGAAGGATAATGACAGGACTCATGCCGTGGGATAGGGTAGGGTATAGACTCACCGCTCAACGGCTCAAGGGACATGATTTGTTTTAGCGAGGCGTTAGGCGTTCTGCGGCCTACCAAGAGGTGGGCATGGCTGTTCATGGGGATTTTTCGGCAGGACAAGGGTGAAAGGTATAGAGGCAACTCAGTATCAGTAGTTCAGTTCTTACTCGTGCATCGTAACCTCCGTGTCGAGCAGCCCTTCTGTATTCCTGTTGCTATAGCCTAATCGGCCGAGGGTACGCCTTGGGCCGGCGAGCAGCGAACTCGATGGAATCATCAGTCACTTCAAATTTCTGTCTCGCATTGTCACCGCTGGGGTGTCGTAAACCATTTCTCTCAGGGTCTCATTTCGCTGTAGAGGTCCTTGTTAGATCAGCTGCATCTGGAACTAGAGCCGGAAAAGGACCAACACCACGGCAAAAATAACCCCAACCGCCATACATGATGCTCTCGAAATTTGCAAAAAGATTTGCAAAAATTAGGGAATTGGACGTACCGCGGATCGAACGCGGGACCGTCTGTATATGCAGATGCCTTGAGGCTTTGCAAAACAGAAATCATACCACTAGACCATACGCCCATAGGCTGTGACAAACCTGCTAGAATTGGTCACTTATTAAGAAACCCTGGACGCATCGTCCCACCCCTCAACGCCAATCCCCGGCAGTTCGATGCTAACGTTTGTTGTTTTCTATCTAATGTCATACTTTGCAGATGTCTGAGTCGAGACAAATGCAATGCCATCCTGCTCGGTTAGGACTGACTGTAATGGTGAACAAGTTTGAACTTTTCAAGGTCAGGGGCCATGAATCAGAGGCACTGCAAACAACGACTCAAGGAATCGACGACATACAGCTGCACTAGGCTCTAATAACTAGAAAACTACCAAAAACCACCTCCTCTCTCCCAAGAAATGCTCAATAACAGTTTTTGGTGGTCGGGTTTGTGTCAATCCATGCCTGATATGTCAATCGCTTCCAAATTGCCGGAATTTGCGCTGAGAATGAGATGCCAGAGATGGTGGGATGGTGGCAAGGTGGTATCTGGTTATCTGCTGACATGCCCTATCGGAATTCTAACCACATCATTCAACGCTGGTATCGATATCATGGTCATAGGTAGTGAACCATAGGAGTGTCAACTTCAACGGTTTGCGTTTAGCTTTTAGCATTCATCCGTAAGGCGGATACTGGTAGTCTGGTACTCCGTAGGTAAGGTATATACTCTGATCTCAATGTTCCATCATGATGTAATGCATTCAATGTTAAGGTCCAATTCATCAAGAGTCAAGGGTAACTGCAATACAGTATGATGCTTTCGAATAAGGTACCTCTTACTCATCGTCTTCTGAGTCTCTTCAACAACGTCGGTAAGAGCTAAACAACTGAGCAACAACAAGGAAGGCCGTCGCTTCCATTTTCCATATCACGGGAATCGCTCTCTTGAGATAAGTCCTGCGCTGTCACTTCTCCTAGAATATCCTTGGCAGAGTAGAAGGAATTCTTAACACCATACTTTAGTTTCCCAGCCGTTCAAGTTGGCTTCCGCGACCTCATGATCATCACGTGCGCAATCCCAATGTCCTGGCGGAATATTTGCTCGAGCATCATCCTGGAGCTCTTTGCACCTCCGAGTCCAGGTTTGTTCCCTCGAATGGGTTCCAAGACCGGCTCGGAAAGAAACTAAAAATAGGGCTTGTGACCGCAGATGTCGTGATGAGATCTACTTTAAAATCACTATAATCAGAAGTTCAGGACCCGGCTAGACAATGGATCTGTGGAGTTGAAGACATATGGGAAGACACGTGTAGTATGTCTGTATACTTCCAGAAGCAGGTCAAATAAAGGACCTAATACTGACGCTTTACTGACGCCTGCAATCCTTCCGCGACTTACTCAGCCAACAAATGATCTGGTTATATGCAGGAACCGCCATTGTCTATATCACGAACTCCAGTCTAAATATATACGCCCAGCTATAGTGCTGACAGAGCCGTTTGGCCAATCGCAGCCGAGTTGGAAAGGGGTTCCAGGCTGTAGCTCTCGGGAACGCTACTCTACCTTATTTCCCGCAATCAATATACATGGAAGCGGTGAGAATGCAATGGCCGTATTCACCATATTAACGTTAGCGAAGCTGACATATGTTTGGGCCGGATAGTTGGTTCTTAGCGGGCCGCTCTGGGCATAACAAACAGACTTTTGGCATTTTGCGGCCTAACTTGCGGCTGTTGGCCCTGTTTCCATATTGGTCAATGATCAGGGGTTCAGGACACGGGCTGACTTTACATACGAGAGCGGATGGGTTTTAGATTCGCTTAAACCCGGGTCAATATACGCTCCTCTAAAAAGCCCTTCGTGGAAACTTGCGCACCTAGCTTCTACAGAGGTGAACCTGGAGTCCTGGACCGGAGACATGAGAATTCAATTTGCCCGAGATTGTATGTTAAGTGAAGAAGGGCACGACACTATAGCAACTCATCTTGGAAGCAGGATGTCATGTAGGAACCAAACATCAAGGGCTTGTTTACTAGTAGGATGCTATCGGTTATCCCGGGATCAACGGAATCAGGGGGCTGCCATGCCAGGCTGCTGCTCCCCGATTAAGGCAACGCCTGCCTATATATATGTGCCTTGCCTGCCTCTTTCTCGAGCTCAGGGGCACTGACATCGGCGACCAGCTCTACCAGACACCAACAGGGCGAGAAACATCTACAACTGAAATCACGGTTCAACTTAAACCATCTCTTCACAATGAAGCCTGTTTCACTTCTCGGTCTTCTTCCCCTCGTTGCGGCGGCTCCGCCCCTGAACACGCCCAGTGTCACTCCCAGCAGTGTCCGGGTCGTCGGTGTCTCGCTCCTTGGCTCAGGCTGCCCAGCAGGCACGGCCGATGTCCAAATCGATGCCACCAAGACGCTCATGGAGGTGACCTTTTCCGAGTACATCATCCAGACTGGTCCCGGCACCAAGGCCGCCGACTGGCGCAAGAACTGCAAGCTTACCCTGAACTTGGAATTTGACGAGGGTTTCCAGTAAGAGGGAGCCGTCACGGTCCCAAACATATGAGACAGAATCAGGCAGCTAACGGCTTGACTCCCTCCCCAGGTTTGCCACTCTCGGCACCGACATGAAGGGCTTCGCCCAGATCCCGGCCGGCGCCAGGGGTCTCTGCACCAACACGTTCGATTTCACGGGTGTCCCGGGCTCCAGCGTCTACTCCCTGTCGCTGCCCGGCGAGCGGGAGGGCCCGTTCACGCTCACGGCCGACCCCGACGTGGTCTCGTGGTCTCCCTGCGGCGGTACCACTTCCATCATGAACATGAACACTCAGTGCAACATCTCCCCGACCAGGTCCCAGGCGCTCATCGCTGTGAGTACCATCCATTGTTTCTAGAAGAAGATTGCTCTACCAGTCTGCCTTAGGTAGTTCACTAACTACTACTTCTTGCGCAGGTCGATCGGATCAGCGGCAAGCTTACCCTCAACGTCTCTCTGGAATGGAGGAAGTGCCGTTAGGCGACGCCAGGGGTTTACGGGTGCAAAGGGGTTTTGGCCAGCTGTTTCCCTACCTGACAGCGGCCCTTTGACGTGGTTTATCTTCATGTTTGCCGAGATATTGAGTGACAAACTTAGTTGTACTTGCCAACATTGGTTATAATGATGTTTCATTCCATGTTGCCCGAGCAGTGACTTTACCAGTAGCAATGGCAATATCTCGTACGCTTCAATTGCTTCCAGTCGGGTGACTTTGAAGTTACCTTGGCTTACCAGCACGTGCCTAGTGACTGTTACTACTTCCCGTCCATGCTCAAGAGTTACGAATGATACGTGAAATATGTCATGCGCACGTCGTAACCTGAAGAGTGATGTGAAGAAGAGCTCAATTCAACTACTCCTAACCCAGGTACCTGGTCCAAAAACGAGTGATGAAATAGTAAAGCATTCTCAAGGGCCTGCTCCCTCCTGAAGATCCGGCTACAGACAGGGGAGTCCGTTTCTCCACAGGCTAACATTTGAACAGCATTTCCTTGCGGAATCTGCCACCATCCGTCCAGCACACATGTGCTAGATAGAGCGGCGCCATACGGCTAGCAAAGGCCGTACTTGGTGAGGAAGTCGCTCAGGTCGTTGAAGCAGCCAGCACAACCGCACAGCTGTAAATCAAGCACAGGCACAAAGGTGGGCTTTGGTTAGCAATCCCTTCTTCAAAGATTCTGAAAGAACCCCCTGCTTACCTCCTTTCTGTCAGCACACTTGAGAATGGCAGCGTAGTCGTCGCGATCAATGGCATCAGCAATGCAGAGGGCCTGGCCAATGACGCCAATGCAGCTGAGCACGTTGCAAGCGGCCGATGGGGCGAAAGAGAAGACTGTCGGCAAGCAACGTTAGACACATGTCAGTTCGACCCTCTTGGGCATTGATTTGGAAAAAGGATATCACTCAGGCTAGATGTCATTGTCATGTCCTCTCATACGCACCTTCGGCCTGGTTGAACTCGGCGCGAGGGGTCACGCCGGAATGAACCAGATTGGAGCTAGGAGCAGCCATGGCAGCCGTGAGGAGGGCAAGAGTGGACGTGATAGCGAGCTTCATTTTTGCGGGGGCTTGTGGTCGTTGATCTCACGAATGGAGATTGGGATCAAGTTGTGAACTGGTTGTGACTGCAGTGAGCCGGTCGTGATGTCGAAGAACTCTGGCAGCAGAAGAGGAATGTCTACCGTCTCTTTATACTTCAGTTTCCCTCATCACTCCCCAACTGAGAGAGTGGCATGTAGTATTGAAATCTTTCTTCAAGTAAGTGACACCATCTCCTCTTGGCTTGAGCCGCGGAGCATACCTGATTCACACAACCATCGGCCCGCCGATAGAGCTTAATCTGCTGAGAAACGCATGTCTCCTGAAGGGCTTGATGAGACTCGGCATCTAGAAGAACCTTGGAGTCGTTTCAAGACGATATTGATATTATGGGTCTTTAATCTTCAGGGGTTCAGCTCAACGAGCCGGTCAAGCCTGGGTGCCATTGAAGTGGTTTGCCCAAGCCTCATTGCATAGGTAGTAAGAACGAAGCTACCAGACTTGCCTTCGGCATCTAGGGGCATACTATGGTGCCGCGAGCATCACATAGACTCAGATAGGATAGCTCTGCGAGCGATGTAGAATATCTCTACGCAAAGCGGTTATATATCTAGGTGCCATTCACTGCTTGACTGAGGCAGGTAACTTTATGCTGTGAAACCAAGATCATTCCCCTCACGCCGGCAAAGCTACCTCTACACTAGGGTTCTTGTTATTTACACACGCTATGTTGACAGCTGCACATTGATGATTCGGAGATGCGTGGATCGCCTCTGCAGCTCTGCTTCCTGTCCCGTGGCACAGCACCAATCAACTGGTCGGAACAAGTTCAACCCGATGCAGGGTCTAAAGACTCCCAGCATACCCACACGAGCGAGAGAGCTGCCGTGGTGGTGGGGAGGTAATCTAAATCCCAAAGATCGACTGCACGCTTTGATTGCTATTAGGCGAGTTCCGCTTCAAAGTCTCCGAAAACCTCGTGGCGAAGCGTCCTGTCAAGACAGACGGAGCCTTACAGCATACTGTTGTTGCTTGAACAGTACTAGTAACAGTCTGGTACCACTCTCAAGTTCAAGTTCATAACGTACTATCCTAGTACACATGGTTCATTCATAGCCTTGATAGGTACTTGTACCCAGGTACCTAAGGTCGGCATGTAAGTAGTAGTACATGTGCCTACGTGTAGTACATACACACAATACCAAGTCCATGGGTTATCAGCGTAGAGAGTTTCCGGGGTTCAACTCAGTTATTGCAAGTGGTTAAAGTCGAGCAATTGAGTGGCTGTGGGCCTCAGCTTGTAGCGTCGATGTCTTTCCTATAGATGCCGGGGTGTAACTGCGTCGGCAATGCCGTCGGTGGTTGCCGTCGGCGAGATGTTGCCCCAATGTGACATGGCGGTCTTCAGACAACTCGACAAGAGATTAAAATCCGAGAGGAGAAGCCTAATCAAGTGTTGGCCAGATTGGCTTGTGTCTTGGTATTCTCCACTGGCAGTTCGTCCAGATCTCAAACTGGAGGGTGGTGTTTGACTAAGGGGCAGTGTTTTTTTGGCTCCATCCAATCTAGATTGTGCAAACGACAACGAGAGACAACAAACACTAGGAGAAAGGTCGAGTTTGAAGTACGGAGTTATGGGGTTAGCTGTTTGCGGTACTATCCGATCCTAAAACATGTAGTAGACATGGAATGGTGGGATTTGAAGGGGGAGAACAGCTCCAAATTTTATGTTGTCGAAGATATCTGCTAATAGTAAAATCCTGGGGCTAAAGACAAAGTTAATTGTGAACAGTACGTGAATGAAGCAGTATTCTAGCTATACAGTGACGTTAGTACTCGAAACTACTACCAGGAAGTACTAATCCAGTTGTTGAACTCACTGGTACCTACCTTACCTTAACCAAGCAGTGCACATGCGCCGAACTGGGTTTCTACAGAGGTAAGCTGACTTGAGCCTACTTACCTAGATGAGTACCTACCAGGTATGTAGGCTGTATCACTGAGCTTTCGGTCTTGATAGCTTGATGAAGCCCTTTGTTGACTCCAGGGGCGCAACTCTTCCTGTAATCAAGGAGAAGAGCATCTCGTGCTCGTCTGCCCCTGACTAAGGGGAGGGGGGAGGGGGCGCCGGGGAGCTGATGTGAATTATGTTTTCGTATTTACGGCAAGTTTCCGGTGTCGCCAAGTTTTGTTGCGGTCGTGGCTAGGGCCCTAGGGGCGTTGGCAGAGAGGTTGTCTGTCGACAGCTCCAGTCCAAGATTCCCAGTTCAATTCCTGCCATTGAGACTTCCCAATCAAGCCAGGCGCATCCATTGCAGCACGCTCATGTCCTAGGAGTTGTAGCACCAGATAGATGCAATTGTTGCCCTTGATACCACACCTCTGGAACCAAGAGCCAAGCCAGAATCTGCTCGCTCGAAAGGTGAGCTATCATAATGTGCTTCGTGACTGTCACTGACGAGACCTTGCGGTCTTACAAAAGACGGAAAAAGGACGAGAAAGTCCCTTGAAGGAAGGCGCCACCGTGCTATGCCCGGTTGCTCTTGCAGCATTTGAGAGGTTTGAATTTCTGGCACACCAATGAGTTGTCGAGAAACTAGCTCATATCAACTCATCCGCCCAAAGGCTAAAGCCAAGACTCTGGGGTCAGGAACTTTGTCAGCTGGTATTATCCGTCCACGGTTGATTGTTGCCATGCAGTCTTTCTTGCAACTCTTAAGACGCTTCGTTGTCAATCTCCATGTTGTTGAACGATCCTCTCCAGTCTCGAATGTCCTTATTGAATCTCGTCTCCGTTGTCAGCAGCTGGAGCCCGTCAATCGTCAGCATCCAGTCCACGCCGCGTACTTCGATACCCTGGTGGCAGCCGAAGAAGGACTGTAGGATCAACCTGAGCCCAGTGGGCCTAAGTCAACCGCTCGGCGGCCTTGCAGCTTACAGGCGTTAATCTGAATCATGAAATCTGCTCCTATCAATCGGTTGGCACTTGTGTCACTCCTGGTCCTCGTCGCTGGGCCCGCCTTTACCCAACAGCAGATTGTTGGCTATGGCAGATATCCCTACGATCCGCTTTGTGCGGAGAGCTGCCTCCGGTCCTTCACATCGTATAAGCTAGAATGCTCCAAGGACGAGGGAGCCACTCATGCTCATGATCCGTCAATGATGGCAACAGGTCCTGACTGCTTCGCTCAAGACACACCTTTTCTGACCTCCGTTGCCTGGTGCCTGAGCTCCAAGTGCGCCGAATACGGCATTGCCACCTCTAAGCTCGAATACTACTGGGAGCAGACTGTTACTGGGAGCAGCGCGGTTCCTCCGAAATGGTCTTACCAGGTTGCCCTCGCGAATGTCGACCCTCGGCCGCCCACGTACCAGCTATCTCCGTCCGACACTCATCTCAACCGCACCTCGCTCGTTGTGCAGGATTCTTACCAGATGCAATGGAACACCCTGGGCAGGGTGTATGAAGAGAGCGTCACCGAGTCCAAGTTCAGGTCTGAGAACGCCGTTTCCTAGGATGCTTCAGTTATTGCTTCAGTCTGGTACTAGCAGTACTAGTACTACCTCTTGCATGCTTACAACTTTTGACCGGGGCAGATTGAAAGCTAACAAGCGATTTGCATAGTATCGCCATAATCGTCACGGCTGTTGGGATTCCGCTGCTGCTTGCAGTGCTGAACTATCTGCCCTTTGGGAAGACCATCCAAGACCGGGTCGGTTGACATGTCTCATCCCCCGTTCTACCACCCACACGTGCTGATGCCAGTCCTCCGCAATCCAGGCCAAACCGTACCTCGTTTATCCAAGCCTCATTGGCACGTACCAAGTACGGCCCCTACCATTCCTTCTGGGCAACGGTCCCACGGTCGGTCAGAGCATCTATATCGCCATCTTCGTCTCCCTGAATGTGATTGGGGCCGCAGTCGAATATCAGACCCGGCAACCGAGCGCATGGTTTTCGAGTCAGTGGTCGGAACTGTCAGCCTACATTCTATATCGCACTGGCGCCTTGGCTTGTATGGTCCTTCCTATCATCCTCCTTTTCTCATCGAGGAATAACATTCTCCTGTGGTTCTCCGACTGGTCGCACTCAACCTATCTCCTCCTGCACCGCTGGGTCGCCCGCGTGTTTATGCTTTACGTTGTCGTCCACTCCATCATCGGCCTGCAGGTCTACGCCCACAACGCAAACACAACGTGGTGGATATGGGGCGCCGTCGCCACCATGGCAACTGTCCTCCTTACTTTGGTCAGTGGCCTGTACATCCGAAAGCCGCAGTACGAGCTCTTTCTGATCTCGCACATCCTTCTGGCCGTCTTCGTCATCGTCGGGACCTGGTACCACATCATCCTCTGGTACGCGAGCATGGGCATGTACCTTCCCAACCTGTGGGGTTACGAGATCTGGCTCTACCTTGGGATGGTGCTCTGGTTCTTTGACCGGCTCATGCGCGTGGTGCGCGTGTTCAAGAGCGGCGTCCGCAGGGCAAAGGTGACGGATATGGGCAAGGGCTACGTTCGAGTCGACATTCCCGGCATCCGCTGGGGCTCCGACCCGGGCCGGCACGTATATGTCTACTTCCCGACGCTGATCCCGCTGCGCCCGTGGGAGAACCACCCGTTTTCCGTCATCCCGACATACATGCTTCAGCAGGCAGGTGGGAACAGCAACGATACCGGCAGCCCATGTCCTCGGGACGATGACGAGAAGCAGCTCGCTAAAGCACAGGTGAAGAGCGCTCTGAGTAGGAACGTCGGGACCGGAATTACACTCTATATCAAAAAGTCGATGGGTATTACGAAGCACCTGCGTTCTCACGGCGGCCTGGTCACGCTCCTCGAAGGGCCTTATTCGAACAATACCAGGCGGGACGTGCTGCGCTGCGATCGAGTTCTTCTAATAGCAGGCGGTATCGGCATTACCGGCGTGTTGCCGTGGGCGTACAATCATTGGAACACAAAGCTGGTTTGGAGTGTTGCGGAATCGGCACGCTGCCTGGTTGACGGAGTGGATTTGAATGGCGTTGCGACTAAAGAAGTCAGAATTGGCCGACGGTTCAATGCTAGAGATCTGATTGCCGAGGAGGAGGATGCCGGATGGAGCCGCATCGGCGTCGTTGTCGCCGGGCCGGGTGGGCTTTGTGACGATGTTAGGGCCGCGGTTGCTGCCGCTGGCAGAAGGGGCAGGGCTGTTTTTGAGCTTGAGGTTGACGCGTATTCATGGTAATGATACAATCCCAGCGCCCACGTTTGGATATATAAGGCACGGGCAGTATTATAGTCGTCGGATATCTATGAGCTTTGATGTCTTTAATCGTTTGATGACGAGTCAAGCCTGTTAGTGTTAAGGTTAGGGATCCCGGCATAGGTACTGTACACAAACCCCCGTGGCCGTGGGGTACTTGCCTATCCCGAGGAGACTTTACGGCAGCGTTTTGGCGGAAGTGTGCCAAAACTAAAAAACCACAATTTTTATTGACTAGGCTCACGCTGGGGCAGGAAACTTAACCCCAATAATTCTATTTAAATCCAACTTAAGCATTTCCCGCCCAGCCGTCAAGTTCTTTTCCACCTACTGTACAACGTACTTTCTAGTTCCCACTCAATCATACTCGATTGTATAATACTATTACCTACAATATACCTAGGTCTTTTCCTCTTCATCACTATAGTGATTTTCACTACTATTAAAATAGCTTCTAATCGGGCTCTAATAGTAAAAGCGTTTCTAAAGATGGCTAGCAATTGTAGTAGTTCTATGGCTTATACGCCCTACAAGCAAATTGAAGCGAATTCGCTAAGTGCCTAGTGTGACGAATCTCGGTCCCCCACCACTGAAAGGGACTCCTCAGACTGAAGGTTGACTCGAACGGGGTGAGGTTCGGTAGAGCCAAAGGGTCTACAACAAGTGCACAAGCAAGTGTTCACACAGTAGCAAAGACAACTGCTTGCATTGCTTACTGAGGAAGCTATCGTGATGCCCGTAGGCCGTAGAGATCGTGAACTATATACAGCTTCCTCTCTCTGGTTATTCTTTT